TCGCGCAGACACCTTAACCCATAAAACTTACCGCCGCTGAACAAGGCACCGTTACCATAGAAACAGAAGACAACCAGTACCAAAACAAGACGAGACAACTGACTGTCGGACTAGACACGAACGCAGAGTAAACTACATGGCATGTAGACAATTTTTTATTATTAATAAGCGGTGAAACTGAGTCCACTTGGTACTGCGGCCACTTCTGGCCTATTGTACCAGCCCCAGATGACAGGTGAGGGTGATTGTGGACCAATTGGTGGAATGAAGATTGGCATGGGAAACCGAAGTACTCGGAGAAAACCTGCCCCAATGCCACTTCCCACCACAAACCCCACATGACCAGACTCGGACTCGAACCCGGACCGTCGCGGTGGAAAGCTGGCGACTAACCGCCTGAGCTATGGCGCGGCCATGTAGACCAGTTGCTAGGTACTTAACGTGAAAGTTGGTAGCTGAGGTGGGGGACATTTCGGGAACCCAGAGGAACGTCAGTCGTTGGAAGCCGCTACCAAGCAACGGCTAGTGAAGACTGTAACGGACTGAGCAGATTTGTGATGTTCTACAGCAACTTGTGAAATGTGTAGATGAGTGAAAGCATAACCCCAACTTGTAGTTGCGAGCTGTAAGAGTTCAGTAAACCCGATTAGCAATCCAAACCCCGTCTATAGTCTCTTTAGAAGGTAATTATGAACTTGTGCAAGACCGAGCACGGCAAGCGGTAGCGATCAGATGACTGACCGGAAGTGAGTGGTGAGCTCAGGTCCTGACGTCTCGCATTCCTGTCACAGGATCCCACGTCAAGCTGTTTCAGGAAATTGCTTACGAACCCGGCGAACGGCGCATGGGCAAGTTTCCCGGACGCAGGTCGACGGCCACTAATAATTTTGTTACTTCGGGGGGGGGGNCGAGCGGGCAGCATTTACACGTCCGCCAATGAAGCCGTCTGGGGCGGAGGCTCCGCCAGTAGAATCTGTGTTGGACGGGAGACGCGATGGCGCCATCTTGGCATTCAGGGCGCTGACGGAAACATTACAACTCTGGTTCACACATGTACGGTTTAGTTTAGCAGATTTTGGTAGGTTATTTTAGGTAGTTTAGTAAAAGTGGGGGCACTCGGTAGCATAGTTGGTTGAGGCACTATGCTACAAGCCGGAAGGTCGCGGCTTCGATTCCCGATGAGGTCATTGTATTCTTCAATTGACCTAATGCTTCCAGCAACACTATGGCCCTGGGGTCGACTCAGCCTCTAACAGAAATGAGCACCAGAAATCTTCCTGGGGGTTAAAGGGCGGCCGGCGCGTAAGCCTGACAACCTCACCGCCATCTGTGAGCCTATGGGCCTTCACGGACTGTTGCAGAAGAGCATCAGTACTTGCAAGAGTGTTCTGTGGATATGAGCAAGGCTCATGAAGCACTGCTTCGAGGTTTTGAGAGAAAGATTTTAAGGATGATCAGTGGAGCAGTACAAATTGATGGGGTCTGGTGAAGACGTTGCAATCACGAATTATATACTTTATACAATGATGTTGATGTAATTAAAAGAATTAAAATAAATACATTGAGATGGGCAGGACATGTTGTAAGGAGAGAAAATGAAGGAGCTTCAAGAGGATTAATGATAGCAAAACCGGAACGGAAAACGAAGAAAGGGAGGCTAAGAATGAGACGGACGGATGTTGTGGCAAAGGCACCCGAGCGGGATGGCTGCAGATTCCAAAGCATTCTATGTAACCCGAAGTTTTATTACCGTTTTCACAACATCCCACCACTAGTTTTGATCCTGTGGAGACGAATCCATTTCACAACTTGGCATAATATTTATTTTTGTATCTATTTTAATAGTGACCTTTCGTCTACTTCTAGGTCTTTCAATTTGTCTCTTTCTGTCAGGTTCTCCTACCAAAACTTTGTATGCATTTCTGTTCTCTCCCGCACATGTTACGTGTCACCTCACCTTGAAATGATTTTAATCGAATATAAATTATGATCTGGGAGCATGCGCAAAGAGGCTGGTGTGGCCTATACCTCGCAAACATTGAATAGAAACTAGATACGTTCTCAGGAATGGCATATATATTGTGGCGTATAGGCCGCTGATAAGCGGGGACTCTGTAAATAACGACCGTTTCCGGGCAACGGTTTTGTAAACACGTTCCCGCGGCAATCAATACGCATGCATCAAGAGAATTACTGTTTGTAACGGGATGTTTTTTGTGGTCTGTACCGAGATGTTATAACCAGGAAAGTTGATGCAGTTAGTTCAGTTGTAGGATGTGTGCCAGATGGAAAGACGTAAGCGAAAGACAGTGTTAAGATCCGTTACCAGGAAACGACTAGTGAAGACGTAGAAGACTTAATGTGTGCTGCAGTTACAGTGAACTTTAGTGAGTGTAAATCAGTGAGACTGCTACAGTTACTTGTAGTTATCTTCTGTGTAAAACAAAAAACAAACTCCGTGGCTTGACTCCGCAAGCGAACTATGTGTAAGTGGCGAATAAATCCAATTACCAATCCGAACCCCGTCTAGAGTCACCGCATCACGTGACAATATTAACATCCACTACACAGGCAGGCGGACAGCAAGAAAATGCTTAGTCTCCCAGTTTAAACGGTGTCGCTCATTCGTGGCCACTCTATTATCAAAACGTCACGTCCTGTGAGGCTCGCCAGAGCGGAACAGGTGGCCATGAATTGTAAACTGAACATCTAACCAGCTGTTCCGAGCAGAGTGGTTACTATTTATACCACATCCTTTACATTGAAAAGAGAATAACTCTGCAGTCTGTCCACACATTTTTTTATTTTCCGTACGGCTCTCGCAAGAAGAAAACGAGTACTTCCGCAAACAGAATTCAACGATTTTGCTTCGTAGCGTGACCAGATCAGCATTTTATGAATACTCTGTTCGGTCCTTGCCAGCTTGCACTTAAATTGCTATTCCAGTAGTACAGAGCTCTCCCTGTAACAGGCCGCGGAGGCCCATGGAATTGTGAGACGTCGAGGCTCCCACACTTTATAGGCAAGAGCTCTCCCTGTAACAGGCCGCGGAGGCCCATGGAATTGTGAGACGTCGAGGCTCCCACACTTTATAGGCAATCAGCTCACAGATGGTGGTGAGGTTGTCATTCTTATACACCGGCAGCCCTTTATCCCCAAGAAGATTCCTGGTACTCATTTTTGTTAGAGGCTTATTCGAACACAGGGCCATAGTGGAAGGATTAGGTAAATTGAAACATCAAATGATCTCATCGGAAATCGAACCCGCGACCTTCCGGCTTGTAGTATAGTGCAACTATGAAGAGAGTATAAAGTATACACAACAGCCGTTACTAGACAGTGGCCTATAAACAGCAACAGAGGAAAGGTGTTTTCTAAGCGGTCCGTGCTGATATGTTAGCTGTTGCAGTTAGTTGGTCAGTGAGTGAGGTAGAGCTCTTACTGTTACTGTTAGAATTTGGTAGCTGAGGGCGGGAACAGTTCGGGAACCCAGAGGCAGGGGAACGTCCGCCGTTGGAAGCCGCTACCGAGTAACGGCTAGAGAAGACTAACAGATTGAGAAGACTTGGTGTGTCCTGTAGCGATCCGAGAAGTGTGTAGAACAGTGAGAGCATAGCCCGTGCTTGTAGCTACGAGTTGTGAGAGTTCAATAAAGCCGATTATCAATCCGGACCCGTCTAAAGTCACTAAATCATGTGATATTACTTTCAAATTCTGCGTCTTCTCACGCATTTCATTTTTCCCGGAAGTTGAGGGCTGGGAAGCTGAAACTGGCTGAAACGTTCAGCTGAAAAGAGAGGCAAATGTCACTGTCGCTTGGAACTGAGCACGCCCATGGCCGTATTCAGTTGCAGCTGTGATGAATGTGTTAGAAAAATCGTGATCCTAAGTGCTACCTTCGGTCGGTGTTGCTGTAATGTCAGATCGCAGAAACAACATGGCACCGAAGCGAGGCCAGGCCCCACGGTGGCGCCGGGACTTCGCCCCACTATCCCCGGAGCGGCTTTACTGTACCATCTGGAACTCTTCGCGGAAAATATCTCGCAATTTTTTTTTTTTCATTTGGCTTCGACTGCATCCTCTGCACTTCGAAGGAGAGATATGGGAAATTACAAACAGTTCTCACGTTTCCAGCTATTTGCCTGTAGGGGCACAGTTCATGCAACTTGCTCATTCGTTCAGGATTTCGAAAAGCGACACGACTGAAATTGCTGTGCAAGTCCGTGGGGCTATCACATGGGGATGGCCGTCAGCACCCGCAGCGCACAAGCGTTTTGGGGCTAGCGGTGAATTTCCGGACTGCGTCGTTTGTGTTAATGGTAAACACATGGGGGGGGGGGCCCACGAAATACCAGCTCGACGTACAACAACTACAGAAATTATTACTTTGTCGGCCTACCTGCTGTCACAGATGCCAGCTACAAGTTCATGTTGGTTCTTTTGGCAAGGACAGCGACGCTGCGCTTGCTGATTGTCAGGACGAGTACAGATGCCAGACGGAAAATGCTCGCCAGGTTGAGCGCTGAATTTCCTCGGTGATGACGCTTTTCTTCCGAGTGAGATGCTTCCCACGGACTCAACTGCAACAAAAGGAACAACAGGTAACAAGAAGACGGTAAAGCTGTCCCTGTAACAGGCCGCGGAGGCCCACAGGGTTGAGACGTCGAGGCTCTCACATCTTCTAGACAATCGGCTCACAGGTGGTGGTGAGGCTGTCAGCCTTACGCGCCGACCGCCCTTTACCTCCCGAAATATTCCTGCTACTCATTTCTGTTAGAGGCTGAGTCGACTCCAGGGCCTATCAAAACTATTTATGAATTTCTGTAGCTGCATCATATCATATCCAGTCTCTGACATTGGACGCCTGACAGACTATTGTAACTGAAAGCGAGAGGTCCCGAGTTCGACTGTACTGCCCTCCAGTCCTCCATTGTTCTCATGTCTGCAAAGTTTCACCTTCATATAGTTTCTACACTCTGACGTTTACTTTTTCCTTTCAGCGGAAGCAACGAAACAAAATGTCTGCGCCGCTAGAGCTGCACGTGTCAATTACATCAACTACAATGAAGAAGATCAAATGGTAAGCACTACTTTTACGTACGAAGCCATGGCTCAAGGCATCTTTGAGAAAAACAGCAGCGCTGAAAATTCTGTTCTTTTCTTTTTTCTTTCTTCCAAAAGTTTTCTAACTTCGTATGGAGCGTTCCGAGAAGGATCTAAAGAAGACTTGCAGCTGGCAGCTGGCGGCTACTGCGGGGAAATGTTGGGGTTTTCTGTCTTTTCGTTATATTCTTTGAATTATTTGGATTCTCGGGCTGAAGCACGACATTTATTTTGTGGTTTATTTGACTATGCTCTTGTTTTTCAGACTACGTAGGGTGTCCCAGGAGGAGAGCTCAATATTCTGTGAGGTCACGGAACATGTGTTCAATTCAGAACGGTTTCCGAGATAGAGCTATTTCACTGTACAGTTCCAAAACTGTTGATAAGAAAGAGATATTACGTACTGTTTCTAATGCCGGTATTTATTGTTAAAGTGAAGGGCCGCGCCATAGCTCAAGCGGTTAGTCGCTGGCTTCCCACCGTGGCGGCCCGGGTTCGATCCCGGGTCTGGTCAAGTGGGATTTGTGGTGGACAAAGTGGCGCTGGGGCAGGTTTTCTCCGAGTACTTCGGTTTACCCTGCCAATTTTCATTCCACCAATTGCTCCACAGTCACCCTCACCTATCATCTGGGGCTGGTACAATAGGCCAGAACTGGCCGCAGTACAAGGGACTTAGTCCTACCGCACTAGCATTAAAAAAATTATTGTTAAAGTGACAAAGTTGGTACAGTTTACCTAGTGTAATACTTTTCGAAAACTCCACCGTCAACATCAATGCACTTCGCAACTCGTGTAAGGACATGGCGTGTGGCTCGTCTGTACAGTGTACAATGCACTGTACAGTGAAATAGCTGTATCTCGGAAACCGTTCCGAATAGGACAGATGTACATATATACACCTTTTTGCTTATAATGAGTGATATTATATCCTCCCAGAATATTGACCTTTCCTCCTGGGACACCCTGCATAGCGCGGAATGGCAAGATGGTTGGTCAAGGCACTGGAACGAAATGGTCATGGCCAATTCGATTCACTATACCGGAATTTGCCAGAAGTGACTGAGCAGTACCAGGATAACCGATATCCCAGCCAAGATTCGTGTGTAGCACGTATCGAATATAACCGCTACACCGACCCTCTCCTGAAGCATGTACGTATCTACACGTTACATACAGACACAAACATGTGCGTGCGTGCTCAGATCTGGTGATTACTGCAGATCGCTCCTACGGCTTCCTTTCGGCACCTCAGTTTTTCCTTGACAAACAGCAAGTTTGTTGCTGAAGGTAATCTGGCCCTTGTGTTCACTACGCAATATGCCACGAAATGGAGACACAGCAAACCCTCGCTAATCCGGATTAGTGAAGCAAATGTAGCCCTAACAGGCAAAAAAATATAGCACATAAATAAATGGAAATTTTACTAATATAAGTAGTGCTGATGAAAATAAAACAAATCACTGTAGAGCCTTTAGTTAAGAACTAGTATGAAAAGACAAATACATTTATTCATCGATAGAAGACTCAGAAGTTGCACTTGTTTATGAACGTAATGGCGCAGGTTTGACAGAAACCGTCAAGTTTTGTCTGAAGAGAGAAGTGACTCATCTGCCTGCCTAAATGTCACGTGTCTTTTAAAGTACGCACTCAAATGTGAACAGCATTTCTCATTCTTCGTATTTCGATCCGGATTGTATAGCTCCAGGCATGCTTCACCTCGTCACTGGTCAGCTTCATGACCGGCAGCCTTGCCTCCGGGGCCCATTGGTTGGGAGGCAGGATGGGGCCCAGAGCCACGCTGGACGCTGTGGTGAGGAGAGAGATTTCTGCACCCACTGGGAACATAAATCCCATTCTCCGGTTCTTCACGTCGTAGCCTATTCACTTTACCGACTGAGCCACCCAAGGGTACAGACCTACATTATTTATATGTTAGTATAATAGCAATGCAGACGCGCAAATGTGCCTACGTGGAGTCTCTGTCCAAAAAAATATTAATATTCGTTCATCAGCTTATTGCCGCGCCATCTGTTAACATACTCTGCGGTCAGCACACAAGCAAGTGTTCAAGTGGCGCCTCCAGCAGCGTTGCCACGAACTAGTGGCAACTGAAATTGCGAGAAGTGGGGAAGAATCTGGAGCAGTGCCTGTTGCAACTGGCTTTGCACAATTGCACTTCGCAATTCCTCATTTCCAGGGTTCGCTTAAGGAACCACTTCGTGTCCCAATTTAAATACTCCTGGGAACTTCCACGTCACCGTTAACATTCACAATCAATGCTCTCCTCATACCAAAATTTGAATGTTCCATCCGAAACAGAGGTGCTGGGTTCGAACACAAAACTTGCAGTAAATATGGACACTAAAACGGGCCCAGATTGCTCGGAAATCCTGGATAAGTAACAATGAATCTGCATGCCGTTACTAGGCAACGCGGTTCTTTTACAGGAAGTGTTGGGCTACACGTGGTGCAGATTGAGGTCAACACTCACGTGGGCGGGGGTGGTCCTGACGCTGGGGGCACTTCGCCTCGTGTTTCACTGGTACCCTCAGTTGTTACTGTACGCCACTCACGCTCCCTGCCCCCTCAGTACCGCCACCAAACTGCTTGTAGTGGTAAGTTGCCCGTTGTAACACATTTCTCGTACTATTTTGTAATCTTAAAGGAGAGCACAGTCATTTTAATTGAATTGAATTAATTCATTTATTTACAGTAAGCCCATCGCTAATCGGGAATAATTGGGTAAGTTCATCCGGGTTAAGAGGTAATCCAGATTAGTGAAACAAGAGGTATCCTTAAAAGACAAAGAGAAACTCAGAACACAAGTAAATGGAAAATTTAATGACAGAAGTAACGCTAATGAAAATAAATAACAAAACATCGCTGTAGAGTCTTTATTTAGAAACCACAGAAAGGCAATGCATTTTATTCGCCGATAGAGGCCTCAGAAGTTGTACTCGTGTTTGAAGAAACTGTCAGGTTTCGTATGAACAGACAAGTGGCGTGTCCTGTAGCGATCCGAGAAGTGTGTAGAACAGTGAGAGCATAGCCCGTGCTTGTAGCTACGAGTTGTGAGAGTTCAATAAAGCCGATTATCAATCCGGACCCCGTCTATAGTCACCAAAATCGTGACAAGAACAAGAAGGTTGTTTTTTTAATTACACCATTATTCACGAAGAATTTGATCAAGGAATCGTAAAGGCTTTGGCTTGTTATTGTTACATTAATAGGCTTCTGCTTCCATCCACAGGACAACTATCTGGGCAGATTCAAGACATATTTTGTCAAGGATGTGAAGACCATTTCAACAGAGGGCGCGAGGTGAGTTCGTGAACTTATAAACATCGCTTCCTACTTTCTTGTCTCTTTATAGAACTTCTGAGAGAATGATTTCCTTCCAAACCAAAACGAAGCTGTGATTCTCAAGGCGATAAATGTAAACTTATAATATAAATTTATACGAAATTATTTTAGAATCTTAAATATTTAATGACAGTGGACGGGATGATCCACTGAGCCACGAGTTACTTTATTTGTTACTGTCACGTGTACAGCTAGGCAACGGCAGGATAAACAACTTCCCGCTTAAGCGCTTGGCAAAAATACGTGATCATTGGTAGGTAAGGACTCAGTAAACACGTTCCCGCGAACACGCAACAATGGGAACTGTGTTCTTTGTGCACCATGCTACAACTAGTTGCTAGGTTACACAATAATTCTGACAACACAGGATGTTTTCTATGTGGTCCGTGCATTCGAGAGGGCCGGCAGCAATTTTAAAAGACAGAGCCGTCCTCTCGTCAGAGACAGGGCCCCATATCAACAAACCCGCAACTGGCCGACAGGAATAAGGATCTGGTCTTAAGCCCGAGATGGGTGCTTTATTCGCAGACAGACTGGCCGACTGACCGGCGGTCATAACGTAATTTTGACTGAGTGTAGTTGAGAGTACAAGGACAGAGTCCAGCAGAGAATGAGGACGAGACTGGAGCATATCCTAGTGATGTGTGAGGTGAGAGCGCTAGAACTGACTGTAATTGTGAAGCAGTGCCAATTCATCCAATCATCCGATTCGCAACCCCTTATTTTCGTCACGCGTATGTTGCTATGAAATCTGCAAACAGAAATTTAAGCATAACTGAAATGCTCGGGAAAGTACCTGTCACACAGGCACACACAAACGGGAGAGAGATGTCCTTTGCCTCTATTATCGTCCTTGTTTTTTTCCAGCTCTTCGAGCGGCGGCAATGCAGCACACGCGGGGTCGGCGGGCAATCCGAGTTGCGGAGTTCGCGTACAGCTCAGTAATGGTTTCTCGAAAGGTGAATGTTCCTGCGCCTGCGCGCTCCTGTGTTCTACGAACTGCTCACTGCCCAGTGGATAAACGATAATCAACTCCAATAAATTTTATTTATCAGTTTTCTTGTCAAACTGAAACGCAACAGATAAGAGTATGTGTCTTCATTTAGACCTCTATTTCACGTTTTTTCACAGACACTTGGAGTTGGTGACTTATTCTGTTTGTTTGCAAGAACATCCAGTTCACGAAATACGGCAGGGCTCCTGCTACTCTGAACCCACTCCTATATTCACGTAGCACTGAATGTGATCTGTAAGGACTAGTGCAACTGATGGATTAGGAGGGATATGGCAAAAAACTGTCATGGCCTATATTAATATATTGTTCCGATATTCTCCTAGAGGAACTGATAGTGATCACAGAAGCTTTAATTTTTATAGCCTGGAATTCGAACCCGGCACTCCAGAATGTCAGTCAACTGTAGGTAGCTTTTTAACATTGCAGTATGTTCTCTCCTGTTTTCCACGTAAAGACGATATTGTATCAACTGAAGATGTCATTTAGCTTCAAATGAAAGGTCGAGGTAATTTGGGCTGCCGCGGACCCCTGAGCCTACATTCGAACAGAACTCGACTCCGGGCATCTCTCCACACTGAATAGCAACTGCAGTTGATTCGGGGTCTTGAAATAAACACGAAACATATCAACATTGCAGAATATTTTCGATATTTCTGCATTTTGTGTCTGTTGAACAGATATCCAGAAATTTCGAGCAGTATGGATAAAGAAGTTGTGTTACATCTGGGACGAGAATCGATCAGAGTTCGTCAAGTTGGCAGGCCTGGACAAGGGTCTCACTAAGTCAGAGCTCCACGGGTACTCGGGGTTACACGAGTACCAGCAGCAGCTGAGGTAAACGGGCCTGGCCTAAGAAGTTGCAACACCGCCAATAATGTGCCCCAATATACAAGTACTAGTAAGTCTGTCAGCTGGCCGCGCCATAGCTCAAGCCGTTAGTCGCTGGCTCCCCACCGCGGCGGCCAGGGCTCGATCCTGGGTCTGGTCAAGTGGGATTTGTGGTGGACAAAGTGGCGCTGGGGCAGGTTTTCTCCGAGTACTTCGGTTTCCCCTGCCAATCTTCATTCCACCAATTGCTCCACAATCACCCTCACCTATCATCTGGGGCTGGTACAATAGGCCAGAAGTGGCCGCAGTACAAGGGGCTTAGTTCCACCCCACTAGCAATAAGAAAAGAACGTGGTCAATAAATCCATTCACCAGTCCAACCCCGTCTATAGTCACACATAAACGTGACAGTATTTTGTCGGCCTCCTGCAGACGCGATGTCGCCATTCTGTATACTTAAGACGGTGTTGGGTTCTGTCACACGTATGACACTTCCATGTTATGTTAATGCTTATGTAATTATTATTTTATCGTCAAATCAAGGAGTAATTATCAGCCTGTGTGTTTGTTATTACTCAGATCAAACGATTTATAACTTTTTGTATACTTATAAAATAGAGTACGGTTAAGCTGTTCAGCCACGTAGCGTTTCCAGCTACTTACAACGAGTCGATGCCAACCGCAGTGCCATAAAGAGGGAAGTTCAGCTTCCGACGTTTCCTGTTACAGACGAACTGTGTATGGCTTCAACAACATCCCAGTCGAGGTGCAAAGCCGGCTGAAGCTGCTGCTCCTAGAAGTCATCAACCCGTTCTACATATTCCAGTTGTTCACCCTATGTGTGTGGGCCGCCGAGGGTTACTACTACTATCTCATTGCCATCGTCCTCATGACGTCTTTCGGCGTCACTAGCACCATAATTCAGACGCGTAAGGTGAGTGTAACCCACGGCGGAATTCAAGATTTTGATTTCATCCTGCATTTACTGCAACTGTCATTAAAATAGGTAATTATTTTCGGCAAGTTTGAGAAAAGTAATGCAGATTAATATATACTGTGTGATGTCAACGCATTGCCAGGCAACGGCTCGATAAACACCCCGCGATAAGCGCACGCAACAACAGGATGAATGTATATAGCTCGTTGCTACGCAACAATCAGGGCGCCAGTGGACTGGTGAGATATCTATCACATGACTTGTTTTCAATGTGGTTCCGCGCCATGCCCAGTGTTCAGCAACAGAACTGTAAACACGTATACAATAATAGGTGTTTTCTATGGGGTCCGTGCTGACGGTTTGTAGGGGACAGTGAAGGTCGTTTGCAGTCGGTCAAAGCAGAGAAGCCGTGCGTCAAGGACACGAAGCCCTCACGGAAAAAGGTCCAGGAGGCTTCAGCAGTTGAGAGTACAAGGACGAGAATGGAGCGTGTCCTTAGTGAATTGTGAAGATCAGTTAACACGGATTAGGACAGAGGAGTAAACGGTGATTAAACAAGAAACGGCAAGAAGACTTCACAGTGATTCAAAGTACTAGTTTCTGTGTTGAGATCCGTTGCTAGGAGACGACTAGTGGAAACTGAGAATCCTAGTGCTTCTGCAACGGTCAGCTGTAAAATGCGTATATCAGTGATAGCGCTGTATTAACTGTAATTAAGAGAGTGTAACCGAAGTGCTAATGAATCCGATCATCCAAACTACATGCCGTTATTTTCTTCACGTGTACCACCCTACACGCGACAACGCAGTCCTAATCTACATGTTGCTTTATCAGAATAACACGAACTTAATCACCATCATCTATTTCAAACCCAGAAAATTCTATCTTCATCATCAAAACTCAAAAGCATAATTTTATCTGCAAAAAGAAGGCCATATTTTGCTTAATTGAAAGTTACTAAAGAGAATCTTCCTTTCAAATTTCTGCAACGCTAGAAATTAAATGTAGCATTTTGCTACGTAACGATGCACTCAGTGCGTAAAGTCTTATGAGAAGATTATCATATCAGAATGCAGTTTCATAATAATACGATCACCCTGTATATTACAGAACCAGCAGAGTTTACGTGACACCGTTCAGTCTAGCGATGTAGTGACTGTATGGAGGGGTGCTGACAAGTATGAGGAGCTGCCCACGAAGCAGCTTGTGCCTGGTGACGTCATCATCATCCCCCCACATGGCTGCGACATGCACTGCGACGCCGTGCTCTTGAGCGGGACGTGCATCGTTAACGAGAGCATGCTCACAGGTACTGGCAGGGAAACCGTTCTGCTATGGGGTGCCTCAGACGCAAGCAGAGTGTCTGTTGTCTCGACACGTGCACAACTACAGCAGTTGATATTCATAGGGATGAAGTAAGGGCTGCCTCTATGGCTCTACAGCCCTTCGTTGGGCCTTTGCTGCTTTTCAGTTCCTTAGTCTTATACACAGTATTTAGCCCGTGCCGAGGCCTCTACCTATATGCAGAACAATACAAGCACACAGACATCCATGTCTTAAGCAGAATTCGAACCCACGACCCCAGCGTTCGAGCGGGCGAAGACAGTTCACTGTGATCGGCAAGTCGAATGCTGCCACGAGTGAACATTGCCAGACAATAAGACGCTCATGTTCCGAACCATAACATACACGTACGTGCTTCCCACAAAGCGCAATTGCGTCTGCAGCGGACTGCAGTCCTTGTACTCTGAGTTCTGTTGAGTTGTAACTGTCTGATCTCCGAGATGGACCTCGGAAGTACACCGCAAATCAAACAGGAAGTACTGAGGAAACCCACGGAGAGCCCAGAGCGTCTCAAAGACAAAGCAGAAACAGGGAGATCACAGGTTCACAGGATCCCAAGAGCAAAAACACGTACAAGACAGTACAACATTATAGACTTTTTCAAGATTCCTGGTTAATGTTGGCTTGTGAAAATATTTTCTCGACTAATATTGTACAAATTTCGTCGCGAGGTACATAACGAGATACTGAGAAATTAAACAAATGGATCAAAGGTTCGAATCCCGCTTGAGGCAGACATATTTGTCTTTCTCTTTTTTGTCCTATAGAAGTCTTGCTATTGCCTGATCCCCCATCCAAGCAGTTCTAAAATTTGTTTCAATAGGGATTTAGAAAATGTCCATAATGAAGGAATGTGTATGGCTTGCTTTTGTGAGGAAGTGATGAACATTCTGGTACAACAGAAGCAAGGAACTGCTTACGCAACAGCTACTACAGGCTACCCAATAAGTCTCTAGTGTTTCTTAGGGCCCCCATACACACACAGTTTGGCCTTCCGTTCAGCCTGCACAGTTGAAGACTGAAAGGCAAAACTGACGTGTGTGGTGCGGCCGGCCGGCCAATCGTTTGGACTGCTGGCCTGTGGGAAACCCGTCGGTCCGTCAGTTCTGCCTGCTGGACATAACACGTGACGTGTGTGACTCAGCAATATAGGCTGGAAGACCGTGACTGTGGCATGAAGCCTGCCGCTTTATCTGCGCGTGTATGGGGAGGAAAGGGAGGGGGTAAAATGTCACAGTTTTGCCTGTAAGGTCGATCGGAAGGCCAAACTGTGTGTGTGTATGGGGGGCCTTAGTTCGGTTCGTTCACCGTTTCAGTTTAAATGTATTCTAATATTTTATAAATTCGGACACCAGACCGCTGTGCTAGGCTGTATACGCCAGGTAACATCTCCTTACGCCATTAGACGCTATTGGAATCCGTAAGGAGCGCCAGAACAGTGGCCGCTGAAGTGTCGAACAAATGCAAGCTGCGCTGTTGCCTGGGAAACGCCTCAGGCCCGAATTGTTGCGGCTAGAGGCAGACAACCTTCCAAGTCGGGAGGGAATTCCCCCACGCCATCTTGCGAAAATTCCTAGAACTAATCGTGAAGCAATTTCTGGCGGATTGAACAGAATATGACCAGTTTTATCTCGTTAGTTCCCGTGTCACTCAACGTGTCTGGGAAGTAGTAACGCGCAGGCGCTGCAGGGTGTTCAGTTTTTGTCACTACAGTTCCGCTTGCCTCGCTGTTCCCGTCAATATGATATCAAAGGAAACGCCATGCTCTGAGACCTTGTAAAGTATAATAAAAACAGGTTTGCGTGTTCGGCAAACATGCTGCCCCTGACCCGACCTCGGCGGAGCCACTTTCAAACATTTCGCAATGCTGTGTTTTAGCATCTTGTTGCAGTCCTATCTTATTTTTGTAAGATTTGAGGTGCAACACGCTGGTTCGCTTGCATATTTCTTCTTGTCTTCTACCCGGAAGATGCAGGTGATACGTTCCTCCGAAACGTCGGTTCACGCAATATCTAAACGGCGCCACATCCCAGAAGACTGCTTTCTTCAGAATTTATTTGTGTTTTTGTTTACCGTCCGCCATGCAAATATCAAGATTTAAAATTCGTCCCTGCACTACATGTTTCGACCTACCCGGCCATTGTCAGGTGCGCTGAAATTAGTGGGGGGGGGGACCGCTGTGCCTTGCGCGCTACTGGGATCAGTGTTTTCTGTTTACAGTATTTCTAGAATAACTCAACTTCTCTGTCAAGTGTAATGATAGATCGTTACTATTTCCTTTTCTTGGAATACCTTCAAGTTGTATGGGGCACGCGGTAGCGTAGTTGAGGAACTATGTTACAAGCCGAAAGTTCGGGGGTTCGATTCCCGATGAGTATTTTTCAATTAACATAATCCTTCCAGCCTTCCTCGTCAAGAGGTTTCTCTCCTCTCCGCAGTGTCTAGACCGGTTCTGGGGCCCATGGGTACGGGAGGCTCTTTCTCAGGGCGTAAAATAACTAGGGTGTGAAGCTCACCATTCACCTGCAGATGAGCCGCTGGTCTGTTCAGACAAAACTTGAGACAGTTTCCTCAAACCTGCGTCATTACGTTCATAAAAAGGTGCAACTGCTGAGGCTTCTGTCGGCGAATAAATGCACTGCATTTTTGTAGTTTTTAAATAATGGCTCTACAGTGATATATTTTTTTATTTCCATCAGAACTACTTATATCGTTAAATTTTCCATTTATTTGTGTTCTATGTTTTTTTCCCTTCTGTGGCTATCTTTTGCTTCACTAATCCGGATTACCGCTTAACCAGGATTACCCCCCCCCCCCGCAGTTACTGCGGATTAGCGAGGGTTTGCTGTGCTTGTACAGAACGTATAGGCTACGTGCACTGTAGCTCCAGGTCATAACCTAGCAACGTGAACACTTCATATCTCACAATATTAAAATGCGTCTCTTGTGAAATGGGTTTCGTACTGCTAACTGGATTGAGCTGGCTGATGTCAGTGGTCTAATGACCCTCAGCAGCAGTTGAAGTGGTCAAGGTAGGCTGCAACAATGCTTTCTTCTGGAGGTGTGACGCCGTAGTTTCCTGCAGATTTTACCGACTTTTCGGGGGAAGGTACTGCCTCCATTTTAGGGTGAAAGCAAGCAAACTAGCCAACAAGCTGCAGGCATGGGGGATAATATTAAAACTTATGTTTAGAAGAATGAGATGGAAATGTGTGGACGGGATTGATTCGGGATGGAGACCAGTGACGGGGCCTTGTGAACACGGTATCCACGGTAGAGACGTTTCGGGAGAAAGTTATATCTCCATCGTCAGAGTCGAATAGTTGGTGGGAACTTGCTACTTGCTGGGTTCACTCTCCGGCAAAAGGAGACGAAAGGAGTACGATCGTCTGACGAAATTCTACCGGACTTAACGGCGCCACATCCCAAAAGAACTTTCACGGACGTGAAAGCCTCAAATCCAGTTTAGTTAATAATTCGTCGCGAAGCCGACAGATGTCAGTAGCACAAAGATGTACGATTTACGCAGCGAACTAGTGTACAAGAAAAAGAATGGCGATGGGATTCGAACCAAGTATACTACGTATATGGCTACAGATTCATATGTCTTCTGCACAGGTGAGAGCGTGCCGGTAAATAAGACGTCACTCCCGCGGCTCTCAGGCGTTCTTTACGACCAAAAAGAGGACGTCAACCACACGCTTTTCTGCGGCACTAAGGTGAGTAAATGCATCAGTGGCGGCCAGTGACCTCCTCTTAGAATATTCATGTTACGGTATGTTTAATTCCTATTAGAAGAAATTAGCGTGAGAGTCGTTGAGAATTCAACGGGAAGATTCATCATTTTTTTACATAAATTTCCGTGTATTAACTTCGCCTGTTTTCTCCAATATTCCTTTCCAGGCAAACATGTTATCGAATGATACGTCGAGGCCGACGTTTATCCCCATATCCCACGAATAACACGCACAGATAGGCAATCGTGAACTATTCCTTTTACACGGTAGCATACAGTACACAACTACGCAGTACATGACAATAGTACCAATACCACAGAACAGACAAAACAAACAAACTCCGTGGCTTGAGTCCGCAAGCGTACTCTACCAACCGAGCGACCGCCGCTTGTCGGCGAAATTAGTGCCAACTTTTGTTTATAGAGGGTGTCACGTGATCAGCGCAACGGATCCCCATTGCCGTTAATTTCGGTTTTCTAGACCGGCCACAGAATAGACACGATACATAACAGAAACTCCCAGCTCGTTCTTGACTTACTATATACGTAATTTACGATCATCCGAAGGGTTAACTCTCGACAACTCATTTCCGTTGTAACCCGAGCTGCCTTACGAGAGTCACAAATCTAACCTTCATGAAAAGAAAAATTTATGTAAAGAGAAGGGCATGTATTTTTAAACACTTATCTGACAAATGCTACAAATGCACTGTGCTACAAGCCGAAGATAGAGGGCTCGATTCCCAATGAGGTCATGGGATTTTTCAATTCGCCTAATCCTTCCAGCCGCACTATGGCCCGGGGGTCGACTCAGCCTCTAACAGAAATGAGTACCATGAATCTTCCTGGGGTTAAAGAGCGGCCGGCACGTAAGGCTGACAACCTTACCAGAGATTGTGGGAGCCTCGAGGTCTCACAACCCTATGGGCCTCCACGGCCTGTTGCAGGGATAGCTTTACTTGTTTTTATCTGACAACTGGGGATTAGGAAGAACAAATGAAGTTGAGGCTGCGCTGACTGCTTTCCATATCGTCAGTTGTTTTGAATCTCTGAAGCCTCTAAATGACAGCGACGGGACGGAGGCTCTGGCCTTCCTGTTCAGCTACACGAGGTGTTGCCATGGCTCTATGGAAGCAAAATGTTCATCACCGCTCTCACAAAAACAGCCAATGCTCCGGATCCCCAGCCAGATAACTCCGATTGACGTTTTCCAATCCTGTTTCTTCAACATTCACATCGTCCCATCTACGTCTAGCTCTTCCAAGTGCGCTCATTCGTTCACATTCTTCTTTTGCCATACGTGCTACATGACCCATTTATCATTTTCCTTCATTCTATAACAGTAATAATATTTGTGGAGGGGTACAAATCCTTATGCAGTGTTCTCCATCGTCCTGCTGTCTCCACTCTCACTGGTCGAAATATTCACCCCAGCGCCCTGTTCTCAAACACCCTCAGTCTACGTTCCTCTCTTAACGTGGAAGACCAAGTTTCACACCCATAAAAACCAACACACGAAATCATAGTGTCAGAAGACTGCAGGCATCACAAGTTATTACAGGATCTATCAGGTTTTAAATTTTCAATGTTATTTACGCCGAGCAGGTTAGCGTGGCAGTATCCTTGTATCTCGACTTGGATTCGAGAAGTATTCGTTTCCTGTCCCTACCGGGTAACCGATCATTCTGACTGATGTTTATCGTGGCTTTACTCAGTACCTCCAGCGTACGTACCGGAATAATCGCGCCATGAATTCTACTTCAAAACTCTTTCCAGTTCGTTGATCGCCTGACGCCGTGTGATCCAGCTACTGCCAGGCCCGCTGAGGAGCCGACGCAAGAGCCATCTCCTGGTGCATGTGTCACTTCGGCCCCGTGTCAAGATACCGACACTGTTTACAGTCCGCTAACGAGCCTACTTAACTCGCTCAACTCATGTGCATTCATGAAGGCTTCCGCAGGACGAACTGACTGTTATTAATGGGAGTCCTCGGTAGTTTGGTTCCATTATCCACAACTGTCTCTGAAATGTTCGGTTATTAAAGATAATCTGTTTACTGAACGACGTATATTACAACGCGGTGAATACCACAGTCCTCTGGAATGTGACGTCATGTATTTTAGCTCACAAGTTTTCATAGGAATCTACTGTTTCCATCTTCAGGACAGTAAGTGCTAGCCTGAAGAACAAGGCAGCAGGTTTCTCTGAAACAGTGCTACCTATCTACCCAACTACTATTCTACTCTGAAGGAGGCAGTAGGTTTCTCCGAAATGTTCCTACCTACCTACCAAACTACTCTTCTACTCTGATGATGGAAGCAAATTGTTTTTCCGAAACGTTGCGACCTATATAATGTAGACAAATTTTCTTTTACCCCGAAAAAGACACCAGGTTTCTCCGAATTGTTGCTAGCTATCTACTCAGCTACTCTTCTACTCTGAAAAAGGAGGCAGCAGGTTACTACGAAGCGTTGGAACCTGTCTACCCTAACACCATGTCTTCACGAAGTTTTCGTGCTCCTAACTTCCCCTGCTTTCTCTCCTATTCCTTTCCAGCTCTACACGTTCTCGACTGATGCATCGAGGTCGACGCTTAACGCCATCTCCTACAAATAACACACAAAAATAGTCCAGTGTCAGAGAGTGTCATTCATATAAAATAATACGCTTCACATATCCACACCATAATTTTATCAGTATTCACAGAATAGACACGATGCACTGATTGAAAAGGTTGCTTGCTTGTGCGTGACCTACTACATAACTTACTTCCATGCAACATGCCAACGCTCGACAGTTCATTCATAGCCGCATGTCAGAAAATATCATTCTGGAAAACTGGCGTCGTGAAAACCTCAAATTCTATATTTGTGTGCAATTTATTGCAGGTGATACAAACTCGCTTCTATGGCAAAGAGAAGGTGCGCGCTGTGGTTCTGCGCACCGGCTTCCTGACCGCCAAGGGTAGTCTGGTGCGCTCCATCATGTACCCGCCGCCCGCAGACTTCAAGTTTGATCAAGACTCATACAAATTCATCGGCATCCTGGCCGCCATTGCTACAATCGGATTTCTCTACACTCTCGTGCTCAAGGTAAACCCCGGACATACCGTGCGCAGCCCCCTCCCCCCGACCGAACCTCAAGTCTCGCTCCGTTTCCCCGTACCTTCCCTGACGGAGGGGCTGAAATCTAATTAGCCACATGGAATAGACGTGTCCCTGTGTTTACTAGGCACGAGGCAGTGAAGACGTATGGGTGAGTGGAGGTATGGCTTCAGGCATTCACAACCTCAGTGAAGGGGCTGTTCAGCCGCAGTGCCCGGAGGCTGGATGGGGCCAGAACCGGTCTGGAGGACATGGAGAGGAGAAGAATCTTGCCCCTATCGGGACTCGAAATCCGACCCCTCAGCCATCCAGCCCATAATCAGATAAATTCATACATATATTTTAATACATTTCAGTATTGTATAAGATATTAAGACAGCTTCTGAGGCCACCCTCTTTACAAATGTTAACACAGTTTGTTCTGATGTACACCGGAGTGAGGTTGACTGCTTCCCTTATAACGAGAGATCTCGCCTCACCCCACAGATCGGAAGGGAGGTTGCGGCCGGTGACGTGGCGATCAAGGCACTCGATCTCATCACAATCGTCATACCCCCCGCTTTGCCGGCCGCGATGACCGTCGGCAAGTTGTACGCACAAAACAGGTTGCATGCCTGCAAGATCTACTGCATCAACTCCAGGGTCATCAACGTTGCTGGCTCCATCAACTGCGTGTGCTTTGACAAGGTAAGAGGGCGTGGTTGTCCTCTCATTCTAAGAAATCTGCGTAGTGGATCCTCGGCCCTGGCACCCTTCTGCTCACATTCAAATGTCTACGCTAACATCACGACAATTTCATAATGGGGTTCATGTTCGGATAGCGCTAATCTGTCTCGCTGCCTGCCACACGTGGCTGTGAAACCACGGCCCTTATTAATTACAGAGTCAGTTAACTGATTTTCTGACTCACTTGTGACTGATTGCCTGTCTGACTCAAGGATTAGCCGACCGATCCAAACCGCAGGGTGTTCTGTCAGTAGTTTATAATTATACAATTTTGAAAAAAAATCGTTGTCACTTAAAGTTTTATCATCTGGTGTACAAAAGCCTACCTCCTATTGACACTCGCAGAAAATGTAATTCTCATTCTCAGAACTAGTTCCACACATCCACTTTACTATTATCCTCTATTAGCTTTACCGTTACCATGGCAACTGCTGTCAGACAGGGACGCTGACAGAGGACGGGATGGACATGTGGGGTGTTCTGCCGGTGGACGATCGCAGGTTCCAAGCGGCCGTGAAAGACATGGCGCTACTCAGCAGAGAACCACTGCAGCTCGGAATGGCTTCGTGTCACTCTCTGACGCTCATAAACGGCGCGCTGTCGGGGGATCCCCTGGACGTGAAGGTGAGGTCCAAGGCTCACATTGCTAACTGCACGAGATTGAAACCGTCTTTGTCAGTATGTTCCCCTTACATTACAAGGGAGGCCTGGCTCCTTCTAACTGCTGAGAACAGGGCACTTGGGGAACATTAGAATACAAGAGGGATGAAGTTAGAGGAGGTTGGAGAAAATTACATAATTAGGAGCTTCATAATTTGCGCTATTCACCAAACCACGTAGACTGACATGGGCGAGACAGATATCACCCACAGATAGATTTGAAATGCATACAAAACTTTCATTGGAAAATCTCAAAGGAGAAAAACATTTGGAACACTTACACGTAGACAGGATATTATTAAAATTTGTGTTGGGATACTGAGTGTCGGTTGTGTTGGATGGAATCATGTGACGCAGGACACGGTAAAGGGCTTTTATGAGCACGGCGGTGAACATTCAAGGGATATCTTGGCAACTCGAAGAAGGAAGACCTGTACAGTGCGTGCTGTCACTCCTTCATGTATGTGTAACCATCTGCACCAATTGCAGGATTTATGTCAGACCAGTTCACGCTTTTCCGCCTTCGAACTAATTAATTAGCAACAACAGTACCAGCATGGCGGCCATGCGAATTTCTGCGGTGAGAGCAACACTACGCCTATTCTGCGTAAGACCAGCCTTCACAAACTATTTTAGAAAATTGCTGATGCTATTTTACTTTGACTATTACCATCAGCATGTGAATGTGAATGACTCGACAAACGCACTGAAGAAGCCCACATGAATAGCTCGTTGCACTGACAAGGGCCGCGGTGAAAGAACTTTTACATTATACTTGAAAATATTTCAGTTTATCTCAGACGTAAATTTGTACTACGTAACTCCATGTCGCGGTAATGCACTAGAACAGAATTTTGCTTCGAATCTCGACCAAGTTACCCGATATCCAGAGAGGTTTTCCTCAGCCTCTCTAGGGCCTAGGCTAGGCGAATATTTTATGACTAGCCCATTTCATATCCTTGCTTACTCTCCATGTTCACCTTCCTAGCTCATACAACTTCTGCCGCTGGAACAAAGTCCTTACGTAACTTACTGTCACGTGTATGAGTGACTATAGACGGGGTTTAGATTGGTGATTGGATTTACTGAACACTTACAGAACGTAACTACAAACTACTACAGCGCTACCGCTAATTCAAGCACTCTACAGATCACTACAGCACGCACTATGTCTCCTCAGTCTGCTGTATCTTCATAGGTAGTCGCCCGGTAACGGCTAGCAACGCCGTACCTTCCTCACCTTCCGTGTTCACGACCTTGCTGGCTGGCGACTGTCTCACAACTAACTCCTACTCTTCTCACTGCCGTCTCACGACTTTCTCACAATCCAAGTCCAAGTCACATTGCGACTGACGGTCAGTCAGTCAGTAAGTCTTGGTGTCGAGCCCAATCTGGGTCTCATGACCAGATATTTATTACTGTTTTGTATTTACGGTCTTGTTTTAGTGGGGCGCCCTCTCTGATGAGAGGACGGGTCTGCCTTTTGTATATGCCGCTGGCCCTTGCCAGTGCAGTCTTTCTCGGGTCTGAGTCCCTTGGGAGTCGCGACCATATTTTACTGTCTCAGATAAGACACTTCCCATTTCGCCGCCTCCTACGACTCGCAGGGTCACGGTGGAGGTATTCGACCCCACATCCACACGGGCTTTTATCCTCTCTCGCAATCGCAGCTGCTCCTTGTTATATAGCTTCGGCACGGACCGCACAGAAACACCGCTTCAACAGTTCTATTGTTGCTTGCGTTCCTGTTGCGGCCATTACCTAGCAACGGCAGTTGTACAGCTGCTTATTTCGCGGTCGCTGCCTAACAACAGGTCTACATGCCACACATTTTCACCTTGGAACTCGGCCTGATGATGCTGAATGACACAGTGTTTTTGTGTCAGATGTTCGAGGCGACAGGCTGGAAGCTGGAGGAACCGGAAGTGGCTGATCAGGAGAAGTACGATCTCATCGTGCCGACCATAGTGAAGTCTCCCGCTGGGCGCGGTCATGACGAGGTGAGTAGGCCCGTTGCCTTGGAGACGTTGCTTCTCTGCTGGAGATGCAACATTGCGAGCACTCACACACAATGCATCCCGCACCACAGTTGTCACACAAGTATACAAAGCCTCGTCCAAGGATCCCGGGTAGCTCAGTAGCTACGGCCTGGACGGCTGGGGAAAGAGAATTTTCTCTACTCCACAGCGTCCAGGCAGGCTCTCAGGCCTACCCAGTCTCCCGTACAATGGAAAGCGGGGGATGTTTCCTCGGGGGTTAAGTGGCCGGGGCGTGAATCTGACAGCTCACCTCCATCTACTACCGAGATCAAGAATGGCGGACCTACACCTCCACTCCCCCATACTGCTTCATGCTGTGATGCTTAATTAATTGTGCACAGGGACAAATCTGCTTTTCTTTCTCCTGTAGGATTATTTTTGTCTCCCACAGTTGCCGTCAGAGATCGCGTTGGTACACCAGTTCCAGTTCTCATCAACGCTACAGCGCATGAGCGTGGTAACGAGGGAGCTGGGGTCGCAGGACTTCGTGCTGTACTGCAAGGGCTCACCCGAAATGGTGGTGTCGCTGTCCCGGCCCGAAACAGGTAACGCTTCCTTCATATCGCGCGAGCGATTACCTCACAGGCTGGCATAAAACTAGGTATATGACATCACACTGCTGTTTGTGTATTACCCTGTCATCAGCTTGTTGTCTGTCTGTCCGTGTGACTGTGTACCCCCTTAATTATTCCGGTTACTATGTTGAAAAGCGTTTTAGCGTCTGAGAATCTTAGAGTAATTTATATTGCTTCTGACGTTAATTTGGTCACGTATTTTAAACAGAGCTGTTATACTGGACACCTCGGGTTTAGTGCGGCTTGCATCAGAGCAACTCGTTGGGTGTACACTTCAGGCCTTCCCTGCAGGTTCTCTGGGACCGCGAACTTCGGGGGCACTTTGCTTTAGTGCAACTCCTCGAATAATCCGTTGATAACGCAGAGGCGTACAGTGTCTTGTTCCGGAGGGCCGTGATTTTGACTACACACTAACTCTGGAGCGGATTATACTCGATTGGTGTGCCTACCATGACGGCAGAGCCCTGTAGTGTGTTCTGTAGGACCGTGGTCATTACTATATCCTAACTCTGGAGCGGATTGTACTCGAGGAATGTGCCTACCATGACGGCAGAGCCCTGTAGTGTGTTCTGTAGGACCGTGGTCATTACTATATCCTAACTCTGGAGCGGATTGTACTCGAGGAATGTGCCTACCATGACGGCAGAGCCCTGTAGTGTGTTCTGTAGGACCGTGGTCATTACTATATCCTAACTCTGGAGCGGATTGTACTCGAGGAATGTGCCTACCATGACGGCAGAGCCCTGTAGTGTGTTCTGTAGGACCGTGGTCATTACTATATCCTAACTCTGGAGCGGATTGTACTCGAGGAATGTGCCTACCATGACGGCAGAGCCCTGTAGTGTGTTCTGTAGGACCGTGGTCATTACTATATCCTAACTCTGGAGCGGATTGTACTCGAGGAATGTGCCTACCATGACGGCAGAGCCCTGTAGTGTGTTCTGTAGGACCGTGGTCATTACTATATCCTAACTCTGGAGCGGATTGTACTCGAGGAATGTGCCTACCATGACGGCAGAGCCCTGTAGTGTGTTCTGTAGGACCGTGGTCATTACTATATCCTAACTCTGGAGCGGATTGTACTCGAGGAATGTGCCTACCATGACGGCAGAGCCCTGTAGTGTGTTCTGTAGGACCGTGGTCATTACTATATCCTAACTCTGGAGCGGATTGTACTCGAGGAATGTGCCTACCATGACGGCAGAGCCCTGTAGTGTGTTCTGTAGGACCGTGGTCATTACTATATCCTAACTCTGGAGCGGATTGTACTCGAGGAATGTGCCTACCATGACGGCAGAGCCCTGTAGTGTGTTCTGTAGGACCGTGGTCATTACTATATCCTAACTCTGGAGCGGATTGTACTCGAGGAATGTGCCTACCATGACGGCAGAGCCCTGTAGTGTGTTCTGTAGGACCGTGGTCATTACTATATCCTAACTCTGGAGCGGATTGTACTCGAGGAATGTGCCTACCATGACGGCAGAGCCCTGTAGTGTGTTCTGTAGGACCGTGGTCATTACTATATCCTAACTCTGGAGCGGATTGTACTCGAGGAATGTGCCTACCATGACGGCAGAGCCCTGTAGTGTGTTCTGTAGGACCGTGGTCATTACTATATCCTAACTCTGGAGCGGATTGTACTCGAGGAATGTGCCTACCATGACGGCAGAGCCCTGTAGTGTGTTCTGTAGGACCGTGGTCATTACTATATCCTAACTCTGGAGCGGAATGTACTCGAGGAATGTGCCTACCGTGACGGCAGAGACCTGTAGTGTGTTCTGAGGGTCAGCTACTCAGCGCGGCTTAAAGTCAGCTTCGTCTGTTGGCAGTACCGGAGGAGCTTAACGTCACGCTGCAGACGTACACGGAGCAGGGTTACAGAGTCATAGCACTGGGCAGGCGCACCCTGGCGGAGACAAGCTACACCAAAATACAGCGCATGCGCCGTGAGGACATGGAGAAGGACCTAGAGTTCCTGGGCATGATCGTGCTGGAGAACAGGCTGAAACCGGAAACCGAGCCTGTGATCGGCGTGCTGAAGGCGGCGCACCTGAAGATCGTCATGATCACAGGTATGAAGCAGAGCGGAAAGTTTTTAACTACTCCTGTCAGTTACTAATAAAAGGTGACGGTAAAGTTGTCCCTGTGCTCAACTAATAAAGGCGTATGGGGAGTGGATGTATAGATCCACGTTTTCTTGAGCTCGGCACTAGTTGGAGAAAACTGGTCAGGTTCAGGCCCCTGCCGCTTTACCCCCTGGGAAATAGCCCACGGTACCCACTGGATAGGAGGCTGGGTGGGCCCCAGAGCCGGCTTGGACGTTGTGGAGAAAATTCTTGACCCTACCGGGACTCGAACTCCGACCCCATTGCCAGTCGCTATACCGACTGAGCTATCCCGGCTCATTATTCTACTGTTACTTTTATTTTGTTGCGGAGACGGTATAGCGACTGGCTATGGGGTCGGAGATCGAGTCCCGGTAGGGTGATCGGGGCTCTTTCCTCGGGGGTAAATGCGACCGGGACGTGAAGCTGACCATTCACCTCCAGCTAGTGCAGAGGTCACGAAAATGTGGATCTATACTTCCACCCTCCATACGCCTTAATAGCGTAGTGCTTAATTAGTTAAGCAGAGGGACAACTTTACCTATTAGTTTTGTTACAGGAAGTTTATTAAAACTGACGCATAGCCACGTACTGCTGAAGTCGCGTCAGTCCATCCATAACATTCATATTTCAGATTCATGTACGCCATTCATTACTCACTGCCCACACTGATAATTGCTGTTCAAATTTAACTGTAGTTAATCTGGTATAATGAAACAGACACACAATTCGCCAGTTAAGTCCTTACGTTGAACCATACAGACCGCTCTGGAGTGGTCTCCAGCTCCACAAGTTTCCCTGAGCTCTACGGGCCCTTGTTGCCATGGTGACCGAGACAAGCTACTCTCCTTGCAGGAGACAACATCCTCACGGCTGTCAGCGTGGCCAAGGAGTGCGGTATCTTCTCTCCAGGAGAGACAGTGGTGAATGTAACAGCAGTTCCTGCGGTCAAGGGCACGCCGGCCAGGGTCTTCTACACATCCCCGAAAGATGTAAGTACTCATACAGCCTGGTTCCTCAAGGGGGGTTATGTGTAGTTCATCTCCTGCACTCAGCAGGGAACTAAACTGGTTTGACAAGCAGCAATTCGATGACATAGAGTCAAGTAGGTCCCCTGATATGAAGATGCTTCTCTTCCAGCTGATGGCTGTCATACCAAACGGCCAACATGACGTGGAGGCAGGTATCGGACAGGAGTGCTTCAAGTTGGCGCTGACAGGGAAGACGTGGGCCATAATTAGAGACAGCTTCCCTGAGCTCGTTCCGCGCCTCTGCACCAGGGGCGCTGTGTTCGCTCGCATGAGTTCGGATCAGAAGCAGCAGCTAGTTCAGGAACTACAAGGACTTGGCTACTATGTGGGTACGTTCGGTCGACATTACAGTGCGCTGTACTGAGTATAGTCACTGGTTACGGGGTTTCATTCCTGCCAGGCATGTTGGGATGGTTTTCTCCTCGTGCACTGAGTTCAGCCTCATGGACCCACCCACATATTTTTTAATAGTTTCTTCGAGTGGGGTGAGACTGAGTCCACTACTGGCCTATTGTACCAGCCCCGGATGATAGGCGATGAGTGTGGATCAGAAAGTGGAATGAGAATTGGCAGGGGAAACCGAAGTACTTGGAGAAAACCTGCCCCAGTGCCACTTCGTCCACTACAAATCCCACATAACCTGACTCGGGCTCGAACCCGGGCCGCCACGGTGGAAAGCCGGTGGCTAACAGCTCGAGCTAGGGCCTAAATTTACTACAGTGCAAAATTACTATATACATAACCGAGCAGCCTAATGTAGCCGTAACACTTATACTATATTCGGGAGGGCATCGGTTCTATTCTCGGCCCAATTACAAGCTGTCCTCTCTGAGGTCTTTCCTGGCATTCCTCAGTCCCTCCAGGAATATACTGGGAGAGTACCTTCATTGCGCCATGACCGCTTGCTTCCGTATGTCTTCCAACTCATTGCTCATAAACCGTGTCCCCATTCAACGCCATGCAACCTACACACTGACAGCGTCGTGGAATGGAACACATACGCATTAGGACCTACTGTAAAGGTCGACGTGACACACACAGTGTTCACCTATACACCAGATGCAGGCAAGCTGCTAGTTTCACGCTATGGCAGTTTTATTTCCAGGGCATAGTCCCAACCAGTGTGGTCGTCCTTGATGCTGTCGGGAATTGAACAGCTTTCGTCCAGCCCACAGCCAAAATTAATGCCCTGTTCAGTTAGTATTTTCAACGTGGCCGCTTTCAACAGACTGCGCAGTAACTGAGTTTGTGGGGTGTGTATGTGTTATATCAAGGGCCGTGCCATAGCTCAAGCGGTTAGTCGCTGGGTTCCCATTGCGGCGGCCTGGGTTCGATCCCGGGTCGGGTCAAGTGGGATTTGTGGTGGACAAAGTGGCGCTGGGGCAGGTTTTCTCCGAGTACTTCGGTTTCCCCTGCAAATCTTCAATTCACCAACTGCTCCATAAGCACCCTCACCTATCATCTGGGGCTGGTACAATAGGCCAGAAGTGGCCGCAGTACAAGGGACTTAGTCCCACCCCACTAGAATTCACACTTCTCACGAGCAAACCAGAGGCAGCGTCCAAAGGTACGGCCAGTATAAGACTGCGCATGTCACTAACAGAATGTTCCTGCGTTTTGCAGCAATGTGTGGTGATGGAGCAAACGACTGTGGCGCACTCAAAGCGGCTCATGTTGGAATCTCTCTCTCTGAAGCCGAGTCCTCGGTGGCGTCCCCATTCACATCGAAGGACGCAAACATCTCTTGCGTCCCTAAGGTTATTCGTGAGGGACGGGCAGCCCTGTCGACATCATCAGGGATCTTCAAGTTCATGGTGGCGTACGCCCTCACCGAGTTCATCTCCTGTATCATCCTTTATGCCGTGGAGAGCAATCTGTTTGATCTGCAGTTCCTGTTCATCGACATCTGCCTTATTGTGAACTTCGGGTTCTTCTTCGGCAAGACTCGGGCTTATGCAGGACCCCTGGTCAGGGACCCGCCCCTAACTAGTCTCCTATCATTCATCCCTCTCACGTCACTCACCCTGCATGTCACCATCATCACGGCCGTCCAACTCGGCGCCTTCTTCTGGGTCAGGCAGTTCCCGTGGTACTCCGACTACAAGCGGATCCCTGACAGCTATGCTTGCTACGAGAACTACGCGGTTTACTGCGTGTCCCTGTTCCAGTACATTGCGTCTGCCGTGGCATTCTCGCAGGGCAAGCCGTACAGGAAGGAGATATACACCAACGTGGCCCTGATGATTTCCCTGGTGATCATGACCCTCATCTGTGCCTACAAGACGATGTATCCTGCACAGTGGATTACGGACTATTTCGGGTACATCCAACCTCCAGCCTTCGACTTCAAGGTACAAATTCTTAGTAAACACTTCTTGGTATACTGAGTTGTTTGCTGCCACTGACAGTCGTTAAGGCTTCATAGCGTCTCACGCAGGAATATACATGAATGCTGAATTGAAAAAGATTTGAAATGAAACGGTCGTGGGTCTAAGTCCAAGTCAAAGTCCCATCTGGGGCTCATGACCAGATATTTATTACTGTTTGGTATTTACGGTATTGTTTTTGTGGGGCGCCCTCTCTGACGAGAGGACGGGTCTGCCGTTTGTATTTGCTGCTGGCCCTTGCCAGTGCAGTCTTTCTCGGGTCTGAGTCCCTTGGAACTCGCGACCATATTTTACCGTCTCAGAGCTGAGACTTCCCTTTTCGTCGCCTCCTACGACTCGCAGGGTCACGGTGGAGGTATTCGACCCCGCCTCCACACGGGGTGGTGGGTCTAATTGAGGCACTATACCATTATATATCCCCGGCGCGGACCGCACAAAAAAGTCTCTTCCCATTATTTAGTGTTCTCTTGCTGATGGGAAACGTGTCCACAGAGCTGTTCCCTAGCAACGGCTGTTATCCTGTCGCCCGTTTACACAGCTGTTACTTGGCAGTGAGTCTACATGTCACAGTATATCTTGATGCTCCGTGACTGGTCTGCTGTAGGAAGCACAGTGTTCATAGAAAGGAAGATAACATTTTCTAACCCCCCCCCCCGCAAATGTTTTACACAACCCTTTGCTGTTCATCCAAAGTATGCACATTAAAAAAGAGTGAAGCTGTCCCTGTGCTTAACTAATTAAGCACAACACCATGAGCGCGTAAGGGGGAGTGGAACATTATATGGAAAATTTTTTTCTTCAAATAAAGCAACAACAGTCAAACGGGGAGTAACGTTAGGGTTCCCGTATGCCGGACTGTCGAATGGAAGTCAGTCTGCCTCCGGAAGGTCTTGCGACCGGCCAACTCCAACAAGGTTTTCCGAGCTTTTACTCGGTCCTAGAGCAAATTTTCAGTTGGTACCCAAATTCCACTTTGCACTGCATGTTTCACATTCACCCCTCCCATTGGTAACGTCAAACTTTCGCCCTAATAGAGCCCTCCAAATGTTAGATCAAATTTCACTATAACGCTGCCCTTCAAGCGCCATGTAAATGTCAATTCCGATCATATACATTACCTCCATCTGCAGGACGAGCGGGCACTGCCAGGTTCTCACTGCCGCCTCCCCCAAATGTAGCGTCACTCTCTCTCTCTCTCTCTCTCATATAAACCTATCCTACGGTTCTCTGACTCCCACGTAAGCTTCTGTCTCATCCGCTTAATATTTCTCATTTAATGTTTTTGTATCAAATACACAGTGAACTCAGTGAACTCCCTACAACATGCGCACTGTTACGGCTTGTTCAACTTCGTCTATGAATGACAAATAACCTCACAGTTAATGCACAGCCGTAAAATAGGGTACAGATAAGGGCCAGCGTCACTATTGGCTACGTGCCTTCAGAAATGTAATGACTACGCCTATGTACAGAGGCGAAGTGCAAGTTCACGTAATAATTCTACTGCTGATGTAACAACAAAACAAAATTTTACTCACAACGCACATTTTGTCACAGGTAATCATCCTCTGCCTTGCTGTCAGCCATTTTGTGCTGGTGGTGTTCGCTGAAGACGTGCTGGTCAACTACGTGCTGGCAAAGATCATTAGGCCAATGTGGAAAAAGAAGGCAGGACTGACGACCAACGAAGAGAAATTTCTGGCAGTAGACAGAGAACTGGCTGCCGAAATGTGGCCCCCGGTAACCACAGAATTGCCGATCAAACTGAATGCTTCGGTCACTGAATTGCGTGCGCCACTGGATACGGCGGAAATTCATTTCAGAGCCGAGAGAGGGCCAGAGAGTTCCTTGGCTAGCCACGAGATGGCAGACCAGGCTCTATGAAGAAGCCACGAATGTAGAGGCTTCTAATGCGAATGACTTTAGACAGTGATGAAGTGACATTCCTTGACTAGCCACGAGATGGCAGACCAGGTTTTGTGAAGAAGCCACGAGTGTATGGGCTTCTGATACGAGTGAATTTCGGCCATTTCGGCAGTGATGAAGGGACATAATGTTATAGACTGAAGCGTTTTTCACTCCGTAACAAGTGCTTCCGTTAAGTGACGTATGTATATGTAGTGACAATAATCAATTGTATAATGTGATGAATATTTAAGTTATTTTACTTTGGAAATATTCTTGATGTATTATTTGCATCAAATTCTGTTTTCATATTACTATTTCATTTCTTGAAAGGCCGCGCCATAGCTCAGGCGGTTAGTCGCTGGCTTCCCACCGCGGCGGCCCGAGTTTGAACCCGGGTCTGGTCATGTGGGATTTGTGGTGGACAAAGTAGCGCTGGGGCAGGTTTTTCTGAGTACTTCGGTTTCCCCTGCCAATCTTCATTACACCAAATGCTCCCCAATCACCATCATCATCCGGGGCTGGTACAATATACCAATAGTGGCCACAGTACCAAGTGGACTCAGTCTCACCCTACTAAGAATTATAATAATAAAAAATAGTTATCTAATTTCTTATCTACGCATACACGTACTGGACGTACTGGATGTATCCACGCCAGAAAATCATTAATATCTCTATACGTGACCCAATATAATGCACACTTTCATAGAGCTAATCTCAGATGAATCACTCTGTATGTTATATTGCGTTCAGCAATTGTATTATGTAGCAGGCCGTGGAGACCCATAGGGGTGTGAAACGTTGAAGCTCCTACATTTTCTAGACAATCGGTTTGCAGCTGGGGTTGAGGCTGTCAGCCTTACACTTTACCCCCAGGAAGATTTCTGGTACTCATTTTTTAGAGGCTGAATCTACACCAAGGGCATAGTGCGGCTGGAAGGATTAGGTGAACTGAAAAATCCAATGACGTAATCGCGAGTCGAACCCGCGACCTTCCGGTTTTGTACTATGGTGCCAGTAATTAATTAATTCTCTTAGTGGGGGGTGGAGTCTAACTGGATCCACTCGTCACGGCGGGCATTTATTGGTCTATTGTAGCCTGCCCCGGGTGATATGATGATGGAGAATTTTGTGGAATGAAGATTGGCAGGGGAAACCGCAGTACTCGGAGAAAACCCGCCCCAGCACCAATTTGTCCACCACAAACACTTGACCAGACCCGCGGTGGGAAGCCAGCTATGGCGCAGCCTCGGTGCCAGTGTGAAGAGAGTGCAAGGTGTAAGTAACAGGCAATATTGGCAAGGCTGTAGTGCCTGGAGACATTGGCAACAAGCGGTCTTACCGGCCACAGTTTCTCTGTTTGCTTTACGCTCTTCTTTCGGGTGACTGCAAGGACTTTAATACTTTCCTTCTGGCGCAAAACTAATCAGCCTAACCCTTCGTCCGGCGTGACTCAATTATATATTTATATTAAATGCCCTGTCAAGTTATGACAGTCAATTAAGGAAGCAACGAACCGTCAGATCTGCTTCAGTTCAACGAGTTAACGTTAGATCAAAATTGTCAGCACACAATTTCCAACTGTGGAAAAGATAGACATCGTATTTTGTGCAGTTCATTTATTCAGTAAGAGTAACTTTGTCTTTGAATAATTAGACCCCTACAAATTAGGCTGCATGAGGGTCTAGAGTAGTTACGTATTATTAAGAGCCACTTAAACAGAACACCTCGGTTTGGATTGTTGTGGAGCATGTTCAGAAACATATTGCATTATAACCAGATTTACGTGATATTCCCCTCTGAAATTTTCTACGGAAGAAGACTTGTAAATGTTGGTGAATACTTTCAGAAATTCATTGCATAATGACAGTAGCAGAGTCGATATATCATCTAACTCGAACATGTGCAAAATCACCAGAGAACACATTTATTCACGGGATTCATCCTGGAGCCCAGTGGACACCCGAAAGCCTCGCTGAACTCCGCCATGTTGGAGAGTGAACCAATCACCCGGAACCGGTTAGGACTATGGCTGTCTTTCTGTAGCATGACGTCCAGTCCGGCCAGAGTCTCCGCTCGGCACCACATCTGAAAGCAACCAGCAGCGAACCAATCAGATGTCCCAATTATATTGTGCGAACTAGTGCTGCCCTATAGCTCTGAGCGGTGTAACACTGAATTACTGGAAAATATTAACTACTTTCTTATATATTTATTCATCTAATGTGTAAATGTTAAGGTTCATTCTTCTGTTTAAATTATCCTGCTCCTAAAGTTGCAGTAAAATTCTTCTTGTTCTTCACTCAAATAATCCGGAGATTATGCTCCCTCTCTTTCTAGAATAACGGGCCTAAAAATAACTAACAATGGGCGGGGTACCATTTCTCCGTCCAGTTTCTAACTAAATGACTCCATTGAGCTGCTGAGTCCTCATTGATAAGCCGTCAGTTATACTGATTTTACCCTGTAATCTATATTTTCATTCTGTGGTACATAGGAACTTTAGCCAGACAGAGCATACTCGTTTCTTTAGCATACTGCTGGCTGCTGGACTAGTCTCATCACTACAAAATGGTTGCCGCCTTCGATGGCAACAGTAACAAAATGGTGGACATGCATGGGATGTCAGGTAACTACGTTACCGATGCATAACCGATGAAGAACAACTGGTCCGGCGAGTACTGCTCCAGCCCAGGTAGTCTAGGCGAAAAGGCCTCCATTCCTCGCCTCGTCTTCAGCCTCGTAAAGGCCCGGTATGCCTCTCTAATACCTCCATTGTCTGCGATGTTCTCTCTCAGTGTCCTCTGTCCGTCCACCTGAAAAGGACAGATCAGGGCACATGTAGGTCACTGGACTGTGGCACTGATTGCAGTTCATTCTCACAGACTGCCTACCGTCTTGTTTAGCTCGGACACCCTGTAGCTGCTGTATTGCTTCACGAAGCACTGCGCACGCTCCTCGAACTTGGCGTTCGTCCCAGCACTCCACCAGTCAAATGCGGACCCGAACTGGTCATACTGTCGGCCTGCACACACAGTGAGGTCATTGCTTTGCTGTCTATGTGTTTNGGGGTCTGTTCTCGGCATGCGATGTGAATTAATGTAAAATAAAATCTCCAATGCGTCACATCCTAAACACTACCACGGATCTCAGCGTTACACACAGAGCGCGAGAAATTTCACACGTCAGCAATGGGGAAACATGCATAGCGGTCGTTTTCAAGTACTCCTGCAACAAGATATTATTTTTAATTGATGATTTGTTATTGTAACAGTAAAACTTATTTAAATTAGATTAATATTTTAATCTGCCTTCTGTTCCTAGTGGTGGAATCCCTTTACGACAACCTGTGCTCACGTACATCTGAAATGCTTCCTTTATGGAGTTGGCCCCTTCTGATGACGGCCCGTACTGGTCGAAGCATCTACAGGAATTATATAATATATTATATTGCTGCATACTCTGGGCCTTGCTACTTGTTCGTCTGTTGGAAGTGTGACAGCTCAATTTCTCTTATAGCAATAGAAGACGAGATCCGAACCCGCCATACCAGAGTCTCGTTACATGCACGGGACCTCCGTACGGCTGTCCGCTCAAGGTACGGTGCGGCCTTGTCACTGTTTCAGCATACTTACTCGTATGTGCGTACCACCGGAATGCAGGCAAGACAACAACATGGAGACAGTCACTAAGTAACGTAACGTAAAAGTAAAGCTATCCCTGTAACAGGCCGTAGAGGCCCACAGGGATGTGACACGTCGAGGCTCCCACATTTTCTAGACAATCGGCTCACAGATGGCGGTGAGGTTGTCAGCCTTTTGCGCCAGCTGAGTCGACCCCATGGTCATAGTGCGGTTGGAAGGATTAGATCAGTTTGAAAGTCAAATGGCCTCATCGGGAATCGAACCCGTGACCTTTCGACTTGTAGCATAGTGTCTCAACCAATTACACTACAGTGTACAAAGATAGTTACATTGTGAAACAGTTAGTATATTTCGGAGCTGCAGTAATAGATCAAAATTTTGTTCAAGGTGAAATTAAGAGGAGATTGAAATCCGGTAATGTTTGCTTCCATTCAGTCCAGAACTTTTGTCTTCTCGTCTGCTGTCTTAAAACGTGAAGATTAAAATACACGAAATTTTAATTTTGTCTGTGGTTCTGTATGGGTGTGAAACTTGGTCCTCAAACAAAGGGAAGAACGTAGACTGAGGGTGTTCGGGGAGTAGAGACGTGCTGAAGGGAGTGTTTGTACTTACGAGGGTAAGTAGGGTGAGAGAGTAAGATGAATTTATTTAGACTGGATTGATCTGGCTCAAGTTAGAGACCAGTGGCGGACTCTTGTTAACACGGTGATGAAATTTCGGGTTCGACAACGTGTTCAGAAATTCTGGAATAGCTGAGCGACTGGCGGCTTCTCAAGAAGGGCTCGACTCCGTGGAGTTACATAATAAGAGCTGGTTAGCCGGCATAGTTCAGTCGATACGGCCTGTAGTAAGTAGATGCGAGTAATCGCAGTTCCATTGCAGGCAAGGGGAGAGACTGCTCTCTTTCAGGCAGCGTTCGGGAGGGCCCTGGCGTCCGTCCAAGTACTCTGTACAGTGGATACTGAAGGCTCTTTATCCGAGGGCAAAGCGGCCGGGACGTGAATCTGACCACCCATCTCAATCTATTGCCGAGGTCAAGTCTTCGTGAAGACATATCTCGGTTCCCATATACGTTGCTACAAGCCGCAAGGTCACGGATTCGATTCCCGATGAGGTCATTGGAGTTTTCAATTGACTTAATCCTTCCAGCCGCACTATAGCCCTGTGTTCAACTCAGCCTCTAACAGAAATGAGTACCAGGAATCTTCCTGGGGGTAAAGAGTGGCCGGTGCGTAAGGCTGACAACCTCACCGCCATCTGTGAACCCATTGTCTAAAGAAGATGTGGGAGCCTCGACGTCTCATGGCCCTAGGGGTCTTCATGTCCTGTTACAGGGATAGCTTTACCTTTCTTTTCTTTCACACGTTTCGCTCAGCACGGGGCGACCTTAATTTGAACCGTACTTTGCGCTTACCGCTTTTGTATTCTCGTTTATTCTTCTGCTAATTCGCTTCTGCGCAGTTACAGTTTCTTACTGTATTTGTGGCTTACTTAGCGAAGCGGTCGGTAGCTCAGGCTGCGGCATGTTGAATGGTAAGTTGGTCAGTGAATAATGGATTTGAGTGTATGTGAAAGGAAGCGGTCGTGGCGTAATATAAAGTACTATCCTCTCACGTGCCTGCAGGAAGTGGGGAAATCCACGTAGGACCTCAGGATGGTCCGTTTCCGGGCCGAAATTTGAACAAGGTAACGCTGTAACAGGAGTCAAGAACGCGAAACACTCCTCCCATGTATTCTGGATCGCTGTACTCGTGTTATATTGCTGTGTTTGCATTCTTGTGTTCTTTGTAGTGTCTTTGCCTGTCTCGTGTCGTGATCTCGCATCTTTCTCTCATTCATCAGTTTTGTCGTACTCAAATATATACTATACTGTATAGTGAAGACAGGGAATTGTCGTGGCCTCCAAAGTCACCGAACTTCATAAACGTCAGTCAAGTTGTTGCACACACATAATATTGTCAGTCTTGTTTCCGTCGATAAGGAATTGAACTCCAAACACTCCCCTTGCAACACTGCGTGACTGGGAAACATTGTGACGCAACTCACCAACACTGTCGAACCCGTGTGTGATCTCATGGCCAACTATGGCGCCGATCCTGGCATAATCCAGCAACCTGTAATGTAAGAAGTGCCATAAGAGCCGAATTGTTTCAGGGTCATCTTCCGGAATTTGAGATGCACGCACTTACGTTATGTAGTGGTTCCCGTAGAAAAATGGTACATCCATCATTCCAACAGGAAACGCTGAAACACAGCAAAAGCAAGTTTAGGAGAGCATCAGACGCGTCCCTTCCTCACGACGCAGGCGTCAGTGCCAGATGCCTTCCTTATGGAAAGCCACTGACATCTGAAGATGGCAAATAAAGGCTTGTTCTCTCTGAAAGCGCCGATTTTGTGAGCTTCTCGTTCACATGTCCGCCATTTTGGAGACAACATTAAACGTGACGAGAGAGATGTAGCATGAATTTCACGTTAAGTAACTGACTCCACGGAGCTGAGTCCTTCTTGAGAAGCTGCTAGTCGCTAAGTCACTCAAGAATTTCCCAACACTTTATGGGACCCGAAGGTTCATTGCCGAGTTCAAAAGAGCCCTCCACTGGTCCCTATCCTGAGCTAGATCAGTGATTCCATACCACCCCATCCTATTTAAGATCCATTTTAATATTGTCCCCAGCCTAGATCTAGGTCCTCTTAGTGGTATCCTTTTCTTGTGGTTTTCCCACCAAATCCCTATATGCATTTCTTTCGCGCTGCTTTACTTAGAAGTCAACTTACTTATGCGGTTGTTCAGGCTGTTGTAGAAGGCATTGACCACTAAGGGCGACTGTGTCCACCTGCAAAACAAACACGATCTGCCTCAGAGCTCGGACCACATGTTACCAAACTTTGCCCTTACTGACAACATAGATACTGAGCACGCGCCTCGCACATCCGTGGAACAAGTTCACTTACTCGTTACGATCCCTGTCCTTGCCCAGTGTTGCCAAGTTTGTAGCTTGCACGAAGGATCGAAGGCGTGCCACGTTGCCGAAATGATCACCACGACTCACTTCTATCTGCAAGCAGAGACATCTGGTGGCAATGCGGCAATTTAACGATGCGAAGCCGGCTCTTGGAACTACACAGCTAGCTACACGTATTTGTTTCATGCATGTTTGTTTATTTAATGCCACTGCATCAATTACACATCTTTCCAGGCTGAAAGATTAATATAGTGGTCTCATTACAGTTTTCTCCCAACATTCGAGCATAGAAACTAAAATAGGCCACTACCACTTCCTTTACCCAATATTAGTTAATATTTAATGATTCATATTAATGAGGCCACTTATCTATCAGCATAATTTACGCCCTCCCGTTTGCGCTAAGGGGTCATGTAACTTCGTCAAGGAGAACCTTCCTCGAGTTAAAGCAGCTGATGTATTGCCTGTTAAAGTTCATATTAGTGACAACAAAAATCCGCCACTGGACCTTATCCTCTTCCAGTTATTTATCTACTTTAATATTATACTTCAATATAAGTCTACGTCTCGACCAAAATTCAAAGTGACGGATTAGTATTCCTGCTTCGTATTCCTGAGGTCTCGGGTTCAAATATCGGTCCATAAACCGGGTATCGTGACTGAAATTTTACATTTTTTCCTCAGTCCCTCCAAGCAAATGCCTGGAGTATGAAGTCCCGACGGTGCCAGTAGATGAACTGTAGGCGAGGCGATAAGAGAAACAGTAGCCTGCTGGTTACATTGTGTTCTTCCGAATCATAGAAACCCTCCTTACATTGTTGTAAAACTCGTCGAGCTCAGCGCTAGAATCGCACCAGCTGGGGAACCCCATCAGCACTAACATGGCGTCCGCCTTTTGGACTGCTGCGTGCCTTGTTTCGTCATCCATCCAATTGTTCTCCGCGAGCAGGTCATGGAACGCGGCCCTCAAGTCGGACACCATTTCAGCTGCCTGCAACAAACCGTATGAACGTGATTCAGTGAGAAAACTGTGGGAAGCCGCGCAACTATTCATGGCCTGATAACTTACTTCTTCAAGTGTCTGCGTGTCCACCATATTGGTCTTGTAATAGTAGGCCACGGCATGACTGAAGCCCACGCTGGGGTAATCTTGAACTTTGTGTACACAGTACAGCCACCTGTCGACAACAAAAAGTGTTACTGAGCAACTGCTGGCAGCCATAAAGAGAGCAGGTGAATCGGACAGAACAGGAGTCTGTAGAAAGTTAAGCCCTTATTGCGGGGCAACAAACGTGTCTTATATATATATTCTTTTATTGCTAGTGGGGTGGGACTAAGTCCCTTGTACTGCGGCCACTTCTGGCCTATTGTACGAGCCCCAGATGATAGGTGAGGGTGATTGTGGAGCAATTGGTGGAATGAAGATTTGCAGGGGAAACCGAAGTACTCGGAGAAAACCTACCCCAGCGCCACTTTGTCCACCACAAATCCCACTTGACCAGACCCGGGATAGAACTCGGGCCGCCGCGTTGGGAAGCCAGCGACTAACCGCTTGAGCTATGGTGCGGCCTTACACGAAACATATAAGGCATTACGGTATACCCTCGCTAATCCGGAATAATGGGGGGAAGTCATCCGGATTAGCGATAATCCGGACGAGTTAAGTAAAAGTAGTTCTAAAAGACAAATAAAAATTCGAATACAAACAAATGGAAAACTTAATGATATGAGTAGTGCCGATGAAAATAAATAACAAAATATCACTGTAGAGCCATTATTTAAAAACTACAAAAAGACAGTGCATTTATACATCAACAGAAGCCTCAGCAGTTGCACTTGTTTCTGAACGTAATGACGCAGGATTGATGGAACTGTCTCAAGTTTTGTCTGAACAGACAAGTGACTCGTCTGCCTGCCTAAGTGCCACGTGTATTTAAAGTACATACTCAAGTGTGAACAGCATTTCTCCAGGAAGATTTGAGGTTTTCACGGCGGAGACTATGAAGAAAGCAGTCTTCTGGGACGTGGCACCGTGTAAATGTGGTGTTAACCGACGTTTCGGAGGAACGTATCGCCTCCATCTTCAGGGTAGATTACAAACCGCTTTTACGGTCTCTTCGCTTGCGGATTTCTTATTTTTCCTTCTACCCTGAAGATGGAGACGATACGTTCCTTCGAAACGTCGGTTAACACCACATCTACACGGTTACACATCCCAGAAGACTGCTTTCTTCATCAGCATTTCTCATATTTCGATCCGGATTATCCGACAACCGGATTGGCGAGAGTATAGTCTATCTCAGGTACATAGCCTCTGCTGTGACCTATAGTTAGTAACTGTACCAGTTTTGTATGGACCTCCCCGTACCTAGGATAATCTGTAGTGATATACCCTTGTTGCACGTAAAATTCGAAAGCCGCATCACGCATCTCTCTGCTGCTCTCTGGTGTCAGAAACACCAACAACCGGCTCATGACGTAGTTAGCTGTAACGGATAAGGTTAGGCGTTTATCATCTTCTCAGAAATAATATTGGTATTCGGAAAATAAACTCCAAATTTATAATTATTATTAAACTTTATCAAGATGCACAATATGAATTATTTAAACTTTTATCTAAATGTCCATAAGTTACACAGATATTACAGAAAAATTTAACATAATTAAAATGCACTAGTGAGTTAGATTAGGCCATGGCAGTTGGCTGTTGCAGACTGGAGACTTGTCAGTCGCCCGGACAGCACAAGGGAGCCAATCAAATTGCTCCTTGTGTCATTTTCACACTGCTCTAGTCACACCAGCTCTCTGATGTGAAAGCATTTCGATTACAGTTTTGTTTCAACTCCTCTCGTTACTTCATGACCCCACATTTCTCCCATCATCAGGAAAGTTACATTATAGTTTTACACGCGGTAGCGTAGTTGGTTGAGGCACTATGCTACAAGCCGGAAGGTCGCGGTTTCGAATTCCCATGAGTTTATTGGATTTTTCAAATGACACCGGCTATCCTGACTGAGGATTTCCTGATTTTCCTCAGTCGTTCCAGTGCCTCGATCAGGCCACCACATATTCTTTCGATGTCCCTCTGAATTCGACAGTCACCCCTGAACGGTGTCCCAATCTGCAATACTGACCCAGCACGCGTGGATCAGAGCCCTCTATGAAGCTGATGATACCGGCAAGCGCTTTCTCTCCTCCCAGGAAGATGACAGGATGGTCCGCCCGTACCGTCACACCAGACTTGCTGAATGCTCTCTGCAGAAACTGCACCCAGTCCATCTGAAAGGTCGCCGAAAATTAGAGGCAGGGGAAGATCTCTCTCCGGGGGCTGTGAGCAGGCAGCAAGCAGAGCTCTAGCAGACACTTGCTCACAGCCCACAGTTACTGTGGCTGGGACGTGACGCCGTATAGTCTTGTAGGTCTGTAGCAGCGCTTCGTACATCCACTGCATGTCCTGATGAAGGATCAAGTAGGTTCCTCCTAACAGTTGGCAATTATCTGCCAGGCTAAACGGCGTCACATCCCATCTTAATAATTGTCCGCCATTTTAACCTGAGTTTTTCATTTCGCCGATAGGTTCTTATGTCACATACTCCCAGACGTGCGGTTGCAAGACCTCCAAAACGGATGTCCCAAGTACTCATATATACGTATTTTGGATTTGAGGTTCTTACGATGGTGGCTATGAAGAGTAACACATTCTGGGATGTGACGCAGTGTAGCCTGATCGATATTTACTGACGTATCGCAGAAATTAACTGCCTCCAACTTCAAGGTTGAAGAATAAGCCAAAAGCAAGTAGCAGCTTTCCACCTGTTCCTTGGCCTACATTTCGTCAGTGAATATGGAGACAGTACATTACAACAATATGTCTTTGAACATCTGCACGGCGTCACATCCACACAGACATTATGCAGTGTAACCCGAATTGCAGGAGCAGCGGCTGCGGTTGAGAAGCCCGGAGACTGGGAGGGCCGCATGAGTGCTTACTGTGGTGTTGTCCAGTGTCTCCTTTGTCCACTGGTCCAGCTGTCCAATTGTCCAGGCCATTCCTCTTTGACCGATGGGAGTGTTATCCATTTTCAAGACTTGAGTCGCCTGCAATAGATAAGAAGTGCTCTGTTAGCGAACATCTGCAGGGGCCTCTGTTGCTAGGGAACCGAAACAGCTGCCATCCAAACCAAGGAGTGACGAGACACACACACACACAGGTAGACGCGAACATTATCGTATAGTAAACCTTTCCTACGGTAGGTATCTCACCAAAACCTTTGGTGAGCTGTCTCACAAACCTTGGAGAGTCTCTGCATGTAGAGCACAACATCCGCCATGTCCTTCCGGACGGTCTCGTCTGACACGTTCGTGTGCAAATGATCGCGCAGAAGGGTTGCCATCTTCACGAGGTACTTTGTGAAAGGAAGATCCTCCACTCCACCCTCCGCCCTATTTAACGCCTGCAGGAGGTCAGGCGTCTCCGTGTTGAACAACAGCGGCGACGGCAGCACAAGCGACGGAGCGTCCAGCTGTCCGTCATAACGAAATGCGTTATCACGTGACCCAACTCATAACGAGCAATATTTACATGTTCAGAATTGTACCGTGTGGTAACTTTCCCGTAATGTCCCTGTAGCCGTCTAGAATTACAGACATATTTAGTCGTTTGTTTCAATTTTTATTTATTAATTGGGCTTGATTGATGCCACAATTAATTAATTTAATCTGATCATAAAGATTCATATTTTCCTCGGACTGACAGCAGTAGACTGGGAATAGAGAAATGTTACATTGCTTTGTAGAATGCCGTCTTCTGGGATATGGCGCCGTGTAGGTCTTACGTGCCGGCCACCCTTTACCCGCAGGAAGATTCGTAGTAATCATTTCTGAATCAGGTACTTATAGCAGAATATCAGAATATCACACACTGCACCTGCGGTGACACATCCTAAATAGAAAGGAACGGACACAGCTGAACTAAAGCCCCGCTGTTGAGAGCTGGTTCCACGCACTATCTCCTCTATGCAGAATCAGAACTTACATACACCGCTGTGCTATTGGCGTTGTCCAAGCTAGCCAAGGAACTTATGCTGAATATGAAAGGTACAGCAAACTCGGCAACAATGTCCCCCATCCTGTGCCAGTCGAATGGAGTCCAATCAGAATTCAGCACTGGCCAGCCTCCCCATTGGTGCAACAACTCCACCACTGGGTCGAGACCCCGTCTGTCCTGGGAGTCTGCAGTCAAAAACACAAAACATTTTTCTAATGCAGTTCCTAACCACAAGAAAGCGCGTCCTGCTCCAGGTACCCACACCGGCTTAATATTATCAGGAAAACATCGATTATTGCTTAAGGTTCAAACCAAATGCATTCGGAGCTACAGACTACTCCGTAGAGCTATCCCTGTAACAGGCCGCGGAGGCCCATAGGGCTGTGAGACGTCGAGGCTCCCACATTTTCTAGATAATCGGTTCTCAGATGGAGATTAGGTTAGTCTTACTCGCCGCCCGCCTTTTACCTCCAGAAAAATTCCTGATACTCATTTTTGTTAGAGGCTGAGTCGACCCCAGGGTCATAGTGCTGCTGGAAGGATTAGGTCAATTGAAAAATCCAGTAACCTCATCAGGAATCGAACGAGCGACATTCCGCCGTGTAGCATAGTGCGCTACCGCGTGGTCCACTCTCTATTTAACATACTGAACAATATGGCGGACATGCTCACACGTGCGTGTGCCCCTAAAGAGCTGAGTTTCGGAGGATTTCGGCGCTGACAGAGACGAGGAAATAGCGAAACGTGAGTGAGATGTTGTGCCTTTCAGTAACTAGGAGCCGTGCGTGAGAAACACCCTTCCAGTTACGTCATCAACAGACAGTGACGTAGGTCTAGGCTGTGTTTGCAACATACGCAACCGCCATGCCGGCCATCTTATGACGTACCCTCAGACGTGTCAGACAGCGCCTACCTGTATCCATGCAGGCCGCGAACATGTTCTTAGCTTTGCTGACGGCGGCCGCTTCGCCGGGCTCCACAGGCGCGTTCAGGATGTCTAAATGAAAGGAAAAGAGGACGGGTCACTTACGACATTGTAGCACTTTTGGAAGAACCTCCTGTCTGCATCTTCTGGACAGAACAGTTCATCCATTCCACTATTCTGATGATGGAGGCAGGAAGTTCCTCCGAAATGTTCTCACCTCCCACGTTCTACCATCAAGATGGAGACAGCAGATTCCTCAGAATAAATGGCATTTACAGCTGATTACCCTGAAGACAGACGTAGAAGGTCATTCGAAATGTGACCACCCATTGTTCTACCTTGTAGACTTACATTTAACCCACTCCATCCCAAACTCATCTGAAGAAATCTCCTTCTACCAGTAAATGGCTCTTCAGTGAACTGCATGAGAATATGATTGGATGGGCATGTGGATAAAATGGTGAAGACTATGAATTCATACAGAACTGTAATGGAGGAAGAAGTCCTTTTGTAAAACGTCTACTCAGTAGTCCAAGAAAAGAATGGGAGGGTTACACTAAGATGAATCAGAGAAAAATGTTGTGAGGATAAAAGTTGGATTAAACCGGCTCAGGATCGGGTCAAATGGTGCGATTTAAGGACAGAGGTGCAGAACCCGTGGGTTCAGCTACCTCGGCATTGGTCGGTGATTATTATTATTATTATTATTTTTACTGCAATTGGGTTTTACCCCGGTGGCAGTAGTACAACAAAGGGCAACATACAAGTAATTACAAAAAGTAACAACACGTTCAAACAATACACAAGGGGCAAGTCAAATGATTGGCTTCAGCTGTTCACAGAAGGCGTTAGCATCAAGTACATCCTCTCGGAGCTGGGTCTCGTAACGAACAGGTGCAATCTGTGAAGGTCACGTTATTTAATCGGCCCCGTATCGAGCACTTGTTCGGGTTTCTCTTTTTCTGAAGCAATAACCTGAGCGCAGATTTGAAATTCTCCCAGCTGTGGCCCCGTGGGTTGTAACGCCGCTTAGCTATGGGACAGCTCGACGTTTCGGAGGAATATATCGCCTCCACCTTCAGCCAGCTCAACTTTCCGCCTTCTTCTGCTGGTTTCTTTCTTAGTTCACTCTTCCACCTTGAAGATGGAAGCAATATGTTCGCCCAAAACGTTGGGTTGTCTGAACTACAAGAAGACCTCACTCTTCCGAGCAAGCCTCGCGGCCAGCAACTGAACAGAGTGTTTAGCCATAACAGAGTGAATTTGGAACCAGGATAGCTCAGTCAGTATAGTGACTGGGCTACGGACTGGATTCCGAGAGAAAATGAATTCGGTTCCCTCCAAGTGCACGGATTTTTCTTTTCTTCCCAGCGTCCAGACCGGAACTTGGGCCAACCAGGCACTTATCCAGTGGGTACCTGGGACACTTTCCCCGCGAGTAAAGCGGCCGGGGCGTGGAGCTGACCACTCACCTCACAAGTTTATCTCGACAGAGTGAGTCTCAGAGCTGTGCTGTATATGGACGGTAAAGCTGTTCCCGTGCTTAACAGTTCAAGCTGAATGTCATAAAGACGTAGGGGGCCTAGAGGTATAGCTCCATGCATTATCCTCGGCACTAGATAGAGCTGAGTGTAAGCTTCAGGTCCCGGCCGCTCTGACCTCGGGAGGAGACACCTGTGCCTACCGCATATTGGGCTGGGTGGGCCCTGGAGACGGTGTGGATGCTTTGAACCTGGGAACTGCGTTTGATCAGCTAGCAGCCATGTCACTACACTGACTGAGCTACTCCGGATCACATATGTATTGTGTGTGTCAGCTGAGCGCACCTCTGGAGTGAGTGTCCATGGCCTCCTGCAGGATCTGGAAGTTGTCCCAGAGCAACTTTCCCTCGGGAATAGCGTGGTTGTCCCCAAAATGCCCGCAAGAGAACTCGTAGAAGTCGTCGCAAGGATTCGATTTCTTGTCCAAAGCGCTCAGAACTCCAGAAGCTGCGACAGAGAAACTAAACGGTAAACACACGGTTCTACTCATCTGTTTCGTAGTTTTCCTCAGACCCTCTGTGCGACTGCCTTTCTTGTACCGAACCGACAGCTGTTGGAATCTCAGAGAAATGGCGCCTCCGCATTGCGTCGCGGCGCCACCTGGCAACCTGGGCTCTCACTGTCCCCTTGAGCCCTCGAAAGGGTTCTGGCGGTGGTATATACCAGTCCGGGGTTCTTCAGAAACTCTGACGGAGCCCTCCCCGCCCTTCAACTGGGGGCTCGGCCATCCCGAATGTCCCCCCACTTTCACTGCCCCAAGTGCAAGTTTCTAAGGGGGTGAAGAAACGGGGTGAGGGGTGTGTAAACTGAGGTTCATAATTTGTGCTCTTTGCAGTGATAAAAACAAAATTGGACATGTAGCACGCATGAGAGAGGTGATAAATGTATACACACTTTTTTATCAAAATACCAGAAGATAAGAGACCAGATAGTAAATGGGACGACTGCATTAAAATGCAAATTAAACTGTGTGTGTGTGTGTGTGTGGACTGGATTCGTCTGACTCAGAGTAGGGTCCAGTGGCGGCTCTTGTTAACACGGTAATGAACCTTGGGTTACGCAGAAGATTGGGATGACCAGCTATCGTCTCCTCGAAAAGAGCTCTGCTCCATGGACTTGCTTAGCTGCTTACCGTACCAGTTGGTTGGTTACTTAGTTAGCTAATGCAAGTTTCCGGCCGCACCATAGCTCAAGCGGTTAGCCGCTGGCTTTCCATCGCGGCGGCCCGGGTTCGATCCCGTGGTCTGGTCAAGTGGGATTTGTCGTGTACAAAGTGGCGCTGGGGCAGGTTTTCTCCGAGTACTTCGGTTTCCCCTGTCAATCTTCATTCCGCCAATTGCTCCACAATCACCCTCACCTATCATCTGGGGCTGGTACAATAGGCCAGAAGTGGCCGCAGTACAAGGGACGTAGTCCCACCCCACTAGCAATAAAAAAAATGCAGGTTTCCACTCTTGTCGGAAATGCGAAAACGCGTGGAAGCTGTATCAGTTTTGCGACTGCCATTTTGTCGTGACGTCCCATGTCACCGTAAAATGAGATGATACGTGACTCCCCCAATCCAAAAAAACTGGGCTAGGGACGTCAGTTTCCCCACTTACCACTAAGAACATCCTCCTGAAGCATTCCGCAAGTGCGGTAAACAGGTGAGCTGTGAAGAGCAACTCCCTCGCTCTGTCACAAGGAAGGTGCCGGGTTAGACATGAAGCCCCAAACTTAGAACCTGGATATGTGATAATGTGCTGCCTGCTCAGGGCTGTCATACGTCCGAGGGCGGAGAGATGGAACAGGGAAACTGACGAAACTCGGAGAGAAACTCGTAACAATGCCACTTGGTCCACCACGAAACCTACTTGAAATCACTTGGGTCTGAACCCGAGGCTCCGCGGTAAGAAGCGAGCGTCTAGCCTCCTGAGCTCTGGCGCGGGTCAGATATACTCTCTATACCTCACTAGCGATATCAGAAAATGAGTCGTGGCCTATTTCAGATATTATCCCAGCATCGCAAGAGAATCCGAGACAAACTACGCAATCTCCAGTCAGCAGAATGTCCGAGTGTAAAGAGCAGCAGGAGGACGCACCTGCCTGGCGACACTGCAGCGTCAAACATTTGGCGTCAAGCTTGGTGACAGCGGCGGCGCCGTGCGTCGCGCCAGTCAGTGCTGCCAACACACTTAGCCTGAAAACAAAACATTTCATGAAAATTGAACCGAAACACATGTATAAACCTTCGTTTCGCTTTAACATAAAGTGAACACATGACTGGGATATCTTGTCTGTGCGTCTTACAATCTGCATGTTTTAAGCCCGAAAACACTCAGCGGATTTCAATAAAATTCGGTATTTGCGTCTACACTACACGTTGTCGTTGTCCAGTTCGTATAAGCAGAGCAAGCTTCAACTTCACATCAAACCGAAAATTTCATATAATTGAACCAAATTCGGTTCGCCTCACGTAGAAACCGGCAGATCTGCTTCAGATTGCCCCTACAATAGGGATGTCACTAAGCCCTGCAAAATTAAGGGCCGCGCCATAGCTCAAGCGGTTAGTCGCTGGCTTCCCACCGTGGCGGCCCAGGTTCGATCTCGGGTCTGGTCAAGTGGGATTTGTGTGGACAAAGTGGCGCTGGGGCAGGCTTTCTCCCAGAACTTCGGTTTCCCCTGCCAATCTTTATTCCACCAATTGCTCCACAATCACCCTCACCTATCATCTGAGGCTGGTACAATAGGCCAGAAGTGGCGGCAGTACAAGGAACTTAGTCCCAGCCCACTAGCAAAAAAAAAAAAGCCCTGCATATTCATTTTAAACAGGAGAATCCTGTCCTGTGTGGACAGATGGGTTCCCATCTCCTGCTTGTGGGTTTCCGAACAAGGCCTTCACCACTATCGCTCAAGATGCTGATGCTGATAATGACGATAAGACAAGAGTGATGATGCAGCTGAAGATAAGACTTACTCCAGGGTCTGACTGTAGAGACGCTATCTTATCAAGGCCCCACCTATGCACGATGCTGTCCACTTTATCGCTTTGTCGGTACACGGAAATTATTTTCCGCCACGCCAAAGCCCCTCACGTTTATCAAACTTCTCTTCTTCTTTTGTATGGGGTCTCTACGTTTCATATCAAGCAGATAAGATCTGTGCTCCTTGCTATGTGTTTCATTTCTTCCTGCGCAGTTACACGATAAGTTTACTTCAGATGTGGCTGTCAACATTTCGAGCCTTAATATCTTACCACCTGCTTTAACATTTCGCACAGGGAGCGCTGGTGTCTTTCTCGTGATTCTCACAATGAGCTTATGACCTCAGGTGGCACAATGTACATAACCAAGTTTTATGACCATACATTCAGGCACTGAAATAACATTTAAGTTCTGACCTCAACACTTTAACGCTGCAGTGTTGGCAATCCAATGGATCGGCCGTTCACGTGACTTCAAGTGTCATGATATGCATACCGAGTTTTACAGACATCTATTGAGACCCTCGGAATTTCTCAAGGGGGTGACACATACAGACAGAGACACAAACATGCAGAAATGTGACCCAATAAGCATACCCTCATTTTTAATAAGGAAATTAGGCTAATAACGTACTTACTTACTCACGGAGCTGAGCCCTTCTGGGGGACCCACCAATTCTGCAGTTACTCAAGAATTTCCCAGCATTTTATGGAACCCGGAAGTTCATTACCGTGTTCACAAGAGCCCTCTACTTGTTCATATCCTGAGCCAGATCAATCCAATCCATACCATCCCATCCTGTCTCTCTAAAATCCATTTTAATATTGTTCACCCACTTACGCCTTGGTCTTCCCAGTGGTCTCTTTTCTTCGGGTTTTCCCACCAATATCCTATATGCATTCATTTTCTCCCCCATTCGTGCTACATGCCTTGCCCACCTCATCCTCCTTGACTCGATTATTCTAATTATACTTGGAGAAGAATACAAGCTATGAAGCTCCTCTCCAACCTCCTCTCACTTCATCTCTCTGTGGTCCAAGTATTATCCTCAACACCCTCAGTCTATGTTCCTCCATTAATGTCAGAGACCAAAAATTATAGTTTTGTATATTCTAATTTTTATGTTTCTGGACAGCAGACTAGAAGACAAAGGGTTCTGCACTGAATGGTAGCAAGCATTACCCGAGTTCAAGCTCCTCTTAATTCCCTCCTGAATCAGGTTTTGATTTGTTATCGTCGTTCCCAGTATCTGAACTGTGCCACATTTTCAAAAGATAATAATGTATCAATAAAAAAAATTAAAGTTTTCCCTGTAAGAGGCCGTGAAGGTCCACAGGTTTGTGAGACGTCGAGACTCCCATATTTTCTTTAGATAGTCGGCTCAAAGATGGTTGTCAGCCTTTACCCCGTAGGAAGATTCCTGGTACACTTTTCTAAATATAACATGTCATATTATAATTTCGATAATGATGTAAGATTTAAATACGTGGAAGGCCGAAAAAGAAGATCATCTGAGCGGGAAATAACAAGCTCCATACTCCATTACACTTCTGTTGCGTGTTTAACAATTTTTCATTTATCATGACCTTCTTTTTCTTTAATTTATGATATAGTTTCGATAGGCCTATTTTCTTCTCAGCCCGAAACTGAACTGTTGAATCAGAATTTAAGGGAAGTGCCGGGCACAGGAAGCGCCCGAACCTGGAGCAGTAACTAGACAATGTTTCAGGGCCACTTCAATGCCGACAGCAACATGCTGCAGTACTGCGAAGTACACAATACACATCGCGTAAGATACACCCGACCACAAGCCCACACAACCCCGTGCTGACGCCTCCCCCCATTGGGACGATTCACCAAGAAGGAGCCTGAATATTTTACTTGAACGTTTTTNTTGTTGCACTTGACGGAAATTCTATTGACAATTGGTGATTGATAGTGTAACGGACCAAAATGAAACAATTCAAAATAATACTCGATTGTTTTGCGTGGTGAGCTCTTCTTGAATGAAATCGGTAAGTTCAAGGTGAGCACACGTAAACTGTGGACCAACCTGCTGGTAAATTTTTCCCTGTTCTTAACTAATTAAGCACTACGCCATGAAGACGTATGGGGGAGTGGATGTATAGATCCACATTATCTTGACCTCGTCACTAGTTAGAGTGAGTGGTCAACTAGGCCGCGTCATAGCTCAAGCGGTTAGTCGCTGACTTCCCACTGCGGCGGCCCGGGTTCGATCCCGGGTCTGGTCAAGTGGGATTTGTGGTGGAAAAAGTGGCGCTGGTGCAGTACTTCGGTTTCCCCTGCCAATCTTCATTCCACCAATTGCTCCACAATCACCCTCACCTATCATCTGGGGCTGGTACAATAGGCCAGAAGTGGCTGCAGTACAAGGGACTTAGTCCCACCCCACTAGCAAAAAAAGAGGGTGGTTAACTGCACGCCCCCACAGCTTTATCCCCGGTACACACTGTATACGAGTTTGGGTGGACCCCAGAGCCGGCCTGGACGACATGGAGACCCTACGAGAACTCGAACTCCGGCTCGTCAGGTTGTGCCAGGAAGTTCCGAAACTACACTAGTGCAACTGGCAAGCCAGTAGGATAATGTCAGCACTAAGTTGGGTGAAAATCCTTCAGCCTGTTTGAAGAGTTGTAGCGAGAGGCCACACAGACGAACTAGAGGTCGCGGTAATCTCATAACCATGCTTGTTAAGAATCGAGGAAGAGAGTTAAGCTAAAAATAAAATGGCCTCCTGCGTGTCCTTAAATTTCCGTTATAGCAAATCGTCTGTGAGCACTGATCACTCTGCACGCCACGCAACAGCAGAAACTACGAACAAGCCACTGAGTACAAAAAGGATTCACGTACCGGTGCTCTAAGCTTCCTGGATTTTCACCTACCTGAGCAGAGCAACAGGCGCGGACATGTTTCAGCAGCAGTAATCACAGCAAACTGGCCACTGGGACAAAGAATACATCTCGAGATACCGAGTGAGTGAGCAGAGATTGCATCTCAGACAACGACAAGTGTTAGTGGCGGTTCGCAAATTGAGGGCCACGACCCTCTTCTGTTCTTACAGAACTGTCCAGGGTACTGAGTGCTCGTTGAGCCGTAGTCAGGCAGTGACGCGATCTACGTGCAGTAATTCATTGTTACATGGCAACAATGTTCGTGAATTTAGCCACAAGAGCCCGAGATTTTATACGCTTACTGTACTGATTAATTAAGTCCACCTAGCACCTCCAATGTGTTTTGCATAAATATATGAATTAATTATTTGACTTTCATATTTTACGCGGCACAGTAGGTGGCCGAGCCACTATGCAACAAGATGGAAGGTCGCAGATTCGATTCCCAATGAAGTCATTGGATTCTTCCAGACGCATATGGCTCCAGGGTCGACTCAGCCTCTAACAGAAATGAGTACCAGGAATCTTCCTGGGGTTAAAGGGCGGTCGACGCGTAAGACTGGCAATCTTACCGCCATCTGTGAGCCGATTGTCTAGAAAATGTGGGAGCCTCAACATCTCACAATCCTATGGGCCTTCACGGTCTGTTACAGGGATAGCTTTACTTTTATCTTCGACGTTGCAGGGAGAACTGGCCAGTACTTAAATTCGAATAACTGTCAGTTCCTGTTGGTCCCTCTACATCCGATTGTCAGAGACAGTTACTTTATCACTGACGGTTTACCGCAAATCAGTTCTTCTTGGCGACAAGCCCCTTGAGACTAACAACCAGTAACTTTATTTTCCAACTGAACACTTGCGGGACGAGAGGATGGGTCCGTCTTTTAGAACTGCTACTGGTTCTCGCCAGCGCAGTCATTCTCAGGTCTATATCCCGCAGAACTCATGACCACATTTTACTGTCTCAAATTCGAGACTCCCCCAACCTGGAGGGCCATGTCCCCATATTTATATCCCCCAGGAACAGGGTGGCCCGGTTATACCCCCAGGCACTGGGTTCCCTTTTCGTCGCCTCCTGCGACTCGCAGGACTACGGTGGAGGTGTTCGACCCAGCCTCCACATGGGATACTTCCCAAGTTCCCATTGGTTCCCTCAGAGTCAATATTTCTCCCTACCCTTAGAGAAGTACCTTTTAAGGGACCAATATCCTGTACACTGTTGTCCTTACTCCTATTGGTACGCTGGTAGCGCTCCATCCGCCCTCCCTCCATTCACACACGTTCAGATTCTCTCTGCCCTTCCTTCTAGATACTCCTATTGGTTCGCTGGGAGCGCTCCATCCGCCCTCCCTCCATTCACACACGTTCCGATTCTCTCTGCCCTTCCCTCTTGGGACGTAAGGACGCACGCTTCGTCGAATGGGGAACAGGCTGGTCTTATGGAACTGCAACGTCTGCAGAACTAAACCCTCCGCACCATTGGTCAGTTTCCAATGCGCACACCGGTTCGCGCATTGCACATGGCTCTCAACCTCCCTGCATTACAAAAGTTTCATAAAGACCGGTCCAGGCATTCAAAAGAATATAGAGGAAGAGGGGGATTCACAGACAGCATGGAGATCGCATAAGCTTCCTTTCATTTTTTTTAAATAAGGGAAGTAGGCTAAGAATGATGTAGGCCAGAAGCAGAGGCCATAGAAGCCCATGAAAATGCTCCCAACATGGGACAACGGGAAGACCGTCACAGAAAATACGGCCGGGTCCGGCTCGCGGCCTTTCCTTCTTCCAACGGGTACTTCTTCCTGTCAATATGAAACCTTTACAAGCAGACCACGCATGCCCTGACATTGACATAGAGTCCTCTATATCTAAATGCTAAGTTTCTTGACTCCACACAACAAAGCCGTTATATGAAGCCCCCCCCCATTATGTCAGTCGTTATCAGTTTGACGTTAAGCCGGCTAGAGTCTCTGTAAGAAGCCAGTAACAGTTTTGCATTTCTGTTCTCCCGTTCATGCTACATGCCCTGCCCATCTCATCCTTCTTCACTTGATCATTCAAATTAAACTTGGCGAAGTTATGAAGCTCCTTATCCACAACCACCTCCTAGAAAACATAATTATTCACAAGCCATCGCTACTGGACTTTGGATCCGAGCGATAAGTTCCTTATGCCTGTTTGTCAACGTGGCATCACTTTTCGGCGCCATCAGCAGACAAGAGTGTCATGACGTGCTAGTAACAACGTTATAAAAAGCAAAAACAGTATATTTCATATACAAAAATTATAATCTCATAACAATTGTTAACACTTCCTATCGTCCGTGAGCGATAAGGGTTCCCTTGGCCTTCAGCTACCGTGATGGAAGTCACTGCGTATGCTCACATAGTATTGCCATGACGCATAGCCGAAGAAAATCTTGAAGTGACGGCTGTTGCACTGTACAGCATCAAACCTTTCGTTGCAGGGACCCTGTACAGGCGTGCGGGCGCAAGCGCAGTAGCAGATTTGTGGCAATCCATAACACGTGTCACACAGCATCCTGCCATTTTGGACTTTCTCCGTTGCCGGTACTCTAGAAAACAGAAAACACGACGTTTCGGAAAATGCATCTGTTTCCGTCTTCAGGTGAACGGGAGGAAGACATCTACTCAGTTGAACACCTCTTCCCCCTTCACATGAGCAAGGAAAGAGATCCAGTTTCCGAAACGTCGTGTTTTCTATTATCTATAATACCGGACGATGGACCCAAGTCCGAAAACCCAGTAATTCTGAGTGTTATACACCATCGTCAGACCCATTTAGTCTACTTGTATCAGTCAGTTGAAGGGGCACATGTCCGTGCAGTGACGCTGAGTGTGTGCTTAGGGAAGCCAGTCTTGTTGGTGCCTGTTTCAAATCTTGAAGAAAGAAATCCTCGGAGTAAAAGCTAACAATTCAAACCGCAACGGAATCATCATTGTTGGTGGTTAGCGGTCCTTACGGATCTCTGGAAGGAAACAGTTACGCATGCGTGTTGCTACTTATTAATGTTTCACTTAACAACGCCGCCTGTAACTTAGGCTACACGGCATCGGGTGGTCAAGTAACGATCAGCTGGGGTGGGCAGTGTAGAAAGTGGGCGTGGCATTTTTGAGGGCACTGTCGCAGTGCTCGCCTGGATCGACTGAGGAAAATCACGAAATATTGCAGTCAGGACAGTTATACCCCTAGCTGAGATCCGAACAGACACGGACGCCATCACCAGAACCAACTCCGTCAGTGAAACGCTTCAGATGAGGAAATCGAATTATTTACGTGGGATATTGTTCCTTTCGACGACAAATTTTTAAGCGCTTCAAAATACACGTATTAACATCCAGTGTTCCTTGGTGTAGTCATACTGGGGAAATAGCTGCAATGAATGGGCTATTATTCATTCATTCATTAATGGCTCTACAGGCCTATCTTGGGTTCTGGCTGTTTTCACAGTTTCGCAATCCTATACGCAGTCAGTAGAACCATCAGGACGGGGGATCAGCCAGTCGCAAAGCCTCTACCTACACAGAGGATAGCAGAGATACAGAGTAAGCGCACACAGACATCCATGCCTCGAGTGAGAATCGAAATCACGACCCAAGCGTTCGAGCGGGTGAAGGCAGATCATGCCTCAAACCGAGTGGCCATTCTGATCGGCATTGGGTTGCTATACTGTGCCTAAAACATCTCTGACGGTGCGTCATTCATCATCATAAAGTGACGTCGGTAATTACGTCATCAATATAAGGTCACTAAATTCTATTCTGAGCACGCTATCCTGCGTAAGGCTCCCAATTCAAGATAAGAAGTACTCCCAGACATGCTCTAGACAAAGAATATGACATACAGAGTCTATTAATTAATACGAATACAATTTCATATTTACAGAAATGCCGTGGATCAGATCTCATTAAAAATCATTTGTAGCTTGATTCCTAGATGCATTTTGATATAAAATATTTACAAAGGAAAAATCCTGGATCACACCCTCCTCTTATTCCAGTCTGGGCCTCCCAATTCACCTAGTCCCTTCAGGCCTGGTATCAAACACCTTCTTGAGCGTCCCACACTCTTTTCCATACGTATAATATGTATAATATTAGTTTATTTCTATACATTTAGTAATATCTGTTAGCAATAGTAATGTCGCCACTTCAAGTTGCAATACATCCATTAGTATTAATCACGCACCCTCGATCTCATTTCGTTTTTGACATCTTTTGAGCCTTAATCATTTGTATCCATAAAATGGACGTTAACAGGAGGGCTTCTGTGTGATTATGGCAGCCTATGCCAAAAATTCATGTTCTTATCCAAATGCGAACCTCAGGACGCCATGCAAGAAAGCAGGGAACTGTTTCAGTGCATCAGTGTGTTACGCGTGCTCTCACTTGATCTCTGACATACGCTGCAAGCTTGTGGTTGAGGCTACACAGGTTACATTATGTTGCTACATCATGGCTATCATACTTGGCCGGCACGCTGGCAGCATGAAGAGAAGCCGAGGGCTAGTCACGGTTACCACAGCACACACTTGGTCCGTGGGTTCATTGGAGAGTCCACGGTGCAGTTCCATGCCTCGCTGAACTCCTTCATGTTAGAGAGAGGTTTCATCACGCGGTCCCGGTGTGGACTGTGCTCATCGGGTGAGAACTCATCACCAGAGTGACACCAAATCTGAGTATAAACACGATCATCACTTTGCATGTCTCCAAGACACAGACTGTTAGAAACACTTCGACACATTATCTGTACTGTTCGAAGTTCTCGCAGCGGTGGTTATGAAAGGCACTATCTTCTGGGAAAAACGCCGAGAGGTCCGTTGAAAGCTACACTATATTGTCTCCTTCTTCAGGGTCGAATAAGCAAAGCAAAATACCAGTGTAAAAGCACATACCACCTGCTTTCACGTTGTTATCTTGTTCGGTGTATTCAACCCTGAAGATGGAGGCGATATGTTCCAGAGTAACATCGGTTGACTTCTGGACTACAAGGCGTTATATCCAAGAAGACAGTGCCCTTCGACCGTACCCTTTACGTACAAATTTTCATGGTGAGAGAATTTTATATGCGGCCAGTTGGTACGACAACACATCTGAGCGACATTCATGTCACCTACGTTGATTCACTGTGAGGGGCCGTGGGATGAATAATTATGAATCACACAATAGTTTAACCACGAAAATGGAATTTGGCAACTCTGTGTACTTTGTGACGCTGACTCGGAGCCTGTCAGCCCAGTCCGCGCCATTTCCTTCTGTCAGCAACCGCTCCGACATGGCGGCCGTGACGTTGGCGGAAATGGCGCGTCCTGTCGGCCTCTGTCTGATTGTGGAGGAAACCGGATTGTAGCATATTCTGTAGCCCAGTTACCTCCACATCTACCGAGGTAGGTGTTAGCAAAGTATTAAGACGGGGTCTACTCCGAGTGACTATAAAATGCGAATACAGTAATGGCAACTGCTTATCTTTTGGTATGATATGATTGATTGAGCGCATAGGACTTACACGTCGGAACTGCCGTGGATTAGAAGTTTCTGTACGAACGAATGTCACTTTATGACTGTTTAAGAGCTATGCTCAGTTTCCGCGGTAACGTCTGGTCTTCCTCGAGTCTAATGGTGGTCGAGTAAATGTAAAGTTGTCCCTCTGCTTAATTAATTAAGCACTATGCCATAAAGACAGAAAGGGGAGTAGAGATATAGCTCCAGCAATCAGTTTCACGCCCCTGCCGTTTTACCCCTCGGAATAGGAGCTCACGGTATCCAATGTACATGAGGCTGGATGGGCCCCAGAGCCGGTATGGATGCTGCGGAGAAGAGAAGAATCTTGTCCTGCCTGGAATTGAACCTGGGCCGTCCAGCTAGTAGACCGTCGCTATACCGACTGAGCTGAGCTCGGCTGGTCAAGGCCTTGGTATATTTTCATATCGGTTGTATTGCTTTTGCAAACATATGAAAAACGCCGCGCACGAAATACGTAAACCTGTTACCTTCATTTTCTTTATGTAGCCTGCCTAGACACAAAGTCGTAAATTGCTCCTCAGATTTAGGCGCACGCCCCAGGTCAATAGGAAAGCCCAGGGAAATGACCAACCAACGTTAGAAGGAAAATATTTCAATGCGCAGGCTCGCGAATTCGTTCCCACAAGGCGTCCCATGGCACAGGAAGTTGCTTCTGAAAATGAAGCCGGCGTCCAGCCGTGTCTGCCCTGCTTGTACAACGTTCCTTGAGTTATAACTAGGCACTGCAGTGACGCATAGTGCCAAGGCTCTCAGAGTTATACATATTACTAACACGCACGCGCAAAAGCGCCAGTCTATGGCTACAGACCAAAATTTGCCTCGGCCATCGCTAAAGGTAAGCATGTGCGACCTGTACACTGCCCTGACTACGGAGTGTAGCACCATCTGTTACTAAACTCCGTAATCAACGCACGTGCAAACCCGCCAGATGCCCCTCCCTCGACGAACGCGGAACGGACTTTACGTCCTTTTCTTCTGCTTCAGTCTCTGTGTGTGTGATTGCTTATCTCAGAAGGAGGTTCTGAGATAAGCAAGGAGACTTTGCACTGAACGAGGTAACGTGAAACCAAGAGAGCTGAGCAATGATACCAACTGTTGCATATCCGAGGAAGAAGAGCTGATCCGGCGTGAAGCTCGTCAGGTTCGGCAACGTCGCATTCAGGCCCGCACGCGGCCAGGCTCTCCTGAAGGCTCGGTACGCCTTGCGCAGGCCTCCGTTGTCAGCTATGTCCTCATCCAGAGTGTCCTGAAATTGACGCGTCCTCACTGTATTTTGTTCGTAGCTGCACGTTAGTAACGCAATTCATGTGAGTGCGGAATGCATTGTCTACAGAAGGAGAAGTAACAGTGGCTTATCACATGAAAGTAGGGGGGGGTCAGGCATCTTCGCCACGGAATTAACAAAAATCAGAATTAAAGAAAATAAGTAAACATATCAAATATTAATAACAAATATATGAGACAAACTCCGTCTTAAGTGCAACAATTTAATTGTAGTTCTTTCTTCTTTCCTTCCTCTACACTACATGTTTCGGCCCTAAATGACCATCATCAGGTGTATATTCTTACGTAGCTGTTACACTGCCCGTAGTTTAAAACTTAAAACACCAGTCTTTCCAATTTTTTGTATGTATAAAATCTTTGTTAACCTACACACGTCAATTTGATTTCCAAAATTGGCACTTTTTAAAACTTCAATTCAAATTAAAATGTCTTTATATTTTCCGTTCTTTTACTTTTTCCAAATTTTAAAAATTAAAATTTCTCGGGGTACTCGCCCTATGTATATAGTGCTGCAGCGGCCACTTCTTGTTTTATCGCTGTTCAGGTATTGTTCTGTGTAGGCTCTCTGTGCGTGTGCCGCTGCCATTTAGGGCCGAAACATGTAGTGTAGAGGAAAGAAAGAAGAAAGAACTACAATTAAATTGTTGCACTTAAGACGGAGTTTGTCTCATATATATTGTGCGAGTGTAACAGGATGCTCAAATATAATATTAATAACAAAACTTTTAAATGTTTAAAATATGTATTATGGCATATAGACCCGTTACTAGGCAACGACCTCAAAACAACGAAACAGCGGTCATTGGTAGGCAACAGCTTAGTAAATACGCAACAGTACTAGAGCCGTTGCTATGCAGCGGCCTGCGAGCAACAATGGACTTAATGATGGAAGCGGTGTTTTTTATGTGGTCCGCTCCGAGGCTATTTCACGCGACCGACTGTGTTCAGTTCAGTGAGTGCAGTGCAGTGAAGTGGGGTGGAGCGAGTTGGTTGGTGAATGAGTGAGCGAGTCAGTTCGTTAGAGAACTGTTCATAGAAGTTGGCAGCCGAGGCACGGGGACAGTCAAGGAACCCAGAATAAGGGAACGTCCGGCGTTGTAACCCGGAAGGCAGATCTCACACAGGAGACGCGCGATTCTATCTTGTCCTGCCTGCGTGTATTTAGGGACCAATTTCAACAAATTTGGAGGAGCTACTCACAAACAGGAACATGTTGTGCCGGTTGTACTGCTTGCTGAAGCAGAGGGACTTCTTGACAAACAGTCGCTCCATGCGTTGGCTCCACTGTTTCTTCGGCTCCCCTCCCCTGCCATACAGATGTCCTGCAACACAAGCACATTCGCGAGATTTTTGTTTATTTGATAATAAATCTAACCTCGACGTTACAAGGTATGAACACAAAAGAAGAAGACATTAAAAGCAGAAAGAAAGAAATGTTACCGCTCTCGTCAAATCCGTGAGTTATCTCATGGCCGACAATTGAACCGAAACGTCCGTAGTCCAGTGCCCTGCAAACAGAAGACTGGTGAATACAGTTTTCTGAGATGTGATGTCGTGTAGGCTGGTACACATATACAAACATTTCGGAGTAACCTGCTGCCTGTATCAAGAGGCTTCTCTTATTGTCTTTTTCTACCAGGCTCACGGCGTCACGTAACAGAAAAGATTAAGAAAACCTCAAATGACGTAGCAGATCACTGCGGCAATGACGACAGCGCACGTCAAGCAATGCAAATGGGTGTTTACGTGTGCCTGTTTGATTTTACACAGAAAGGGGTAAATATTTCTCTTTATTATAACATTGTTCAAAGGTTATTTTAGCATTGCTATATTAGAAATTGGGGAACGCGGTAGCTTAGTTGGTTGAGGCACTATGGTACAAGCCGGAAGGTCGCAGGATCGAATCCCGATGAGGTGGATTTTTTAATTGACCTAATCTTTCCAGCCGCACTATGGCCCTGGGGTCGATTTAGCCTCTAACAGAAATGAGTACCAGAAATCTTCCGGGGGGTAAACGGCAGCCGGCGCGTAAGGCAGACAACCTTACCAACATCTGTGAGCCGATTGTCTAGAAAACGTGGGATCCTCAACATCTCACAACCCTATGGACCTCCACGGGCTGTTACAGGGATAGCTTTACCTTTTTTTTTTAATACATGTTAGAAATGAGGAAGCAGATGTAGCAATACATCTGTAGTTCTGATGACTGTGGTTGCATGAGCAGTTTGGGTTCCTGAAAATCACCGCCTATACTGAAAATAGGAAAATCACTGAACAAACACTCAGCTGATGGATGAGGAGCAGGGAAGAACATGGCCGAATTAAAATGCTGAGGCGAGCCATGGAAACTGCGCGCGCAACTCGCTGGTCACGTGCTGCAGTCTGTACCTGTCCAAGGCAGGAGAGTGACGCTCGTCATGCCGCTAAAATGAAACCGTGGTTATCCGAAAACGCGGATAAGAAAAGCGAGTATGAAATGTTCACCTGTATTGGTTTTCTTCTTTCGGGTGAAAGCTATTTGCAGTACACTCCTAAACAGAAGATTTGAGTAAATCGGACATGACCCTGATCTCCAGTACTTCCAACCCCGCCATAAACCATTACTTCTGTATAATATTAAAAAGGCACGCTGTTTGTCACTTGCGTGACGGGGTCCTCACTTCACGTACAAGAGAATGGACTCCTTCGTGTAGCGACGTTTCCTTGCACGCGGCAACGGATTTGTGTTTCTCCTGCCCTTCCTTCTGTCTGCATTCTTGCGACATGGCGGCCTGCAACACAAGTGCCGGACCCTGGTGATAATGTTTCCTGGGCCCACTATTTGTTTTCTTGTCACAAATATGCAAAATGTCTGCCGTGGAACATTTAGATATCAAAAACTGTGAGTTGGGCGATTGCAGCGCACTCACTAGTGAAGCCGCAAAGTACTTACGCAGGTTCATTGTCCTGCCCCGAGTAGAACGGATGCTGCATTATACCGGCAGGGAGTGCTGAAATCGGTAAGGAATTCGATATTCATTTGCTTGTCATTAACATCTTTGGAATGAGATTAACATTGCATTCAAAACTATCTGTATGACACAAAGGCAGTTTTGTACACATATGCGAATAAGCGTTAGGCCCTCATGACCCAACCTTTTGAAGGTGCCTACAAGGAGACGAGTCAGCCACACATATCCTCTGTGATTGTGAGGCCATAGCTCACTTAAGATTTTGTCACCTGGGTCAGTTCAACATGGAACCAAGTTACTTTTATGACGCCCCCTTAAATAAAGTCCTACATTTCATCCGAAGTGTAGGATTAATAAAGGTTTAATCCAAAGGGGAAGCAAAATAGATCATTGAAGGTCGCGGTGCGAGGGCCGGATTTTTTGGCCCACCCCTTACATACATACATACACACATACACAACATTAGGCCCTGAATCGTTTTTCTAAATGTGAAGTGCGTTGGAACGAGAGCCGAGCAGATGGCGCAAGTATCGGAAAATGTGATATCAGTTCATCTGACTATGGAAAATAACTTTAATCAAAATTGAATATATTTTGGAAGTGGTAATTCTGAAAAGCCGTATCAGCCAGAACCATTTAACGTGACATCATGCAGTAATCTTGAACAGTTTGAGGAAAACATTAAAATGAATCTTATGGTCCACTTACTGATGCTATTTCTACCTAAGTCGTAGAAAGCGTTGACAAGGAACGGCGAAGAATTCCACCTTAAACAGAAGAAACTGGCTTCATTTCAGAAAAGAGTGCACAGACACATACACATAGATTTATTCCATGGCAGCTGGAATCAGCAAGATTCAGAGACCGAAATCACGTGACTTACTTAAGCTTAGGATCTTCTCTGCTGTCCAGCGTTGCCAAGTTTGATGCTTGCAAGAAAGAACGCATTCTCTTGACGTTGCCGAAATGGTCATCGCGATGGATGATAAGCTGCACAAAAGAATTTCATCTGTTCACATTTTCATCATACAAGATGGCTGACACGCCGCCACTGTTATCTACCTTGCAGCAGAAGAAGTACAATGTAACTTGTAATCAGGGCTGACGCTACCGACAGAGCAGCCAACCGCCTCCCTCGGNACCCTGAAGATGGGGGCGATACGTTCCTACGAAACGTCGGTTAACACCACATATACACGGTGCCAAATCCCAGAAGACTGCTTTCTTCATAGTCACCGCCGTGAAAGCCTCAAATCTTACATACTGTTCTCTTGTTCACACAGTGGCCACTGATTATCAGACATCTAAACATGTTACACAACAATGTAAATACAACTGTGAACTGAATTGTTGTCTGATTCTGCGAGCTCAGGCCTGCAGCGACACCGCAGTTGCTGCCATCGGGTGATGCCATCTTGTCGTTGCTGTTTCTCTGGCTTTCATTCCAAGAAGTGAGATGCCTGTGGCGATTTCCGTCGCAGTGCCTGGGAATTTTGTGTTATCAACTGCGGAAAAAGTGTCGTGAGGCTTGAACTGCATTTAATTGAGGGGCGAGGGGGTTTCTCTTTCTCTATTCGCGGACATGCGCTATAAACACTGCAGCCTATATAAACTGACCACAACTGGACACTCGTGTTAACACATTTTAAATTCATTCTGTGGGTGGTTCGTGCACCTGAAATATAAATCGGTAAAATGTAAAATCAAGGGATTCTATTTAAGAATGGACTCTGCTGAAATATTTTAATTTGTACCAATCAAATTATTTTTGAAAGAAGTTTAAAACTTCAAGAATGTGCATTTATGAACGAAGAGCCTCCCTACTTGATACCGTTTATGATCTGTTCATATGTTGGACATTTCGACAGAGGCAGTGCCGTCAAATGACGATTTTCTCTAGTGGTGGGCAGGTAAAAGTTAACCCCTCAAGTTGGTACCCCTCGTATGTACTCGCAAATGTTTAGCATGCAGGAGGTCGAAGCTATTTCATTATGCCGTTATGGCAGTTGCTTGGAGAGACCAAGGAGGACCGCGAGAATCCCGACAGGTGACGACTGGGTACCTCATTTGACTCCACAGTTCTGCTAATCTCGTATAGAATGAACGTAATTACATTAACGCCCTATATCTGAGAACAGAAACGGGATACTTTAGTTTTACGATTGGCACAACTGGCCCGCGCAAGACATATACTGTGTCGTCATTGTTGGGTGCGCAGTAACATGCCATCCGCTGCCGTTACATTGCAAAGGCAGGCGTTCACACCTTGTTGTAGTGAAGGTCCAGGGCTGAGACGTTGGACACCCAGTCCGGGACACCTGCCAGCACCAACATGGCGTCTGTCTTCTCGATCACCAGACGCTTGGTTTCCTCGTCGACCCAGTCATTCTCGTGCAGAAGCTCACGGGTTGCAGCTCGGAGGTCTTCCACTAACTGCATCACCTGCATCAGGAGTTGAGACTGTCTCGTAGTAGCAGTTGAGCACAGTGTTGTCCAGTTATTGTGTTTCTGGACTTTATCGACCGTCCTCCTCTTATTTAAAACACACAACGATTCGAAGACTGGATTCTGTCTCCGGACATCAGCACCAACACGAGATAGGATATATAAACCAAGCAGAAGAGGAAATTGCTCGCAAGAAGTCGAAAAGAGAAGAATGTTGGAAGAAAGAAGAAACTCAAATATTCTGGTTTATAAACCTGTATAACACGGCAACGACGCTACAAATAATAAAGTTTTTTGCGACTCAACAGTAAAAAGCATTTCTAGAATTTACTTTTCAGATAATTTCACCAGGAACCTCTAATTTCCTTGTTCTTACCAGATACCTGAGTTTGTTCAAAACATTTTCAAAAGAATGCAACGTAGCTTATTCCACTTCTCTGTTACATACGAGTAAGGACCGCGCCATAGTTCAATAGGTTAGTCTCTGGCTTCCCACCGAGACGGCTCGGGTTCGATCTCGGGTCTCCTCAAGTGGGATTTGTAGCGGACAGAGAGGCGCTGGGGCAGGTTTTCTCCGAGTACTTCGGTTTTCCCTGCCAATCTTCATTCCACCAATTGCTCCACAATCACCCTCACCTAACATCTGGGGCTGGTACAACAGGCCAGAAGTGGCCGCAAAACAAGGGACTTAGCCACACCCCACTAGCAATACAAAAAATACATATGAGTACAAATCCTCGTTGCGTGACGTAATCTGAAATGTAGTTTCACTGGTTGCAGTCTCCAAAGGTATTAAACATTCCGACTGTCAACTGATTCTTAATTCAACGGAACTGATGAAAGCAGTCCTCAGGTTCGGAACTTCAATCGCCAAGTCCCTCCAAAACAAACGCACTTACGCGACGCATGTCTTCAGAGTGGAAGTGGCGTTTCCGGTACGCATGCGCTGTAGCGGCTCCGAGGCCGATGTTAGGGTAGTCATGTACTCTGTTGATACAGTACTGCCAACTGCAACAAAAATAATATCTCTTGGCCATCTTATAGGGTAAAGCGGAGAAACAATACAAGCTTAGAAACATCACTACTAAAATGGCCTCCACAAATTATCATAGAAAAATATAAATTTCAATGCACGCCTTTCGAAGATTACACGGTACGCCCAAAGGGACACGCCGGTGGAATTATGTAACCTGAAATTGGTAACCATAGCCCATGTTCCTCCACTTCATTAGTTGCCTTCAGCAGTGAGCTTTCCTTCCTGGCTAAATGTGACTCAGATAGCAACAGGTGAGAGCTACCAGGCGCTTTGGAGGCATTTTGGGTTACGTATGTTTCTCATTACAAACACGATACTAAATTTAAAGTATTTTTGAACGCTCTCTATGCAAAGTCAAAGGTAACGGGCCCTGAAAGCCCATAAGGTTGTGAGACGCCAAGGCTCTAAAATTTTCTAGACATTCGGCTCACAGATGTCGGTGAGGTTGTCAGCCTTGCGCAGGCCGCCCTTTACCCCCGGGAAGATTCCTGGTAGTCATTTCGGTTAGAGATTTACTCGACCCCAGGGCCATAGTGCAGCTGGAAGGATTAGCTCAATTGAAAAATCCATCAAACTCATCGGGAGCCAAATTCGCGACCTTCCGGTTTATAGCATTGTGCCTCGACCAACTACGATTCCCAGTGAAGTCACTGGATTTTTCAATTGACCTAATCCTTCCAGCCGAACTATGGCCCTAGGGCCGACTAACCCTTCCAGGAGAACTATGGCCCTGGGGTCGACTCAGCCTCTAACATAAATGAGCACCAGGAATCTTTCTGAGAGGTAAAGGGCGGCCGGCGCGTAATGCTGACAACCTCACCGCAATCGCAGGAGGCCATGTCTGCAGGCGTCTTCTTACCACTTTGAAATTTCGATTTCTTACCTAGGATAATCGTCTGGGATTAACTCCAATCTCTGGTACAAGCGTATGAGGAAGCCGCGCATGCGTTCCGTAGTCTCTGGAGCCAGGAACATCACCAAGCGGCTGACAATGTAATTAGCTGTCGACAAGATGGCCGCCCCACGTTAACATCTACACAAGTTAGCTTTTCCACAGTAATAATTATCATATAAGTTATATAACTCTTAGGGAAGTAACTATGTAAAACATCCTGCAGTTAAGATATTTACGTTTATGGAGACTCTTACAATTTGTTCCTACGATTAATTTGTATTACTCCACCAGTTTTCTCCGTAACTTACCCATAATTATGGTCGCGCCATAGTTCAAGCGGGGTTCGATCCCGGGTCTGGTCAAATGGGATTTGTGGTGCACAAAGTGGCGCTGAGGCAGGTTTTCTCCGAGTACTTCAGTTTCCCCTGCCAATCTTCATTCCACCAATTGCTCCACAATCACCCTCACCTATCATCTGGGGCTGGTACAATAGGCCAGAAATGACCGCAGTACAAGGGACTCAGTCCCACCCCCACTAGCAATACCAATAATTACCAATATCATCAACAAAAGCTTACGAAACAGAACAAGCAAATAACTATTCTGTAGGAATTGAGGTTAGTCTTCTGGGATGTGGCACCGTGTACATGTGGTGTTAACCGACGTTTCGGAGGAACGTATCGCCTCCATCTTCAGGGTAGAAGGAAAAATAAGAAAATCCGCTAGCGAAGAGAGAGTGAGAACCGGTGCAAGCAGGCTGGCCAACATCAGGCACATGTACACGGTGCCGCATCCCAGAAGACTGCTTTCTTCATAACTATTCTGTGTCTGAAACACCTTTAGTTTGGCAGTGACGTTTATCAATACGTCATCATCAGAAACTTCATAGATTCTATTTCCAACACCGGCTGGAACCAAAATCGCCAAATTGGAGATGTAGTTGAACCTCTATCAGGTTTCCTGTTTAAAAGACTGACTTGCCCACACAGATATCTTATACAAAATAATACTAACAGAACATTCATTCGACACGAAAGCCCATGCAGCCGATAACAATGCCCCTACAACGGATCTTACCCAGCAGTCTGCTGTCAGAATTCTTGAAGAGGTGAAGGATATATCTGATGTAAGTATGGCTGCCTATATACACGTGATGCTGTGACGTCACATTGACCCCCGAGTCCCTGAACACGGTCTGCAGGAAGTAGAGCCAGTCGATCTGTACACACAGACACGCGTGGCGACAGTCCAGACATTGAGGTTAGGTCTTTCTAAGGGACCCAACAGAGTAGGTGTCTCTCCCCCTCACCTGAGGACGGAAACGGGCCCAGTTTCTGTAACGTTCTAGAATACCGGACGATGGACAAAGTCCGAAAACCCAGTAAGTCTGAGAGTTATATATACCCTTTAGAATTTACTGATGGCAGTATTACTCGTTCTGAAAACATATGTACCTGACCTGTTGCTACAGCACCGTTAAGTAAATAAATAATAAGCAAGTAAAGTGATAAATTAAGGCACTTTCAGACTGTGAGACCGTGCAGTCTTGTACGCGGATATCGACGTTTCGGAGGAATATGCCGCCTCTAGCCTAAGGGTGAAGCGCACACAGTGAGGAAGGAGAGGCAAGTGAGTTGGGAAGGGAGGGGGGATACAGTGTGGGCGCGGCCAATGGGAGAGGCGAACAGAAAAAGGGTCGTTACGGGACAACTGGGATTCCCCAGCTTGTAGCGCTGGACACAGCATAACCGGGCGGAAGGCAGTTCGCTCTGACAGCGCCGTGCGCGGCCACTTGTCGAACCATTTGAAACCTCGCAGTAAGTTGCGGATTTCTAAGAGATCGTCGCTGAAAGGGCGTTCGTAAGAGATGGAAAAAATTAACTTTGGCTCTGAATTCCTACAGAGCTAATAGTCTGTCAGCTGGTGAGAATATTGCCAACTCTTTACGCAACACAAAGTTTCATTACCGTGTCACAACAGCCATTCACTGCACCTTGCCGTGAGACAGATGAATTCAGTCCAAACCTATTTCTTCAAGACAAATATTAATATCATCCTCCCATCTACACCAAGTCTTGAAATTTACCTCTTTCCTACAAGTATTGTGACCAAAACTCTGCGTGAATTTCTAAACTTTCCATGCGTGCTACATGTCCCGCCAACTTAGATCTCACCACCCTAATAATATTTTCTGGAGATGCAAAATATGGGGCTCCTCACTGTGGAATACTTCCATCCTTCTGTCGCCTCCTGTCCCTAGGTTCGAAATATTCCTCTCAGCACCCTGTGCGCAGGAACAATTTCTCCTGTGGTGGGGGGAAGCCAGCAAAATCTTCTCAAGGACCAGATTCTTTTGTAGACAGAACTGTCACAGGATTTGAATTCAGGATGAGCAAAAATCCTTCCGATAATTTCTTTTTTTGGCGTTAAAAGAATTCTAATAATTTTTGCCTCAAAATTGCAAGTGGAGCACACGTCTGGCTCCCCCCCTCTCTCGGAGATCATGCGAACACTCTCAATGAATCATTAATTCAGAGCTATAGAACTTTCCCATGAACCTCAACGTGAAATCAACTTGCCAGAGCGGTCCCTCGGAACTGAGGCCTTGCGCCCAGTGTTTCTCACCTCGCCATTGTTGTTGTCCAGAGAGCTGATGGGAATTGTGTCATCTGACGCGTCCGTAAACATCAGCACCACGAACTTCTCCTGTGAAAACGGGACAATTCATTGGTTATGCGCGTGTGCAGACAAGGGAAAATAAGCTAGCCTATTACCCCCCCCCCCCCAGTCCCGGATTTTAGAAGCAACAAAATTGGAGCAGAAGCAAGTATACAAAATATTAATACCAGAATCGAAAATATATTGCAAGCCTCCTATATTCTAGCTTGATCCATAGAAATATTCTTAAAAGCCTCAACGTAAGTTTGTAAGCAAATTTTCTGCATGCCCCCCTCCACGCCCCTGGTGCCCCCCATGTGTTAATTTGCCCACGAGAAGCGTCCTTATGTACAGCTGTGTGACGTCGGGACGCTTCTCACGAACGGACCAGCCGCCACGACTTCTGTTCCGAAAAGAAAACGCTAAAGATACCGCTGTCTCTGGTCTTAACTGATCCAGCCAATTCAAGGTCACACGCACTTGTGATTGTCCGGAACATGAACCGTCACATAAACCGAGGGCTCCCTGCAGTTAGGCAGGCCTCAACATAAACTGCACAAGCGTTGTGGCAGAACCTCGCAGTCTCCGTCTTCTTCTGCCTTGAAGAGAGAGAAAGCAATTGGACCTACATACAGGACTGTAAGACGTCACACCTCAGAAGATCGCAGTTTCGATGCTCAACTTTGTGACATCTCCAGACCTCACGCGTCAGATATAAGTCCGAAGTTGTGTACTTACGCCATATAAAATCTCTCCACACTGCAATGGAAACTAGGGGTGTCCCAACACAATAAGTCACCTGCAGATTTTGTGCCAGATTCACGACATCCAACAGCTCTTTCTTGATACGGCTCCTGTGCGCATGCGTTGAGCCCTCGTGGTTACGCAGTTCCATCGCCACGTCCACCAGATAGCGCAGAATTTCGTCCTTGTTGCCACGTTTCGTCAGCGTGTCTATCTCACGTTTCCGCAGCCATGGTGACCAATGCAGTGGGACGGGCATTGGTAAGCTGGGTGGGTTTAGCTGCAACAGAGCGCTAAGCATTGGTAAGCTGGGTGTGTTCAGGTGCAACAGCGCGCTAGGCATTGGTATGCTGGATGTGTTCAGGTGCAACAGAGCGCTAGGCATTGGTATGCTGGGTGTGTTCAGGTGCAATAGAGCGCTATGCACTGGTATCCTGGGTGTGTTCAGGTGCAACAGAGCGCTAGGCATTGGTATGCTGGGTGTGTTCAGGTGCAACAGAGCGCTAGGCACTGGTATGCTGGGTGTGTCCAGGTGCAATAGAGCGCTAGGCATTGGTATCCTGGGTGTGTCCAGGTGCAACAGAGCGCTAGGCATTGGTACGCAGGGTGTGGCCAGGTGCAACAGAGCGCTAGGCATTGGATCAGAAGTGAGCATTACAGGGGACTGAGATAAAAAGCAATCGTACCAACTTTCCTTTTCCGCCACTTGTTTGTGAAGGCGGCGGGGAAGTAATGATGAAGAACAGTCCGGATTGAACCTGTAATTTCAATGCGAGCCTATGGAAACAAAATGGAGCCTAAGCAAGCTTTCTATATGCAGGCAGGCGGCTTGATATAGAAGTCTGAACAGTTATTCGGCCTAGAAAATTTGCCAATACCGGAAGCTTCAATGTCGGTAAATCAAGATAAATTTGGAATCCCTAGTTCACTTCATCACAAGCAAGTCATCGGATTCTACTTTACCCCCCGCTTCCGACTTGGTTTTCTAAGTTTCTACTTTCTTAACAAAATTCTGTATACGTTTATAGTGTCACATGTTGGAGTGAGGGTGGAAGACGTTCGGATTGGTGGCTCAATTTATTGGACACTTATACACACAACTCGTAACTACAAGTAACTACAACAGCTTCATTGGTTTACACACTCTAATTGCAGCATACATAAAGTTTTCTATGTATTTACCAGTCTTTGCTCGGTAGCGGTTTCCAACTTAGGACTTTCCTATTTTTTTACTGTTCGTGGGGTGGGACTAAGTCCCTTGTACTGCGGCAACTTCTGGCCTATATTATAGGTGAGGGTGATTGTGGAGCAATTGGTGGAATGAAGATTGGCAGGGGAAACCGAAGTACTCGGATAAAACATGCCCCAGCGCCACTTTGTCCACCACAAATCCCACTTGATCAGACCCGGGATCGAACCCGGACCGCCGCGGTGGGAAGCCAGCGACTAACCGCTTGAGCTATGGCGCGGCCTTAGGACTTTCCTCTTACTATGGATTCCCGAAATATTCCCGTGCTCAGCTACCAGCTTCTAACAGCAACAGCTCACAATGACTGAACCGCAGTTCTCTAACTCACGAACCAATTCTTCATGTTACTGTACTCAAGTCAAAGCCAAAGTCAAAGTTACTTCGAGACTGCCGGCTTATCGCCAATCAGTTCTTCTTGGCTCACGACCGGACATTTTGTAACTGAACTCTTGCGGTTATAATCCTGATGTAACATCCCGTCTGACGAGAAAATGGGGCTGTCTCTCATGAATATGTTTGGCCTTTCGTCAAGTGTACATTTCGCATATACGTGTATAGCCTGTTACCGGAAATTCTTCCTTTTGCACTACACACAAATCCTCTGTCAGCACAGGCTTTACAGAGCTGATCATGCCTATCTTACGTAGCTTATGCTACAACGGCAGCTTAGTCATTTGAATGGTTGTAAGCTTGACCACCGCCAAGTTTGAGCTTCTTATACCAGTTTCTATGTCTGGCTGCACCTTGTCCTATACCGCGAAATCTGAAATTCTGATTTTTCAACAAAAAATATTGTGGATGTAAGAGATGCGTGACTTCTCCCATTGCGAATGTCCATGCCTATAGCCCAAGTCTCAAGTTACTTGAAGCCTGGTTTCTTGTAACTCAAACAGTCCTGCGGACTATTCTTCCCCTGGAAGTCGAAACACGAAGCGGTCGCACCAGACGAATGCTAACATGGCGGCAACATACCTGCCCTAATCAACTGAATTCGACGATATTACTATTACTTACGAAAAATACGTAGTTACCAAAGCCACCCCGGGGAGGTGAATAATTAAGTAGGAGGGCGCGGGATATTGTGTGAAATTTATGAAGTAACCTTTAATTTAATATAATTTTCAAAATGGCAGAGATCCACTTTATAATTTCGTAGAGCGTGATAAATATTATTGTTATAAGAAAAGTAAAAGGCGCTGATCTTTAAAATGAGAACCTGCAAAGGTTGCTCTTAACACAGACACACACACACACACACACATACATGAAACATTTGCTGCAGCGAAGACAGCGTAGAGCCCACTGCCCGAACGGCACCAGGCTGAACAGTAAGGGCGGATGCAAAATCTGTGGGAGGTGTCACTCACGTGAATGAGGTTCAGCGACATGTTCGAAGGGTGGGGCTCAACACTGACGTCGAAGAAAAGAGGAATCCCATACTGCGCCATCACGTGGGCCACGTGACCCCAGGTGACGCTACCGTTCCATTTGTCCGAAATGAGGGGCCATCCGCCCAGAGCCTTGATGACGCGCAACAGTGGCTGGAGCCCTCGCTCCTCTCTTGTCTCTGTGTGAACAGAAATCGGACCCAACATGTCACTGACAGGCAACGTCAACGATACCCCTCACGGAAGGTACTGACAAGTGATCGGTAGGACAGCAACACCAGCGCTCCTACCGATGGGCATTAGAATCAAGTTACTGGTAGGACACCAGAAACTTCATTTTGACCCACTATTACTTATGAAGGGGGCACGCGGTAGCGTAATTGGTTGAGGCACTATGCTACAAGTCGGAAGGTCGCGGGTTCGATTCCCGACGAGGTTATTGGATTTTTAAATTGACCTAATCCTTCCAGCTGCAATTCGGCCCTGGGGTCGACTCAGCCCTTAACAGAAGTGAGTACCAGGAATCTTCCTGGAGGTAAAGGGCGGCCGGACTGCCGGCACATGAGGCTGACAACCCCACCGCCATCTGTGAGCTGACTCTAGAAAATGTGGGAGTCTCGGCGTCTCACAACCCTATGGGCCTCCATGGCCTGTCACAGGAATAGCTTTAGCTTTTTTTAATATTCCCAAAAGAAAGCTACGTTCGGATGGTGGAAGCCTTGCAATTGCATGAAGTGCATACGTGTCAGGCTCACAGGCGCAGGAAGCGAATTCTAATCCGCAGGATGGCGACAGTGCTGCTTCCATCTTTGCGATTCTTAACTAGAAGCAAATAATATTCTTCCTTATTACAGATGAAAATTATTTAATTAACTGTGACATGACCATTGTTATCTCCTTAAATTATTGATGAATTTGAAAAAATATCTTGTAAACTTTCTACACAAACCTTTATTGCATTACATGCGTTTAGCAACTCGTGTCCAACGTGTAGGATCAGTATTCTATTATAAGCAAAAGTGTAATAAAGAGCTCCTTCCTCCAGCTGAGCAGAGAAGCGAGCCCAAGTAATTTGCATATTACCATTATCCACACAAGCAGTGTACATGAGCTTGGTTTTCCTCAGGGCCCCGGGATCGGTGCGTTTCGCAGGAGATGAGAGAATCGCTGCGGAACAAGACGACAGAAGATTAAACATTGGTACGTTGTGAAGGAAAATATTATCTATAGTGAGACCCGGGGTACCTGCTTAAGGAGATGCTCGTTTGTTTTATATTTGAGGAGTCCAGTGTGAGATGAGTGACATTTGTTTGTGCGCGGATGAGTATGGACCTCTCTTTCCATATTCTTGCCTCAGGAGGTCATTATGTAGATTCAGAAATGCTCACTTATATGTATGAAAACAAGAAATGCTCAAAGAACTCCAGATCGTGTTTCTTTCAAGTGTTTTAATCTCTGTTAAGATAGATAGAAGTACCAGAAGTGGGGTTAGACTCGGAGTAGACGCCGTGAGCCTAGTTCCAGATCGCTTCAAGATGCCAGACTCTCGTTCCCAACAGCGATACGTGCCGAAACAAACTAATGGAATTACACCAGGGTTTTCTACTAGTCCGGAGCGTGTACCCAGTTCTGACAAGCCACTTCCGTTAGACAAAACACGGGCCATGCAGGGTCAAATCGCACAGAAATCGCCATAATTTTTATACTGCGTGGTGTGCTGTCAAGTTTGAAAATCGCCCTTAAATAACTGAACGTAACTTTATTGCCGTCAAGTGAACTATGAAACTGCAAACCTCTGAGGCCAGCCTGTTTACAGAGTAAGTTCGGTTTACATCGAGTGCAAAAGAAGCCTAAATGCCACCAACAGGGACAGACAGGTACATCTCCAGCCCCCACAACCACAACCCAAGTTAAAAAAGGGATAAAATTTCTCACCATTTCCTCGCAATGAATAACGGGTAATTGTTGGGTGCATGAAAACCGCCACTGGTCTCATAATTTGCACGGCTGCCTAACTTGTTTGGGTTCCTGGCAACTGATAGGCACGGTATGAACAGACGAGCAGCACATATTAGTTTCTATTTAACAAAAACATCCCCCCCCCAATCCAAAATGGAAGTGTGACACGTGCCGGTATTGCTCGCGACAAGTTTGTGATGTTTCTTCTGTTGGGTTGCACCACAATTTCTGTACACGACTCAAATTTACAACACAAGCAGCTACATATTTTTTTTTAATAATGTAGTTTAATGAATGAAAATATAACATTGGCTTAAAACTGAAAGATTATGAAACTTTGTTAAGAATATAAATGTAAACACTTTTATGCAAATGCATATTCTTCTGTTTGAAACCGCTGTAACGCCCCCAGCTCTGGTTGCAGATGCGTCACTATTGGCGCCTGCGCATAGTTCGGCGGGTGTGACTTCAAAAGAGACGCTAGTTCCGCACAACTTGACAGAAAGTTTCAGAAGTGCTAACGCTTATACCTCCAGAGCGAGTTCGCGACAGTTCCTAGCAAGTTAACCTCCAAGGCGACCCACCAAGTTATTTGGACTTATTTATAGGAATAAGAATGACTTGTCAAATTGGGGAGAAGGCGCAATGGCAATGTACGTACATCTAATGGCATATGCCGTGGCGTTGTCGGCTATTTCAAATGGGCCCCAGCTCTTGGGTCCATTCAGCATGAGGTTGATGGTCCTGAAACTGCCACAAGCGAAAGCGTAGAAATCCTGGCACGGGTCTTCAGTCAGCCTTAAGGAACTCCGTAAATACTCCGCTGCAATATATTCAGTGCAGAGGCGTGAAACTGCTCCTTACAGGAGGTAGTGATCAGTGCAGAGGGCTCTGCTCTCAGTTGCACTGTCTCCAAACAAAGCAAAGGCTCACATATTGTGAAATGGCTCATTTCTGATATTACGTACGAATTAATCAAGAAATTTCGAAGAACAACAAACAGCTCACATGAATTGAAAGTCTTAAGGCGCGTCCACATTACTCGTGCTCGTGTGACTCGCTATGCTCGCGAGTAATGTGGACGATATGACAAGTCACGAGACAAGCAAATTTTAAATTTTAAATTTAAAAACTATAGTCAATAAATTAAAATACGACTACAGCCTATACACACTACGAATAAATATACAGATCCTCACACGCCGAAGCCTGGCGAGCAACTGAAGTAGTGTGGACGAAGATTTACGAGCACAAGTAAAAGCCAGACGAGTCTCCCGACGAGCACAAGCCTGGCGAATACGAGCACGAGCACGTACCTAAGGCTAACGAGCGGCCGCCGCTTGTCGAAGTTAGTGCCAACCTCAGCGGATAGAAGATGTCACGTGGACAGCGCAACGGATCCCCACGGCCGTTAATCACGGTTTTCTAGATCGGAGGCGCTATTTCCTTTGAATAGATCCTCAGTTATCCTCACGAGGCTGAGTGGACTCCGTTCCAGAACCACTACTACTCGGAAAATCTAGTAGCGCCGGGAATCGAACCCGAGACCTCTGGATCTGTAGCTAGGAACTCTGACCACTAGACCACAGAGGCGGTCACGAACCCAAGACTGACAGAACAATAATTACACGAAAACTGACCGAATGGCTCAGCCGGAAGTTCTTCACTCACAGTCGTCGAATTTCCCTCAGATACGTGTATGATATTGTTAGGCGTATAAGTTATTTTCTTTAATAAATACTGACGTTTTGATATTTGTTCTTCACTAATATAAAGAGTTGTCTGTGATATCCTTCAAAACGGAGACGAAACGTACCTTCTTTCTTGCAACGGCTGGTACGGCACGGCCTACTGCAGCGCACCACAGCGAGAACAGTAAGAACTAGAAACAGGACTCCTTGAAGCCTACACACAGAGATAAACGGCATTCATCAACAATGGAAACAGTTCTGTTAGAGACATGTTCTTCTGACTCGATGCCAAGTTTTCTCCCTGGATGACAAGAGCACCGCCAAATGAAAGAAAACAGTACGGAGTCTACATCCATAACTTAGAGATAACGAGTACCGGAAGTACAGTATGCCAAGTAGCACACATCACTGCTGGAGGGCTGGAGGATCTCCTGAGTGCGAAAGCCCAGAGCCCATCATAATTTTCCCAGTGCTCTGTGGAGAACCTCGTGGTCAAATAGAAAGGGAAATGTGACCGACAACAATGGCATAAGGAGAGTTGTCCCTGGTCGACAGATGGAGACAGTGCACATCTGGTTCTTGAGCACACTCATCGGTTATAATTTAGAGCTTGTGTTAACTGTAAAATTTAGTGCAGTGTGGACTGTACAGCCCTGCTCGAGCAATCGATCAAACTGATAAAGGTATGATAAGGCTGGGCTCCTATTGTATCTGGAATCGTTCGAAAACAAAGGAACGTCTGCAATTGTAAGCTTTCCTGAGGTACAGATTCTGTCCGCCTTGCACCCGATAAACTTATTTCAACTTTNCCTTACATGTTTCGGTCTCTGTGTTGTTTTCACAGTGAAAACAGCACAGCAGCCACGAGCAAACCCTGGACGATATAAAGAACCTCCACATCGAGATAGCCAGGTGGCACAATATCTGCCCCATATAAGAGACGATGGGAGGACGAACACGAGCCTGCATGGTTTACGAATTTTAATTATTGACAATCTAAAAAACTTTTAATTAGCATCAAGGAATTTTATACAATTTTTTAAAACTTACATTCCCAGGAAACTGCTGTGTTTGTGAAATGTTCTATTCTGTGTACTGTGTGTTGTAACATATAACTGTACGTACTTTGCGTGTAAACAAATTATGTGATAGTGGTTTCCTATTTGTAGTGATGTTTGCCCTCTGAAGATGGTCCACAGAGACCGAAACATGTAAGGGTGTTAAGTTTTCATGTAGTAAAAAACTTACAGGTCACATTGGACGGAGTGATTTATAATTTGTAATTGTTATTGTGACGGACCAGAATGAAACAAATCAAACTTATTTCAACTTTCCTGTACATTCGTGTGTGAATCACTGGACCACGTTCCCATACCAAAACACGGCGGCCCAGCGAACGTGTCACTAGAGCTGCAATAAGTTAAGTTGGTTTCACATTTGTATGCTGACTACAAACTTACTGACTCCCTCTCTGAGAAGCAAACCGCATTTCATGCAAGCCGAAACGTCGTTACTGCGTTCGCACGAGCCCGCCATTTGGTCATATCCTAAGCCAGAAGAATCCAGTCTGCATCTTAAGACAATTCTGATGACATTCATTCTTTCAGCTAGGCCCAGGTCCTTTAAGAGGGCCCTTTAGGTTTTCCGATCCAAATTGTACATGCATTTCTGATCTTTCGCATGATCCCTACGTCCACCTTGATTTGTCCCCCGGTTGTGTATATCGGAGAATATAACACTCTGAATGTATGTAGCGTTTATGCCGAGCCATTTGCTCAAGCGGTTAGTCGCTGGCCTCCCACCGCGGCGGCCCAGGTTCGATCCCGGGTCTGGTCAAGTGGGATTTGTGGTGGACAAAGTGGCGCTGGGGCAGGTTTTCTCCGAGTACTTTGGTTTCCCCTGCCAATCTTCATTCCAGCAATTGCTCCACAATCACCCTCACCTATCATCTGGGGCTGGTACAACAGGCCAGAAGTGGCTGCAGTACAAAGGACTTAGTCCCACCCCACTAGCAATAATAAAAAAAATATGTAACGTTTCATAGTGCCAATGAAATATACATGTTCTGTCATTATTAAATGTTCAACTATTTTTCAATTACTAGTAACACGTGAAGGTGTTTCAGTTTCAAAGAGAACTGTGTACTGAAACCGTGCCGTTACCTCATTCTCGGAGACAGCCTGCCGATATCTGGTCTCTGTGCGGAGCGCCGCGACACTGATCTTGCTTGTTTTGCTTTGTGTTTGCGTCGGCTACAATAATCTCGATTCTCAGATAGCCGGATCCTGAGTCACTCTTCCTCTAAACTGCCAACGAACACATTTCTCGAAGAGACTGCCCTAATTACAAGCAAGCCTCTAAGTCTCCGAAGAAAATCGGTGGGACATACAGACTTAAGCCTCGTACACCCTACGTCAGTTATTCAGGGGCTCAGGAACGACCAGGAGCCCAGATGTACTACAGAAGATGTCAATTGACTTTGGATGGCAAGTCCTTTGCACCGCTGTAGACAAAGGCAGGGGAATTTTGATTTCGTGAATTAATGTCGACTTTCATTATTTTGGAAAGGTTAATTTTGGTGTTTCCAGAACAAAGGGTTCAATTTTGATAAATTTAAAACGTGAGGTATACATACACAGAACGACAAACTGCACTACTACATAAGCAGGGTGAAGAGTCCACAGTGAACTGGGCATACTCGTACATGCTAACTACATCAACACACAAGCGGTATGTTCCTAGACATTACCCATCGCCTTGTCTACCTTCTGAAAACCGTCCTGTTTTCCGGAAATAGGGGCTAGTTCTGTCTATCGGACTGAGTAGGTTTTACCTGAGGACGGGGACAGAATCCAGTCTCCGAAACGTCGTTTTGAAAAAAGAAACAGAACGGTTTTTAGGAAATAGATAAGACGATTGTTAATGTCCAGAAGCATAATACTTGTAGCAACAGATCGTCACAAACTTTTACATCTTATTTACACCAGCATCCTTGGGAACCACACAGAGCGCCACGCCGCTGCACAAGTAAATCCAGACAAGGAGACCTCAAACAGAGTCGTTTGGATGAATGGACGACGACCCCAAACAAAATATTGACATTTTAACTTATTTTTATTGATTTTAATTAAAGTCCACTTATTTTAAGTTAAGAGATATCGCATTCACATGTGATATGAGAAGTTGGACATACCATGCAGTGTAACAGTTTTAGGGAATTGGAGACACCTGATGATGGCCGTGTGCGGCCGAAACATGTGCTGAGAAGAAAAGGGGGCAATAAGTTGAATTGTAGACGGAAATATACATGAAATAAATGATATATTAATGCAAGAGGATACTATTGGATCGTGGGGGGCGGGCTGGGCTGCGTGAGAAGCACGCAGTAGCAACTTGGAACTTGGGAACCAACTCAGCATTTGTCTGAAGACAGAGGAAAACCAAGAGAACGTGTGTCAAGATGGCCGGGGGCAGGGACTTCCGGATACAGCAGCAGTCCCGCATCTGAAGAGCGTAGAGGCTCCCTGAGGTTTCCTTAGGAGCATCAGAAACACAATGAATTCGCTACAACAATGCGCTGCTTATGAAATTGATGAGAATCTTCCGCAAAAGGTTTTATTCGTCAAAATAAATTTCTCGGTGCATGAGGGGAAATGGGTACCAAGTGGTCAATCAGAAGCTGGCCAGGTTCCCATCTCTTCTAGACAATTGGCTCACAGATGGTGGTGAGGTTGTCAGTCTTACGCGCCGGCCGCCCTTTACCTCCCGGGAAGATTGCTGGTACTCGTTTCTGTCAGAGGCTGAGTCGACTCCAGGGCCCCAAAGCGGCTGTAAGGATTACGTCAATTGAAAAATCCAATTACATCACCTGGAATCGAATCCGCGACCTTCCAGCTTGTAGCATAATGCCTCAACCAACCACACTACCGCATTTACGGGTTTTATACCTCGGTTGGTTGGGGTCCCCCAGGCCTCTTGCTCAGTTACTGTCCTCTCTCAGGCATTTAACATAACTTCACCCTTTACAGTCATGGACCATGTTTCACACCCACATACACAACTCACATATGGTTCTAACTTTATTCTGTATATTTTAATGTCGGATATTCTGTTCACAGTTCTTGGCTTTAAAATATGCTGTAAATTATAATATAGAAAGTGCAGTCTTCCGGGTTGTAACCCCACTTAATTCAGACAACCTGATGTTTTGGACGAACATATTGCCTCCATATTCAGGGATGAACAGTAAGCTCAGCTTGCCACCTGCTTCATGCTGGTTTCGCGTTTTTTTTGCTCTCTGATCCTGAAGATGGAGGCAAAATGTCCCTCCTAAACATCAGGCCCTCTCTGAATTAAATGCGGTTCCAATCCAGAGGCTATACTCTTCACAAGGAGTGCAATGTGAACCTCAAATTGAACATAACAACTTTAACAGTTCTAATCTTCGTTTCTCACTCTTATCATTGCATCTGAGCATTCAGACATCCTGACCTCTTCCAATATGTCTGCCAACAATGAAATCCTGTCTAAGGTTTGGACAGCTCCTCACAGTCTTCACGTGCTTGGTTTTATTTGCCTTCACCTCTAGTCCAGCCTCAACACTGCACGCGAATTTCCTTCACTCTCACCTTCAGGCGGCATACACATCACGTGGAAATGAACCGTGCCTCAAAGCAGCATCTGTGTCTTTGCCTCATTAACCTTTAAGCTTTAACGTCCGAAGTGCACCGATCGGTACACTCATGAGTGTGGGCGTCGTGGCCAAAGTACCCCGATCTGTGCATCCGCGCACGTACACGCCGCTAGTGGAAGCGCCCACACACTTCTAAGTAGTTATGTTTAAATATTGTAAAATTCAATGTACATACATTTGTCGTTATCTTCTTGATATGCGTGTATGTATATATATATATAATCTTCACCCCCCGCGTCATGTAACTGTGTGGTACTCATGGGAGCATCCGAGAACACAGTTCCACGTCACATATCTCGCATTTCGGCTGACTTTCTATGTATTTCATCGTCTTCCAAACAACGTTTCATTGCCACTGTATGATGAAATGAAACGATATTCGAGTTCACCATGAACTCAGAGAAGAGTGAACGCACTCTGTATCTCAGCTACTATGCAAGCGTTTGTTCGCCACTTTACTACAGCAACCTCTGCCGATGTTACGACAGTAGTAGCCTCTGAGAACGATTCATAAACTGCAAACTAACTGAACTGCAATCCACAACTGGATAAATAAATGGAGAATAAAAGCCAATGGATCCAAATCTGTTCACGTAACGTTTATGACACACACAGAAACGCGTCCTCCGGTCCATATAGGTAACATATACTCGTAACTCCCTCAAAAAGATGTCAGACATCTTGGGCTGCATCTTGACAGGAGACTCACGTGGCGAAAACACGTGCACTTAAATTAGAAACAATTGGAAGTCACGCTCAACAGAACGTGCTGGTTACTTGGACGTAATCCAGACTCTCCATAAACAACAAACTCCTAATCTACAAAGCAATAATCAACTCAGGGGAACGTCTTCCAGTTCCAGCATTGAAATATTAGAACGTTTGCCACTGAAAACCTTACGCATGGTAACTAATGCTCCATGGATCGTACAGAATGCAGTTATCCTAAGGGACCTTCAGACGCCAACAGTTGAAGAGAGAATCCGCCGTTTCAGCCCACAGCATGGCACTCGCCTAAGCGCACACCCAAACGACTTAGCTGTGAACCTTATGACTCAATCCGAAGACAACAGGTGACTATGAAGACATCTGCCACACGATCATCCTACCAGATTTTGAGTGTTCATTGTAATTACAGATTTAGTTAGTAAGCTCACTACCCAAATGTCCCAACAGGGCTAGAACCGATGAGTTACAGAGGACCGCTACTGAGTACTCCTCTATGTGACTGTATACGTTCGTACAACTCGCTGATTGTACTTGTACAGACTGGAATTAAAAAAAGATAGGACAATATTCTCTTGCAGATGCAATGGAAGGGCTTGACACTTTAGAAGGGAACAAAGAAATTTCCAATTTCCCTGTAAACTTCCTTGAATAGCCATGCTTTATTCTTCTGTCCTTTAGACAAAGGACTCGAATATCTGAAGAGTGTAACGGATGTGTGAAACTTTCCAGCAGAGAACCAAATGATTGCATTGCTTCCAACTCTTTTACGACACCAGAGAATGCGAAAATATGTCAAGTGTTACAAGCAGGAATGATTTTAGAATGCAGAACTACGCTGTGAAGAAGCTGGAAACTATTTCTACAGAACGGAACAAAATTACAAGAGAAAAACAAAAATAGGGGATAACTTTCTTGCCTAAACATTTTCAAATCTTACGTTATAATATGCGACACTGTGTTCTCACAGAATTATTTGGTTCTTGGACTTTTCATCATCGTCCGGTATTCTAGAGACTAGAAAACACGTTTATACGGGGCCCAACTGAGTAGGTGTCTTCCCCCCTCACCTGAGGACGGAAACAGATCCAGTTTCCGAAACGTCGTGTTTCCTAGTTTCTAGGCCCTAAAATACCGGGCGATGGGGGAACTCCAAAACCCAGTAATTCCGAGTTCTACATCTTCGTCAGAGCCCTTTAGAATCTACTGTGTTCTGTGCAGATACAAACAAAGTTAATTCCATTCATTTATCATAAAAATTGTATTAAACACAGCATTTTCAAGTGCAGTGCAAACGCCCTAACAGGAATGAGCATTTAAGGGCAGAGCAACGACGGCCAGTTCAAGCTACCACCATTTCCAAACTCCGGTGTCTAAAGGTTAAAGCACAGTGGTAACTATATGTACCACTTCCTTCAACATTAAAAACTCTGCATTTTGCCCACAGAGTATATTTGCATATTTCATCGTTCTCACAATAAATGACTGTTTCCCTAAACAGCATCAGTCGGTTGGTGAGTGTAATCTGTAAGGTAGGAAGTGAGATTTTAAATATATTAGAAAAAAGTCTCAAAACACGAAAGAAAATTGCGCATCTTTCAGAGGGCGACACAGTGATACAGACACTGAGAAAAGTACAGTGCTACCATGTGACATTTTACACAGCTTCTTACTTGACGTAGACTTTCACTTACACTGTGATAACCACACACACAGATGTATACATACAGTGTGACAATAGTTCGAAAACTGACACTACTAGTGCCATCTATCGGGAATGAACGGCATTAGTTGGAGAGAACGTTTATCTGTACGGTGTGCAAGTTTCAACTTGTCTGGTTAATTAGAATTGCTTTGCTGACGTTAGATTTTTTTGTCTTGTCGAAGGTTTCAAAATGGAACAAATAGTACTGATTAAGTTTTGTGTAGAAATAAGAAAACGGCTACTGAAAGGTTTTAAATGTTGAAAAACGTTTATCGAGAACAATTGTGCTTGAATGGCATATAAAGGTTCAAAAGCAGCTTGGAAAGTGAGAATGCAAAAATCGCATAACGTCTCCCTAAATCACACACTCCCAACAGCTAATGCACTACAGCACGCATAAAGTCTCCCTAAATCACACACTCCCAACAGCTAATGCACTACAGCACGCATAAAGTCTTCAAATCACATGTTAAATCTTCACAGACTGACTTCCTGTACTCTTGATTCCAATTCACTCTGAACTCACAGATGAAGGCTGTTGTTACATAGCCACAAAACGGACATGGACCTACAGTAAACACACATCACATGATCGCTATCCAACCAGTCTACTGGCATGTCGGTTGGATCTACAAAAAACACAGCTTCCTCCACTATTGCGTGTTGGACTGTGTTTACAGTTATTGCCTGGCAACGCATTGAACAAATCTGTTAAAACATGAAGGTTTCTCGAACCTACAGCGACCCCTAAATTAAAATATACATTTATGTGACTCCTGTCTCCCCTTAATAAAGCTATTTATGTCATTAGGATTAATGAGTAATAAATCCAGCACATTATCATTTACTAGTGTCTGCTGACTGCAACTACATGCTCTGAAAGCACAATCTCTACTAATTGCCAAAACTGCATGTGCTTACAGCTGTATTTTGAATACTTCCTGAGAACGCATCAACCCCTTTACAGCAGATCATGACCATGATGGGGGTCATGACCCATAAAGTAAAAGTAAGTAAAGCTATCCCTGTACCAGGCCATGAAGACCCATAGGGTTGTGAGACGTTGAGGGTCCCATATTGTGTCTACACAGTAGGCTCACAGATGGCGGTAAGGTTGTCAGCCTTACGTGCTGGCCGTGCTTTACTCCCCAGGAAACTTATTTAATTAATTCCTGGTACTCATTTCTGTTAGAGGCTGACTGAACCCCAGTGCCATAGTGCGGCTGGAAGGCTTAGATCAATTGAAAAAATCCAATGACTTCATCGGGACTTGAACCGCAACCTTCCAGCTTGTAGCATAGCCCCTCAACCAACTATTACTATTACCCAGGGGGTAATGAGCCATAGTTTGCAAAACTATGATACATGGGTTCAAGAACCATTTGAAATGAAAACTGCAAACCTAACAAAATCTGTGACTATTACTACAAACAGGAGGAGGAGGGGCAGTAAGCAAAGTGAAGGGACTGATTCACAGGCACAGGGCACATATAGTACAAATACAGCAGCTGTGTGTGGTATTTCAAACAGTATTTCATGACTAAAAGAATCAAATCTATATTACCATTCTCGGAGGCTGGTTTTGTATTGCATATAACTGCCTTCTAAAAGAAGTTATCGAAGGAAAGATAGAAGTGACAAGAATACGAGGAAGAAGACGTAAGAAGATGCAGGATGACCTTGGGGACAGAAGAGGATACTGTCATTTGAAGGAGAAAGCTCTAGATCTCATTAAATGGAGGAATTGTTTTGGAAGAGACTGTGGACCTGTCATCTTGACAGATTACTGACGATGATGATGATGAAGAATTCATATGTATCCTCAGAGAAGGCATTATCACACTACATTCCCCTTCATAACTCAAACATATATTTAAGTCTCTCCTGTACACAATATTCAATTTTTACAGAAATTATCACATGCCCCAACATAACAAGTATTAATTATTGATATAACAGCAAAGAATGTGTTGGTGTTACTGTCTTCTGGGATGTGAGACCTGCAGGTTGGTACACGGGCACCACTTCTTCGGAGGAACCCATTCCCTTCATCACTTACCCTGAAGATGGAGACAGCTGGGTCCCTTGAAACTACGGCAAAGGGCATCAGAGACCAGACAACAGCAGCCACCATACTCTCTGCTGCAGAACCTTAGCCTCATACAGCAAAGAACACATTCACATCTGTGCCTGTGCACATTTCAAAACGAAGAACACCTTTCCACTGGTTTCTACATGGCAACACAAAAGCAGAATTACCAACAGATTCATGCAGTACAGCCAAAAGCCATCCCACGTTTATCATGTTGCACATGTTAGATATTCCGTGAGTAAGTATGGTGAAGATCGCCGTGTGTCATACATTGTAGTTGGGCAGTCTGGACTCCAGGCGTCGCACCAATGTGCTGATGTGCATCGCGACCGCTGACCCAACATATGCTGCCACCTGCCAATTGTCTCGCAGTTCCCACAGCAGCACCGTGCATAGACACAAGATCACCAGCACCACCCAGCTTTCCAGAGTTCGGTAGCGTGAATGTCGGAGCAGGAGATAAACCTGTTGGGGCAAGAATGAACTAACTGCAGAGTCTGAGCCAATCAGATAACTTTCTCAATATTCGGTCTGAAGGTTCTGCAGCTAGATGTACAGCAAACACTGCAGTTTCACTGCTCTCTGTTCAGGTAGTGAGCTCAGGTTTTCAGGGGTTTCAAGGGCAGAACAGAATGGCGATATCCCAGTTTAGTGTTCCTGCATCTAGTAAAGTCATCCGTTTAGTGATTTTTCTGGTCCAGCATAAAGAATGTACTGTTTGATATTTAAAACTTTTATGCAAATAAATACATTGAAATCTTCTTGGGTGATCAGCCAGGTGTATAAGTTGAAAGCCAGTGTTTCAGAGTTCTCCTCCATGTCAATCATCAGGGTCAGTGTCACACGCAGCCGATATACATAGGATGAGGCATCACAGTGCCAGACTGAGGTGTATACTAGCAACATGCAGTTCTTCACCACATTCACCTTGCTGAATGAGAAGGCAGATCCCTGAAACACTGGTTCTCAACTTAAATACATGTGGCTCATCGCCCAAGATTTCAGTGAATGTATTACTGACCCAGATTTAGTGAATTTCAGTTCAGTAATTGACATTTGGTGCGTGAAATTTCTCATCTTTCAGCACTAGTACTTCAATTCAATCAAAACCACAATAAATTTCATGCTTTCTCTTTGCTGGAAACTGTTACTGCACAACCATAATCCTTGGCAAGTAACATCACATGCTGAACACACTTAAAGCACACCACCTGGGACACTACAGCTGCTTTTATTCTAGGTATTTTGTATATTCAATGATGTTATTTTAGAAATTAATTTCATGTAATTTTGCATAATCCACTTTGTAACCGATTATTACCTTCCCAAAGCCGTTCATAAATATTACTAGTAATTATATGATCTTAATTATAACGATGATACCCTAAGACTTAATATAATTTTTATATGAAGAGAGACATATGCTCAGTTCTTGCTGTAACTGTTCTGAGAGCTTTTAGCAGGGAATGTTTAGATAAGACTCATGTGCCGGAAACAATTCCACAATAACTGGTGTGGTTATGTGTGGCAGTTACCCAGCCAAGCTTAAGGAAGCTTCTAGAATCTTTCAGAATCTGTTAGAAGGTTCTGGAACTATTTAAATTAAATATATGAATTCTGCTGGCTGTACAAATTAGTTTTGTAGACCCCATAGTTGGCCAGCCAATCAAAGATGAATTACGTGAGGTATTTACATCATTTGAAGTATATGCCTATTAACTTCAAATAACGCTTTAAAAAAAGTCATTAACTAACCTTTTAGTGATCTAGATGCAAAATTCCTCACCTTCTGCTATCCAATTAAGGGCACCTACCCTTATCATTGGAGAAGAGTGACTAATAGTGAACTCAAGAGTAACGCCTGTAATACGTGTGGTTATAAGCATGGACAATTAAACATAATTGTTCTACTGGCTAAGAAGGAGTTTCAATGTTTCTTAGTGTTCCCCTGTCACGTTGAAGCAAGGCGTGTTAAGCCCTGAGGCAGATTTTCACGTTCTTCGATTAACATTGATTAGTGCAAACTATACTCTCTCTTAACCCACATGTAATGTATGGTTACGCGGCGCCCAACTGTTCCCTCACCACCTTGAGCCTGCCCACTACCAGTAGGACTCCAGGTGTGCAGCGCGGGTGAACACAAAAACAAGTGGGAACAGGAGTGGAGACAATGCAGGGGTGAGAGAACCTGAAGAGCAGTTACAGAAGTGGAATGCTGATACCTATTCCACTAGACACTTTCCTCACCACAATCCTACATGGACTCCCTCGGGACTGAACCCAGGCATTTGCGGTGGGAAGCTGGTGATAAATCACCTGATCTATATATTGGCATAATAACATCTTTGACATGAATACTTTAATAATAAAGCCATCACCCACCTGAAAATATCGCAGGACACCCTCACAGAGGAACACATATGCATGTGCAGCATTGGGTCCATCATACTCCTACAACAGAAACACCTGTCAGAATTGCACGGTTCCCGCCTTGTTATGAACGGCAACATGAAGCATACTGCATAAGATGTGGGGTTCTCATAACAGTGATCACGGACATTACTGTGTTCTAGGATGAGACACCATGCAGTCTGGTAGACAATTACAAATGTTTCAGAAACCTTGAAGATGGAGGCAGCAGGTTCCTCTAAAATGTTGGTAAACATCCACTAAACTACATGGGGTCACAGCCCAGACTGCACCTGTACATATGACAAGGCACAATAGCATTACAATCACACTCCTCATACAATTCTTGGCACTGACAGATCCTGAGATACGTACACAAAACGAATGTGGTGCACTAACCTGTAGATGCAACTCACTGAGAACTGACAGGCCTCGATAGAACCCAACCAGTGCAAGCAACACCGAGAACACTGCTGCTATGATGCCATGCCATGCCAAAGGCTCCAACTTTGTGGGAGGGCCAACTGCGCAAGAAATTGAACAATAAAACAATCACATTAGAAAATTACTGCATAAAAATACACAGAGAATTTTCAGTCCCTTAACGTACTTCCATGATCACTCTGAATACATACACAAGGACTGAGGATGGTTTCTAAAATCTGGGAACAAGAAAAAGGCAAATCAGCATTCACTGGGTTCCACTCACCCAATCGCACCATTCGTTACAACAAAAGCAACAAATTACAAAGCTTACCTGACAACTTGGCAAGGTTGATACTCAACTGGTAACCATTGATAACGGGCTCCACTTGTGACAACTGGACAAGGTAAGGCGGCCTCAACTTTATTTCTGTACTCAGATCTGTTAGGTTGATTTTTGTTGTTAGACTCTGTGGCTTATTGTATCGCTGTCTCGTCTTGTGTATAACACTGTCTGAAATTACAATACATCTCAGACTTTGAGTTCTCGCAGGGGTGAATCCTGAGACTACCTGTCTGCCTACCTACGTGACAACACCGCATCGCATCTCAGAAAACAGTGCTTTCAAAACACATCTTTGAATTAACCCTTTTAAGACTGAATTTCTTCTAAATACTACATATAAATTCAGTTCATACCTCACAGGAAACCTCATGTCTCCGTTATAGAGCCCAACGGGTTAATGCTGTTTATTGTGAGAACCATACAGAACACACAAATACAGAATACAGATTATTAGTTATGTTAAAGCCAGTGGTACATATAGTAACCACTGGGCATTAAAGGTTAAGTGATGCCATACTAACAGACAGTTCTTTGACGATGCTGTCAGTATCAAGACCATAAAGCATCAGTTGGTAGGATGATTTCAACAAATTTGGAAAGAAGCAGTTGTGGCCTGATCAGGACACTATTCCAGAATCTGCCTGCGACACTGGGGAAAACATGACACCATGTAATCTTGTAGGCATTACCAGTGTTTCAGAGCAATGTGCTACCTCTCTCTTCAGAACAGAAGAGTAATACTGCAAAACGTTGGTAACTATCCACAAGAATACATGTTGCTGCATACCAGGAGGAGGAATCTTTGTGGTTACTGCTGTAAGAACCTCACATTTCAGTCTTACATTCATGCTCAAACGGGACTGCTGCAATGGCAGCCAGCTCAATCCACACAGATACAATAAGACTGTGAAGTCCATGTGATCTGACAGCTTTCATGAATGAAAATTCAGGTACAAAATTCAGAAAAATAAAATTAAACAGATGGAAAAATTCTATCTCACAAAATGTGTAACATACTACATGAGCTCCACCATGTGGAAAAAATCATGACAGTCTGTCTCCCTCCAACATGCACTCATGTCATAGAACTCAAGTTTTCTTTATGTTTACTACAGTTTAGTTTGGAAAAAATGAAAACAGACTGCCCCCCACCACCCATCTTCCTAGCACCTATCTCCCCTCTGCATGTTTTTTCACCTTCCCACTGTCAGACGTATCTTGGCTATAATTTAATTTCTCTCCTTGCATTTTAAATTTGTTAGTGGTGCTGGCAGAGGAGAAGCATAAACTGTAGGTACCATGGGGGGCTGATAACTGACTTGAATCCATGCCATCTGTGTTCATTCTTTCCCTGACCCAAGTGCAATCCCAACACAAATCCATATATTGTAATCTAAACAAACATAACCTAACAATTCAAACTGCCAACATAAGTGATAAAGTATTCTAATTTCACTGGTAGGAGTGCATCCATTTGTCAGTAAATACTGTTAACTGTCAAAATACTGGTCAAGCAAGACAGACAAAGTTACAGGATACAGTATTATACAAGTGTTCTATAACAACAAAACCTCTTTTTTTTCACATAAAGAATTGTGAATAACATAAATTATATACATAACAAATTACAGGCCTCACCAAATTCAATAAATGAGTATGGTCGACGAATTAGATTCACTTTTGCCAATTCATATTTCGTTACAAATTCTTTCATGATTTCATTCAAAAAGCTGAACACCAGAACAGATGGATATGTAGCCTCACACATTGCAAAGTACGTCAGACCCAATGCCGTAATGAAACTGGAAGGTAAAAACAAATATTACTCATGTCACTGAATAATCATATCCAGAACGATTCTGCATACAGACACATTACATAAAGTTGGAATAAAATATAAGCAGTTTCTGTTACTCAAAACACTATACTAAAGGTATAAAAGTTTATTAACACTGCCCAGTGTGATTGATAAATGTTTTATTTTTTTATTATTTCAGCCTTTACATGTTTCAGTCCAAGCAACCATCTTCAGAAGGACGTATCAGTACATGTGGAAACAATATTACAATGTGATTGGTCATTATCAGTACATACAGACACTATCACAATGTCGTGAATTTAAATATTAGCCTTTATCAAAAACAGTGATGTGCATAAATTTATTAAAATGTTTATAAATTATCATAATTAGTCTATTTACAAATGTGGTTTAAAAACTTTGTTAAAATCTAGAACCAATTTGGTTAGTGTCCTTTATACCACTTCTCTTTAAACGAAGATGAGTGTCTACCATGTTGTGGTTAAGTTGCTTGAAGAATAGGCCTCTTTAGTGTCATCCAGCTTTTTGGGCCATGCTGTGTTATTATATGGTAATAGTAGTGTCTGTATGTATTGATACTGACAACTGTAATAGTAGTGCCTGTCTGTATGTATTGATAATGACCAATCACACTGTAATAGTAGTTTCCACATGTACTGATATGTCCTTCTGAAGATGGTCACTCTGACCGAAACATGCAAAGGATGAAAGACAAAAATAAATATCACTCACACTGGACGTCATTAATAACCTTTTATACTATTACTAGTGTGACGGACCAGGATGAACCAAGTAAAAACTATACTAAAATTCATTATGTGATTATCAATTTTCTCTTGGCACAAACTGTATAGTCCATTTTTTAAGGCAGACTCAATGAGATCAAATCACGAACTTTACCGGCAACACTCTACTACGTATTAACCAATCGATTCAATACTCACTGGACTGTGTGTGTATTAAGTTTCAGTGTACATCTGTCGGGAAACTGGTACGCCTTTTTGGCAAGCAGCTTTACATAACGTTTACTTTCCTTAATGTTCCTATTAACCTCATCGTTGAAGTCTGTAGTGGCAGAAAGTGCCATGCCATCTGCGGCACGAACTATTAAGGCATAAACAATCATTGTACAAAACAATTACACTCACTGACACATCCTACTCATAAGTCATGTGTTTATCTGCCTAAGTAAACCATTTACAAAGTTGTTATGTACACGTACACAACAAATCAAGCGTAAAACAAACAGACTATAATTAACTTCCAACATGGAACAGGAACAGCTGTTTTTCTTTTCTGACCACCATGTGTACCAATATTACAACTCCTACCATTAATAAGTGTAGAAATGCAGGAGCTACATCAACATGATCAACATACTGCAGTAATCTGGCACCTACCATTTCAATACCATCTTGTGTTTCTCGATAATTGCATGTGCTCATAACATTTTCAATAGCGGCCAATTTTAAACACCAGTTGACAACCTGTTCTCTGACGTAGACAATACTTTGACGTCATTAGGATGGAAATTTGAACTTGCATTATCTCTGTTACATTTATTTGCCGTGACATGTCAGCAGTAACTGATTTTCAGGGTTGGATGCAGCACTGGTAATGGGCATTTCCAGATTCTTTGATTATCCACTGTTTATAATCATCTCCGCCACTCCTCCACTCAATTACCATGGATAATTGACAGTTCACTGTATTTCCTCTTAGATCTCTCTATAATGTGACATGATGCGTGAAAGACAGAATAGCGGAGCCAGAGTAGACATTCATTGATAGGCAATGACTCGGTAAACATATTCCCATGGTAATGAATAATCGAGGTATTGTTGAGCTATAACAATGGAAAGGGTGTTTTCTGCTGGATCTCACCTGAGGGTATATAACGAGGATCCCAGACCAGCTGAGGGAATAATAATTGAGTCTCTTCAGGCAGCAGTCAAAGAGGATTAAGAAGAGATGGCAAGATAAGAATTCAGTGGTGCAAAGACAACTTCACGTGTGCTGCAGTGACAGTGAGATTGGTATAATTATTGCGTTGAAATTCATTGCAAGGATATGACTAGTGAAAACTGAAAATCCTACTGTGTGTGTAACAGTGAACTGCAAAGTGTGTAGATCAGCCATAGTGCTGTACTGCTTGAAGTTATAAGTTGACTGTATAAGTGCAATAAATCCAGTCATCCAATCCAAACCCCATCTATAAGTCACACCCCATAATGCACATGACAGTATATTTCTTTTCATACTTTTTACATCACTGTTTCACATACTTACTTTACATGTGTGATCCAGATATCTGTAATCATTGTACAAATCTTTAAGAGCCATTATATTTATGTGTCACTACAGAATACAGACAATTCACTATTATGGCCATTCATATAGTCTCAGTGATACTGTTTATCCATTCCACAGTCAAGAGACACAACAGTATTAAAAGGTAACCTACGCAGGTGACACGAGTAAAACAGACGTAAAAGAAAATCAGCTAAGCACTGGCCAAGTTATATGTAATCTTTATAAGCATGTTAATTTGTCCAATATCTTCACTCTGTTTTGAAACAAATGTTCACATTGTTTGTTAGTTGAAATCACAACTTGAAGACTTTGCTCCTGTCACTTCAATGAAGTCATGAACAAGAGTCCTTACCCATCTCATTCCAATCGCAAATCAGACACTGGTGACAGCCTCAGTAGCTGCAGGACATCTTGCTGAAGGACCTCACACTTTGCCAGAGATGCTTCAATATTGCTCAAGCGTTCCTCACAAGAATTCACCATTGCCTGGCGTCCCAATTCTTGGATCTCAACATCCCTCGCTTGCACAATGCTGGCTGCCTGCTGAAGAACTTTGTGATCCAGCACATATTTGCAAGTCACTTTTGACCTACTTCCCAATGGGAACAGAATATTTGCATGGTGAAAGCTGGAATCAGGGAAAAGTATGACATTGCGATGAAAGTTCCTGAAACACCGCAACCAGTTGCAGAAGAGCCACATATACACTGATAACTTAACAATCCATGCAATCAAAGCATTGTGGCTTATGCAGAGCCGCCTCATTCTCAGGTGAATGCACAGAGGATTCCCCAGTAACACCTTCTCAATATCCGACATTGCGTTCACCTGTGCTCTAAGACGTACAAGCTCGGCTTTGCTTTGAACCTTGTGAATCTTGCTAACAGCCAGCCCAATGAATATGCTGAGAAGAACAAGGGTCAGAAAAAACATAAAGAGTAAGAAAATAATGTGACTTGTTCCAGTTGCTGATTCGAATGGAAGGAGGCTCGTTTCAAATCCCCCCACAAACATGCCGACAGTTGTAAACACAGAGGAGAGAGGATTCTGGAATAGTTTACTGGTCATGTTCCTCTCTGGAATATATGTCTCACTGTCATGAAACAGAGCATAAAAACTCAGAGAGAATGCTATAATCAGGAGAGAATACCAAGCTATGAATGTAAAAAATTTATAGGAAATTTTCTTGAACAGGTGAAAATATATTGATATTTCTGGATGTTCTCCTGTTAAAAGAAGTAACTGGGTCCATGCGAGGAACAATGTGACAGCTGTCAGGGAATTCTCCGCAACACCCCAATCACTGAATACGACAATAAGAGCCAACAGTGTGAGAACCAAATGTGGATATGTATCCCACCTGAGAAGATATTGCATTTGAGACATAAATAAATGAAAGAGGATTTTAAGAACCAGACAGAAGCAACAAATAACCAGCAAACCTATTGCAATGATCTTGAAGAAACAGACTGCTGTGAAATTCAACCTGCAAGATGAGCTGTGTTCATGATGGGAGATTATGTAATGCTGAAGTATGATAAAGGTCAGAAGCCAGACAAAGATGACATAAAATGCAAGATGGTAGTGGTAGAGGTTTCCTCCATGTTGCCATTTCAGATGTATGAAACTTGACAGTACAGGATGAAGGAGTAAGTGACGTAGCTTGTTTGAGAGGCTGATATGAACTAGGGGATCCATTTCTGGACTTGGACTGCTTAATGTCATCATCCCCGCATCCATCTCATCAAATAACAAATTTCTGCTCATCAAAACAGAATGAAGGTCAGCTGCTGGAACTAGGAAATCATACTTAAACAACAATGACTCATCATTTGGCATTTGCAAACGTGTATCCAAGAATTTTTCTAGAGTCTCTGGTTCAATGCCTGAGATTGGCATGTCACCTGCAAGATTTCTTGAACCAATGTATGAGCCATGTTCTAAAAGTATCAGAACAGTTTCCTGATCTTTGTTCTGAGCAGCATAATGAAGAGCAGTATTGCCGAGCCAATCCATGGCATTCACATCGAGTGGACACTGGAGGTCTGTCACCCCTGTTGTCCATTCTGTCACATTATTGGGCCAATCAAGAAGCAAAACGATACATCCTCTGTACCGCTCAACGTCTTCTTTACATGACTCCCCACACTTGTTCACTGTGACGTGCAGAGCTGTCTGTCTGCTCCCAGTGAGAGAATTCAGGCTGATCCTGCCATCGTGAAGCAGGACTTGGAGTACCTCATAGTATCCCAGTTCAGCTGTGATGTGGAGTGGAGTTTTCTGAAGTACAGGGTTCACAGTGTTTGGGTCTACGCCATGCTGCAACAGTAACCTAACAAACGGTGCGCAGTCTGCATTCCTGCATGCTGACTCGAGACAGGCACCATCTGCACCTATTGCGGATTGCTGAAGCAGCTGTGAGAAGCTGTTGAGGTCCCGTGCTTGCAGGGCTGCCAACAGCCGGGCCTGGTGCTGCACTGGGCTGATAGTGACATGGTCTGTGGGCTGTGTGTCCACCTCGCTCATCTCTTGGATGGAGAACATTGTTCAGTTGAGTCTCTGAGCAATGAAATGATCACTCATTATGTACCTTATCTTCTGGACATGACATATGAAGGTTAAAATATTCTGCATGTACAGTCATTTCGTGGACACAAGATAGCTCAGTACTTTTAATGCTTAGAAGAAAGGTAGAAATGNAGTTGTCCATGTGCTTGATTAATGAAGAACCATGCCATGAAGCCGTATGGGGGAGTGATTGTACAGATCCTGGTTTTCTTGACCTTGGCACTAGTTGGAGATGAGTGATTAGCTTCATGCCCAGGTTCCATTACCCGTGGTGCCCATTGGATTGGGGGCTGTGCAGCCCAAAGCTGGTCTGGATGATGTGGAGAAGAGAAAATCCAACCCCTAGGTCATTCAGGTTGTAGCCAGACACTATTGACTGTTTTAGTCCAGCTCCCAATAATAATAAAAAATACAGGAGCCAGAATAGCGTAGTTGGTATAGTGATGAGCTTACAGGCTGGATGACTGAGGGGTTGGAGTTCGAGTCCTGGTAGGGGTAAGAAATTTCTCTTCTCCATTTCAACCAGACCAGTTCTCGGATCCACCCAGCCTCCTACCCAGTGGATGTTGGGGGATCCTTCCTTGGGGATAAAGCAGCTAGGGCATGAAGCTGAGCATTCACCTTCAACTAGTACAGAGGTTAAGAACATATGGATCTATACATCCACTCTCCCATAAGCCTTCATGGCGTAGTGTTTAATCAGTTAAGCACAGGAACAAGTTTATTGTAATACTAATTTATCTTCTTCTTAATTTAAATGTGAAACTCATGATTCAAACTAAAAATTAACAAACTCAATGCTGAATTAAATTTAGAATTCTACTGCCCCTTGTAATGGGTTTTATTCTACAAATTTCCAATGACAAAAATGATTTCCTCTTTTCTTTAACAGATAGTATGTGCTCTTCCTCACACCTTCACAACAAAAACGTGCAAAAATGCATCTATCAGCTTTGCCATGTCTGTCCATCAGCATGTAACAACAAAACTTCTGATGTTTGTACTGTTGAGTTCTGCTTCAGTTTCAAGAGTAGTCTTCTGGGATGGTCTGCTTGCTGTGTAACCCTGAGCACTCCTTGAAAACATCACTTTCCACCTGACTACATGGCATGACATCCCAGACAACAGTAGCAGCCTTCAGCTACTGCAGTGAGAACTCCTAATCGAACATAACAATGGATGCCTTACAAGGATAACAACTCATTTCCGCATGCATCTCAAGTGTATGTCGCTATTTATTTATTGGATCAAAAGATGTTTCAAACACAAGTTGCACAGGAAAATGAAACATACACTTCAAGCCCAATTCACTTTTTGCACAAGTCTTCTGGTTTGTGAGGTGACTAACAAACACACTTACATGCCAGAGTTATCTGTGTGCACATTTCATTGCCCCTCTTGCCATTCCTTTCCAAGTTCTTGGCAATCTGCATTATGACATGACATGTAAATGGGAGGAATAGTTAATGAAAAAGAAGTCTGAAGAGGGCAAAAACAATCTGATACACAGCCAAAGTTTTCAGCTTACCTGTTCCAGGTTCAGTCCTCAAGCTGCATGCATGAGAGTGATAAAGAGTCTATCAGCAGCACAGTTATCTCCCCACTGTTTGTACACACTCCCAATATTTGCTAATGTTCCACAGCTTCCTACTGGCATGTCAACAGGACAGAGCCACTTTCCTGGTATCATTCTTAATTGGGCTGAGTGTTTGCATCTACTTCACTTTACTGACCAGTAAGCATATAAAGTTTCCCCTGGCATGAATTGAATTTGTAATGTACATTATAAAGCACTGAATGGTAGGACGCCTGATAACTGATTTGGAAGAAAGTGGTCGTGGACAACCCAAGAAAGTATCCTGGCATCTACCTGAGAGGCTAAGAATAAGGACAAAAATCAGTCATGACAGCCAGTATCCCAACCAAGATTCAAACCATACACCTCCCAAATAAAAGTGCAGCATTACCTTTACACTAACCTTCTTGTTTAATTAAGGCCTATGACATAAAGATGTATTGGGGAGTGGAAGCACAGCTGCACGCATTCTTAACCTCAGCACTATATGCCCTTGCCTCCTTACCACTGGTACAGGCTGCACAGGAAGCAGTGCGGGCTGCAGTCAAGCCCAGATGAAGGCAAACATCGCTGTCCCTGCCATATATCAAACATCATTTCTCTGGCTGTTGAGCTCATAGACTGATCACTATATCACCTGAGCTATGCTGACTCATTTTCACTGATCAGTAGCTTATTTAACAATACTGTAACAACATTAAAGGTCATGTAGCATGAATCTGATATATTTTTTAGAAATCAACAGAACTGAGAAAATGAAAAGTGGTTATGTATAAATGCAAGAATTCTCTTGTAGCACCTAGGTGTAGATGAGAGAATGTATGATAAAACATCTTAAAGAAACAGGATGAGGGTTCAGCCGGTTCAGGGTAGGTAGCAGGAGTACCAGGAATCTCCTGGGGGGTAAAGGGCGGCCGGAGCATAAGACTGACAACCTTACCGCCATCTGTGAGCAGAATGTCTAGAGAAAATATGAGAGCCTAGACGTCTCACAACCCTATGGGCCTCCATGTCCTGTTACAGGGTTAGCCTTATCTTCTTTACCTTTTAACAGTGTCATTAAAAACCACCTTAAATAATGGTAATGAACCTACAGGTTCCATAAAAAGTGGAGGATTTTTGGAACAGGAGATCATGACTATTAGCTTCACAAGGACTGTGCTCTGTGGAGTGAGGCACTTCACTACTTATTAATGATGTGATCAAGATAACAGCCCTCTGTACTGAGCTCTGTAATGAAAGAGCACACAAGCTGCATGTGGAACAGGTTTATTGTACTCTATCTGATAGTAAACACGGTTACGCACTTACTTTGGATATAAAATATATCTGTACAACATGACAGTACTAAAAAGACAATTTTTAACACAAATCCATTATGATTATGTGTTATAACAGTAACTTGCTGTAAGTGTACACTGTCAGTTACAACATGTAATCTTGATGATTCATTCTATGGACATAAATTGAATCAGGATAATCTACCAATTAAGCCCAAACCTTTAATAATGCTGGATTACAGAGCATTTCAAAATACTGTTTACTATTCCAATATGACAAACATGTGTTAAAGAAGCACTGTAAAAGATTACAGAGAAACTGTTGTTTCAATTGCTGAAGGCACTGTTGCAGGCAAAGACGGCCCACCATAGAGATGTCCTCCCATCTACAAGCAGAAGTATCTCTACTTCACACTGGTGTGAGAATATGACAGCAGCTGAGGTTTTAATGGAATTTGAAATTACAAAACTAAGTACATACAGGTGATTAAGAAAGAGACAGCATTTTCCCCTTCAAAACACTGTCCCCATTTCCACCGAATTTCTAGGTGCTATCCTTTTTGGGGCTACTGCCTCCCACTGCTCATCTTACAGCCTTTTTCTGTCCCTCCTTCTCCAACCTTGCAGCTGTACCATTTTCCCACATGGCTTACTCTTCTACCCTGATGGAAGCGGGCAAAGTTCCTCAAAAAACGTTAGTATGTTTCTACAAACATACATGGCATCACATCCTGCCAGGCAGTAATATTCATAGTCACTACAGTAAAAACCCAAAATCTCAATTTGTTAAATGACTGTTCAAACTTGGTTTTCATCAGGCACAGAAAATGTGCTGGGGAAATGTGTACTTAGGCCAAAGCCTGCCAAATTCAATGGAAACTGTTGTGGTTATCAACACCACTAATGAATTGGGAGCATAAAACTTACTGAGAAAACAGTTCTCTGCATGTGCACAATTTTTTTGCCTATAAAAGCAATCACCATCAAAAATATGCAACCTCAGTAACCAAGAAGGCTCTGGGAACGGAGTTACATTTATACCAAGACACTAAGCTTGACAGAATAGCAATTTGCACCGTAGAGTGCTCCTATTCCGAAGCATGCTATGAACTTTCTCAGCAAAAACCGACATTGCAATACCAATTCAAGCATACCTTCCACTCACAAACACTTTATTACACACTTCTCAGGATAATAAACACACACCACCCGCAGCCATTTAGGGCTGCCATCTTCTGTTCCCTCTCTTAATTACTACCATGCCAAAATGCTTATAAACATAACAGTACAGCAATTGCTGGCCTTTCATATGAGGATAATTTAAATTTACATGTAAACAGAGATATTTAGAGCCCATTGGTAGATGGTATCTTATTTATAAAACAATGAAAAGATGTAACTTAACCTCTTCATTCTAAAGCTTATACAGGGTATACACAAAAGAATGGTGCGGTTTCAAAAGGTAATAAGAAATTTATTTCTCCACTCACATACGCACAACAGACACCTTCAGCAGTGTCAACTGTCCCAAGTTTTTATGCGCTACCAGCAGTTCGCTTCACATGCTTACTGCATGGTCGCAGGGCCAGTTTCAAAGATGGCGTTGCAGCAGGAGAAAGTCTTCTGTGTACTCCGTTTTGAGGTGTCCAGATCTGCGATTGCAGTGCAGCATGAGTTTCGTGCATGGTTTCAAACAGACGCACCACACAATAACAACATAAGCAGGTGGTACCGACAGTTTGTAGAAACTGGATGCTTGTGTAAAGGCAAGAGTCCTGGTCGCCCTCGTGTGTCTGATGACAACACTGAAAGAGCGCGTGAGACGTTTCAGTGAAGTCCCAGCAAGTCAGCGGGTAGAGGAAGCAGGGAATTAGGGGTGCAAAAACTGACAGTGTGGAAGGTGTTGAGTAAGCAGCTATGTTTTAAGCTGTACAAGATGTGATTGGTGCAGGCCCTTAAACCAGCAGACAAAGTGAAAAGGCGTGACTTTTGCGAGGAGATGCAGTTGAAAATGGAGGAAAATAGGTTCGTAGAAAGACTGATCTTTCCAATGAAGCCACATTCCACATCAGTGGCAAGGTGAACAGACACAATGGCTGTATCTGGGGAACCGAGCGACCACACGCACAAAGCACCAGCGTGACTCTCCAAAATCATAATTTTCTGTGCAGTGTCCTGCGAGAAAGTGCACGACCCATTTTCCTTCGCTGAAGCAACTGACACTGGCGACTCATTCTTGGACATGCTGGAAAGCTGGTTGTTACCCAAACTGAAGAGCAATCATGACGATTACATTCTACAACTGGACAGAGTTCCCCACCCCCATTTTCACAGGAACGTATGAGTGTTTCTCAATCGTATTCTTCCACAGTGCTGGACTGGACGTGCTACTGCAAATGGAGACAACAACCTTCTCCCTTGGCCACCCCATTCACCAGATATTACACAGTGCAATTTCTTTCTTTGGGGGTTCATTAAAGACATATGTACTACCATTGCCCACGTCCATCCATGAACTTCGTGATCGGAAAACGCACACACTGCAGGCAATTACAGCGGACATGCTACACTGGGTCTGGGATGAGTTTGATTACCATGTGGATGTGTGTCATGTGACCCAGGGTGCACATATGGAAGGTTTGCAACTAACGCATGAGAAACTTGGACAGTTGCCACCAATGATGGTGTATGTTGCGCCTGTGTAAGTTGAGAAATAAATTTCTTATTAACTTCTGAAACTGCACCATTCTTTTGTGTATACCTTGTATTATTTGTCCAAGTTCAACATGTAATATGCAACTGATGTACAGTAGATAATTTCTGCTTGCCATCTAGGAGCATAGCACAATACTTCTCCAATGTTAACTTCATTAATGCTCACTCCTCCTTCCAGCTGCATTACAACCCTGGGGATGACTCACCCCCTAACAGAAATGAGTACCAGGAATCTTCCTGGGGATACGGGGCAGCCAGCACGTGAAGCTTCCAACCTCACCACCATCTGCAAGCCCAGTGTCTAGAAAATGTGGGAGCCTCAATGTCTCACAACCACATGGTCCTCCACGGCTTGTTGCAGGGATAGCCTAACCTTCTTCTAGGAAGTGAGGGAGTTACGAATGTTTTAGAGGCACCCAGGAATCAGGCTGTATCTGAAACGTTATCTTACTACCAGACGAACATGGTATCGTCCCAGAAGACAGTAATCTTCATATTCACCAGCTGACAACCTCAAATCTTCACAAACACTTCTGCAAATCATATGCTCCGGCCTGACTTGTTTTCATGTGTTTCACTTGCAGTTAGCCACGTAATCTGCCTCACCCTGTATACCTCAGCGGGATCGTCACATTTTAATGAATTTATCCTCCCACTCTTTATACAATCTCAGTGAAACAGTAAACAGCACTTTGAGTAACTCTGTATTCCAAGTTCATTTACTGGTCAGATCAGATCAGGTAAATTACTGCTGGTCTTCACCAGCACAGTCACTCTTGGTTCTGAGACTTGTGGGACTCCTGACCATATTTTATTCTCTCACGACTCTGGGAGTTGTGCAACTCTCTCTGTTATATGGTAAGTGTCTATGACATGAATTCTTTAACATATCGCTGGTAGGTCACATCACATATTTACATTACAAATATTTCATAAGAGCTTAATGAGTTTGTGAAGTACTTCTTTACTTTGGTGGAGCATCCTGCCATGCAAGTTGGAGCAACTGTAGGCCTCACTATGTAATGATATATGTCATCTCTCAGGCCAACTGCTGTTCCCCAAGCTCCCGTAGTATGACTGAACTTTCCCAACACTCACCATCAAAGTTCTAGTGAGATACAACATTCAATTTCCCTTGCACAGAAAAGACTCTGTCCTTATAAAAGAAAACATGAAACACTGCATGCAAATTGCTTAGAGTGAAAGATTGTTTTTCACATTTATATTAACATATGGAGACTCATACTTGGAAAGTCCCACTGTTTATTTTCCAGTGTTGATTATCCAGTATTTTGGATATTTACAATGCCATGGGCGATTTAACATCTGATTGTGTACTCTGGAGCACTATTAGAACACAATTCTCAATGCACTCACTTAAACATGACTGCAATTACTTCCTCCTCAGTACTCAATGCACTCACTTAAACATGACTGCAATTATGTTCTCCTCGGGCTGCAGGAGCAGTCCGCTTAATGTGCACCCACATCCAAATACACCCAGGAGAGAATTCAAGGGTGGATTTTAATTTGATTACATGAAGCAACCATACAACACAATGTCATTATCAATTTGACCGAGGAAAACTGATAATCATGAGCTGCAAAAATTTGCCAAAGAATAAATGTGGTACATGTATTAATCCTTTTCCATCATCTGTTGGAAGGGTTCAAACATCGTAAATTTCCCAGAAAGGTACAATGAGAGAAGTTTTTCACCACATTAACATCAGGTCCTGAAATATCCTTCCAACTCTCTTTCAACACACTCACATGGGGAGCACCACATGGCACAAGTTTTATATTTTCCCATTCTAAAGTATCTCCTGTATTTGGTAAGCATGATGGACAAAAAAGGTTAGAACAAGATTAAGATATTTAAATGTACAATACTGACCAGATAATTTATCATTCAGTAGTCCACAAAACAGTTACCATAGATTGTAAGGAAACATATTTGGGAGAATGTAAGATTTGAGGCTTTCACGGCGGTCACTATGAAGAAAGCAGTCTTCTGGGATTTGGCACCGTGTATATGTGGTGTTAACCGACGTTTCGGAAGAAAGAATCGCCTCCATCTTCAGGGTAGAAGAAAAAGTATAAGAAATCTGCAAGCGAAGAGACCGTGAGAACCGGTAACCCACCCTGAAGATGGAGGCGATACGTTCCTCCGAAACGTCGGTTAACACCACATATACACGGTGCCAAATCCCAGAAGACTGCTTTCTTCATATTTGGGAGAAGTTTTACCACAGTGATAGTGAGACTAAACTGAACGGGATCGGAACTGCCATACTGTGAGATGAGGGTCACAGTTACCTAACTCTGTGCACCTTCCACTCAAAACACTGATGTGTGATCCGCAGGCCCGTTATTTCTCAATATCTACATTTTAAATAAAACTGTACCATGTTTTACTACATTAGAAATGCACGCCATTTTAGTTTTCCTGTTCTACAACATCAAGGGAACCCAAGGGATAAATCAAAAGTAAAGAAGTCTTGTCACGTTACAATAACACAGCAATTATAAATACAAAAGAAGTTTCATATTTTAAGCAGACAGAACACATATTAATTTGCAGATAATTTCTCGGTGTGGCAAATACGAAGAGAGATTGCTGATACAAATGGCCAGACAGAGAAACACACACAGCTCTTGTGGTGCCGGTTACACATCAGCTATGGTCAGCTCTCAGAAACGAAACCTCATCAGTCCTGACAGACGAACACATGGTGAAGCTGTGTACCAGTGCTACTCAAACTGGGGGGCATCATCAAAACACTTTGACATCGAGGCAGCCTGTGTCCATCTGTGGAACAGATTTGTCTCGTATCAGAAGTAGGTTACGGCCCTTGCTTAGTCACACAACTTCTTACCAACAGGGTTTCTCTGTATTGACTGTGTGCAACTATTTTCATCAACAAATGTACTAGTTAACTTTCAACTGCAGTCCTCAGACACCCCACACTGACTCACAAGGGAACCGCTTGCCCCACCAACCTGTCCCATCATGAAATACATTTTAGCTGTCTCACAGGCATCAAGTGATTCTTTTTTACATTAAGACTTGAGGTTCCCACATCAGATATTAGGATTACAGTTTTCTGGGATATGATGCCACACAGTTCGGTTGAGAGATACCATCATTTTGGAGGAACCTCCCACCTTCAAATTCTGAGCAAACCAACAGGAAGAAGGGCAGCAAATGGGAGAATAATGGTTCTCACTTAATGAACAGAAGGTACAGGGAAGTCAGCAGAAGCAGAGTAAGTATACAGTGACCCTTTAAAGGGCTCTTTTCAAGAGGAGAGCAAATGGGAGAAATAGTGGCTCTGAGCAAACCAACAGGAGGTTTTGCTTCCATCTCTGGTCACAGTCCTCCCTACATTTTCCCCATGATCAGCTTAATCTTCCGTGCTGAGGAGTGAGGCAGTGTGATCAAACACTGCCAACTACACACCAGATGACAGTAATACTCATATCACTGTGGTGAGAACCTCAAATTTCATACAAATGCACTTTACACTGGCAGGGAACATTTCATTTCACCACATACACTGCTTTAACAACAGTAAAAGCAAAATTATCCCTGCACTTAATTAAGAACTGTGCCATGAAGACATAAGAGGAGATGTAGGTACAGCTCCACCATTCTTAACCAGATGTGGGCGTGTGGTCCTTAGCACCCTTTGCATAGGAGGCTGGGTGGTTTCTATTTCTTGCCCATTGCAGCAAACTGAACCCTGACTCCTTGATCACTTAGGAACAGTAGAGAACTAAATTTCTGAGGATTAAATTTCTAGAAGAGTGTGCAACAAGAGCATACTCTTGAGTCATCATGCAATCCAACATACTTAGCTGCTCACAGAATCATCATCTTCGGAGCAGTAGCTGAGAACAAGGTCCAAGATGAACTCGGCATGAGGATTTTGCTTTGGACCTGGTGCAGCATCCTTCAAGATCTTTCCCAACATGATGTAATGCTTGTCGTGCTCATACTCGTGCAGTCTGTTCGTCAGGTACACCACCTGCCTCTCCTCTGCCTTCAGACGAAGCATGCTTCTGTCAGCAATCCTTTCCAGATCACCAATCGCCTTTCTCATTTCTTCCATCTTTTGCTCTGCTGAAATACCAGTCCGTTTGTCCACACTAAATGAACGGGTGACCTTCTTCAGACTTGGTAATGCCACTTCCTGTTTGTTTTGTGTATTCAAGACTGTATTAGTTCTATTGTCACATATGTTGCTCCTTAGAGTTTTACCCCCACCAAGGACAGTGTTCCTTCTATTCATATCAGTGCTTGAGTCACACTCAAGAGAATGACTGGTGTCCAGGTCACTAGTGCTCACATGTACATCTTTTGGTCTATCATCACTGGAACTCACTTTGCTAATGTTGGCATCCTGACCGACTTTCACCTGCGAATTTAATGTCATCATGTCAATTTCGCTATCATCAAGCAACATCTCTACAATCCACTCATCATCTGCACCAGTGCCGCAACCATCTGGTTTGCTTGGCTTGACAGCAACCTGTTGCGGTTTCTTCATCTTTTTGTCTACTGCGACAACTTTCTTTGGTTCTAGCATTCTGTTCGCTGCTTCTGGGTTCTTCTGCTGGGACGTCTTGGCTGTCTTCACAGCAGGCAATGGCGCCACTTCATTTTCTCTCACTGAAGAAGTTTTTTTTGTATTTCTTTTTAAAACAATTCCCTTTTCTTTTGCACGAACTTTATTTTGTTTACTTTTGTTCAAGTTCACGTTCTTGCCCTTCACAGCCTCAATCTTCTTCTTCTTGATCTCAGGCCTTGGATTAACTGCTGGCTTCATACTCGGTCTGTATTTCAGATTTTTAAATGAAACTTTTTTTATTGTTTTCTTGGCTATGATGGATGGCACCACTTTCTGTAACTTTGTTTTGTTCTTATGAGGCACCAGTTTCTGTGACTCTGTTTTGTTCTTACTAGCCACAACTTTCTTCTTATTATTTGAAGCTATTCTGATTGCGATACTTGGTCGATTTGATGGTGAAGTTTTCAGAATTCCCTTTGGTCTTAAAACAGTTTTCTGTTGTGATGATTTTCCCGTAGTTTTCTGAGGTTTTGGTTCTCCTGCATGTTTACGTTGTGATGGCTTCCCAGTAATTTTCTGTTGCAATGCTTTTCTAACAATCTTCTGCTGAACCTGTCTCCCTGTTACTTTTTGTTGCCCTTGTTTTCCCACAATTTTCTGCTTTGATGGTTTTTCTATAACTTTAGGCTGCAATACTGGTCGCTTCACAACATTCAGCCCTTTTACTGCTTTCACTACACCATCCTGCACTTTCCTCGGTCTTCCAACCTTTCTCTTCTTCACTAATGAACTTTCAGTCAGGCTCACTTGCAACATCTTTGAAACTTTCTCCAGGGTTTTCTGCAAGCTTTGAGGCTTTGTCTTTGCATCCTGCACTGGCAATGACAGCAGATGTTCTGGTACTGGTATATTGAGTTTCTTCAGAACAACCTTTGCCTTCATGAAATGCTTTCCAGAGTCCTCTTTCTCCACCTCCACGGCTTCATATTTCACTTCGTGTTCATCTTCAGATTTGCTCAGAGGAACTGTCTGCTCATTCTGTTCGAACCCTTGTGGGGATATAGCCACCTCCATAGCTGATGTGATGGGAACTCTTCTGTTCGAAGATGACTGAGCCACTGTAACACTGCCTGCAGATTCTCAACTCAATGTTTGTTCAGACAAGCCACTAATTTCAGAAGAAGAGAGCTTTCTTCTCTTGCCTCCAGGAAGTGACAAGCCTTTATTCTTGTTAACATCTGAAGATGCCACTGGATCAGATGTTGCTCTTCTTTTTCTTAAAGCAGGTGTGCCAACAGTTACTGCCTCAGAGCCTTCAACAGCCATTCCTGTCTCAAGTCCCAATGTGGTGCAAAATTCTTGTTTGTGTTTTCCTTCTGAATCTCGATGTACTCTCATGTTCTTCTGAAGCTGACATTCAGAATCAACAGGTACATTTCCTTCCATGACAGAAACATCTGGTAACTTCCGTTTCACTGCTGGCACTGATGTTTCTGGAACATACTGTGAGCTGGCAGTGCTTACACATGGAGAGCCAGCATCTGCAGAAAGTTTTCTTTTCTTAAGGTTTGTTCCTTCTTTATCCTTTTCCAACTGTTTTGAGTTCTTTTGTTTATAAGTCTCAATAACAACTGTGGGTTGTGTTTCTCCAAGAAGTTGACCAACAAGTGATACAGTTTCAAAGGAAATGTTTCTTTTTGTAGCCCCTGGGGGACTATTTGCAGGTCCCCCTTGCCTGGGAATGTTCCCCCTTCTGACGATGGATAATGAAGCAGGAGAACTCACTGAAACTCCAGCTGTCTTGTTTTTACTTTTCTTAGAATCTGGCAATACACCTAATACCCTTATGACAGGTCTGTTATTTGAAATTCTCACCTCCTCCAGTCTGGACAATTTAGAATCCGCACTGAACACAGAGCTGCTAGGGGTTGGCTGAACTCTTCCACCTGTGTGACGATCAGAATCCAATGAAGATTTCTTGTTTGTTGTGCTGTTCACACAGGTTCTGGATGCTTTATGAATTGACTGTGAGGCCCGCAATGGGCTAGAGGATTCATTTTCACTTTTACTACTAACAACAGGACCAGCATCTGAAGCACGCACCTTCAAAGGAACATTTGGCAGTTTCGCTTCTTCTGACTTACTTGTAGCAGAAACTATGGCTTGGGCCTGTCTGGCAGCAGCTATGGGTTTGTTTACATTTATCTGTTCTTTTGATGGATCTTCCTTTGTTTGAAATGGTGACCTATTAACATCAGCCACACCTTCCAGTTTCAATTCTTCAAAAATCAAAGTGTCCTCACTGGCCAATGCTGGGGAAGAAACAGGTAATGTTTTGGACATGGACATCTGTGACCTTCCATCCATTTTGCTTATACCTGTGGGCAATGAATCAGTATTTGTTGAACCTTTATCGAATGCTGAGGTGTCTGACACCTTACGGGTGAGGATTTTCACTTCTTCCAATTTTGAAGGTGCTTTAAGTTCATCTCGTCTCAAAATAGATATTTTCAAATCTTTTGATGGGGAATCCTTGGTACAGACATCTGTAAGAAGTTTTTCTCTGGAAACTTTTCCATCAGCCAAACCTCTGCTTACATTTGCTTGCATCATTCCTGATTTTGGTAAAACATTCTTCATTGTTACCATTTCAACTGCTGCTGCTTCTTGTCTAAAACTTTTTGAAGTATGTCCTTTATTGGCACTAGACTCCTGTGATGAGGTTTGGGTTGTGGAGACTTGAGCAGCAGATTCAGTTTTGTCCGAGTTTGCAGCAGAGAGTGTTGTAAACTTCTGAACTACTACATCTGCATTATCTAAGACTACCTTACCTTCCTTAACATCTGAGGTTTTACAAACAGCCTCTGCATGTAATGGATGTCTGGGTACACAGTCTTGCACCAAACCTGTAGGTTCACCTTTGTTCCTGTTTGCAAATGATGACACATCTTCCTTTTCAGAAGTTTCAGAATCTGCAGTCGGGGCTGCAAGGTTGCATGCATCTTCGGAATCTGAATCAGCTTCCAAACAACGCTGTAATTCCTCCAGTTCTGCCAACAGTGACATGCTGACAACCTTGATTCTGCTTCAATTCAAATACAAGACTGACAGGAGGCAGTTTTCTTTCATTGTGATGTCAGAATGAGCACACTGTCCTGCAGCACTGTGAAAAACAAATCTCATGTAAGTTTTGAGGTCTTCAAAGCAAAGACTCTTCACATTGTAATCTCCCAGCTCTTGTAACCCTGTGTAGTCTGGTAGGTCAGAAGAACAAGCTGCCTCTGTTCTCAGAGTCTCGACAGCCAGACTACACAGGATCACAAGAATGGTACTTGCATACTGATGGGTGACCCCTGCAGATTAAATAAGCACCATGTTGTCTACCAGTTCGCACTGTCAACCAAAAATGCTTATTTTTTAAGAAAATAAAACCAAGAGCCGAAGCTTGTGAACTTGTCTGGAGACAAACTGTAAGGCAAGGTTATGAACTTTGTTTTTACAAATAAAATTCTAAGGTTGGCAGTCACTAATGTGGCGGATAACACTGCAGTAAGTTTTACAGTTACTTGGATCACCCATCAATATGTGAGTACATCCAGAACTATTAACACATTTTTTCATCAATTTACTGTCAAATTTAACCAGTTTGCTTGATTCACTGGTTTCAGTATTCTCACTCAGTCTTCAGCAATTACATATATTACATCATTTATTTTAAAGTTCATCCACATACCAGATCTTGGAGCAAAGTGGAAACATCAGGTATATTAAGCAAGTTGTTTCCCTTTCATTTTATTACGTTCATTCCACGACATCTAAACGAAGATTCATACACACTCAACACTCGATTATCTGGGATAATGGTGGGGATGATAATCATGATTAATCGAAAACCCAGTTAAGACAAATTTTATTAAAAGCAGTACTGTAATACTGTACCTTCATAGTACTACAGGTCTACCTGTATTTAAATTTATTCAACCTCATTTTTATGTAATCTCAAGGCCTGTTTAATACTTGTTTTTACATTACACTGACGTATGAATTAGTTATTTCAATCACAGTGTTCATGAACATCCAATACATTTTATGAATATTCACACTTAACACTTAAAAAAAATATAATATTGTCGCTTGCTTTTTCCTTTTTACAGATATCCGTACGAAGCCTACGTAATATTAGCTTGTCATTTAATAAACTGTTCTCTTCACTCTCAAGATAGTCTAGTAAGGATTCCAAATGATTAAGAGCAGCACCATGTGATATTTTCTTACTAGCAGCACTGTCCACCTCTTCCTCATTCTCACTTTCTTCCCGCTCTTCTGGCTACACCCCCACTGAACTTACGGTTTTGTCACTGCTTAACATTTTGAAGCCCGGCTGACATGAGTTTCTGTTGAATACTTAACACAACACGCTTCCTTTTACACCCTGACATTTTGCTAACACACTTGAAGATCGATACAAAGAGACTAACTGGGTCGGTGTATCTGTCGTTGAAACTTTCCACAAATCCTTGCATTCTTTCACCCTTACCCTAGAACATTGTGTTAGCATAACGGGACCAAAAAATGCAGAGCTCGGTTCACACTAGTGCGAAAATAGTGTTACAACTCACCATGTGAAACAAAAGTGAATGAATATTAAACAACATATAAGCCTCAAGAAAGCCCCGGTAAAGCCGCAAACTGGTTTATCCACCCCCGGATAATCGAGAGTTGGGTGTAATAACTTTCAGCAACAGAAATCAGTTGCTCAGACCCTTGGGGGAACATGGCCAAATAGTCAGAGAGAGTCTGAACACACAATCTCCATAAACGTGTAATGATCTTGTCTATATTACTGTAACCCACACAAACCATTACAGACTGCCTTGGTGGCTGAAACATCCCTAATCAACACAAGGAATTACTGAGGTTTTGCACTTTTTCCATTGTCTGGAATTCTAGGTAACAGACGACACAATGTCTCAGAAACTGCATCTGTTTCCGTCTTCAGGTGAGAAAGGAAGACACCTATACAGTCGGTCTCATCTGAAGATGGAAACAGATCCAGTATCTGAAATATCGTGTACTCTATTACCTAGAATTTCAGATAATGGAAAAGTCCAAAATCCCAGTGTCATCCACCATCATCAGAACCCTTTAGAATCTACTTCCCTATCAACTGTGCCTAAAACGTCTCTGAGGGTGCATCATCTTCATCAGACAGTGGCACACAGGACATTTCACCATAGGAAACGTACCAGATTCTACTTTCACATGTGATGGAAACCAGAATCATCACACCAGAGAACTGACTAAACTCATGGGAATTTTCTTCCATAAGCCTGCCACCTCAAGGTATGACATACAGGAAAACTGTTTTAGGCACATTATATCATTACCACAGGGGCACGCGGCAGCATAGTTGGCTGAGGCACTATGCTACAAGCTGGAAGGTCATGTGTTCAATTCCTGATGAGGTCACTGGATTTTTCAATTTACCTAATCCTTCCAGCCCGCACTAAGCGCTGGTGTTGACTTAGCCTCTAACAGAAATGAGTACCATGAATCTTCCCAGGGGTAAAAGGAAGCCAGTGTGTAAGGCTGCCAACCTCACTGTGAGCCAAGGGTCCAGAAAATGTGGCAGCCTTGATGTCTCACAACCCTATGTGTCTCCAAAGCCTATCACAGGGATAGCTTTACCTTTATTCTACCACTACGATTATTGTCCTACCTAAATGATTCACAGAAGCATTCATACTTTACTCACAACAGCCAACAAATAAATTCAACAAAGGGAAGTTTCATAATTTTTACCCTTCACTGAATATTATTCAGATATCAAATCAAGATGGATGTAGAGAATAAAAATAAAAGTAAATGCATCACTTGCGGGACTTAGGCCAAAATGTAAAAACTATGTATATTAGAATCATCTAGCTCGGGACAGGGTCCATTAGTGGGGTTCTGTGAACAAATTAATGAATTCTTGGCTTCTATAAATGGAAGGGAATTTATTGACTTGCTGTGCTAATATTAACTTCTCAAAATAATAATAATAATAATAATAATAATAAGGGGCCAAGGGGAAGAAGAGGCACACATCCTCTCCGACCCCAGGGATATAGATGCGAATATATAGCCTCTCTATACTCAAGACCATCCATGCGTGATGAAGAATCACACCCTACAAGAGGTAGCCCCGTTGAACATCTTAACAGAACATGGCGGATCTAGAGGAGTAAACCTCGAAAAAAAAAATCCCCTAGCCCAAAGTGTACACTACCGTGCTGATGGACTACAGGAGCACCTGCGGCGGAGGGTGAGAAGCCATAAACGGTGAACTCCAAGGAGCGGCGATCCTTGGTTACAAGCAGCCTTACTGCGGCAGGCAGGGCAATACCGCAGCGGAAAGAATAATTCCCTAGCTACTCGTGGGACAGCGATGGAAAAAAATGCAAATGAATATATGTACAAAGGCAGAAGGAGTAGAGTGCAATCCTCTAACGATCAACAAGGAGAAAGGTAACCACAAAGAGGAAACTCAACGTGGACCACCTACAAAACAACCCAACGTCGGGGAACCAAACAACAAAGACAAAGCTAATATACGGACCCAATGGAACAAAGAGGAAATGAAGGAAGTTGTGTGGTGTTTCCTGGAAAACAAGCAAAAGAAAACTTGCATATTTATAGATGTATTAGTACCATTGGATAGGCATGTAGTACAAAAAGCAGAGAAGAAATTAAAATATAAAAATTTAAGTATCAAAATTCAGCGAATGTGGAACATGAAATGTTTTGTGATACCAGTAATTACTGGAGCCACGGGTACAGTTACGAGAGGGTTGAGAAAATATTTGGAACTAATTCCTGGTAAGCACTCCATAGATTCACTGCAAAAAAACAGCTATCCTGGGAACATCATACATACTACGGAAAGTGCTACAGTGCGAAGCTTGAAGCCTGAGTGGTGAGGTGCATCACTGGTTCGAGAAAAGGAATACCAGGAAATAAACCTGTGACAAGAGATGATGATGATGATAATAATAATAATAATAATAATAGATAAAGGCTGTTACCAAATGTCACAGTCAAGTCATATTCAGGATATCCTGTGTTCAAATCCTGGCCCTCAGACAAGTTACCCTGACAGAGGGTATTAACCTCTCACAGCAAATGTCAGGATCATACCTATAATTGGCCACAACCACTTCCTTCCACATTCTTTCCAATTCATTATTTATTGGCTGACTTATCATTTCATGCTATATACTTTGAGATAAATACAGACATTGTTGGATCTGTTCTCACACTGCAATGATTATGAACAGTATGGTCCTCTGAACTGTAATGCATGTAGTTTGAAGACAGCCTGATGTCTTGGAGGAATATAGTGTTCCCGCTTCAGGGTTGAAGAGTAAGCCAGGCAAGAAACTGGTAAAGCAGGCAGCTGTCACCTGCTTCTGCTGGCTTCTTCTCTGGCCTACACTGGACTCTCTCAAAACTACACAGCATTATAATCTAGACCACCACCACATTTGTCAAAGAAGACACTGATCCATGGACTTAGCACAAATGTTCTATCATTCCTAACTTGTGCCTATTCAGTGAATTTTAATATACTCGTCATTGCAAGCATGAAGCCGATCTACTTCTGAACTTCAGTGTACCTGTACACACAAAAGGAGAAGTTGCACATTACACAAAGTTGTGCAGCCTGAACAAAACATGTCTTAGTTTACTCTGTACTGCTATAACCTGAAGCTGCGTCCAACCGTACATGGGTGATCAATGAAATATGGCATATTGACTTTTATAGCCTACTTTCCTTATTTTCAGAAAATAAAAGTGGGCTTATGACATCACCTTGCTGTCTGTTTGTGTATCTGTGAATCCCCTCCTATCAACTTTTAAATTCCTCAACCAATCTTTATGAAACTTGGTTATCAATGTCATGGCACCTGAGCCCATCTCAACAGAGTACTTCATAAATCGGTCCCATCAGTCTGTGTATCCCAGCTATCATTCCTTGGTAAGAACATTACCACAGCAACAAATACATGCAATGTAGTTCATGCCATATCAAAGGAAAGTAGGTTAGTTTTCCCGGAACTTCCTGTTTAAATTGCATTTAGGGGTTAAAGTTACATTAAATTTCGGGTCTTTATGTCAACGTCAACCTACAGTTTCAGAATGCAAGATACAAATAATGGATCACATTTACTCTGGTCTTTCACATTGGCACAACATTCCATCATAACAACTCACTTATTGCGCAGGTCAAAATGTGATTCTCCTTATACGGATTTTCACAGTTAAAACATTTTCTGTGTACTGCTGGGTTTGGATTTGGTAATATTGCATGAGCACTTTGTGAGTTGGATACTGACGACATGGTACTCGAACAATTACACAAAACTGATCACCTTAAATGTCATATGCAACATACATATTTTACATTAACTTGACAACATTATTAACCTGCTTTAATACACGTCTTCCCTCCTCAAAAGCAACCCACGCATCAAATGGCTTCGTAACCACACTGTTCAAGCACAACTGAGAAATGAGGTATTAAAGGGTCGGTGACAACGAACTGTTAAACAACAACCTAACCAATTTACTAAAGTTACTAACATATTATGTGAAACAAACCGTATTATACGTTTCTTAAGGCTTTCAACAATAGTATAAAATGGCTTCAAATGGCTTCATACACTACTATGGTCAGGCACAGCGGATGCACACGAAAACAAACCGCTCTTTTCCAGACTCCAATATATTTAAATCATACATCATTACGTCCTTTCACCTAAGCCCTGGTCTTCATAAATACTTACACCAAGCATACTGTCATCAGTAACGTTTTACAGACCCAAAAACTACACAATAACCACCAGTATTGCAAATCTATTTCAGCGCCTACTTTGTCAAAACAAACTGACATTCATAGACGTTCATCGACCACAGAAAATATTCAGTACACACGCAAACGATAACACAACGACGCTTCAAATCGATCTTATTTCTAATCTATCGTGAGTTACTACTAATATTCATTTTAGGTAGCAACTACTTTTACTTGCATACTACCTTACTAATTTTTAGTTGCAAGCTGTTGAAAGTCTCCTATTGCATACAAGTGAAGAAAAACTTACCCTTTATCCATTTATCAATTCTTCTGCCGCCACTGTGTGAATGCGTAGCATAGTTAATAGATGGCGCAATTTCCGCTGTGTACATATGTGAATGTGTTTCTGATGCTCGGCGTTCGTTTTTCACCGTAAATAATTTTATTCAACAAATAAATATTTTATCCCGCATATTTTTTCTAAGTTGTATATGTGTCCTATACCAATTTTGAAAGTACTGAATTCCTTCCTAAGTGATTTTAGCCATAATGTTAAACCGGCAGTGCACGGGTACCACCATAAAATATGTAAAAACATGTCTTATCACGACCCAAGCGAAAACTGTGTGTGCTCGTTATGTGATCAGTTCTGCGATGTATACCACATCACAAGATGTAAAAACAACCATAAATCACTGTGTGATTATAGCAAAGGCTAAAACCCAGAATCTATGTAATGCACATTCGTGCGCTTTTCTGTTAATAATTAAATCGCTTTCCACACCTCGTACTTCCGTGCGAACTTGAGCGTGGTCTCTACCACCGAAATGATTGTAATTGTCAATGTATTTCAGTTTTCTCTTAACTTATCATTGAAATGACTCTCCAGAAACAAGGTACTCACGGCGCTAACGGCTAAGCTCTATGTGTTTGTCTGCCTATCATCACTGGCCCCATGTACATTCAATAAAAGAGAGCAGTTTTTTTCACCTATTCAAAATGTTGTGGCAGTCTGCAAGTAGATCACCATTCCCATCCTTACTACAAGGTTGGTAACCCCTCTGTACAGGTCCCTTAATGTTCTTATTGTTCACTGCAAGATAATCAGTATTATCTTTCAGATATCCCCTTTTTATTCCTGAAATGTCAGATGATTTCATGTCTTATATTGTTGAGCTAATCCCCATTCATTTTGCTTGGACCCTGTAACCACTACAATTTGGCTTGTTTCATTTGGTCAAATAATTCTGAGCATTCATCATCAAACCATGGCTTATTCATATAGAGAAACAAGTGTTTCCAAATCTGTTTTATATGAGTATAAATATGTAGTGTAGGTGGTTGAGGCACTAAGTTACGTGCTAGAAGGCCACGGGTTTGATTCCCGATAATTGACCTAATCCTTCCAGCCTCACTATGGCCTTAGGATCGACTCAGCCTCTAACAGAATATTCCTGGGGGTAAAAGGTAGCTGGCATGTAAAACTGACAACTTCGCAACCATCTTTGAGCTGGTTGTCTAGAAAATGTGAGCCTCACAACCCTATGGGCCTCTACAGCATGATACAGGGATAGTATCTTTTTACTGATCCAAGAAAATGTTGAAAATTACAAATGTTTTTAGACAACATCCATTTGCATTACAGAATTACCAAAAATGTGTACAGAGAAACAGGCCACTTGCTTCTGTTTGTTTCTTGCTTGACTCACTCTTTTTCCTTGAAGATGAAGGCAGTACATTCCTCTGAAACATTGGGTTGTCATTGCACTACATGCCATTACAACACAGAAGACAATACTCTTCATAATCACTGCCATGACCAAAGACGACAGAGCAAGCCATTGGTCCTAACAATTAGGGTTTAATAATGGTGCTGAGAATGTTAAGATAATGACAAGTGTTTCACAAGGCAACATTAATCACTGCAGAGAATTATATAATGTCATGACCCTCGGTATGGAAAGGATGCGTTCTTGAAAAATGTACCTGTATTGTAAACTGCATATTTCCACTGACTCCTATGTTATTAGGATTAGGATTGGTGCAATTAGAAAATCCACTGACCTAATTGGGAATCAAACCCATCACATTCTGGCTTGTAACATGGTGCCACAACCAACTACGCTACAGCTTCCCCCGTATAAAATAGATACAATTCCCAAAGAAGACAAGTGAAGAGGAGGTGAGAATACAGATTTCAGGTCAGGACTGGTGGGGGGGGGGTTGTAAAGGGGATGCTAAAACGTAACGGTAAGTAAAGTAAAAAAGTAAAGGTATCCCTTTAACTGGCCGTGGAGGCCCATAGGGTTGTGAGATATGTTGTCAGCCTTACGTGCCAGCCACCCTTTACCCCCAAGAATATTCCTGGTACTCATTTCTGTTAGAGGCTGAGTTGACCCCATGGCCATAGTGCGGCTGGAAGGATTAGGTCAACTGAAAATCCAATGACCTCATCAGGACTTGAACCCATGACCTTCTGGCTTGTAGCATAATGCCTCAACAAACTATGCTACTGCATGCCCCCAAGACATAATGGTATGTAACAGAAATAAAATTCCAGATAATATTAAAATGTCTTTAGAATTTATTATATCAACATCAGCATATCACTTTATTACTGGGACAAATGTTATTTAAAAAAAGAGGTACTACTAAGAATTATGGCAATGCTGTCCAAGGACAACTGTGACAGCCACAACCCAAAAATAAAATATTAGTTCATGATAAAGCAGTAAAAAATGAGGACTCAAGTCTTGTTTATTCTGGGTTGTGGCTATGTCTGTATAAGCACCAAGTCATTCTCCCTTGCTCTTCGTCTCAGTCGCTAGTAGAAATCAGAGTCCGAGCTGTGGTGGGAGAGATTCGTCTGATCTCCAGCAGCCTTCATCTCTGGTGATGTCACATTATTGTACATGGAATAGTCAGTCGATGACAGAGGATGCAGCTGCAGCAGTTGCGTCAGTGTCGGACGTTTCTTGAGACCTGCTCCAAACAAAACATTCTTTGCACTTAAAAAGAAGGTGAATACTTAAACAATGAGTAGTGTTTGTTCATCCGGGAGTTTCATTCTCCAATCTGCACACAGATTTAACTACATTTTGTATATTCTTAGTAAATCATTTTCCGGGTTGTATTATCATCATCAGACAGTAACACATATTGTTACATTGTTCATTAGAAACCTACCCCACTCTATACGGCCATTCATTTGGAGGAGGACCACAGTAAATAATAATTATAAATCATGCAATAATTTAATGATGAAAATGTAACTTGGCAAGTACATGCTTCCATCAATGACAATTACTTTCCCTCTGCCTGGAGGCACAGGCTGATTTGGCATTCTATGTTCACAAACGTTGCCGCTGCACGGTGCTTGGAACCACAGACTGAAGGAAACTGTGTGAATTTGGGAAGCATGTGCCAAGCCAGTGTTGCCAAGCTAAATTTTCATTGGTAAATTACTGTTGTTTATAATTATTAATTTGGGACCTCCTCCAAGTAAATCACCCAGCATGTTCAACATACAATGGGAACAAGAATCACCATACCAGAGGCCTCGCTGTACACGCAGGACTTTCCATCCATGAGGTTGCCTGCTTGAGGTACAATGTAGCATCACAGGTGTTTCTGATAGACAGTAGGGAAGATCTATGGGAACCCTGCTAGATTAATTTTATTTCAGCACATGTCGATCAGCCACTGTCCTTACATTATGCTAAACTCGAACTTCATGAAATTTGAAGATTACAGGCTTTTGGGATGTGACACCATGTAGCATGGTAGATCACTACCAACATTTTGAAAAAACCTAATGCCTCCTCCTTCAAGCGCCTTTCACCTTGAAGATGGAGGAATCAGGTTCCTCTGAAACGTTGATACCTTTCTAACAGACTGCATGGTGTCACATTCCAGAAGACAGTAATCTTAATATTCATCACTGTGAGAGCCTCAAATTTTACATAAGATAACTTTAGCTGCGTTATCTTGCCATACAACAATACGAATTTTAAATCTGGTCCTATGGGATTGGCAGCCATACTACAATTCTAGGGGAATGATTTATTGTCTGGAAATAAGGTGAAGGTACAGCTATGCCTGTAAGAGGCCATGGAAGCCCACAGGGTTGTGAGATAATGATGCTCCCACATTTTCTAGACAATTCACTCACAAATGGTGGTGAGGTTGTCAGCATTTTGCACCAGCCATCCTTTACCCCCAGGAAGATTCCTGTTACTCATTTCTGTTAGAGGCTGAGTTGACCCCAGGGCCACAGTGCAGATGGAAGTATTAGGTCAACTGAAAAATCCACCTCATCAGGACTTGAACATGTGCCCTTCTGGCTTGTAGCATAGTGCCTCAACCAGGTGCCAGGTTCCCCACTGTCTGGGAATAAGGGATTTTAAATCTTCAGGTTCTACAGAGCTGGTGACCACATTTTAACTTAAGAGGTAAAGGTACGAGTGGTAAAAAATGCAATGCTTAACACCATTACAATAATGCGTCTCGTAAAGGTTAAAGGTATAAGACGAAGACAAGAGAGTTACACAAATAAAATCAGAGCCTAGAAGACCACACTATGTTGGGTGGGTCCTTGCCACCATGGCATGGTGCATCCTCAGGTTGTGGACAGAGCAGACGGCCTCCAGATATGGAGGGTGGCTGCAAATATACTGAATAAGCAGTCGTGGACAGCGACAAGGGGTGGTCCTCCAGCTTGCGAGTTGGATGTAGGGCTAACAACTCACCATATAAAAAAAAGCTTACAAAATGTCACAAAGGTCCTTAGACCTGGATGGATTCTTTGGATAACGACCTAAGCTAAGGAAACTGAAGCATGTAGCATGAATGGGGAAGAAGAGGAATGCATATAGGATATTGGAGGGAAAACCAGAAGGAAAGAGACCACTAGGATGACCAAGACACTGGTGGTTGGATAATATCAAAACAGATCTTAAGAGAGATAGGATGGGGTGGTGTGGACTGAATTGATCTGGCTCAGGATAGGGACCAGTAGAGGGCTCTTGTGAACACGGTAATGAGCCTTTGGGTTCCATAAAATGCTGGGAAGTCACTGAGTAGCTCCACAATTGGCGGGTTCTCAATAAGGGCTCAGCTCCATGAAGTCAGAGGACTACAAACACACAGCTTCATTTTCCCTGTGCTTAATTAAGCAGAATGCCATGAAGATATATGGAACAGTGGATATGTAGCTCCATGCATTCTTAACCTCACCATTAGATGAAGATGAGTGGCCAGCTTCATGCTCCAGCAACTTTACCCCCAGTGCCCACTGGATGGGAGGCTGGGTGGTCCTCACAGCCAGTCTGCACACTGCGGGGAAAGGCAAATCACTACACCTGCTGGAAATCGAACCGTGATTCCCCAGCTGTCCAACGCATAGCCTAGTCACTATACTGACTGATCTACAATGACTACATTGTGGTTACTTTGTGTTGTTGCTTGCACCTTTTTGGAAGTTGTTTGGTTGTTGTGCCAGCAGCGTGACTGAGGGGTACATAGAGAGAATGATGGCAAGACATTCAGCCACATTTGGATCTGGGGCACAGGCCAGAGCAGGTGTCATTCCATTGCAGTCCACAGCAAGCACAGACGCACCCTTCTCCAGAAGCAAGCGCGTCACAGCAACCATACCATGTCGTGAAGATAGGTGCAGTGGTCTGAAACAGGGACATGCATCCACTACATCATATTTTGCCAAACACAACGTACTGTCCATTCTCAACAGAATGTGCAATGGATCTGACTGAGTCCAGTAACTGAGCTGAGGATAGTTATAAAAGGTCCTTTGTTATGGCATGTCAACTTCCCTCCAACAAGCCAGGTCTAACAACAGTCTGTAGTGCTGTATGTGGATACCAGCGTTTCAGAGGAACATTGTGCCTCCATCTTCAGGATAAACGTGAGTTGTGCAAGAGTGCAGTCAAGTTACCCAGGCAGGTTGCAAGGAAGGTAGCCATTCATAACCACAAAAAGAGGGAGGGGAGATAGAGCCCAGTCTGGGCCAATAGGAATACTGAACAGGAAGTACTGATAAATGGCCCTTATTACAGACCAGAGGAGGAATGTGGAATTATGTGATTAAAGACACTTGCCAGTGTCCCTACAGAAGATAGTGAGACATGAGATAACAGCCATAAGCTCTGAGCAGTGAAGTATCATCTCAGGAGAAAGGAACTATCCAGTCCATGGTGCAAAGCTCCTTTCTTTCCTTTGCAGAGCAGATAACAGACTTTTATGACTTGCTCCCTCTTTGTGCTGCTAGTGTGGGGCTCAGAATCTATCAGTCTGCCTATGAGCTGGCCCCTGCGTCCGGTTTCTTCCAGCAAGGCTGTAATTGGGCAGGACATGATGACCCAGGCTGACGCTATGTTCCATCACTGACTTCTGCAGGTGTGACAGTGGTGGTCATTCACCCTGATCTCTACTGAATGATTGATTTACCCAATATACATCCTCCGACACTCACAGGGAATGCTTGTATGCGCCTGGTGTTCTCAGGCCCAGGTCATCCTCCACACAAATTTATAATGTGTACAACTCTTTCTAAAAACATCTATTGAAAATCTGACCGAGCCTTACAATTACCCAAATAAAACTCTGTTACATATTCTGATAAAAGCTGTCACAGTCTTTATTTACTGATATCTGTTTGAATTCATGAGGTATTTTGAGAAGAAAAGGTACACAGCAGATCCCTTAGGACCAAGAAATATGAACTTCTTAATCATGAAAATGTCTTAAAAAGATGGTCTTCAAAATGCTCACACATTAATCATATCTCTTACAGAAAACTAATGCAATAAACATTATACCATTACATTCAATAACAAATACACTGCATGTTCCTGCTGCCATGGTTAAAACTGAACATCTGTTTGGAAACATTATTCTTCTTTCAGGAACACATCTAGTGTCATTTGTTTTCCTTGTCTTTCATACAAATCTTCCAGTTCTCAGGGGTTTCCAATGAATGCCCCTGATGTGTCAGGAATGCCACTTAGCAAGTTGTGGTACATATCCAATGGTCTGCTTCAGCACACTTCGAAACTGGTTCGTGTACTGTGGCCTCCTCTTCCCCATCCTCAGTTTCTGTATCGTCACCTTGAAAATAAGGTCATCAATTTCCTGAACTGCACAAAGAAGAAGATTGACATCAGCCTCTACAGTCTCCTCAGATATGAATCTCTGAACATCTTCCCATATACAAGGACATATTTCTGAGTTGTCATCTTCTTCATTGCGAGGTTCTGACATTTCACAGAATCTGGCCTTCCATCATAATTTTCAATCGTTTCCTAACTGACGGCATTCCATGATAATGCAAGCATACACATGGCATCAAACAAAGATCCTTTGTAGCATTCTCTATACAACAAGGACTAGTGGTTCAGTTGTTGTTTAGTCAGTTGAGAGTTGCAGGTGTAAGAAGTGAGAAGCTGGTAGTTCAGGCCAGAGAAATAACGTGTTCCCAGAGCTGTTCCCTACCAACAGCCATTGTACTGTTGCCTCTTTACACAGCTGTTACTTGGCAATGGGTCTGCATGTCACAATACATAACCTTGCACACAAAGACCATGCTACCAGCTGGCCACATGGAGGTCAGAAAGTCACTGCTAATTCCATTCTTCTGCCACTACTGAGCAAAACTGAGCACTGCAGCATATCTGATTCATGTAAGCATCATGTGTAAAATGTTCACCACATGTCCTTATATCTTTACACTGGAAACATTTTAAACAGGATATAAATACATTATTCTTACAGCATTATATTTGGGAACCAATGACCTTAACTTTTTAGGTAGGAAACCTTTTTAAATGGGATCTTCTCAAGCAGGGTCCACTCTGCATTGTACTCAGATAAATACAGTAACATTAAAAATCCTATAGTGATGAATATGTGAAGCAACCCATAACACATCAGCTAGGGGTTGCTGCATCTGAAGAGACAGGCTTGTAGTACAGTAGTTCTCTCAACAGGTAATACCAAGCATGTCAAGACTAGTGATTGGAGGAAAGAACAGGGTTTCACATGATCTATGCCTGTCAACTGACAGTCATTTGAGGAAGTACTGTGGGATTTTCTACGCAACTGCATTTACTCTCAAGGAGCTTTGGTGTTCTTAGCAGGTCTGAACACAGCCATTATATAACTGAATTCAATTGCCATGTTCACCATCTGGTTACATCAAGAAATGGTGAATACCCACTGGATCATTTGTACACATACGTGCGCAGTTCCTTGTTGGTCATGTTGACAACCTCTACATCATCTGTCCTCTGAAGTAAGAGGAGGGCTGAGCGATTGTGTTTACGTTGGCAAGCATGATGAAGGGCGGTGTTGCCCTGCAGGTCACAAGCCTTGATGTTTGCCTTCCAGTCCAGGAGCAACTCTACAACATGGAATATGTGGCACATACCAAACTGTTTCAAAGATTTAACTTGTTATAGCTACATAAGATGGACATACAACAGAAATAAACCAGATTTAACAGCACAAGGGTTCAGGTTCTCAAGGCAATGATCTCCAAAGGAGTGATGCTGTTTACTAAGGCAGTCAGGTACCACTGTTTCAGAGGAAAATATCAACTCCATTGTCTCTGAAGACAGAAGCAGTACATGTTCCTCTGAATTATGGGTACCTACCTACTGAACTATATGGTGTCACATCCCAAGAAACCATTGTCTCAGTGTGTATCAAATGCAAGGAAAAGGCAAAGTTCAGGAAGAATACGTACTAATCCAACATCCCTTTATTAAAAGCAAAATGTAGGCTTAGAAAATGAAACTTGCTATGAAAATTGTCACCGAAGGCCACATGAAGCAATGCCTTTCGTGGTACCCAAAGGTTCATTCCCATATAGACAACAGCTTGCTTGAAGCAATGCCTTCCATGGTACCCAAAGGTTCATTACCATATAGACAACAGCCTGCTTGAAGCAATGCCTTTCATGGTACCAAAGGTTCATTGCCATATAGACAACAACCTGCTGCTGGCCCCTACCCTAAACCAAATTAATACAGTCAATACTCTTCCTCTCTGTCTGTCTAAGATCCATTTAATATTATTCACCAATCTATGCCTAGTCTTCAACTGGTTCCTGTCCTTCAGGTTTTCCTACCAAAACTTTGTATGCATTTCTCATCTCTCCTACACATGCTACATCCTCTGCTCATTTTATTCTCCCTGCTTTGATCATCCTAATAATATGTGGTGCTCAGTATGAATTATAAGCTCCACATTATGCAACTCTCTCCATCTTGTTAGGCTCCAATATACCCCTCAGCACCCTGCTCTTCCCATAATGTCAGGGACCAAGATTCCCACCCATAATGTGAGTGCTGGCAGAAGTAAAACACAAACATTCAGTACAATGAAACAACTCTTTGAGTCCCTGGTGATAGTGATCCTTGTATTGCCACAACCTGTGTTCTGATACGAAGTACCAGTATTTCTTCCGCCTGAGGTTCTAGAGCACCTAGTGGCATCATCGCACTACACAGGACTTGCTCAGAGGGTTCTGAGTTTGATCCATGGTCAGAATGTGTGCCAGTTTTTCTGCTTACAAACTGAATTTCATCTCAACGCAAGACAAAACTTGGAATGCAAAGACTGCCAGCACCCCACTGTGTTTCAGTGCTGTGCAGCTGTGGGTCCCTCCGACAGCCACCACTCTCATGATCACCCTGACCCTAGGGCTGCCCCCACAACAGAAACAGATTCTACGCCCTTACCTAGGTGGACAGGGGGTCTATTCTATAATGCTGTCAGCACCCAGAGTAAACAGTGCTGAACGGTAGGCTGACTGATGACAAATTGGAAACGATCTGGAAGGGAGTCATCACAGCCCAGCTGAGGTACTAATCCCAGCATCTGCTTGAAGTAACTGTGGAAAACTATAGAAAACCTCAGTAGGTATAGCTGGTGTCCCAGCCAGGATTTGAACTGAACACCTAAATATAAGCATACAGTGTCACTCCCAAAACCAACTCACTTCAGTACCATACCTGGAGGCACTACAAACCATTCATTTAGGATTTTCCTCAATCTGATCTTAAATCCACTGGATGTCAAGGAAGCATTATGTGTATGCTGTCCATGCTTTCCCAGTAACACTCTGAGGCACTCACCAATAGCATTGCACTGTCCACTGTAGGCGGCCACAAGGAGCGAAGTCTTGCCGGTAACATCCCTGTCCTCCACACTGGCACCACTGCTAAGCAGCAAGTGCATGCAGTCTACGTTATTGTGGAATGCAGCTACGTGGAGGGGCGTGCGTCCCCGGTGGTCCCTCAAGTTTACGATTGATGGCCCGAAGTGTCTGATCAGCAGCTCCAAGCACTGTTCACTGCCTTGGAAGCTGGAAGGATGAGGGTGTGAAATTCTGGATAAGATGCTACTACAGTTCCTTAGTAATGGATGATTTTAAGAAAACATCATTGCATGCACAGAGCAGCAACATGAGGTATGAATATCTCATGCCTGTGACTGGGAAGGTTATGTGACGATGCTTACTCTGGAAGATAGCTATCGTTTCAGATGCACAGGCTGTCTCCATCTTCAGGGTAGGAAAGTAAGCCAAGCATGGGCAATGGGAAATGGAGGAACATGAGAATGGTCTGTTAAAGGGCCCATATTCTTTACACTGTTCTCTTTACTCCTACCATTTCATTCAGTTCTTTGAATGCAGTCCTCCATGTCCCATTTTCTTCATGCTTTCACACTTGGCTTATTCCATCTTGAAGCTGGAGCCAGAAGGTTTCTCCAAAACACTGGTACCAACATCATATCCCAGCAGACAGTAATTTTCATTCATCACATATCATAAGCTATCAAGCTTTAATACTACTGCCATTTCAGTAATACTAGGTGATTTCTAAAGGCATCACACTCATACAGAATTCAATTAACTGCCTAGAGGAATGTTAACTATGTTTGAAGTCACATTTACAGCTTAAACTGGGAGCATCTGCACATCTCCTGCAAATGATGAGCTACTTACGGATTGCTCCTGCACTTGCCAAGGCATGCGCAAACAAAGGAAACACAACACATCAAGTGTAAGCTGCAACAACTTCTGCATTTCTCCTCCTCACATGAAACAGCATTTAGTTTGAAGAATGCCATCTTCTGGGATATGGTACCACGTAGATATTGTATAAGTCGACGTTTCGGAGGAACACATCACCATCTTCAGGGTTAAAAAAGAAAAGAAAGAAAAAATCCATGAGCAAGGAACCAGCATGAACTGGTGGCTGCAGTTCATGGATGTTTTCTTTTTTTCTTGCCCTGAAGATGGAGGTGGTATGTTCGTCTGAAATGTCAGTTTACACAATATCTACAGTGCCACATCTCAGAAGATGGCATTCTTCATAGTCATCACCATGAAAACCTCAAATCGTACATAGTATTTAGTTGGTTTACATGACATGAGTATGGGATTTAATGTATTTAAGGATCATGTTTCAGCTTGGCCATCAAGATTAAAACCCAAACACAAAAGATTGGAAAGATGATAAAACAGAGCATAAAAAAACTTCCCTCACTTTGCAACCGGCCAATTACAGGGTCAGAGATAAAGCTCCACAATGAGGATGTGATAAGGGTGACTGCACACCTCAGGGGGCAGTGACAGGTGAATATGGAACAGTGGAATGATGACAATGATGACTGGCAGGGGAAAGCAATGAGACTCAAGAGGAGAAACCTGCTCTGGTGACACTTTATCTGTCATGAACCTCATATGAGTTCACTTGGGACTTAAGCCAGTGAGGCACCAGCACCTAATTTCCCAAGCTACCTCAATCCAGTAACTAACAAGCTTTATGTTACACTTCTGTTTTATGTTAACACATTTGCTGGCAATCCCAGCAGTCAACTTCATGACTGCATACATATCTGGCTAAGGTTGGCACATGGGACAATTCAGGGTGAGTTTTGAATAATTATATCTCGAACACATGGCAGCAAAATCCTATTCTTTCTTGATGATCACTCTTGGAAACTGCCGAACTGGTACATGCAACAATGTTTCTGATTACAGCAGGAAGAAATCATTGCTTATGGTACCAAAGTGTGAGGTTTCTATAGGATGACCCAGTCACTGTGGCAACAAATTAAATGCCTGGCAGTGAATCTGTTAAACCCATTATTCATAAACAAATGCTACTGTTGGTTTTAACTTTACTGCAGTGTCAGTAACAATATGATGTAGCCTTCAGTGGTGGGCAAATGTGAGACAGGACAGTGGGAACAGCTGTGCAAGTAAAGAGGGATGAAGAACTCAGCACAAGGGTAAAAAATGATTGGGGAACCTTGGTTCACAAGATTAACGTTGAAAACATCGGTTGATTTCATCTAATTCATAAGTATCTTTGGGCATGTTATCCACATTTAAAAATGTTGGATAAGGTTGCAGCATCGTTTGGTAGACAATGTTCTGGTAAACACTGCCAGGAAGCTGGGATATCAACAAACAAGCAGAAGTCCGTTTGCTAGGCAGCAGCTCGCTAAAATTCATTCTCATGTCAACAAAGATAAAAAAAAGGTTTCTATGGATGTGAGGCATCTTTGGATTTCCACTACAATGGATGCAAGAGACCAATAGTTTCTATTTGGTCCTCCTGAACTTATAAAAGAAACTTCATTCATGAATTCAATTCATTCATTCATAATAAAATTCAGAAGGCAGTTAAGCAGTTGAATACTGAGCTGCGAAGTGTTAACCAGGTAAGATTTGTTACCGAGCAATGACTAGCAAGCAGACATTGAAGACTTTATTTGTGTGCTATAGTTACAGCAATCTATATAGCAAATAAGTTTTTATGTGTTTCTCTACATTCACGCTGATGTTTGGCATGGAACTTTTTTCATTTGGGTACATTATTACAATTATCTTCTTTTAACCACTTCCTTTTCCTGCACTCTCTCATATATGCAGCATGACCATTACCAGCAGACACCTTATCGGTGCCTGACGTCATACGCTGGCAGCTTGCCTATAGTATCGCGTCATCCACTAAACAGTGGAATTAAATTAGCTGTATTTGTTATAAAGAAATGGCCATAACTGTAAGAGATGCAACAAAATGGACTGCATTTTTCAGAAGCTCGCACTTACTAACGGATTTCACTCGCAATATGTACAGATCCATCTACGTGCTTCGCTGTGCACATTTCCAAGGTAACGAAGTCAATGACACACTTCGGTTGTATAATGAATGTATAAGGGGTGGGCCTTTGGCCCTTGCACCGCGACCTACAGTGGTCTGTTGTGCTTATAGACTTTGGTTACTTAGTACTGAAGATATCAATAATTACAAATTGACACAATTTCTGTTACTTACATTTTCATCCCATTTGCACCCTCGTATAATAACGTTTTCAGCATTACCAGTGGTCAAGTGGGTGGTTGAGTGAATGAGCTCTGTTTTATGATTTCTGCTTTCCATCTTTTGTGAAATGTGTTATGTTCAACATGTGAAACAGGTTCGCACTTTGCAATTCTCTTTAATCATACATAAGAATTCCAACTTTCCCATTTGTTTCCAATTTCCCGCTGCAGACCTAACACACAGTGCCCAAGGGCATTATGAAATTCATTGTGTACTCTTGCAATAAGCACAGGAGCCACAGTTGTTAAAGCACTGTGCAAGTGTTGCAGCAGAGTTTTTAACATGATTCAAACCTCATTCCCAGTCTTTCTTTCAGCTACATAAGTAAACTTTCACTTCTTAATTTCACTGTTATATAGAAAGAACAGGAACCTCTACTTGTAGTACATCTGAACTTGCCTCACCTAACAACTGCAACTATGTACACACTTCTCCATTCCATCTGGACTGTGTGTACTCACTCCGCAATACACTCGCCTGCTTACGCTACTTACATTCTACGGCACCATTGCAACACACACAGACACTCTCAAATCGAATATCTGAAGCTGCAACTATGGCAAGGCAAGGTGCTTTACAGCAAATGCAAAATTTTCAATATGCGCTGCATATATAAGACAGCACTCACACTTACACAGAACAATGAACGGGCGAGAAGAGGTTCCCCTCCATGCTCCGGACATGCTTCTGTTCCAAAAGATGCTCCACGCAGTTGGCATTACCTGAAGACAGATAGTACAACCAAACACTAGTAGTTTGGATATCATCTTGAGCTTATTCAAACACAGCATTCTTGAAACTTCATGTTTCCACCACCAGGTGAGAGGGGGGAACAGCCACCTCTGTTTGGCCCATCAGCAGGAGCTCGTCTTGCTCACTGAACCTGAGTTTTGCAAACACAATTTTTCAGAAACTCCATCTGTTTCCATGAAGTGCAAGAATAAAAGGTTTGCATTCAGTGGTGCTTACTGGTCACATAATCAAGAGGAGCTATTTCTAACAGACACAACAGAGTGGGAACCTTTTCTCCCTTATGCCTGATGACAGAAACAGGTCTGGCCTGAGAGAAAACAAATTTAAAAAACTCAACATGCTCTAAAAAGTCCAAAATAACAACACGCCACTGTCAGCAACATTTAGACTTAGCATACTCATAACATGGCGCAACTGTTTCTATCTATACAATTTGGGTTTTAGGGTCCAAAATGTTTAGTTCTCCAGACAAAGCTAGTCCTTATCACTGTGCACTGAAACATATCAGAAGGAATGAGCTGCTTCCATATGCAGCTTCTTGTATGTGAACCCACAGAGCAGGAGCCCCTTCCATCTACCCAAAAACAGAGACAAGAGCAACTGTATGAAAAGTACTGTAGTATGTTGACCAGTTGCTAAGCAATGACTCCATAAACAACGGCTGTTGCTAGGTAACAGCCATATACGGTAACACAGGATGGTGCTCTCTACGCAGTACAAGTGATAGCCACATGATGAAACAATAGAAGAACTGTAGGAAGCTGTGTTCCTTGTGCAGTCCATGCCGAGGCTATATAATGAGCAGTTACAATTATGAGAAGGTCTTGAGACAGCAGTGAGAAGAGTAGGAGGTTGGTGTGAGATGGCCGCCAGCGCGGGAGTAAGTCTGTTGGAGCAATGGGCAAGTTGTGAGACAGTAGCTGGCCACTAAGAATGTGAACACGGAAGCTGAGGCATCTGAAGCCGCTACCAGGCGACAACTGGGGAAGATACAGCAGATTGAGAAGACTTCGTGTGTTCTGTTGAGTCTGTGAATTAGTGTCAGCATTACACTTGCTTGTACTTATGACCTGTAAGTGTTCAATAAATCCTATTACCAATCCAAGCCCCGTCTCTAGTCGCTCATACACGTGGCCATGTAACTGTCTTGACTGTAACGACATGTCATTTGGACAGCTCAACATTTCAGAAGAATATATCACCTCCATTATCAGTGCTGAAGAGTAAGCCAAACAAGAAGCCAGCAGTAGCAGGTGGCATGTTAAGGTATTTCTACTAGTCTCTTGCTTCTGTCAGTCTTTGATCCTGAAGATGGAGGCAGAATATTCCTGTGATGCTGCACTCTCTCCAATCTATGTGGCGTTACAATTCACAAGACTATACTCTTCATAGCCACTGCCATGAGAACCTCAGATGCAGCAAACCCATGAAAGCGCTGTACATCTCGTCATTAGGCTTCTGTGGCTTCAGCTTAGTGTATGACTGCAGCCATTGCAGCTTTGGGAAACACTGCAAGTGCCATCTTCAGGATTAATGACCCTGCGATGGTTGGAGGACCATCTGGTCACCAGAACATTTTTGAATGTGTTACATTTACAGTGTGGTTACTAAGCACAGCTCATCACTTCCTTTTGTGTCTATCTGATCACCAAAACTTTTTATACTGCCTGATTCACTAACCACATGGTCACTACCTATTGGATAGCACCCTGCTCTGCTGTTTCATCCAATCACAGCTTCATCTTCGACTCACCATTTGCTGTAACATTTGTACAAGACCCCCACCCCCTATAGTCATTAATCCCGGAGATGGAAACTAACATGTTTGACAAACACTGTAAAACCTTCAATATTTCATGTGGCATATTCCTAAGAGCCAAAATCATATACTTTACACCTTTTACTTATCAATACAAAGTGTCTCTCCGCTGTTCTACAATGATGACTACTGAATTGTGGGATGTGATGCCATGTAGTCTGGCAGAACATTACCAAAGTTTTGGAGGACCTGGTAACTCCAGCTTCATAGCAGAAGGCTAAACATTGAGAAAATGGTATGGTATAGGGGCAGGGAATGAATGAGTGAACCAAAAGGAGGCAGACAGAAGCCATGACCAACAGAGAAAGAAAAAATGGCCGTTTAAGGGTGCTTTGTCAAGTGGCAGAGTGTGATAAAGCAGAGATGAAGGATAAACTGAATAAAATATGGTGTACAGAAAGGATGAGGTAAGAGGCACTAATAAGGCACTGTTCTACAGGACTGTACAAGATTTGTAATTCTGTTATTTCTTCTGGCCCTGCTGACATTCTCCTCACCATTGTAGCATGCCCAATGCAGGACTGTACACCCCTGGCTATCCTGCAGTTCACTCATGTCTTCACTTGTGTTCCCCAGCAAGGTGGCAAGGCATGACAGATGGCCACAAGCGGCTGCCAAGTGCAGTGCTGACTTGCCATCACGATCCTGGAATGTGGGACTCGCCCCCCGGCCCACCAGGAGCTCCACAATCTCTTGGTGCCCATGCACCACCTGGAGGAAACCACAGTGTTAGCAACACACCACTCTCTTTACCTGTGACTTTAATTACATTATCACAGTGATGCCCACTTACAGCTCTGAAAAGGGCGGGATGCTGATCTTCGTCAACGAGATTTGTGTTGGCACCATACTTCAGCAACAATACTACGCACTCACTGTGACCTGCCGACACACCCAGCATCAGAGGCGTCCTGCAACAATGGCACAAGTACCGCTGAATTAATAATTTCAGGCACATCTGCAAACCTGTGGAGTGCCTACTCAAATCAGTGTGTGCATCTGTCCATCTGCACACACAAAACGACATGAAAATCACTGAACAGATATTCATTCAATTTGATAGTGGGGAGTATAATGAAAATTCGTTGACCAATTCCAGTTTGGTTACAATCAGACAAAAAGCTGACACTTTGCATAAGACATGCACATTTCTGTCTTATTCTCAAGCTTAACTCACACATAACTCACTAAATGTTCATCAGAACAAAAACTTTGCGGAATAAAAGCTGCAAAATAGAATAAAATAAAACATTTTATGCCCAATGCACTTCTTCCATACCTTGTATGGTTTCTGTGGTGAGTAAACAAAGGAGAGTTCATGTAGCAGAACTGTAATACTATGCCTACATTTCCAAACCTGTCTGCATTTGGATCAGTCAGACATGCACTGAACATGTCAGAAGAAGCAGACACGAACTTATTCACAATACTGTCAGTAGCTCAGGTCATATCGTATCCAAAAATAGGATGATCAGTGAAAAATGAATAGGAAAGGAAGCAGAAGGAGGCAGTTAAAGCCTAATTTAAGGTAATACTCCTCCAGCATTTGCATGGACAAAGTAAGAAAAGCCACAAGAAAACTGTCACAATAGGGAGAGTATCCAATATGACACATGAACACACATCCTCCCAAAAGTGGAATGGGTGTGTTAACCATTTGACCATGATGTTTGGTGACTACTACACATAGAAAGAGCCAGGAATGGTATGTAGATGGAAAGGGTGAAGACAGAGGACCAAAGGTAGTGTAGAATTATGCACTCACATGGTGAAGACTGAGAAGGAAACAAAGAAGACATTGGAAAGAGGATTTTGAGGCTGGTACAGGCATTAACTTGCCTAACTTGTGAAGGCGAGAAGCAGAAAAAAGGCCTCTGTTGGTCAGACTGGACCATGGCAGGTGCGACAGATCTGTTTCTTCACTGAATTGCTTCAGTAGCAGGATGCCAGTTAAGCAACAAGGCTGAACATGAGCCATGTTCAAAGTGATGGCTCGAAGAGTTGCCCATTCAGTCCGGTATCCTCCCCTCCTTCACCCCCCTCCCCCAAGGCAACTGTGCCATTACTTCCTCAGTTTATATAATCCCTTCATTCCCACATACGTGACTTTCCCCTTCATCCAGTTGTTTAGAATGGAAAGGCCCTCCATAAAAGTGTGCGGAGCAAACAGTTTGTCTCTCATACACCAGCAGTCAGCGAGGTAGGGGGTTAAATTCTGTTTGGATTCTTTTTCTGACCATTGAGGAAGAGGGACTGCCTCGTTGCGAGGCATGTGTTAGGAGCATTGCAACAAGGTTTGCTGGGATTTTATACTACTATGTGGTTGGGCTTGTATGCCCCGCTTTTGGGTGGCTGAGCTTGAAAACACAATAAGAGTTTTGTTGGGGTTGGTTCTGTATGTGTTTAGGCTTTCATTACCCCATTTGTGTTTCTTGTTCGATGTGATAATGGGTTAGTGTTACCAGGTGGTGAGTTATGTTCTTTTCTGGGTTTTCTGCCTGGACTGACTGAGCTGGTCATGGTTACAGGTTTGATTATGCTGCAAATACAGAAATATGACCAGAGATATGCAATGTCCTTACTGTTTGCACATGTTACAGGTTAATAGTCAGATTATTATGTTATTATTGTTATGGCAATTATTGTGTTATTTTTTTTTGGTTTTATTTACTGTCATTAAATAGTTATTTTGGAGATACTGACTTTTCTCGAGCAATGCTCAAAGCTTGGACACCCCAGTCCATCAGGGGAGCACTGAGAACAAACCAAAGGAACCAGGAACAAAATAAGCCACCATGACCAAACTGTAAGGGTAAAGAGGGTAGGAGCTGTTAAGTCTTCTAGGTTATGATGCCATGTAATCTGGTAGGTCATTAACAACATTTTGGAGGAACCTGCTGCAGCAAGTTGGTAACACTCTACCACAGTGCACACCATCTCATCCCAGAAGACCGTAATATTCACAGCCATGTGTGAGATTCTCCAACACTGAATGTGACGAATGTTAGTATCCTAACCGCTTCTTGTAGTCCACACTGTCCACAACCTGGCTCTCCTCAGTGTTCTCCAAGAGCAGCAGTAAACATTCCTTGTGGCCATTTGCTACAGCTGCATGGACAGGCGTCCGATGTGTCACGTTATCATGCACACTTACAAGAGCCCCACAGCGCAACAGCAACTGCACACACTGACGGTGACCTGAAACTCAAATGAGTCCCCGCTCAAGAAACTGGCAAGCTCAAACTCAGTCAAAGGTAAGTTGGCCAGACCAAATTCGGACACCAGTGTGGGCACATTTTATGCAAATTTGAAGTAGTGTGATATAAAAAATATTAATAGCCTCACTTTATGTGCAAAGTCTGAAATAATACATATTCCAAAATATTTGACAGGAATCACATGTGCATTCATTCCTATGAGAAAACTTGTCTTCAATAATGCAAGGTATTAATGAATGCATCCCTTGCATAAAGTGCAACTGCAATGTACACAAATGTGAATTTTGATCCATACCATACAACTTGCATACTATTCCAACTGCAAATTTTTAAGAATATTCAAAATACTGCTAGGGGTCGAAAAGAAGTGAAATAGCATTTCACTGCACTATTTGGAGGCTGAAGTGGCTTTTAACACAGTGTAATAACAGTGTACAGTGTACGGACGGTCTCCTCTCTGCCACATGAGATATCCATCGTTAGCACAACATGCATTTAGGTACACAACACAAAATTTCAATCCTGCAAAACGTTAGTTTTATGAATTGTGGCCCTACAACTCCAGGTGTGCAATATATGAACACAAATTGCAATATGTGAGCCCTGACATTACCTTTAAACGAGGCATGATCTAGAGGTGTTTTGCCAGTGTCATCTTTGATATTTGCATTTGAGAAGAGCGGTAACAGCAGTCGCAGAATATTACCATGTCCATGGTAGGCCTGAAACATCAGAGGTCCATGAATATGTGCTGAATATCATTTCATTTAATGAGGGTGCCAGAACAGGATGGCAAGCAGGACTTTCAGGTCTCAGCACCGAGGCACAGACGGCAGGAAACCATTACAATGGACATTCTGGAAATACGAGTAGGAGGAATGAACTACATTAATCAGATTCAGGATTTGGACCAGTAGCAGGACATTCTTCATATGATAATGAACCTCAGGCTTCCAAAAAATTCAGCAAACTTCTTAAATAGCTGAGCAACTGCTAGCTTCTCAAAAAGAACTCTAGATCATAGAGTTAGTTACTTGCTACCCACTAATATAGTGGAAATCCAATTTCATGTTCTTCAATTTAAGACTTTCCCTCAATTAACATTGAATTGTAATGAACCAAGTCAACAATGCAACTATAAAATTTCCATTTAAAATTTTTCACTGTTCAGCATTCAAATTGACAGATCCTCAAAGAAACCTTCAATGTATATTTCCTTTGCAACATACAGGTGAACTCAGCACTCACCGCTAAGTGTAAAGGGGTCACCTTGGGCATGTCATCACTACTGAGACTGAAAGACAAGCCAACAGCTGACAACAGGAACTCCAGGCCTGCCTGATTGCCGCCTGCCACAGCATAGTGGATTGCAGTGTAGCCCCTATTATCCTGCACTCTGGGGTCTGCCTTGTGCTGTAACAGGTACTCCACACACCTGCGTGCAAAACAGCAACTTTACCGGAACATCTTTGAAGACAGCAAACTTGACACTAGGACTCAAACATATATGACCTTTGCTCTTCCAGGAAGTATGCATAGAGAACAAAAGAGTAGAAGCAACTCTTACTTTCCCTCCAAGTCCTGTGCTGCTGCCTGGTGGAGAGGTGTGCAACCATCCACATCTTGCTTGTTCACCTGACTTCCAATCCCAACCAATGTAAACACACATGGATATTGGCCCTGTGCAGCTGCATAATGGAGGGGTATTCGACACTGTGCATCTTGTAGCTGGAAGTTGGCACCACTGCTTACCAGCAGATCGAGACAGTCAACTGACCTTTGAAAAGATGTGCTCATTATCCTGTGCCTTCAATATAGCGCATTCAACTTGTCAGACGTCACAGAAAACACAAGCATAAATTATCAGACAATGGCACATAACATTGGTGGCCAGAATTACTAAAATCGGAGTTGGTATGATGATATTTAGAAGTTTGAATGTGAACTGGATGTCACGGCTGCTTAGGAACCTGTTTCTCATGTAGCATGTTTTCTTATATTGAATTCAATTGCAGAAGAGGGATGAACTAATATTCTGCAAGACATGGCAATGGTCCCAAAGAGCTGCAGGGAACTCAGGGCCACAGTATGGCCACGTCAGGGACGTACAGTGTTGAATGTCACGGTAAAGTGGTCAGCTCTTTTGGCTTCTTACCTTGTCTCGGAGGCCAGTTATCCTAACAATTTTAAATCCCCCAATGCTGCGGTGATGGCGGCCAGATCTTAACTCAGAGCAGTAATTTTGGTATAAAAAAATGCCAGGCTTGCCAGTTGGGCAGTGCACATGAGCTCTTGCTCAGCCAGACAGAATGCATACATACACTGTCACAATAATGCAACAGAGAGAGGGAAACAGTTAAAAACATAAGAAATATACATTTTCAATTAGATTAACTACAACACGCAAGCAAGATGTTCTGTGGCTGAAACACAAGCTGTGTCCAAACTCCAAATACACAGACACTCACCCTTTAAATGCTGCCAAATGTAAGGGAGTCTTGCCCGTATTGTCCTGAATGTCAATATCAACCCCTACTTGCAAGAATTTACGACAGCATTCCACAAACCCACCAAGGCAGCACATGTGAAGTGGTGTCCGACCTGCGGACATCATGTTAGTATTAATAATTATGGAGTACTTGGGGGTAAATTGAAATTATGTTTCATGAAAAGATTAAGAGGGGATTCCATGTCAGACAGAGTGAGCTATGTAACACTAAGGTATCATAAGTTGTTTCCCATGGGTGTACAACTTGGTCTATCTGTTACAGGAATACAGGCTGTTCACATCAATGTGCTAGGGAAAGTATATGAACCAGATGACACAATATACAAGGGCAAGTCTGAAAGCATCCAGAAAATGTTTACAATCTCCCCCCAGTCAAAATTGGCCCCACTGCAAAGTGCACATGCAGCCCCAAGCATATAACCTCCCCACTGCTGTGATGACTTAGTTAACTTTGGCATTCATGTTTCACTTACAATTAGTGGCATCAGTATGTACACAAGTATTCGATTTTTGTAGGCTAAATTCGTTGACGACTATCGCCACAGTAAGGTGCAAATATCTGCCTCAGCGATGCATGTACAAATGGACTGACATGTTCCAAAATGGCCAAACAAGTGTCAGTGTGAAAGAACGTTTGATGCACACGTCCATGTAGATGGGAAGCAGTGGTAGTTTATGGGGAACAGCCATGCTGCTGCTGCTGCTACTGGCAAAAAAATGACTGAATGGTGAAGGTGAAATAGATCACTAAACAATAGGGAGGTTCTACACTTCAGGTTGCATACCCATTCAGCAGTGGGCCCAACTGCAAATAAAAAAAATACTGTCACGTATTATGGGTGACTACAGATGGGGTATGGATTGGATATTGATTCAGAGACACAATGTGAAATAAGTAATTACAACGCTATCGCTGATCTCCACACTTTACAAATCATGAGCACACACTAAGACTTCTCAGTCTCCACTACTCATTTCCTGGCAACAGCAAGGCGTTGCTCTGTAACAGACCAGTGAGCATACGTGATACATGCTGGCAACAGTGGAACAGCGAGGTTATGCAACCTGCTTCTAGGGAACAATTCAGTAAACAGACTTCTGTGCAGGCACAATGACATCACACTGCAACAGTACTAGCTATCACATAATTGGCGTATATTGACAGGAAGGTAATGTGTTGTTATATTTTGTTACATTCAATCAGCAGGAACTACTCAGTGACTACCGAAGAGAGATGAAAGAGTCAAGAAGCAAGACAACTGCAACACTGTACCTTCATATCCGCTCTTGCTAGGATCTGCTTGAAAAGTCAGCAGTGTTCCACTCAGGAGCTCGTGACCATACAGGGCAGCTATGTGCAGTGCAGTACAGCCAATCTTATCCATGCTGTCCACAACAGCTCCTGTCAAAAGAAGAAGAATATCAGGCGTGAGCTGCCATACCACAGTTCAGGCAGTTAATCACTGACTTTGTCAATCCCAGGTCAGGTCGTGTGAGATTTGTGGTGGACAAAGTGGTGCTGGTACGGGTCTTCTCTGAATACTTCAGTTTCCCCTGCCAGTTCTCATTCTACTCGTACTAATTTCTCCACATTCACCGATCAGCACAACACTGGTGACATACAGTCTCCATACTGACAGCTCAGTTAAACCAGCAACTTAGGTTACCAATGTTTCAGAGGAACCTGGTGTCTGTTGCCTCCAACTGCCGCCCTGAAAATGGAAGTAGCAGGTTCTGCCAAAATATTTCAAACAACTTATGAAATTATATGATGTCATCCCAGGATAATTTCTACTCTTCTCCAAGTATAATTAGAATGATCAAGTCAAGGAGGATGAGATGGGTATGACAAGTAGCACGAATGAGAGAGCAGTGCATATAGGATACTGGTGGGAGAGAGATAGGATGGCATGGTATGGACTGGATTGATCTGACTTAGAATAGGGACCAGTGGAGGGCTCTTGTGAACATGGCAATGAACCTTCAGGTTCCATAAGATGCTGGGAAGTTCTTGAGTAGCTGCATGACTGGTGCCTTCTCAAGAGGGACTCAGCTCCATGAAGTTAGTTTCACATCCCAGGAGACCAGCACCACTTTAACTTTGCTGAATTTGAGGTTCTCACAGCCGTGAATTTGCAGAGTAAGGTCTTACGGGATGTGACGCTGCACAGTCTGATGGACCTCCACTGACATTTCAGAGGAACATACTGCTCACTCTGCTTGCTGGCTGTCGGCTTGGTTTGTTTTTCAACCCTGAAGATGGAGGCAGTATGTTCCTCCAAAATGGTGGTAAAATTCTATTGCACCACATCACAGCATATCCTGCACAACAGTACACTTCTATTTTAACTTTCTCTGTGTGAAAATCTCAAATTTGAATAAGAAGTTAATTTTTGAAAATCTTAACTTCAATTTTGTTCATTTTAGGAATTTTTGGGTTATGTGTTGGTAGTATAAGCTTACTACATTATAGTAGTTCATGAGTCAGAATGCTGTAGGTTAACTCATGATACAGGGATATATACAGGGCCACTGAATAACAATACTGAATTTGTCATTATCACATAACACACATCGTTTTATCTTTATCGGAAATAGCGTAGATTCTATTTTCACCATACAACGGGATTCAGAGTCACTATAATGCAGATCCGACTGAACACACAGGGCTTTTCTGCCATACGGTTGGCTGCACTGAGTGTGCTGTGTCGTCAGACATGTTCTAGAGAGATGTCAGTAGTGAAGAGGTTATGGCAATTAGACAGCAAGTTACATTCAAACTTACCATGGTCAATGAGAGTTTTTGAGCGAGTAAAGCGCCCATGTATGGCTGTCATGTGCAGTGGCGTTCTTCCATCTTCACTCTGGACATTTATGTCAGCTCCCATCTTAATGAGTACATCAAGGCACCCCACTCCGTGTGTTGATGCAGCGGCTATGTGCAGCGGAGTCTGCAAGAAACAGAAACAAGTTGTACCTGTGCTTCAATAAAACTACCATGCCATAAAGACATACGAGGGAATGGAGGTAGAAACCCCACACATTCCTCACCTCAGCACTAGATGGAGAAGAGTCCTGGTATCGCAATGAACCTACTATGCCACCACACAAATAGACTTGAATGGATTCTGACGATGGTGTATACTGTACTTCTTTTGGCTTATTTTGGACTTCACCCATCATCTGGTATGTAAAAGACAAAAGACCACGACGTTTCGGAGACTGGATCTGTCTCCATCTTCAGGAGGATAGGGAAGGATAAACTTACTCAATTGGGCCCGTTAGAAAGAGCTAGTCTCAATCACTGGACCAGGTCAACATAATTGGTACCTAAGTCAAAATGACTAATCTCACTTTTTAATTTGAGTTTCTCCCCCACAATCTCATGCCAGGCCTGCATATATAATGTCATGTGCATGAGTGACTATAGATGGGGTCTGGATTGGTGGCTCGATTTATTGACCACTTACAGATCACAACGACAAGTAATTACACCATCATCACCAATTTATACATTTTACAAATCACTACAATACATGCTAAGTATTATCAGTCCTCTTTCACTAATAATTTCCCAGTAATGGATATTAACAATGGAGATTCTTCAGTTTCTGTGCTCATATTGTCGTCCGTTGGCTAATACTAGTTAGTTAGTTATTGGAGAGGGTGGGTTTCCCCATGCACTTAGACCAGTATTGGTCCATTGTGCTTCCCTCTATGATATTCTACCAGTCTCTACACCTTACCAATAATGGTGCGTACCATCAGTCCCGCCGAGCAAGCGAGTTCGGCCTCCACTTGCTTAGCGGTGTCTATAATGCTTCCCCCATCTATCAGAGGCCTTAGAGACTATCATTAGGCAGGAAACGTCCTTGAATTTGGCTCAGTGATCTCCTTTGGAGATATGAGGTTCTTTTATGTGCCGTAAAGTTACGACATGGGACACACGGCTTAAAGTCCCTCCCGGAGGACTTGTTCCCTGAATTTTTTGACCCTTAAAAATTCCACGACCTCCATCGGGTATTTGAACCTGCGTAACACGAGTCATGAGGTGGGAACATTACCTCTAGACTATGGAGGCCGCTTTGGCTAATACTAACTTGCCTCAATCATCCTCACTCTATTGCCTCGGCACAGACCACACATGAAACTGTATTTCCAACTGTTCCTCTGCTGTTGTGTGTGGATTTGTTTCCATGGGAACATGTTTGTCTGTGAAGGTGTTACTAAGTAACAGCTCTTGAATATTTGCATATCTCATGGTCATTGCCCAGCAACAGGTCTGCATGCTACAGTATTAAGAGTAGACAGTATGGCAATAGGAATGAATACTGTGATCTGAAAACAGGCCAAAGTCACAGCACAGATACAGAAAATAGGTGATCTATCTTTTTCTGGCAACCAAGATATATGTCTGGCTACCTGATTTTCTAAATTTCTTTGCGGGTTGTAATTGAGCAGTAGCAACAGTAAAAACAAGTCTTGTACACTCACCTGGCCCCTGTAGTTAAGTGCATTGATATCTGCACCACAGTATGCCAGCTCACTACATAGATTGGAATGTCCATTCAAACATGCTATGTGGAGGGGGGTATTTCCATAGGAGTTACGGGCATCCACTTCTGCACCGCTCTCCGCGAGTATCTGCGCCACTGTGACACTGCCACTTGCAGCTGCAGCGTGAAGCGGCGTATACAGCTGCAAAGGATGGAAAGATACTCTTGACAATTCCAGACATTGACTCGCCTGAGACATGAGATGGCAGTCGCGCAGTCAAAATAAAAGCTTTCAATTCCCCTGCAAATTCCAAGAATCTGATTTCTATTATTCCTGTCTCAATTAATGTTTCCATCTGTAATCTGTATTTTGAGACATACACAGTGCACAGAACCCAATGATTCAGTGTCATGCTAAGTGAACTGCATTAGAAGTAATGTTCTTGGTTTGGTCATCAGCCTGGACATCAGCTATCCTGACCAAGATTTTCAAGAGTTTTCCTCAGTCCTCAGGCAAATACTGAGGCACTACCTCACTTACATGAAGACCACATCCTTCCAAATTCCTTCCAATTCATCAATTATCTTTCCAATTGATGCTATACAGGCTAGATATTGATGGCAATGTAATTACAAACACCCCACCCCCAACAAAAAAAAGTTTAGACATAACCTCAAACTATATTTATTTATTTATAACAGTCCCCATGTTTGCAACATTAGGATAACATGAACATCCTATATAAAATGTTACAGATATGTTTAACTGTTCATCTCTAATCAAATTTCATAGTCATATTAATAACAGTTCACAATGTGTTACTCTTCTTCTTCTTCTCCTAGCACTACTTCAGTTTCCTGTGGGTCAAGGAGTGATGATTTCTTTCTTCCAACCATCTTTGCTTTCATACCGCATGACTAGATAATTAAACAAAATGTTATGCGAAGTTTCCACACACTACACAGAAAGTCACTTTAACAACACGTACATACACAGAACTTCTGCATCCAGCAATTACTGGCAATAGTGCACTCACACATGCATTTAAGGTTCATTTTGGAGCCATAGGATTTAAACACCAATCCGAGGAAAATTTTAAATGGAGATAATTTAGCACTGAGATTACTGGCTTGCGATCTTGAAACTGAACATCAAATGTGGGAAAACCTTAAATCAAGAAATATCTAAAAACAGAACTTATAGTACTGCATTATAAAGAAAAGGTAAAGCTGTCCATGTAACAGGCCATGGAGAAAAGGGGAAGCACAACAGATCAATGACGGTCACAGTGCAACTGCTGGCACACCCCTTATACATTCATTCATTCATTCAACAGACCATGGAGACCCATAGGGTTGTGAGACATCAAGGCTCCCACAGTTTCTATACAATCGGCTAACAGAGAGCAGTGAGGATGTCAGCCTTATGCGCCAGCTGTCCTTTACTCCCAGAATATTCTTGGTACTCTTGAAACAGAGTCGAATGAACTAGTGGGTAATGGAGTTCATTCACGAGGTCAGTTCACGTCCAAGCTGCATACAGTGCTGACAACAGTCATCACACAACATTGGAAATTTCTCCTTGTCTGGCCCCCTCAGTCACCTGACTTGACAGCAGCAGACTTTCTCCTGTGGGGTTATATCAGGGATTAGGGGTGGAAGAAATCCCTGACTCAAACAGAACCCCTGGCATCCATCTGGACATTCAAAATACCCAATGAGCTAGCCCAACTGTGGATTTGAATAAATTATAACAACATTCATTATTTTTTCTTGTCGCACTATTCATGTGAAGTTTGACATTTGTATGACAGACATTATGATGATTACGGTCTTCTGGGATGTGAGGCTGTGTAGTCTGGTTTATCAAGTTTTGAATGAATGTTCTCCAGCTAGCAAGCAGAGTGTCTAGTTCTTGCCAGCTACTAGCCTGGCTCAACCTTCGACCCTGAAAATGGAGTCATATGTTCCTCCATATAACAGTGAAGTTCTACCAGAACCCTTTGGGCCATATCCAAGAAGACAGTACTCTTATAAATAATTTTATTAATTGAAAATATCTCATTAAATTTTAATCCATTATCATTTGACTTGTGGCCTAGACAGGCAAATGAAGCATCTGAGTGCAGCCAGTGTTTACGAGGTCAGCAGGTACAATAACATTGCACTCACATCTCTGTCTTTCACATTCACATCAGCAGCGTGGTTGATCAAGAGCCTCACAACATCCTCATAGCCCATGTGGGCAGCCCAGTGCAGAGCCCGTCTATCCTTCTTGTCACAGGCATTCACCACACAGCCCTGAGTAAGCAGAAGCTCAGCCATCTGCAAAGAGAATAAGTTTGTATATGATGTGGCTTCTCACAGCAGTGAGAGAGCAATTTGCAGTTCCTTTACAGAACAGTGGATCTGAACACCACAGGGAGAAACTTAACAATGAGACTGGTGATCTGAGATCACTTAATTGAATGGCAAATGGGAGAAAGCCTTAAATCAAGAAACACTGAACAAGCATTTCACTGTATTGTATACTTCTTACTAAACCCACACACTCTGCACTAGCGAAACCCTGATATTCTGAAGATGTGACGCCATGAAGTCCAGTAAAAATTCTCCAGTGTTTTGGAGAAACAGACTGTTTCCATCTTCAGGGTCAAAGAGTAAGCCAAGAAAGCAACCAGCAAGAACTGAGCAGAAAGCAGAGCTGCTTGGGTTACTCTTGACCCTGAAGATGGAAGCAGTTATGTTCCTCCACAAAGTCAGTGGACTTCTATCACAATATGTACCATTATATTCGAGAAGATAGTGCCTATAATTGTCAGCGCTGTGGCAGCCTAGAACGAAACCTCAGTCAAGATAGTCAGTGTCCTGGGCAAGATTTGAACACAGCACCTGCCGTATACAAGTCTTGAGCCTCACCTCTAGATCAACCGGTCTGGTAATCCAGGACAAGTAAAGTGGGATGTTGTCGACAAAGTGGCACTGGGGTGGCTCTCCTCAGAGTTCTTTGGCTTCCCATGTCAATTCTCATTCCACCAATTGCTACACATTCATTAATCATCCTATCATCCTGTGCCACAACATCTTGACCCTTGCATTTTCATTAATTATAAATAACCCCCTCCCCCAAAGAAGAAAAGACAGCATCATTAACTAAAGCATCAATCATAATTTTAAAGATACAAACTTATTATTGGTTCCATCACCACAATTCATGTATAAACTTTATTATTTTACAACATGTCTTGGGTTTTTATGGCCATCATCATGTAAAATATTTACACTCACTTTCTGCTCTTGTTGCCACTCTTCCTTACACTGGCTAACAGTGTGATGCTGAGATACAGTACTCCTTTCAAAGGTATGAACTTAATGCTCTGAGGCCTGAAATTCATTTAAACAGTATTTTTATTTTAATTAAGTGTCTATCTCACGTCAGAACACCATATCTGTGTTAAAACATGAGCAAATGGAGCTCTTTAGGAAAATAATTAATGTGCTGAATCTGATGTTCTCACAGCTGTGACTTCTGGGATCTGACGCCACTGTTTATTCTGCATGGTTGTGAGGTGTTGAGGCCCCCACATTTTCTAGACAATCAGCTTACAGATGGCACTGAGGCTATCAGCCTTACATGCTGGCCAGCCACCCTTTAGCCCCCAGGAAACTTCTTGGTACTCATTTCTGTTAGAGGCTGAGTCCACCCTAGGGCCATAGTGCAGCTGGAAGGATTAGATAAATTGATAAAATTCAATGACCTCATCGGGATTCGAACTCGCGACCTTCCAGCTTCTAGCATAGTGCCTCAACCAACTATGCTACTGTGTGCCCCTGTTTATTTTGGGAGTCATATGAAACTCATAAACATATTGTGTGGGCAGAATGCAGAGAGTTTTTTAACACTGAAGAAGGTGTAACAGTCAGCACTGTACTTTGAAATATTTAAAGAGAAATGGCACCATCGTGACTTCCTGTTGCATGACCTTGATACTTTAGTTTCACGAAACAACTCAAACACTACTGGACGAAACAGGCTGAACTCCATATGCCATTGTGGTATAAGCTGGATGCAAGAAAGAACCAAGTGTGGACCAATACCTCATGATGGCCATTGTATGCCGCGTGATGCAGACTGGTGCGCCCGCCCCTATCAGTCACATTGATGTTAGGTAACAGAGGTATCAGGTTATCAGCGCAGTGAACAGCATTATTAGCAGCAGCTACATGTAGTGGTGTCTGCCAATGTCTGTCCCTAGCATTGATATCAGCCTTGTGTTTCAGCAGAACTTCCACAGTGTCCTGAAATAGATCATCCCAACCACAAACAGCACACTGTACTTTCCATGTGATTCAATTTAATGTTACTGTATCCGGGACATTATTGGTTTGTATCATTATTAGCTGTTAAAGTTACACCATAAAATCATAAAAAGATCCAGACACTGATAGGAGCCATACATCAAGTTCAAATTTTACCTACGAACAAGCAGAAGTACCTGTTCTTCCCCCCCCCCCATGTGGTTGCTCTCCCTGTCAATATCATAACACACACACACACACAAAAAAACATCTGTGAGTTAGTCTGCAAGCGAACTAGACTGACCGAGTGACCGCCGCTTGTCGGCGAAGTTAGTGCCAACCTCAGCAGATAGAGGGTGTCGCATAGACAGTGCAACGAATCCCCACAGCCGTTAATTTCGGTTTTCTAGACCAAAGCCGCTATCTCCTTGAAATAGCTCCTCAATTAACACCATGAAGTTAAGTGAACCCTGTTCCAGACCCACTACTTCTCAGAAAGAAATCTGGTAGCGCTGGGAATCGAACCCAGACATCTGGATCTGTAGCCAGAAACTCTGACCATTAGACCACAGAGGCGGTCCCAATATCATAACACACAGCAGTTGAAACTTTAAAGGACAAATAATACTCACACTGACAACATTAAATTTAATCATATAATTAAAAAAAAAAAAAACTGGGAATGAAAATTCAAACTGCATACAGAAACTCTACCACAGAACACTTAAGCAGCACTTCAGCAGCTGTGGCTACTGTACATGTCAGCAAAAGTGCAAGGGCATTTCACAGTGTACTTGGGTGCTCTCTATTGGGCCAACAGTAGGAACTATGAAACTGACTGGCAAAATTACATTTTATATATACTACATGCATTTTGAATTTGAAAAGCACATCTTAGATCCACATAACTGTTCACTAATAACAGTAACCAAACTACTGAACTCATCCTGTTCAAAATGTAGTGCTGAACATTTACACCAAATTTTGTCAATTTTAGTTTAATTTTAATCACCAACTGAGGAATGAATGTTTATGTATTTGAATCCTCTAAGAGATTATGATGAAACTTGATAAATGGTATAATTCGCTATAAACGATTTTAAGGCCCATTTTACTTATGGGCATTTACAAGTCCTTTGACAAATTTTTATACATGATCTATGGTGATTACCACACGTGCATCAGATACCACAGTGATCTTGTACAAATATTACACATTTCTAACACCACTCAACGGCTGCATTTCTAATCCATCTACTCTAAGAAGAAAGGCACCCTGCCAGTAAGTGATATAGATCATTAGGCCTTCATTATAAAGTTACTAGATCCTATTTTTAACACACTTCTGCTGCTCATACATTAGTTGGGAATTCAAACATGGTTACACAAGTGTTTCCTTTTTCAGGGGTCCTCACACAAGGTGTGATGTACCCCAGTTCATAAAGTAGATAAACTTTACCTGATCTTCTATTTGCGATAAGGTTCACTGCACCTCAAAGCAAAGTAGAGATAATAAAATACCGAACTTAAATCTGAATCAACGCTTTCCAATGTAGACCCTCGATAAACAGTGTAACACATTTGTTAAAGAAACTAGGGGATGGGCAGAGACATTATACAACATACCTCACTCCCACTGCAGCATGCCCGATGAAGTGGGGTGAGCCATTTTGAATCTTTGGTGTTCACCCTTGCACCACTCAGTATCAGTGCCTCCACAATATATGCATCTCCCCTGAAGGCAGCTGCATGCAATGGACTGCGCTTCTCACTATCCTGAAAATTCACATCCTCCTTCTGTCCAAGCAATAGTTGAACTTCCTCGACATCTCCCGTGAAAATTGCTTTAATAAGAGGCGGCTGGAACAGACACATTACATGGAGGCTGCCAACAGACTGGTTAAACCACGAGCAACAGACTTTAACGACTATATACGTTGTACAAGTTAAGTATGAAGTAATTTGGTGAACCCAAACTGTAGTCTGTACATTTACTGAATATCTTTATTGTTCAATACAAGCGTTTTTACAACTATTTAAAATAACAGATAAAATTACCTCTTCCGACAATTGCTGGATCACCATGCTTCAGAACCTTTCTTCGATGTCTCACTGAACGCTTTCCTTATTACAGGCACTAAATTTCTCGCTAAGCAGCATAACAAATGACTAAATAATTTTCGTAGCACGAAATTCGGATAAACTATACCATTTTATCTTCGTTTGCATGTGGTTAGGCCATCAGAAAGACATCTGATTGTAAAACTGTAGTTTCTTTTAAATTAAAAACTTTTAATGGTGCCATCAGAATAATTTGGCACAAAATTATTGTCAGAGCACTAAATATTATGTACATTTTCCCATTATTATGCCTAGATTTTTCCTTCGTCCCTACGAAATTAAAATTGCAGCAGACGCTCTTGTTTAAGCAGTGTTAAGAACACGTATCGAAAAGTATCGAAGCCACTGCCACTAACTTCAGAACGCTTTGAACCACTTCTCACACGACCGCTTACTCCTTCTAGGCAAGCCTTCGGAACGGACAATGCAACCAGGTACAAGCCTTTGGCACAGACAATACAGCCAGCTTCATTGCAGCTTTGGCCTTAAGCCTTTGGAACTACAAAATTAGGCAACATTTTACCTAGTTGAAAACCCGTGAGATCTGTTTACCTTTGTTGAACTGCACATATTTTGTATATCGTCACAAAAAAAAAAGCGTAGTCTTGAGCACAAGGCTCAACATGTCAATATTTATGTTATACAAAATAAGACCTGAGTTTACTCATGGATTAAACATCACATTCATTGTCTGTGTTGATGTATCAGAAACTTAAATCATAAGTCTCCAGTGGGTCTGCACTTAAAAGTGCATGTTTTTTTCACATGTCAGTTACTGACCACTGTTAGTAATAGACATGGGTGCTAGTGGAGGGAGAAACAGGGATGCCCCCTCAGATGCTTGAAAAAAAGAATAGCTAAACAGCAAAAATTAATTTTTGTTTTTAATTCTATCCTGAATACTGTATGGCAATCAGTAAAAGTACTTTTAATTGACTTAACCAAGTTTTCTTGCTGCAGTACAGTCTTCTGGGTTGTATTGCCATATAGTTTGGAGAAAGTGTGATATATCAGATGACCCCAGATCCATCATGTTTCCTTGTTGCCCTTGCTTAGAAAACTCAGTACCTTTCCTTGATAAGTATGATGGTGCCCATGGTAACAGACCATGTCCAATTGATTTGTAGGCTGAAGATTACTATCTACTCAGATGTGATGCTATATGTAGATAATATTTCAGGAATGTAGTGCCTCCATCTCCATGGTTGAAGAACTTGTGCAGATAAAAGTATAAAAAGAGGAACCACAGACAGGACCATGATAAAGCCAATAGGGGCAGGATCAGTGTAAAGAATATTTGGCTCTTACAGGGGTTATTTTCCAAGGGCAGAAAAAGCACCCTCTTTACACTGAAGATTACAGTAGGCTGTAACACAATGCAGTCCAGTAGACCAAAGGAACTTGCTGCCTCAACTTCAAGGTAGAGGACAGTAACAATCATCGTGACTGCCATGAAAGCCTCAAGTTTCATAGATTTACAAGTTATTTAACAATGTCATACACACTGCAAAGGTTATTTGCGGTAAAATTGGGAAGTTTTCTAGAATGTAATTAAAAAGGAATTCACAGACCATATACCGCACTTTCCTATTGTCAGCAATACATTTTTAATTTGTAATTGCACATTTCAATATTATTACTTTAAATCCAACAATTAAAATCAGAGCTAATGTTACTGTTTTACTTACCATTTGCAACATAAAATCACTACCTGGAAGTTAAGAAAGAAAGGCACGATCTGGAAACTAATTTTCAGTTGCACCACTATATCTAACTCTTGATGCCATCTGCATTCCACGAGACTTGAGTAAGAATGAAACTAACCTGATAGCCATTTGTCAATGTGCTGACAGTTAACAAACTATTAAAAATTTGAAATTAAACTTACCTTTTATTTTCTCCATATGAGGGAACTGAGGAAAAATTGGTCTTCTAACCAAGGCAAATCCTAGCTGTTAATTCAGATTTCATAAAATATGTGTGATAGGAGGGTCAGATGAAACAAACCATCCTCGTGCCTATTTTTTATTTTGTCTCTCCTTATAACTCAACTATTTAAGAGAAACAATCACAGATAATCATAAAATAACTTACAAAAAATATATACATTTTTACAAGTATATTCTTATTACATCTGAGAAAAGCAGCACCACTACAGCAAAATGCTTAGAAAAATAACATTTTCTGAGTATAAACATTTATACAGAGCCCAAAATTGAAATGATCTCAGTCAGCATGCCATCTCTGTTGATTTCACATTTTCCAATGACAGGCAGTGAACTGTTTTGCTGCCAGAAATATCTCACTAAGTCAAAACACTTGGAACCATTATGTTAAATGTTCCTCTCCCATTAACAAAATCTGAGGTTCAGCACACAAAATAAAAATAGTGACAAACATTTGGGTCCTTCCTGAATACAGTACACCTTAAATCACTAAATTATGGTATTTTAAATTGAGTTTTCATTAAACTAAATGGCATCAGGTGAAAGTCAGTCTTTCTAGAGTCCATGTTAGCCAATTATATGATGATGATAAGCCTGACGCATGAGACCAGAAGCGACCCATTGTGCCATTTAAATATAGTTCTAAGTCCACGCAATATTCCTTTCAACCCCTTCCAGGTTTAAAGGCCCAAAAGTGCCTTATGCTAGGATTTCAGCTACCACTCAAAGTGCCTGTAAGTGCCACCACAGTTTTCAATCTTCTCCTGCCATCTCTTGGATGAATGACTAACTTTTTTGAGCTAATACAGCTGAACATTTATATCTTAGTGATCTGTGATGTCGATAACATCTTTCATCCATCACAAAGGAGGCGGTGAATGATGCCATTGGTTCTTTTGTGAAACAATATAAAATATTCTCCATATTGTAAAGTAACAGGGTAAACACTGAGGACCTAAGCATTCAGGATGGAGACAGGAAGGAGTTTAAGTAGGACACAAAGGGTCTACAAGCAACATGCAGAGGTAACTTAAACTAAGGACTGAATTTCTTGAGTCATAGTTGGCACCACTGCTATAATTAACACAATACTGTGTGGAATGACAGGCATTTAGAAATCATCAAACAATGAGCTAGTGTCAAGTCCTTCCAAAACCTCCAACACTGAACTTTCAACCTCTGCATTGATTACAGCACTTGCACTACCAAACGTCAAAGATGCAGAAGGAGTGGGAGTTTGTTGCAAAGGTTTTGCTACATTTTCTGTAAGTTTTGAAGTTCTATTGAAGTCTGAGACATCAGATGATGCACTAGGAATGGCAGGAACTTGAGAGGGGTTTGAGGCCTTGGAAGCAGAAGCTGATGAACTTCCAAAATGTGACACTTTGGGTATGAAACCACCTTTAAATTTTTGAGCTAACATATCAGTCTTATCAGAAATGAAAGGAAGAGATGGTTGTGGTAGAAACTTGAAGCCTTTAGTCCCAGAAGTCTTTCCTTCGTCATTCTGATGCAGAGGATTCAATACATTCCTTCTACCTGAAGCATGAGCGATCTGTGGGTGAAACTTGAAACTTTCATTATTAGAAACTTCATCTATTTTAATCTGTTGTGGCAAACCTGACAAATTATGTTCTGATGAAGCACATCTGCCATATACTGACTGTGCTGTAGCTTCCATGACTCTCCTGTTAAATGGGCTACTGATATTTTCAGTTGAGGATGTATACATCCTGCCATGAGAAGATTTTTCCATGTCTGTCATATTCTGCAGATTTGTTTTCCTGATCTCAACACTGTCATTTAAAGAACTGCCAGACTTAGTATTGCCTCTGTTATTAACTGAGTTCCACAACATTCTCTCAGAAGTTTGTGGTACTCTTGTACCACACAACAATTTAGGAACACTAAAAGCTGACTGCTGCCAACCATTTGGACGGGATGACAGAGGAGAAGCATTACCTGTAACATTTCCACTTTGATTTAAAGCATAGCAGGTTACTGAGAGACTTGCAGGACTACCAACAGTACTGAACATGGAGTTCACAGGCTGACAATCTGGGGAAGTTTCAGGAGCAGAGTGGAGTGCCTGCCAGTCACTTGTACTCTTCAGGAGTTCAGCACGAGTAACCTGATGCACTCTTGTAGTTCTGACCTCACAGCTATGCTGTCCATCATTCTCTTCTTGTACAATATTACTGTATATATTGATGATGTTATTGCAGGTGATATTGAGATAGTGTCGTCTTGCAGTGATGCCAGTGCTCAGCACGCCAACCTGACGAAGCACTAGGACAGACCCAGGCAGCAGCTGTCCTCCATACTGTTCCCATACTTCACGATGCAATGTTCCATGGACCTCACCTTTAACATACGGCACCTAACATTCAGCCACATCTTACAGCAATCATCTTCATGTGTGCTGATTACTAAGAACAACTATGACCACATTCATAATATAGAACTTCATTACAACTGATCCATTTGCATGATGTGCCATGCATCGAGTGCTGTATGTTAGTATTCCCACCTGATTATGGCTAAATTTGGTTAAAACATGTAGAAGTCATTTTATTGTAAAATCACAAAATGGAAGTGCTGATGGCTTTTAAGCATTCTTTACCAAGTAAAAAAGAATGCCTTATGTCAGGGTCATGACTGCCTGTCTGTCTGTGACCTTGCATCAGTGCCTAAACTTGGACAGATTTTTTTTATTTGATATGTGTGACCTTCACTAAAAGTTGCCAGGCAACTCTGACTTTCAGCCATATTCAAACATAATAAAATGTATTTTACTAACGACCACAAACTGATTTTTCACATATATCACGCACAATTAATCAACTTCTATAGAGACCACAAGTGAGCTTAATGGAAAAAAAAAAAAAAAAAAAAAAAAAAAAAGGTTCAGAATTTTGTATACCACTGTATAGAGTACACACTTTCCAGTCTTGTTATTAATAATCAGTTGTTCTACATGCGTAGCAAGCAATAAAGGTAACAGGACTCTGTATTGATTTTTAGTCTTGTATTTTAAAGGGCGATGCATAAAATGTTTGCCATTTAACCAACAGACATTATCTAAATCTATTACAAAAATGGTATACATCCTATATGCATAGAAAGTCATTTTCAATATGACGATGGCGAACTTCTGGGATGTGACACTGGGCAGCATACAAGATAGGGACAAACATTTTGGAGGAAGAGGTAGATCATGACTGCAGCAAGTTTGTTGTGAGCTTCATGCTGGTTTTATGGCTCGCTTACCCTTTAGATCCTCAGGATGGAGGGGATAGGTTCTCATGAAACGCTGCCTGATGTGCACTACTTTACGCAGCATTATATCCCTGAAGACAGAACTGTTTATAAGAATCAATTCTAAGATTTCAAGCTTCCAAGAAAAGCAAATGCAAAAAAGTCTTCCTGAGCAGTCAACTCTGTGAAATGACCTGGATTTAAATTTTTTTCAGGAACTGTCACTACATCCTGATAACCAAGAAGAATTCCCATTCTCAACCCTTTGCAAGCCACGAACTAATTAGACTGGCTTGAGGTGTTGTGATAAAACCACCACAGCCAAAGACATAAGTTCACTGTTACCAATTGGTACAGACTGTCTGTCAATACAGGGGATCAAGTGAGACACATATGGAAGTTCAAAAGAAAGAACAGCCTTCCACATGATATATTCCATTTGCAAGTTGACGGTAATGGGTTTCTTTGTGTAACTGCGATTAGAACCTCCAACCCTGTCATGTTAGCAGGCACTTCTGTGGTGAGGCTTGGCAACTGAAGGGTTAACTAGAGTACACACAGTTGTAATACTGTACCTGTTCTGTCTTGTAAAACAACGCATGGATCGGGTGAGCTACAATCCAGATCACGCAGCACTGTCACAAGGAATGGAACTTTCTGATGCAGTAATTGACGTGCGGCAGCACGTCTCTTAACCCATGCCACTGTAAACTGACTGAGGGGCCCACTGTTATCACTCAACTCAAAATCTCTTAACATCTGTTGCCAGGCTACACCCTCAAACATTGAGCTTGATGACTGGAAGCACAGAGGATTCTGCAACATAGTAACAAGTTGTGACTGACACACGTACTGGCACAATTTGCAATTGTCCATCTGCACTTGTCACAACCATTTATTTACAAATTCATTAGTAAATGTATTTCAGCCTGTCAGCCATCTGCAGTGTGTTCAAGATCACAGTTTGTAAATGACTGCCACTTGTATGGTTCATAATATATCATGTGTTCCTCCCAGCCATACCATAGCTCAGGCAGTTAATCACCAGCTTCTCATTGCAGCAGTCTGGGTTCAATCCCAGATCAGGTGATGTGGCATTTGTGGTGAACAAAGAGACACTGAGGGAGGTTCTCTACAAGTACTCTGTTGCAAATTCTCATTCAACAAACTGCTCCATATTAAGTAATGATCCTTTCATTGAAACAAAATAGTCTCAATACTGACATAAAGTAAAAAGAAAAGCAAAGCTGTCCCTGTAACAGGCCATGGAGGCCCACAGGGTTGCAAGATGTTGAGGTTCCCACACTTTCTAAAAACTGGATCACAGATGGCAGTGAAGTTTTCAGCCTTACGCACCAACTGCCCTTTACCCCCATGAAGATTCCTGGTACTCATTTCTCCAGGGTCATAATGTAGCTGGAAGGATTAGGTCAACTGAAAAATGGAATGACCTCATCAGGAATCAAACCCATGACCTTGCGGCTTGTAAAAATCATGCACGCTCCATACTCTGACCTTTACTTCCACTGCAAGAGCTATATATCATGCCACATCCTTTTGTCTCATTCACCCTGAAGACACAGACTACAATGACCGCAAGAAAAGAACATCTTCAACACACAATGTGACAAATTCTAAAATCCAAAATTATACATTATATATGAAATAAAGTAAATTCTAATTTTGAGAATCTCAATTTATAATCTAAGTTTATAGTTAAGAGCACCGTGTACCGGAATGGGACACTGTGCAATCTGGCAGAAATTTACTCATATTCAACGTCCATAATAACTCCACCTTCAGGGTTGAAGAGTAAGGCAAGCAAGAACCAGTAAAAAAAAGCAAGCGGAATGAAGTTTAAGATCTTAGACAACAATGTGATATGTTGATATGTGATATGTATCCTTTTGCACTCTGTCCATCATTTCAGTTTTTTAAAAACCACCACATTTCAAAAATGTCTCTATTTTCATCATCAGGCAAATAAAACTGCCTGTGCTGGTCCCTGGATAGAGTTACATACAAACCATGAACCCAACATAGCAGGCTTTTAAGAGAATTTCATAAACACTAATGTCATTTCAGGCATTATGTATTTTAGGAACGGACCATATTTGCTGGTAATACTATATTGCTATGGGTCTCACCTCATTATGCAGTATCTCTGAGTCTGGTATAGGCATTGAAGCAGTGGGCTGATTCATCACCTGGTCCTGGCAAAGCAGAAAACATGTTTCAAATTGTCTGAAGTGTATCACCTGATAATCTTTCTCTTTTGCCACAGGGTGGGAACTTGACATCCCATCCCATAGTTCAACATTCAGCTATCTCATGCGATGTCAAGACATATATGTATATATTATGCTGTAGGAAAAGCAAGAAGACTGAAGGATCAATCTCTTCACATCCCTCTCAAGCTGTCATGCTTCCCCTTCAACATATGTCTGTATACTCCCCTACAGCTCTGTAGCCATTCTGTCAACATGAATATCTGTAGCAACAGTCGTGTGATAACCTTCATAGGAGAAAAACACTTTATGCTTGTTGATATACACTGGGCAGGGCTGAAGGGGAGTAGAACAGTAGCTAGAGAGGGGGAAGCCCCAAGTACTGTCATCCCCACCACCAATGGGACTTTTCCCACTGCCTCAGCATCATCTCAGTACAGTTACAGCTGATCTTGATCGACACTGTGTGGATGCGGGCAATACTGCCAATATTTCAAAGGTACATGTTGCCTCCATCCACAGGGCTGAAATGAGCAGAAAGATAGAGGCAGCATATGCCTCTGAAATGTCAGCAATACTGTCCACATGGTTCAAATAGCCTAGAAAATAATCAGTATCAACAAAGAATTACTATAAATGCCTAAAATCTATACATTTTTTATATTGTCATGGGTTAGGGGGGTACACGTGATAAAAATAATGGGTTCTACATTGGATGAATAGATTTATTGGTGTTCTTTTACAATTACACGCATGAAATAATGTTGTCAAGGCTTCAACTACTCAGCTATCTTCTGAATTCTCTTCGACTGATGGCTTCTCAGCTCTGACTGCTCCACTTGGTAAACCTAAGCTTGCTTCACACAAATCAGGAATAGAACACCGGGTCTTATATTACCCGTTATTCTGCATACCTGTTTTAGTGGAAACGTCTGGTGATTGAAAGATTCCCTATATCCACGGAAACCTCTGGTGAATCTCTGTTGACATGAGAATGTGTTTTAGGGACTCACTGCCTAGCAAACGGTGTCAATCTCTGGGTAACATGTTGATTTATTCCAGCGTATTCGTTGCTGCTGGAATGTGCTTCAACAAGCCGTTGCCTAGCAATGGCCGTCTTTCCTGACTCCACCATTCCAGCTTTCAGGCACCATGTCACAATATCAAATATGAGATTATGCTTTTTCTCTCCATTTTACAATTAAAAAACTGGAGGAAAAAGGGAAATCACAGGAGTAAATTTGGCACAGTGCTCATGAGGGGCCAACTGCCCACTTGCATTAACAAAGTAACAAACTGCTGGGTGCAAACAACTTTTGGTTCCAGGAAAAAAAAAATGTAATTGCTTACTTCCGACCTGTGGCCCTCACATTAGTGAGTACTAGGATTCCTGTCTTCTGGGACATGACACGATGTAGTTTGGTAGATGGGTACCATTTCAGAGGATACTACTGCCTCCATTTTCTCACTTCTCTACCTCGCAGCTGGATGCAGCTGGTTCCTCCCTAACATTGGTATCTATCTATGTACCAAACTACAGGGTGTCACATCACAGGAAACAGTGATCTGAACTACTTGATAACTGAAACAAGAGCATCACCAACCTTGTCTGGAAGCAAGCCTGCTGGCCCTGGAAACTTTCGCTGACGAACAGTCTGACCAGTCCTGATGCAGCACTGTGGGGCTGGGTCACACCTCACTGACTCTACAAGCATAGAAGTAACACAAACTATGGCATAGTGTGCTTCACGACACTCAGAGAGAAGTCAAGACTGACTTTCTTACACCATTTTCCATTTGAAAATTATCATTCTCATGCCAATGACTATGAACATTATTGTCTCCCTGGATGTAACACCATGTAGTCTGCTAGAGAGGTACTAACACTTTGAAAGAACCTGTTGCCTGTATCTTTATGGTATTCTATCATGAAGATGGAGGCAGCAGGGTACTGTGAAAGGCTGGCAAATACTTGCCACACCATAGAGCTTGACACCCCAGAAGCCAATAGTCTTCATCTCGCATTACTCTGTGCGCATGGCAACGACAACATTTAGAGTGGTCAGATTCTTGTGTTCTTCACACAGTGAAACAACATTAAGACAACATCTTTGGAGCATGAAGATTAAGTTGTTTATTAATTCCATTTCCTGGTGCATAGTACAACTGCATTACAGTTTCATAAACTCCTGAGAGGCTGTGTCTGTATACTTTGCAGGTTCCTTATAATACACCTTGTATATTAGAAGCACTGAACTTCCTTGTTGTCTTTTTCTTCTCTGCCTCATCTCCCCTCATACTTCTTCCCTACCACACCCCTTCCCCATTATTAATAATATCGTCATGTGTAGGGGGTGTGCACAGTAAATAATAACGGGTTCCGGATTGGATGATGGGATTTATTGCCACTTCAATTACAATTACAACCAATTATAACAGCTCATAACTGATGACTCTCTAAGACTCACTCCATTCCTTACTAGACTACCAGTGGCTTCTCTTCCACTGTGACTGACCTGGCTTGATCTATGAATCAGTCACTTCTTCAGCTTCTGGTGTCCGCTGGTTAGCACTCCCCAGCTGAACACTCAGCTTCTAAATTCTCTTATAACTGAATCATGAATGAACTCTCTTTTATAACTTGGAGCAAACCAAAGAGACACCACCACCTCAAACAGTTTGTGTATTAATCTGTTATTCTGTGCTTATCCATTGCTATGAAATGTACCCAGCGACTTACTACCCAAAATTGGAGGGCCTTCCACTATTGACTGTGTAACCTCTGGAATGTGTTTACTGAACCGTTGTCTAGCAATGGTCATATTCATCACAATATTCAGATGAATTTTGGTCTTCATTATATAGTAAACTCCAAGTCTTCCAGTGTCCAAACATCTGAGATTCTCCCCCACTCAGCAAAAATTTCGAAGAAAATTTACCATTTCAGTAAAGATTTTCTAAAACAAATTTTTATGTGCATATGTTCACCCACCACACAGTATTTCTCCCAACTGTCACTAGTAGCACTACCCACTTCCCTCCTTTGCACAGATACCGTTACAGCAGAGGCCAGTTGAATCTATGAATGCATTACAGATGTGGGCATCACCCACATTGAATCAAGCGCTAGCCAATCAGCGTGGACCACAGCAGCTCTGGTGCCCATTGGTTCCAAAATCATTCACCCAACTATTTGCTATATCATGTATGAAGACTCCCATGTAAAAGCTAAAGCAGAAACATGCTGATGTATTGGTTTCCTGTAATAGTTTTTCTCAAGGAACCAGCACACCCTACACCCAACATGTGCCTGCTAATGGGTACTTTACTGTATTAAGTCTTGTCCAGGTGCAGTCATAAAAGAAGATAAAAAGCCTTCTTTTCCAAATCCTTCATTTGGTGTGCAGTTTGAGGTTCACACAGCAGTAAGTATGAAGATCACTGACTTCAGGGATGTGACACTACAAAGCCCAGTGTTTAAGAGGAACAGTGTCAGAGTGCCAGCACAGGGAACTGTGGGGCCACATCAGGTGACACGATTTTAGGGGCTTTCCTCTACCTTCTCTTTTTTGCCTTTAGTTAAATAAAAATGAATTTCTGATGATCTTTTTCCATACTGTAACCATCAATTACCAGCTAGCTACACATGCTACAAAATGATTAAAATAAAACTATGTAAGATCTGAGGTTTTCATGGTGGTGACTATGAAGAATGCCATCTTCTGGAATGTGGCGCTGTGTAGATATTGTGATAACCGACATTTTGGAGAAATGTATCGCCTCCTGTCTGCTGGCCCACCTCCCCAGACCCTTCCCCTCTCCTCTCTACTAATTTCCCATGTAACCCCCACTCTCCCTTCTCTTCCTGCTCTTATATAGCTGGGCTGACTCAACTCAACATTAGTCTGTTAGCACCTGCTTACGCTGGTTCCTTTTCTTCCTTTTTCTTCTACCCTGAAGATGGAGGCGATACGTTCCTCTGAAACGTCGGTTAACACAATATCTACATGGTGCCACATCCCAGAAGACTGCTTTCTTTAAACTAAAACTGTTTTCTAGGAATTATATGATTATGTACTGTTTTCATCAAAATGTTTGAAAATTTTGTGTCATTAAATATGAAAAAGTTTTAACAAATTTTATCTCTTTTTAATGGAAGAGTTGGGAACCTGTCATCACCTGTGGAAGCATTCAGGTTACTGCAACCCTGCATACATCACTCCCAGGGTCCCTTTAATTTCCATACTTTTCAAGCAAACTTTCATGAATGTTGTCTTACCTTCTAATGTACTGCCCCCACAGCTTCTGTACCTTCTATCTAAAAGCATCTGTACTCTTGGCTCAAACATGGCTGCAGTGCTTCTACCAGGACAGTTGTCTGACAAAGTAGAGCGTGTGTTGTCCAGCTGCATTCTCAAACCTGACTGTTTACATCTATCATTTCTTATGGAATGAACTCTTGTCTCAGATGCACTCAGACTAATGTTACTCACTTTGTGCACATTGTTCAGTTCTGCATAAGTTTCAGCATCGTTATTATCAATATCATTTATACTGTCTTTACTTCTGCTCTCAAATGGAACCCTATTTTCAAACTGTGAACTGGTATAGTCATTGCTTGATAATTTGTTTTTCTTTGTGGATATACGAGGTTCCTTTCCTGGAAAAGAACGCTTTTCTCCTTTCGTTTTGCTTCCTGCAGTATTCTTTGTGGCCTCGTTTTCTGTTTCAAATACCTCTTGAAGAAAATCCTACAACAGAAGCAATATATGATAAATGGCATTTTGAATATAATGGAAACCGTTGCCCAGGCATATATTTACCAAATAAGAAAACTGTATTTCGAAAAGGAAAATATTTTATTCGCTTTGAGATTTATACTTCCCACGCCGGTGACTATGATGATACCATCATCTGAGATTTGATGTCGTGTAGTTCGGTACATAGGTACAGATATACGCTGAATGTAGAGGAAGCAAGTTCTTCCGAAATCTTGCTACCCATCTACCAAACTACACGACGTATCATTCTAAAAAACAAAAATATTTCAATGATATTAACATCTTAAATAATTTTAACTGTAATAATACTTAAGAAAGGTTAGTCTGTACCAATAAAATAACCTTTCGTTATACCTCGTCCAAGTCGAAATCTCCGTCCAATTCGAACATTTCTTGATATGTGCTATTAAAAACAATAACATATATAAATATATTACTCTCTGCGTAATATTACACAAATGAAACTTAATTTTTCACGTATGTAGACACGCACCTCTCTTTTAAACATTTTGCGCTTCGATATATTGCGAGAAAAGCAACACATCGAAAACGATTGACGTGAATAAAGAAACGATAATTCAATGTGGTTGTATTCAGATGATTCAGATTAGGATGTAACAAAAGCGAAATTTAAGGAAGATAATGATATAAATCAATTGTGTTTTGATGTAAAATTCAAACATAATCAAACGAAGTACTGATAAAACAGAATATGAACTCGCAGGTATGAATAACAGCAGCGTCTGAAAATGAACACAATCCCGACTAGACTGCAAAATAATCATGCTTCAGCTATTGACAATATTTTAGTAGATAAATCAAGATTATCTTCTTGTATAACATTACCCCTGTGTAATGCACTGTCTGATCATGAGGCACAATGTTTTATACTTGATAAATATTTTGCTACTACCAATAAAATTAACAATAAATCAAGATCTAGTTATAAATCTAGATTGCTGACTAGTGATACTATTAAATATTTCACTGAACAGCTATCTTATGAAAAATGGAATGTAGTTTATCTTAATACTGATGTTAATTGTGCTTTTAATAAATTTTTATCTACATTTTTAAACATTTATGAAGCAAGCTTCCCTGTTGTGTATTTGAGCAATAACAATGATAAAAGTTGGATTACTACGGGTATAAAAAGACATCTTGTAAACGTAAAATTTTTTTATATAAGTTAATCAAATATAGTAACGATCCAAAAGTAAAAACTTATTATAAAAAGTATTGTCTTATTTTAAGGAAAGTAATTTATGAAGCAAAAAATTATATTATAATCAGTTAATTGAAATTTCTAGTAATAGAAATAAAACAGCATGGAATATTATAAGAAATGTATTGCATAAATCCACCAAAGACAATTATATGCCGGTTATGTTTGAAATGGATAATAGGAACATTCAATCTAATGATGTAGCTGATGCTTTCAACGAGTATTTTTTTAATATTGCTCATAGTCTGCAAACACATCCAGATAAAACTAATTCACCTCTTAAATTGTTAAAGAATGCTTATCAGCCTATTTTTCAGAGTATGAAAGTAATTCCTGTAACCAAAGGAGAAATTATCAATATAATTTGTTCTTTAAAATCAAAGAAGTCTTCTGGTTATGATGGGACTTCATCTAAAGTATTAAAACTTTGTAGCGTCTTTATAAGTGCACCCCTTTCCTATATCTGTAATATGTGTATCATTAATGGTGTATTTCCTGAACGCTTGAAGTATGCTGTTATAAAGCCCCTGTATAAGAAAGGAGATAAGGTTGATATTATGAACTATAGACCTATTTCTATGTTGACTGTATTTAGTAAAGTCTTGGAAAGAGTTATGCATTGTAGATTGAGTCAGTATCTACAAGTTAATAATATTCTGGTGCAGGAACAGTTTGGCTTTAGGAAAAATTTTTCAACAGACCATGCTGCTTTTTCTTTTACGACTGGCATGCTTCAGGCCTGGAATGACAAACTGCAAACTGCAGGGATTTTTTGTGACCTTGCTAAGGCTTTTGACTGTGTTAATTATGAGATATTGACATCTAAACTAGAGTATTATGGAGTTCGGAGTTGTATATTAAACTGGTTCAAATCATATCCATGGGATAGAAAACAGTGTGTGTACATCAAAACTAATGATGGTCAGGACTATTTTTCATCTTGGGAAAGAGTTAAACAAGGGGTTCCGCAGGGGTCGGTTTTGGGACCACTTCTATTTATTATTTACATTAATGATTTGCCTCCATATATTAATAAATTGGCTAAAGTTTTTCTTTTTGCTGATGATACCAGTGTTTTGGTTACTGGTAATAATCATGATGAGCTTAAGCATAAAGTCAGGGGTACACTGTCTCTTATTATAAATTGGTTCACAGCTAATAAGTTGGCCTTAAATATCACTAAAACTAATATTATTAGGTTTGCTCTAAAACAGTCCTATAACTCTCTGGCAGTTGCTAGTGGGAATTTGTTTATAAATGAAGTTTCTGTGATAAAATTTTTGGGTCTGCAAATTGATAAGAATTTAGACTGGAAGAGTCATGTAGAGTATATTCTCCCTAAACTTAGTTCAGCTATTTTTGTAATTAGGAGTTTATCTTATTTTATGAGTAAAAAAAATTTACGAATGGTGTATTTTTCTTATTTCCACTCTATTCTTAAGTATGGAATAATTTTTTGGGGCAACTCAACGAATAATGTTAGAGTTTTTAAATTACAAAAAAAGTAATAAGGATTATATCTGGAGTGGGACCTAGAGACTCTTGTAGGGATCTTTTTAAGAAATTGAATATACTGCCATTGTCATGTGAATACATTCTCTCGTTCATGATGTTTGTGATTGATAACCAAACTAAATTTTGTTCAGGTTTAGATGTTCATGGTTTGAATACAAGAAATCGAAAGCAATTATATTTGCCAAGCTCGAATCTTTCTGCTTTTCAGAAAGGTACCATGTTTAATGCTATTAAACTATTCTACAGATTGCCCATAACCATTCAAAGCCTTAAAGAGGACAGAATTAGTTTTAAAAATAGGCTGTTTTTATATCTTATGAATAATTCCTTTTATACAGTTTCTGAATATGTGGAGCATAACATAAACAATTAGTTTTAATTATTTTGTTATCTGTGTGTTTGTTTAAATTTTGTATGACGACCTTCATGTCCATTTGTTTGGACTTGTGAAATGAAATGTATGTATGTATGTAAATACTTGTGATCCAAACTTAGATCAAAAACCCAATGATTAGACTTGAATAACAACAGGACGTTTCACATCAATTGAACGACGTCATATATTACTCAAAAATATTTAGGAAAACAGAATCTTCAATAAATGTACATCTTAAACCACTGTAATATATGAATGCATTTTGTTAGCCTCACGGTGTTAACCTCATCCTACTCCCAATCTAGTGTGAAACATTTTTGGTAGAAATCAAACAACAGAAACTGTATGTTGGCCATCATAGTGGCCACATAGTCTATGGCATGGAACATCTTCATTTACTTTGCCATTGGGATTGAGGGTTCAAATCCCTTTTCAAGGCATCAGCTTCTGCTGTCCTGTGTAGCTAACAGTTTTGCAGTGGGCTGATCACTGGTCCAATGAGTCTTATAATCTCATACACTCATTAATGGATGTGAGCCCTTCTTGAGAAGCTGCCAATTTTGCAGCTACTCAAGAATTTCCCAGGATTTTATGGAACCCAAAGGTTCATTACTGTTCACAAGAGGCCTCCACTGATCCCTATCCTCAGCCAGATGGATCCAGTCCAATATTAAGATCCATCTTAATATTGTCCACTCACCTACGTCATGGTCTTTTTCCATCTGGCTTTCCCACTAATATCCTGTATGCATTCCTCTTCTCCTCCATTCATGCTACATGCCCTGCCCATCTCATCCTCCTTGACTTGATCATTCTAATTATACTTGGAAAAGAGCACAGGTTATGAACCTCCCATCACTTCATCTCTCTTCAATCAGATATTCTCAACACTTTCAGCGTTCCTCCCTTAATGTCAGAGACCAATTTTCACACCCATATATACTTTACTACATGTTTTGTTTAAACACATTTTAATCAGCCTAACTAGCTTCATGGGTACCCCAAACCCTATGAGATTATTACCTCCCAACTGAATTATAGGCTTTCTTGAAGTCTATGAATAGCCAATGTACTGTCTCATTGTACTCCTTTTTTTCTCCTGTATCTGATGAATGCAAAAGATCTGATCAGTAGCTGATCTGTTATGTTGAAACCCCCACTGATTATATGTATGGACTTAACCTTGAGAGAATATTGGATAAAATTCTGTATGAAGTTGATAGCAGTTATATCACCCTTCTTGTGAACTGGTAGAATAATAGACTCCATCCCCTGATCAGGCAATTTTTCCATATTCCAAATAGAATTAATTAGCTTGTGGATCTTAGAATATAATATTTCACCTACTGCTTGAATAAGTTCTGCTGGAATTTGATTACTACCTGGCAATTTATACATTTTCAATTTTGTAATAGTACTTTCAACCTCAAAAGGGCTAGGATCAGGTACTAATGGCTCAGCTGTGTGCATTTCTATCTGCCTAACATCACTGACCCTGTGTACATTCAACAACTGAGAGAAGCCGTTCTTCCACTTATTCAAGATTTGGGAATCTGCAAGCAGGTCACCATTCTCATCCTTCACTAAGTTATTGCTAGGCTGGTAACCCCCAACAAATTTGATTTGTTTCATTCTGGTCCATCACACTATTAAGTTTATTTCAGTCCAATGTGACATAATGCTTTCACCACTTCAGCAGTTAGTTTATCCCTCCTACAATCTGATTTCAGATTAAAAAGTATTTTTGGTCAATACTTCTCAAAATTTCCTAATCCATTTCTTGGACTTTGTATAATCATCTGAGTTATTAGCCATCTTGTTCTTCTGCCACAATATACTATTCTGAAAGGTAAAGTTTTCCCCTTGTCTAAGCACCATGTCATGATAATATGGTAAAGTGCAGGTGAAGCTCAGCTCATTCTTGGGCATTACATAGACATGAGTGATCAGGTTTATGCTCCAGCTGCTTTACCCTTATGAGAAGATCCACAGTATGCACTGAGTAGAACTGGTGGGCCTAACTATATGTAATGACAATAAGAAAAATCCCTGCCTCCAACAGGAATCACACCATGGTCATCCAGTATGCAGCCAGCAACTTCACTGACAAATCATGCATCAGTATTTTCTATATGCTCCAAGTAACTTGATGGTCAGGAAGGTTCCAGCACTCCAGGACCAAGAGAGGATTCACATTATTTTTGGATCTGTTAGTATAGACTATTTTATTCTGTAAATAATTCGGCCACAAAACATTTGGACGGAACGAAAGACTTTCACAGACACACATATATACATTCTCAATTGCAGGCATCAAATCAAAACTTTTCTGACAATCCTCAAAAGAGCATGAGCAAATGGACCATTTCACAATCATCTATAAAAACAACTAATTTATTTTCATGGCCTCCATATGCAACCAGCTGAAGCAGTGTTGTATTGACGTGTTATTCATGCATCTCTATGAACTTGCTACACAGACCTTCAGAATCATTAATTCTTTCAGTTGAATTTGTAACTATATTAACTGTTCCTGCACCACTTACAAGCAATGATGGCATAATTTACATCATGCTATCTGCTACAGTTTTAGTGTTTATGAATAAATGTTCTTGGTTACTTCACAGTTTAACAAGATCAAAAAGACGAAACAAACAGGGTGAAATACTAGGGCAAAGGAAATTAAACTATCAAAATTTGATTAACTTAGGGTCCTAAGTCTTGTATCCTTTATTGAATGAACTGAAAGTACCTGAACTCTATCTTCTAGGTTGTGAAGCCATGTAGCTTTGCAGCAGTTCACTAACACATCAAAACACCACCTCAAACTTCAGAGTTGAAACAGAAGCTCTGCTTGCTGGTTACTTACCTGGCTAATTCTTCAACCCTGAAGATGCAGGTACCATGTTCCTCTGCAATGTCGGTAAAAGTTTACTGAACTACTGAGCGGGATGCTAGGATACCACTGACATGGGCAACTTGTTGGTGTGGGGGAACCGGCTGTTGCATGCAGTTTAATAGCCATAGAGAACTGGCTAATGTTGGCAGTTAGAAATTATTTTAAGACTAAATCAACTGCGCAAATATAACAATATTTTTGGAATGTTTCATGTTCCAAGACATGGCAGAATTCCATTTTAAAACGGTATGATGAATCCAATGTTCATGGTAATGCAGTGAACAATCTGTTGGCCCTAGACATTCAATTCATACACCAGAAATTATTGAAATCTGAAATGCACCACAGCAGAATCAAGTTATGCTTACAAAGACAAAGAGCAGTCTCCTTACAAGCCTTAAACATGTCCCTTAAAAGAAATTTCCATGAAAATTTTGACATTTCATCCTTATATGATTCAGGTAACAAGATCAGGTTCTTGGAATTTCTGGATAATGATGGAGTTTGGATATGTTTCACATGTCAGATAAGGCCTATTTTAACCAGTCAGGCTATATACACAAACCAAATTCAAGATACTGGAATGGCAACAATCCTATGCAGCTTCACAAAAGGCCTCTCTATACCGAGATGGTAGCCGTGTGAAGAGTGGCTCTGCTCTTAGCGCTAAAGGTAAAAGGTAAAGGTATCCCTGTAACAGGCCAGAGGCCCATAGGGTTGTGAGACATCAAGGCTCCCACATTTTCTATACAATCAGCTCACAGTTGGTGTTTAGGCTGTCAGCCTTGTGCACCAGCCGCCCTTTACCCCCAATAAGATTCCTGGTACTCATTTCTATTAAGAGGCTGCGTCAACCTCAGGGCCATAATGCAATTGGAAGGATTAAGTCAACTGAAAAATTCAATAATCTCATCAGGAATTGAACCCACAACCTTCTGGCTTGTAGCAGTGCCTGAACCAAGTATGCTACCTGCTTTTAGTATTACTGGGCCTTACTTCTTTCATGAAAACAACCAGGCTGTTACTGTGAACTGTGATTCTGGAAACCCTTTTAGTTGAATAACTGTGAAGGGTTTAGCATGACAGTGCTACAACTTGAACAGGAAGGCAACGCATCTGGCCAGTTGTTGCAACATTTAACCAGCTGTCACAGCTCAAAATGATAGCAATTTATAACATCTTTGGAAAAACCTGCTGCCTCTACATTCAGCATTGAAGAGTGGCACTTCTTTAATAATGGCGATTGGTGACATCATTGTGCTTAATTAACCTTTTGCATGCTATAAGCCGCTGATCACAGTGGCTGTGCAGTCTAAGGCATTAACTGTCTTTGCTTGCTCAAAAGCTGGGATAGTGGTTTTGGATCCCACTTAAGGCATGGATGTCTGTATGTAGGTAGCAGCCTTGCAATGGGCTGATCCCCCATTCAAGTCCTACCAACTGTGTATAGGATTAAGAAACTGTGGCTAAGGTCCAACAAAGGACTGTACAGCCATAGAAAGATGCTATGAGCCAATTAGGTTGGCTTGGAGTACTTGAGTATTGACTGCCTCTGTGGTCTAGAGGTCAGAGTTCCTGCTTACAGATCCATAGGTCCTGAGTTCGATTCCCAGCACTACCACATTTTCTGAGAAGTAGCGGGCCTGGAATGGGGTCCATTCAGCCTCGTGAGGATAACACAGCAGCTATTTCAAGGAAATAGCGGCTCTGGTCTACAAAACCGAGATTAATGGCCATGGGGATCTGTTGCACTGACCATGTAACACCCTCTATCCACAAAAGTTGGCATTAACTTCGCTGACAAGTGGCGGTTGTTTGGTCGCTATAGTTCGCTAGATAGGCCATAGTTTTTTTGTTTGGAGTACATGAGTTAAAGCAGCCACAACCAAAAAAATCAACTAGTGCAGTATTTCTGTTAACAGAGGGCATCATGTATGAAGTATCAATGTTGAAAGAGCCTTTTACATTATTTACACCTGTCATTTGAAAGTACTCTGTGAATGTTCTGCAACTGCCTGTAATACCACGCAGTCTTCATACTTCTGGGTATAGTTCTATGATGGAGCCTGGCTTAAGCACCAAGCCATGAAGACACAGGATGTATAGAAAAGGTATAGTTCCAGGCATACTTCATCCCGGTACCAACAGAGATGAGTGGTCAGCTTCATGCCCCAACCACTTTACCCCTTGGAAAAGGGCCCCCTGTACCCACCAGATAGAAGACTGGAAGGACTCCTGAGTCAGCATAGATGTTACGGAGAAGACAAAAATCTATTGTTCCTGTTTAGAATGAAACCAGTTTCATCCAACCTGAAGCCTGAGCTCTGACAGCAATCTTCAATAGCAACACGAAATACTCGTAGCACAACGAAACCGTGAACATACTGACAGCAGTTCGCCTTCAATGAAGGTCCTAATTGTGGGGTTGTGTTCCTGGACTTTCACTGACTAGTAACCCTATTCAAAAATGTGTCAACAGCAGAAAAAAAGGTACTTGGAAGGCCAAACTGTAATAACAGCTGTCAATACAACACTGTGATGTTCCTCTGCTAGCAGTAACAATAACATAAGAATTACACAAAAAATGATTCCTTGTTTTAAGACTCATAAAGCATAACAAATACTGCATTCTGTATGAATTACTTATAAATATTCAACATCAATGACTCTCATTACCTTCACATTAGATATATAAAAAAAATATACTTAAAAAACTTTACTACTTATGTAAATCATTATTGGTCCCATCTGGAAATCGGAAGGTATTGCCGCCACAAGCAATTACGAGCATCAGATTATTTGTAATACTTTTTAATACTCATTCGTAACCGAGATCTGAGGTTCTCATTGTGACGAAGATTAAGATCAGTCTTTGGGATGTAATGCTTTGTAGTTTAGTACCTAGGGACCAACACGTACGAGGAACTCACTTCCATCATCTTCAGGGCAGAGAACTATTATTATTTTGAAGATGGAAGAAGCATGTTTCTCCACAACATTTGTACCTACCTACTAAATTATGAAGGATATCCAGAAAGTAAAGATACAAAGTCCATAAAATATTTGTAAAGCATTTCTTTTTGGATTCACTTGTAGCACTTTTACAACATACCTTTATTTACTTTTCAACATAGTCACCATGGATCAGAATGCAATTAGTGAGCCTGGGAGTGAGACTTCTTATTCCAGCACTGTAGAAATCTCCTGCCTCCACTCTTAGCCATGAAGAACAGCTGACACTTCTGGACAATGTTCATAATGTTCATCGATAGTTAGACGTCTGTCAGCATGAATGTTTTCATCAAGTTTTTTGGACGATTTCATCAGTGATGTGTTGCCTTCCACTCCGTATTTCAAAATGGAAATCACTTCTTCCCGCTTCAAACTCATGACATCATTTTCCCACATTCTGCCTGTTCATAACATCTTCACTGTAAACAGAAACAAGTTAGCAATGGATTTCAGCAGCAGTTTTCCTTTCGCGTGAAGAAATCGAATTACTGCAAGAACCTCACATCTGGCGGGATTTTGAATCGACATGGCCATTTTAAACACACACTGCAAGCATAACGTTGCCATGACTGTGGCCAGCGAACTCAGCCCTGTCATACAATTTATATCTCACGTGGCAGCACTGTCATTTCGGGGGGGAAAAATCCCTTGCACTTTTACTGGACTTGTATCTTTACTTTCTGGATATCCCTTGTGCATAGTGTTACATCCCAGAAGACTGTCATCTTAATTCCTAACAAAGAAAGTAACGGTTTTTTTTTATCGGTGCTGAGGGAAAGTCAGTCAGAGTCCATCTAATACTGAGCGCATAAGACTTGAAGTAAACCTGGACGAATCCTGAGTGTGTTTCTTCATGCAGACAGAAATGTTCATGTTAATATCAACATCAGTCCTTAAGGAGGGAAGATGAAACGCGATGTCCAAGCACCGACATGAGCTAAGGCAGTGCAGCTTGAACACACAGCACACCTTGATGGCCCTCTTTCCTTATCATCCAGCCTTAAAACAAGTATTCTGGTCTGATGCTGCATGGACCAGGAAAGGGCTTGTCACTGACAGTACTATATTCTGGGTGTGACGTCATAATTTTCAGTAAATGTGTGCCCACATTTCAGTGTTTCCCTCTGCTTCTTGCCATATCTTGCTGGATGAAGGATGGTGAACTTGTACCAAACTACATGCTGTCACATCTGTGAGAACCTCAAATCCAACAATAATGTTACTTTAATACTCTATAACAAATACACTTACCTGCAACAAAATCCATGTTTGACAAACTAACTTACCTCCAGAAGAAAATTACTACCAAGCAGTGTTCCCAGCCTTACAAAGTAAAACATAAAAACTTTACATAAAAATCTGTAACTATCAACAAGCACCTGATTAATCAGAAGAGCCAACACCTCATCTCTCCTTACATCTCCATAATACAAATTTTGATCCACAAGGAATGCTCAACCTGCCAGAAACATCAGGAGCCACAAACTAATCTTCAGAAACATTTTGATTAACCTTCTGAAGCACATGGCATGCTTAATACCTGCTTGAACAGTATTAAAAAAATTGTTTTTTCACACACAGTGCATTTATGTGATTTACATGATTCTCACAATAAGTAGGGACTACTTCCCTCAAAAGCATTAACTGGTTGGTCTTTGTAATGTGAATGTAGTGTCTTTCCTGTGACATAGGAACTCAATTTTTAAATATCACTTACATGAACTACATTTTTCAAAGTGGTGGTATTCAGTTACATGTTAAATAACAAGTCTGACACTGAGAAAATCACTTTGCAATCCAATAACAGATTGATTCAACTGAAAAGAAAATACGTTTTATTTGTACTGTGTCACATGCTCAAATAGACCTCAAATGATATCCTCTGTGAAAATCAGGTCCAATGTTGCATAGTCTGAGAATTTTAAATCTAAAACTAAACACAATTATATAAATGCATGGACCTCAAAAGCCTTTGGTTTTGCGGCTGTCAGGCTCCAAAACATTTCTTATTCTGGCAGTCAAAATTAAAATTCACATTACAAGGGCCAAATTCATAAAGATGAACAGTGAGATCAGAGATGGTGACCTTGGCCTCAGAATGATCAGAAATATGTACTGGCAAGATTACTTGCACATTCCCATGTCAGAATGACAGTTTCATGTCTTATGCTTCCATCTCTTGGTGCAAGACTAACTCCATGCTCTTCTTCTTCTTACAAAATTAATTATTCTTCAGCAATGGGCAGCAACCTGTTTACATACTGGTAATATTTTATGAGATTTCACAATTTACATTCTAAGGCTGCAATATTTTCCATAATTACAGTCACAAAGTTGGGCGTAGCACAGTTCAGTTACTGCATCTCCAGCTCTGTGAGGTAAGGCAGCTGTGTGGCGAGTGGCTAGGCAATGCTAACTCAGATCATATTTGGTCAGTAGTGTCTCACTGGGTACTGAAGGCAAACAGCAGTATGTGCAACAACAAAGTCTGCTACTTACCTACCATCCACCTTCAGGAATCAGTAGACTATCTGCACATTGCTTTTACCATTCAGATGATCAATCTAGGCATTACAAAGGCTAATACAGAGCTGACCAGTTATACCAACACTTCAGTTTTGCAAGGCACTGAAGGAACATCACTAATACAGGTATATATCTGGTCCCACATGGCACATATAGCTATAGTAAACCAACACGATTAACTGTTTGTGTTGATGTATGTTTCAATGTTACTACAACCCTCCTGTCAGCACTGCGTCAAACTTCAAGTTGTCTTTGAGACCTGAGGTTCTCACAGCAGCGAGTATGAAGATTACTGTCATGTGTGATTGGATGCTACTTAGCCTCATTCACAGAAACTGCAGCTTCCATGCCGAGGTACCCTCTTCTACCCTAAAATTGGAAGAAACACATTCCTTCAAAGCAATGGTATTTCTGACAGACTACATGACACATCACATGTCACTGTAACCTTCAAATTCACCACAACATCAAATCTGTTATCTGATCTTCATTGCATCATTAATATAATTTTAATTTTTTAGAACTATATATATATTTAATCCTTTCCAATCCTTTTTCAGAAGGCTTGCAACATAATTTTCATTCACAGATCCTGTGCTGGAAGCCATCCATTAACACCTTTACAAACTTACATCATGTTATGATAACATGATGAGTGTTATACCTTTGTTCTTCATATCCTTTGATATTTCTAGTTTGTAAAGAGGAACAACAGATGGCACCAGCTTTATATTTTCACATATCAGAGTATTATTTTTTTCATTTTTTCATAACTAATTTGTTATTGGTAAGAGTGTAGCTGCAAATATAAAGGATGGAAAAGGATTAAACTAGATGGAGTGCTGACAAGCTTGTTATCATTCAAACTAACACAAGCATCAAGGTGAATGATGCTACAGCCTCTCAAAGGAGAAACGAGAACGGTGGCTCTCTGTCAGCACAATGAACATCAGGCAGTCTGCCAACAAAGCCATCCATATCGTAACAGTAATACTGCACGACATACAAATTTTGTTCCCGGCCAGAATGACTAAATATTCAACACCAAGATGTCAGAGGTTCACACCTGACACCCACTTACGAAGAACCAGTTTACATAGGGATCTGTGGTTTAAAATAAGGGCAAGTGTCAATTTGGCTTTACTGTTAAACTGCACCACAAAGATATAAACATTCTAAGACCCTAGATTTAAAACAAGACACTAAAATGAGCACAAAATGATTGGCTTGAAATTTTTATTTCAGGCCTTCCTACTGCATCTTCCCCAAAATAGCAGGCCCTGAGTTTTCACAGCTACATGCTTTCAAGGATGACCTATTAGGCAAGCAGACATACAAATCACAGATATTGTTAATTATTTTAGCACTTAATTTGGACTTACCTAGTGCCTGATTAGCACAAACAATTCTGAAAATTACTGTTTCAGAGACATGGCAGCAGACAGTGAGGAGTGGACATGTCTATATTGGCAGTACTCAGAACGTTAACATTGACAATAAGCACTCAATCTGACTGCGCTTCTTAAGTCACATGATTCTGCTGAGGTATGAGAACCTTTCATGAAGACCACTGAGCAGAATTTGGTAAACTATATTACAAACATCAGAATATTTAAATTTCTCTCTTCCTGACTGCAATGTATAAATTCTGCTGAACTTTACTCCAAAGGATACAAAGGGAAGAGAATGCAGTTATTGGTGCTTACACTTCCAAAGGTGAGTTAGATCAATCCTTCAAGAGGCTGAGCTTACAATTCTTACACTACTGGCTGTGAAACATTTAAAAATAGAGAAAATTCTGGAAAAGTAAGGAAGTGAACCAGAACAAACCCACACAACTTGCTAACAACAGGAAAGTGGCAGGTGGTCACACCAACATAAACACATGATGTAAGCCCAAAATTATACAGGTTACAAGGAATTTCATTGGCCATGCCATAGCTCATGCAGTCATGAGACTGGATTCTCACTGCAGAGACTTACGTTTGAAACCAAATGACTTCCTGTGAGATTTGTGGACGGAGTGTCACTGAAGCAGGATTTCTTGAAGTTTTTCTTTTTTCACTTTTCCTTCCTTATCATCATTCCACCATTGCTCCATACTCGACATGACTGCCCCCTGGATGTGTGATAGCCCTGACCAGGCGCCACATTATCACATCCTGAATCTTTAACTAGGGGGCTTCACCTCTGACAAGGCACCTGACTGGTTCCAGAGTGAGGAAGTTTCTTTACAGGATAATTAACTGTGAAATGCATAAATTCACCAGTTTACTAAACTGGACAGTTTGTTATACACACAAACCATACAGTGCAACTATAACGAACTCCACAGGACAGAGTCCTTTCTGAGAAACTGATACTCACTCAATTAGTCAAGAAATCTGTCACCTTTTATCGACCCGAAAGATTTACTACCATGATCACCAGAGCCTGCTATTCTGTACCAGAAGAATCCAGTACACACCCTGACATCCAGACTCTTCAAAATACATTTTAATATTATCCCCCCCATATATGCCTAGGTCTTCCAAGGAGTCTCATCCCTTCAACTTTTCTAAGCTTACTATTCATTTCATTCATCTTCCTTGACTATGTTAACAGCAATATGTTTTCCGTTAGTTGCATGATGTCTGCAAAATTAACATGCATCACAGACACACAGCCATCCCACAAAACATGTGATGATGACACACCTTGTTGGTTATTATCAGGGCCCAGATTTTGATGACATGTCATCTTTTTCCCTTGTATCCTATGCGATGCTCTTAAATATATAAATCTCGGATATGAGCTGCTGGTTACAGAAATGTAAATTTTATAGGTAATTTTTGTCATTTTTTAATTTGGGGGTAATTTTTTGGACTTTTAAGGGTATTTCTTGTCATTTTTGGCCATTTTAGGGAATTTTTCTTCATATGTTTTCTGAAATGTGAATAACATGGAAGTGAAGTGTTCTTTCTTTTCTCCTTTACATCATTTTTCTGGATTTTTTTGTCATTTTTTGAATATTTTCAGGTCATCAAATTCCGGGCCCTGCATATTACATTTTTGGGTCATATTTTAGGTCATTTTTCTGGATTTTTTGGTCATTTTATAGGTCATTTCTTAAATATTTTCAGGTCATCAAAATCCGGGCCCTGATTATTATTATCCCAATGCATGTTTCAGTTATCAAGGAGACAGTCAGTACACCAACAGCCAGGGTCAGAGCCGCCTCACAAGCTCAATGAGACTGTCTTATGTTGGATGCAGCAATACATTTATACTTTCATGGAAGTTCATGTTGTATCTTAGCATCCCGTTGCAGCTGGCATTATAATTTATCTTCAGTTGTGTACCATCCACCGTGCAACAATATCAGGATTTAAAATTCATCACTGCACTACATGTTTCAGCTACTGCCACCAGTTATGCTTGATGTTATATACTCAACTTCTCTGGCCTCCACCTGCCTCAGTAACAGTGAAATGGACACACGTACTAAGCCTCACAGTTTCACGATAAGAATGAGGACATTACAAGACTTTTTAGTATGGCACATGCTTTCTTTCTTTATTTATTTCTGTTAAGCGATGTTACCAGTAGCTCACATGATTAGCATGCAATGGTAGGAAGGTTCCTGGATAAGAAATTGGACAGGATCTGAAGCAAAGCACCTATGGGGTAATTTCAGGTACTATCCCAGCATTCACCTGAATGGACTGAGGAAAACTACAAAAACCTCAGTCAGTGTAGTCAGCATTACTTGACCTGTTGTAGCAGCTGCCAACCATGGGCCAGAATCTTTCCTTACTGATGATGCAAGTTCTGCTGGCATTGCACTCTCTGGCATGGCCAGTGATCAGAAGACAATTTTCTAACCTGTATAATTCATGCTGATATGAATGCCATTTTTTGAAGGAACACCCTGCAGCAAAAGGAGGGTTAAGGCCTATATAGTTCACTTCATTATTTAACAGATTTTTCTTCTTCGAAATGACGTGCACATAGTCACAGTTCAGTTGTGATGACGGTCTTCCGATGTATCACTGGCTGTTCATGTTTGACTGGCTTCGTGGCTGTGTCAGTGGTAGCTGAAGTGTCAGAGGCTACAAGCCATGGAGAAAGCTGGTTTAGGCTTGGCACGGAGCCACTAGAATTCAATTTGGTGGGCTGTGTGTTCGCTGCAGCGGGAGCAGGAGCGTGGGGCGACTCCTGCAACACATGTCAGCACTCATCATTACAGCTAACAGCAGGTGCTCCTGGGTCTTTGCATCATGTGAATGTGGACAGTGGTATCATCATTTCAGAGGTATATGAGCATGTTGCTTCCATCTTTCTATTTACTTTGACCCTGAGGATGGAAGCAGCACATGCCTCAGAAATGCCAGCAACTCTGCCCATATCCACACAGTAAAAGGAACCAAGAGCAGAATCAACATGAGAAATGCATGTTCTGTTAAGCACAAACTGAATTTTAAAATATTGCTTACAATTAATTTCATACGCCACAGGGTTAACACAAAAGTTCATCTGTCGGTGCTACATTGTGCTGGCTCAGTTCAACTACAGCTGGAGCAGCTCATTTATACAGCCAGAAATCTTCAAGAACTCCTGCTAACTTCCATTAGTCCATACGGTGTCACACTCCAGACGACAGTATCTTCACATAAAATATAAGTTAAATCACCACAAGCCACAAACAAAACAAGGGCAACCCCATGATCAGACTTCACCAAACCACAACACAGGGGCACTTACCAGTGACAATGATAACATAAAACTGTGTTAGCAAGTTTGGCTACCTGACTGCAGAGATGGGGCCATCATAGCAGGATCAGTGGCTTCTCTGCTAAACAGGTTAACACCAGAAGGTCACATAGTTCTCAAGAATTACTCACAATATGTGTCCATGGAGTTTACAAGTGAGTAAGTCAGTAAGAAGTACTACAGTGCAGCAAGCTAAACATTTTCCTTTTCTTTCAATGACTGTACAGGAATATTTTACAGCTTACTGTAGAAGCAGAGAAGTTGTAAAGCTGTCACTGTACNGGGGGGGGGGTGTCACAAAGTCTGAGGACCCCTAGGTTAGCCTTCATATCAGTCTTCATGGTAGCGTCTTACTCATTCACATTACAGTAACCATTTGTATCTTGTGATATAATTTCCTGTTTGGAAGGCATACAATATGCTGGGGACCAGCTGCCCTCACTTGGGAGGCACACAACTCACTGGGGACCAACTGCCCTGACTTGGGAGGGATACAACTCACTAAGAACACGCTGTCCTGACTCGGAAGGCACACAACTCACTGGGAACCAGCTATGTACACTAAGATTCACACCAGACACTTCAGGAAAATGCTGCAATAGTTTTTACAATAAGCTCCAACCACTTCCTCTCAGTTAAAACACGATACTACACCTCATTCAACTTTACTGTTAACTCGGTATGAACTTACCTGCCACATACTGTGCAGTCACTATTGAATCAATCCTTCAGCTTGCCATATTCTCCACATTAAATAAACTATACTTGCCCATTAGGGGTCTGAACCTAGGAGCACTCACCTTCGAAACTTTGCGCTGGCGAATGTCGCCAGTGGTCACAGATGGTTGCTTATCAGCCACTGGAGAGCTCTGCACTACAGGGGACAAAGGAACAGTGGGTGATTTTGAAGGGGCAGAAGATGTCTTATCAGATCCACTCTCAGGATTATCATGTGAGATATGGGGCTTGCTACCCACCAACTCCCTGAAAGGGTTTGATATGGCAGAGAGAGACAAGAAAGGGTTCGGCTTATCTGCTGACACCCCATGGAAGGGATTTGTCGGTGGCAGAGACCTCGATTCGGTAGGGGACAATTTTGAGGCTGTAAATGGATTTATGAAAGGATTGTTTGGGTGCAGGACAGGTGGGGGGGAAAGATGTGGAGATTTGGGGGACTGAGCCATTGGCCTGATGACCTTTGGAGACAGGCATGGAGTTGTGTGACTGCCAGAAGTCATGATCAGGCTAACAGGTGGGGGCACCACAGGCTTCTTGGTTGTTGCATCTTCACTGCTGGAGTGGTTCAGAGCGTTCTTGCTATCAAGTGATGGTGACGGGAGTATCACACGCTCCAGTTTGCCATGATCAGACCATGAGAAGTGCGTCACAGTCACTGGGGTGGTGCAGCGCTTCTGTGACAGCCTGCTATCATCGGTCTCGCCCTGTGAGGCATCCTCACTGTGAGCACTGTCCAGTGTTGTGCTGGGGCCAACAGCCATGGAGTTAGCACCACCCAGGGATAATGTGAGCTTATCACCACCCTGTGGCAATGTGCATACAAAGCAGGTATCACCAACAAACAGGGAACACAGCAGTAACAAAACAACAAAAGCAATTAATTACAAGCCAAACAGAAGCACAACCAAACACAGTTCATCAGATACACAACAGTGAAACTTGTTTAGAAACAGATACATATGGCACTCAACTGGGAATATATGTTTCTTCGTTCTCTATACAGCAGCAAGTGTATCCAGCAGGTTGCATTCCCAGTTTAAATGTTGGTCCAGAACCTATCGTGACTTCTGCTGGGATAGTGCCCCAAACTGGGCCACAGCTGCTTCCTCCCATATCCTTTCCAAGGGTATTTGCCCAGAGAGACTGAAGAAATTTATGGAACATTCATAACAAACTACACACAACACAATGAGAGGAACTACCCATCATCACAGGACACATGGGCTCATAGACGAGGGCATATCCCAAAAACTGAACTTATGGACAGAGGCACAGCAGTTGTGTCAGCAATTTTAGGGACATACACCAGTGATGTAGAAGAGATTTTAAAGTTTAAAACTTTTAAAGGTTTTAAAAAAGTAGGATGCACGTGAGATGGCTAACAACTGACATGAATAAATTATGACAGCTTTAATAAGAGTAACCTGTCTCTGGGCCCAGACTCAAACCTGGGATCTCCTGAATACAAGAAGAGACTTGAACACTCGACGAAAATGTTCAGTAAAATATTACTGAGAAACAGAGAGCAGTTTTAGACAAAAAATTTGCTGGTGGCCGAACACAATCTTACGATTACACACAAAATAAAATAAATGTGAGATGAATCTGAACATCCGCTCACTGGTTGCTCTCTCCCCCCTACAAGTGTTTCAGTCCCACATGTTGATCAGCTGACCCTGGGTTACCCACCCTCATATAATAAGCGTGGCATATAACAAGAGCTCCAACATAATGAACACTAACAGCCACTGTCCATTTCTCAACATTACACTTGAGAACAAATATATAAAGCAGGGGCTGATTTGCCAGCAAACTTTGCTGTAGTGTGATATGAAACCTGCCCCAGTTAATTCCCTTTACTTTCTGCATGCTCTCCACCTCCTTTCTCTGTTTTCCCTCCTATGTCCTTCCTTCTGTGTGACATTCTTTCTCACCTCTTATTCTCACAGTGGTAGTCTTCCTTGTGGGCATTTCGCTTCTTGTTTCAGGTTCAATATCTTTTGGACTCTTTTCTTTGTTCGTTCTTAAAATATGTTCATAACATCTTATTCTATTATTTATGAATTTATCTTCAAACATATATATATGTTTACACTACCTTCTCATATTTTCTTTTGTTTCTTATTCCCTCTTCTTGTTCTTCCACATGGTGTAATAGCATGTGTACAGAGAGGACAAGAGACCTACTTCAGAACTACTGAAGCTGCAGTTCCCACAGCTGTAACTATGAACAGTACTGGCTCCTGGGATGTGACACAGTGTAGTCTGGTAGAGGTTCACCCATGTTTTGAAGAAATGTACTGCTTCCTTCTTCAGTGTCAAAGAGTATGCCAGGAAAGTAACCAGCAAAATGCAGGTAGTAAGCTGAGCTTCATGAATGCTTGCAGGGCTTACTCTTTGACCCTGAAGATGGATGCAAGAAACATCGGTGTAGCTGCACCAGACTATGTGTCACCACACCTCAGAAGACAAGAGTGCTCTTCTACTTTTTGGTGTATACTAAGTACTTGTAGGAACAGTGTGCATCTGATGTATGATGTTTAGAAATTGTCATTATATCACAGTTCCACTGTATTATTCAACAGCAGACTGAGCAAGACATAACGCTGCATGGGTTGAGCATTTTCTGTAACATCTAGCGAGCTTCCTTCTCGTGCCACAGCATGAGTGCAGGTATGTCAGCAGTGGCTCCAAACACAACTTCATGTGCACCTCTTCTGGAACTGACTAGAGTTAACAGAAGGTATGAGGGATAGAGCTGAATAAGCAGTCAGCTTACATGCAGCATTTCCTCTTATTGCGAATGCACTGTACTTTTGCAACCACAGAACTTTCTCTATTCTGTGTAGGATCCGGGATAGCAAAGTCAGTATAGTGAATTAGCTATGGGCTGGCTGACCAAGGAAGCAAAACTTTTCCTTCTCTCCTCAGCATCCATGCAGTGGCAACAGCAAGAATGCATGAACCTGTCTCCAATGCTGTCTTCACACAAGGGCATTATCTTACTAACTCTATTCTAAGTATGGCAAGGTAAAGATCTACGATAGGCAATATTAGTAACGAGCAAAAGTAACTCATCTGCGACATGGTTGCTTTCTTTGAGAGTATCACAATACAAACAGCGAAACATCTATTTAAGGTTTCTTTGGGAAGCAGTGAATTTGAGTCCTGAACTGAGGAAAACCTTAAGTGGAGGTGCTTTTACCACTCAGAATGGCTTGGGATTATGTCAGAAATTCTTAAATATGGGAACATGAAATGGAAGTTCCACTACAGTAGCTAAAACTTTTCAGGTGGAGGAACTATCTAATAAAGAAAATAAAGTTTATTCATATAATTAAAAGAACAGACTGGGGTTGATTTGAACTGCACCCAAAACTTCTACCACAATACTTGCACCTTGCTTTAACAGTCAAGCTGCACCACATACTGGCAAGATCTAACTAACTAGTTTCACAGAACTGAGCCCTTCTTGAGAAGCTGCCAGTTGTGCAGGTACTCAATAACTTCCCAGCATTTTATGGAACTCAAAGGTTCATTACCATGTTCACAAGAGTCCCCCATTGGTCCCTATCCTCAGCCAAATGAATCCAGTCCATACAACCCCATCCTTTCTAAGATCCATTTTAGTATTATCCTCCCACCTACATCTTGGTCTTCCTTCTGGCTTTCCCACCAATATTCTACATGCATTCTACTTCTCCCCCTTCATGCTAAATGACCTGCCCATTTCATCATCCTTGACTTGATCATTCTAATTATACTTGGCAAATAGTACAAGTTATGAAGCTGCCTATCATGCAGTTTCTCGTTTGGTATTCAATTCACAATTCAGAACAGGAAACTGACAACAAAATTAGATATCAGAAAACCAACACAAGCCTCCCGAGATCAACGTGGCGCTTACCACAGACACGAACGTAGCGCTGAGTGTGTCCAGAGGTAGAGACAGCTGCTGCTGCTTCTTCCTGCAACATAATGTTACAATGTTACACTGCAGACAGGCACAATGTTTCCGAGTTACATGCACCCACAGACATCTGATGCCAGCCAACCAGTTCGGATTTCTGTGCTCAAGTCGAGGTATGTAACTTGAGAATACTGTGCAATTCTATGAGATTCAGGGACCTCATGGCAGTGATTATACAGACTTTTCTTTTCTGCAATGAAACGCGATGCAGTTTGGCAGAAAGCAGTGTTTTGGGGCTTCTCACTTTCAGTATGAAGAAAGAAACAGCACACTGCTCCAAAATGTTGGTAATTATTTACCAGACTACATGGTGTCACATCCCAGAGAACAGCAATTTTCATATTCACTTTGGGAAAACCTGAAATCTTGCTAAGAGTAAATTTCTGAGGCTTGAAAAATGATAACAAAGACATCCAATTCTATGGAACAGAGGAATTCCTTGCTCCCTGAACCTCGTGGTTCACACCAAGGTCACATGAACCCACCACTGGTCCCACCCTCAGCTAAATCCAGTCCATAACCCCCTAGCTCTTTCAAGTGGTCCTTTCCTTTCATATTTTCTAACTATAATTTTCTATGCATTTCGCATCTCTCCCACACTAAAAAAGAAAATTAAAGCAGAAACCACTTTATGAACTTCCATAAACAAGGGAAGCCTCCATATTTCTTGACCAATAATTTCCTTCCTTCTCTCATTAAGAAGCTCCCAGGATTACTAACCCGTTGAGCAGATTCTTCTCAGTTCCACGCTCGTCCCGGTTGTTCATGTCATCAGAAAGTGGGGTCTTCTTCAGCTCCTCCTCAACTCTGGCTGGAAACAGCAGGCACAAGTTCTGGGTTAGCACATATATTGTGCAAAATACATTGCAGAGGTTGTATCACTAAACACATCCACAGACAAAACAACTTCTGGTCAGCACATATGAAAATGCAGCAATATTTTGAATGACAGTTTGTATAAAGGGAGCCAAATTTAATTAAAATCATTAAAGGTATTTTCAGGAAACTGCCCAATTCATATTTGTTTTATGTATTTACTAGTTAAGAAAAACTGTCAGTAACTCTGATTAAATATAATATATAATAGGTGAATAATGAATAAAAAACAAAGTGGAAAGAAACAGTCAAGACCTAACTTGAGATAATATCCTGATATTTCAGCAGGAACTGAGGAAAATCATAATACAACTCACAATAGTAGCAATTCTGACGTAATCTGATATCTCTCCTTACAAAATGAAACAGACATCACCATGTGGCATGTCAACACAAACAGCCCAGAGCCAGTGAGACAGATACAAACATGCAACAGCACTGCACAGGCAAGTACCTTTCAGAATATTGCACTTAAGCTGGTCAGGGGGAAGTGGCCTGGCACCAGCCGAACCTCCAGAGTACTTGGCATTCTGGTTGTTGGGAACCACTGTCACCAGCAGAGCAGTGGGGCCCACTGCAGCCTCCAAGTCTGCAACATGACCACCAGAAACTCAATCCCTCAGACATGAGACAATATCCCAGATGGAAAGCATGTGAAAAATAACAACATGCAGACCATGAGGGAGAAATGAAACAAGATAGTGAGGTTCTCATTATGTTCAGGATTAAGATTATAGGCTTCTGAGATGACACCATGAAGTTTGGTAAATGAGTACCACTTCAGAGGAATCTGAGGCCTCTTTTCAAAGACAGAGGCAGCAGGTTCCTACCTACCAAATTACAAAGTGTCACACCCCAAAGTATGTAATTTGAATTGCCCCAAGTTTTATATCCAGGGTAGGATGGTAAAACACTCTGCAGGCCAACAATAGATGATAGGAAATCATAATGGAAGAAACCATTTGTGACCCTGTGTACAACAGGATAACATGGACATTAGGGGAACTACAATGAACTGTCCTTCCTATTAATACCTTGGGCACTGTTCATCACTGCAGCTTTTTTCAAACCATGCTTCAGAAACTGGTTCTGTTGCTCTGATCACGTGATAGGATAAAGTAAGAGAACGCACCCTGTTCGACCTCTTGGCATAAATGGTCTCAGACACTGGACCCTGAAAAAACTGATATAATGGACAATGTCCAAAACATTGCTCAAAAAGACTGTTGTACCCTGAAGGAGGCAACAGGTCCCTCCAAAATGTGCATGCTACACAGCATTACATTCCAGATTACCATAACCTTTGAAACTGGCCATTCTCAGTTCACACAGAAAAACAAACAATTCACACTTTCCTGGGAAACTCAGGAGACTGCCCAGCCGTGTCAAGGGACAAGAAAACTGGACATCAATGGGGAAGGTTGTTACATTAAGCCACAGAGCTCTGGTAACCGAAACAATGAAATATGTAAATATTACAGCAAATTTAAAAGTTGGTCTGAAGAGGTAAGTAAGCCTGTACAGGTGATGCTACTGGACGTAACAGCCTGTGTAGGTGGTGCTACTGGACGTAACAGCCTGTGTAGGTGGTGCTACTGGACGTAACAGCCTGTGTAGGTGGTGCTACTGGAAGTGACAGCCTGTGCAGGTGGTGCTACTGGAAGTAACAGCCTGTGCAGGTGATACTACTGGAAGTAACAGCCTGTGACACATCACACAGTATTCTTAATGCTGAGGTGGGTATGAGGAAGAGCTTACCGTCAGTCTTAGTGGATGCTCCGCATGTCGAAGATGCGTCATTCAGTGAATCATCAGTGTTGGGATTGCCCAAAGGCTCTTTCACCAGACTCTTGAGCAGCGAGTCAAGGTGTTCCTCGGCAGCTGTGGCCACTGCACAGTGATGACACACAGTTGTTATGCAACTCAACACAAAAGCATCACAACTTCCTTCAGCTTACTTCCCTGTATTCCCCATCCATTTGCTCAGCCATTCTGCATGAATGTTAGTAGTGACTACCACATGATAATCTTTGTTAATGGCGAGGACTTCTGACTAGCTGATGCAGGTCAGATGGAGCTAGAGGTGAACACAACACCAGATAAGAAGGGGGAAGCCTTGCACGCCATAATGACCACCATCCATAGGACTTCTTTATGTGGGTTCAGTAAAGAAAGGGATGGGTGGTTAGCTTCATGACCTGGATGGAAACACAATATCTCTGGTGCCCACAGTATATTAGGGAATCAGTAAATATGTTACAAATGAAAGCAAAATGGCTGTAATGGATGCAATAGGTTTTCTATGTGTATCACTAGGTAGCAGCACCATCCAACTTCATAACAGTCACACACAACAGCAAGCAGGAAGTGACACATTCAGATGGAAAGGTCTGTGAAGGGCATAAGATTTAAATAAACTGTTTCAACTACACTGTCTTTCTTTTACATACACTGATGTGAAATTGATGTGTTCAAAAAGTTCCTGGAAGTTGCTATAAGTAATAACGTTCTCTACTTAGAGCTTATCGAATGTTGTCCCCTTCGCATCAGTCCACCTGCACAACAATGCACCTCTCCCACTGCTTTTTCCGCTCTTGCAAGCACTGCTCAAAGGATGTTTGTGTTATCATCTTCAAGTCATTTGTCACATTAGTGAGGATGGTTTTCGCTGTCTGAAATCCTCTTCTTTAAAGGTAATTTTGAGTTTAGGGAACAGAAAAAAGTTGGGAGGGGACAGGTCAGGAAATGGGGTAGGAATTGAATGTTTTGCCAAGTATTGTCTAACTGGCAATGCTGCGTGTGGAGCATTATCATGATGCAGGAGCCAGCTTCCTGCAGTCCACATTTCAGCTCACTTTCTTCATACTGCATCCTGCAGACATCTCAGAACCTCCAGAGAGAAATCTTGATTGTCTGACCTTTGGAAGTGAATTTATAATGCACAAGGCTTCAATGCTTAAAATAAATGCATTGTTTTCGCTCATGAGTGCAGCTGTTGTGCTCTCTCAGGGCAAGGCAAAGCAGGGCTCTTCCAGTGTGACTGAAGGAGATCTTCACAGATGGAAATTGCTGCAGTTTCTGGTCACCAGGAAAGTACCTTGGCACAAATTTTGCTGGAACCATATGCATTCCTAAATCTTCCATTAAAATTGTGTGGGATGAACCAAGGGATATTCCAACCTCTTCTGCAACTTCCTGGACAGTGAGTCGACGATTTCCAAGGGTCTTCACCTGGGCAGGTTCAGAATTTGAAGGTTGGCCAGACCCCTCATCACCATCTGCTGAAGTCTCCAATTTTGAAATGTTTGAACCACTTATAGTTATTTGACCCAAGGCATTGTTGCCATAAGCTTCATTCAACATGCTGTGGGTTCCTGCAGTTTTCCCTATATTGAAAAAGAATTTAACACATATTCTCTGCTCGTTTACAGACATCATGTTTCATGGAACAAGACAACAACACACTAAATCACAAAACTGGTTGCAAAAATTGAACAGAACATCTGATCTACTCAGAACTAAATGGCTTGAGTATCTAATGGTCAGGTATCAAGGTCACTCAAAAAACACCTAATGTGACCAATGTACTGCTGATCCGCATCCTCATTTCTGGAACTTTTTGAACACACTTCCTATGTACAAAACAGGACAAAACATGTCACGATGCACTTCATCATTTGTACACATCTCCCTTTGTTTAGAAAAGTTAAAACAGAGCAGACATGAAGCTTCAATGAGAGGAACAGGATATGCCTGCAGAACTGAGCCAGAGAAACTTGAACAGAGTGACACAACATCAGTCTTCACTGCAGGCAGTACCTGGTGTGGCGGACTTGTTCTTCTTCAGGGTTCCTGTGCCACTGCTGACAGTTGAGGCAGCGGGACTGCAGGTTGAGTTGCCACAACTGGGTGCAGGGCTGGGTGTAGTGGGTTTCAACAACCCACTGCTTGCTCCATCCTCTGCAGGACGGACGGTCTGTCTCGAGGAGCTACTTGATGTCTCGCTGGGCTCAGATGTCACAGTAGGTGATGACTGCATGAGAGGGGGCGTGTCGCTGGAACCAATGCCTGTGTCCGTGTTGGTCTGTGAGGAAGCTGCAACCACAGCACTGCTCCTACACATGCACAGAAATGCTCACTAAGCACAATGACTTCTAATTCAACAGGCCTATCTGCACTTGTGTTAAGATTGCTGTTTTCTGGGATGTGATACTACTGTGTATTTTAGTACAGTCAGGAGGAACCAGCTGCCATCACCTCTACAACAGGCACCTCCAAAATACTAGGCTACCAAACTATGTGAAATCGCAACCTGAATCCTACCTCTTAGTTGGGCCCTGCTGGCTCATGAAGTTCTTTCGGAAGAACAAGGAATGTGGTACAGCGCTTTCAGTGTAAAACCTCTGGGAACAACACAAACCTTGCATTTCATAAGAAATGCCCCCAAAATTAATAACTGCATTAATATAGCATAATCACAAACTTCTAAACTTTACTCTAAATCTTAATATTCATGACTATGAGACTCTCAAATTTGTATCTATGTCTTGGTTCAAAGATCTCCTTGAAGATAATCAGACTGAATTTCACAGATTAGCAAACTTATTATCATAATCATACAGGGACTTCAAGAGACAGAATGAAGTTGGAAAGGCATCTGTCATATCACAAGCAGATGCATTCCCAAATCCAGGGCTTGGTGTTTTATGATGGTAACGTATGACTGTTGAAAAGTGTGTATGCTGAGTCTGCCTCAAGGCTATATAACAAGGAGCCCAGGAGAGCTGAATAGAGTTGAGGGAGTTCAGATGCAAGATATTCACTGGACAGGATGGCCCTGAGCAAGGGAAGCTGAAGAACCTCAACTGTTAACATCTGTTAGCGGGAAATGGCTGTTGAAGGCATTGCGGGTTGCATAAGACTTAGTGTTTGCAGGAGTGGGTTGTGAAATGTGGAGACCAGTGATGGCACTGCAATTACTTGTAGTTCTGAGTTGTGTCAATAAATTCAATATCCCACCCACACCCCATCTATAGTCACACCCCTAAAATAGTGACAATATGTTTACAATACTCAAACTGAACACATTATTTACAAGTCTGAAGGTGCAATACTGGAATCTGTAGATCTGCTAACACCAATGACTCAGTGTGGATGTAAATCAAATTTGGTTGACAAGATTTAATGTAGGCTAGGCAACGACTGCAAAAGCAGCAGCTCTTTCGCAAACAAAAATGTTCCAATGACAACTGCACGGCAATAATGGAACAGGGTTTCCTATGTGGTCCACGCTGAGATATTATAAGCAGGACAGTTAGTGAGAGTTGAGTTAGTTGGTTGCTGTTAGCAGAAAGTCCTCTAAGTCCAATCATCAATCCAAAAACTGTCTATAGTCACTCATACTTCTGACAGTATGGCAGAAAAATAAAACTGTTCAAAGCTTCATTAAGCAGCAAGCCACAAAGACATATAAAAACAAGAAGCCCCACAAAACTTTAGCTGCTCAAACCTTAGACCAACGCACCCTCTAGAGAGGCCAGAATTCAATTACAATTCTGGCATCACTACATGCGAGCAATCATACGGAATCTATTCCCTTTTACCAGTTTTATACTGGTGTGGTATTCAATGGCACTCACTTCTGTCTTTCTCGCAGGACGTGGGACTGGCGACGGGCGTAACGTTGACTTGGACGACGCTCAAACTGGACTGTACGGCGTGCTCTGTTTTGTTGTGTTGTCTGGAATTCAGTTTTGCCACTAAAACAAATACTGTATTCATTAACCATCTGGGACACATGTTACAAAGAAGGCAAAGTCAGTGAAGTGAACCAAACACTGGACATTTCCTACATAACTAGCAAAAACTGTAAACATCTCACCATTTTACATTCTGAATACCACTTTTCAGTTGTTATGAAAACAATGCAAGCAACAGAAGAGGCACAAAATTCCCTATATCTTTACAAACATTTTGACATACAATACTTCAGGGTTTCAACACAAAGTATAACAGACATCCTACAGATGCAAATATGTGACTGGCTAACTCCACAGAATAAAGTACTTTATGAGAAGATAACAGGCACTTATCTACTCAACGTATTCCCAGCCTGATGGAATCAGGAGCCTAAAAGAATTCACGAAAACTCAAGACCCTATGAAACACTTCATAACATGCACTTTCTTCATGGACAGACAGTCACCCAAAGACAAAGATCATCCCTTGTCAGCTGTGCATTGATTAACCTTTAACGTACGGACTTTTAAATTGCCTGCAGCTCCCTACGGCCGGAATTTAAATGGCCCTAAGTCTTTAACATTGCAAACTTTCAGAAAAAAATGCATATTTTCCGTTCTATGCAACATCGGAATATGAACTAAAAAGAACCTGAAAGACAATAAAATTTTCTACATATATACAAAAGGGCAAGTTTTACAAATGAAAATCAACTGTGAGTATTTTGTCATGAAGTGCAAAATATAATCATTATTATATACGTTATGAAATTCCAAAGGACTTACATGTTGTTTTTCTTCAACCTTGAATCGTGGTGGCGATGTAAATATGACGACACTATATACAATAATATTTGGTTCGGACTGTACACGGGTTGGACTGCATCGCTTCACAGTTTCACTCTGACGCGCGTGTCCCACTCTCGAAGCAGTCCATCACACAGCGCGACATCACACTCTACAGCGGTAAAGCGTGCTCCCGCTTTTCTTGTTTATAGAACAAACGTCTTTGTTTCCCTTTAGCTGGTCAGTGTTTTGAATGTTTCACCTCCAGTCGACTCAGTTGGGCCCCAGATGAACTTGGCCTCCCTCGAAAAACACCACTGACCGTGATATTCGCCTCATGTGATTGAAGAATCAAATCACGCACCAAAATTTCGCGGAAATTTTTGTGCGTCATTTTTCCATCACATGACTTGTGTAACAGATATTCATTGAGAACAGACATGTCTAGTAGGTGGAAGAATACTCGCAAAATTGTGATGCAAAGTAATTGCAATAGCAGTCGAAAAGTGCCAGTCCGCCACTGATACCGAAAGTCACAGTGACGAAGATGTCTTTACGCACAAAGTAACACTGGCTCAGTGTATTTATACCACTTCCGAGATACACAATAAAAATGATATAAAAGAAATACAGGAGTCTGACACTGACTTCCTAACTTTTAACAAAATATAGTAAATCCGCCACTGACGTCCTAACTGAGAATTCAACACTGCAAACCAATCCCTGAATGAGCCACACTTCCTTGAAAGCTCTGGCAGCACTGCTATGAAAGTGCTTACGAATATTTCCTCCTCTAACTTCTCAAAACAAAGCTGACCTCTATTGGCTCACCAGGTCATAAACAGTCATATCTAAACGTAAATAGTTTCGAAACCAGTACCCTGATAAACGATTTCATTGTTCAGAGCTAACAAATAAACATCTGACATGAACGTTCATGAGTTTGTTTGGGTTTCAAACCCAAGGTCAAACTGCCAGCACTCACAAAGGAAGCACGTGGCTTGTCCCTAAAAATTATAACATTCGGCCAGCTCGGGGTGCTACTTGATGCGAATAATTATAACATTCGGCCATTAAAGGTTAAAATATACTTGCAGCCACCCCCCAAAGTACAGAGGCCATATCTGTACCATGTCAGAGTAACAAGGTACATACACATTCTGCATGGAGACAAAACATGTACACATCCAAACCACACAGTCACACACTAGCACATAAGATATTCCATAAAAATAAGGTTATGGATAACGTGTTTCTTTCCAGTGGGCACATTTTGGCATCTGTTCAAACCACCACAAGCTACGAGAGACAATTCCAATTTATTTGGAAATATTTGGCTTTTTTCTGAATTTTAAGACTGTAAAACTGGCAGACAAAACTCAGTACTATGATTATTGTGTTCTGGTGACACTATGTAGTCCAGTAGGTATCGAAGTTTAGGAGGAACCTGCTGCCTTCATCTTCAGGGTAGAAGAAGAAACTTCATAACACCTTCCACCCTGAAAGAGGAAGTAGCAAGTTCCTCTGAGACACCGGTACGTATCTACCAGACTACAGGGTGTCACATCCTAGTCAGTAATCTTAATATCTCCATCATGAGAATCTCAGATTTTGTACAAGATAAAAAAAGGGTGCAGACATTGGACATACTATGCCATGTACTATGTTATTCTGGAAATAAACTCACTGTAGTTTTGCAGACCACTGCTGACTGCTTTTAGGAAATGCACATTACAAGGTAGGTGACTACTTGGACCTCTAGCATGTGTACTACTTCCCTGAAGACACTGTCTGTGCAGTTTTATTCAAGGTGACAGTCCCCACAAATTACTGAAATGTGATCAGAATTGTCACAGCCGCCAGAAAAACCGTTTTGTTCTTTTGGGACCCATCTGAAGGGTGCCTGGAGCTAGAATGGGAATATTCACCAAGCACCGAGCACAAACAAAATCCATCTCACTGTTCAGGCATTCATCAGAGGCACATATACACATACAGACATGGACACATGCTACTGCAGCAACCACTCTTTCATACCAAGGCGGTCTTAAAAACACGTAAATCTGTTAAAATCTCCAGATCATACTTTTCAGCATCACAATATTTTCTCATATACACTAGGTTCTCACATGTAGGATGCGGAAAACATGCAGATCCATCAAAATCTCAACATAACATCCTTCAACAACAAAGTACCTTTCCACATATACTGTGTACATGTGGAACTGAAAATGGTATTCACAAACTTCAGACTGAGCCTCAGAGAAGTGTTCAGTTGTTGACTATGTCTGTACAGAGATGAGAGAAATGTGTGTGCACATAACTTGGGGACGGGGGATTTCTCACATCTGAATTAGCTCTGGACCCTAACAGCATCTCTTTGTCTTTAACAAGACTCAGTTACCACGTCATAACACAGGGGGATCAGAATGATTGCTATGTCGCACAACCATTCAAACACAGATCCATACCTGTATCGGAACCTGGAGCCCATACGGAAGAAGTTCTGTCTTGCTGATGGCCCCTTCACAGGCGCCCGGAGACGGAAAAAGGCATGGTGCTCAACTGCGCATTTCCACAGATGTTTGCACGCCTTCTCATTGTGCAATCTGGTGACAGACATGGCACATTCACAGCCTTATGTATGCATTAATGACAAAATACTGAACAATTGAATATTTGAAGAGTAAACTGAATCATTACAACATCATTAGTTGCTAGGCACACAAGAATATGAACTTACAAGACACTTGCTACTCCAGCACTATCAAGGGCAGTATGATTTCGTATCAGCAGAAATGTGTTTCATGGGGAGAACTAAGGATACACCCTTTTGGACAGTAAAAGAATTTAAGAAACTACAAGAAAACTACAGATTTTCCACAAATAATGCAACACATATAACAATACTGCATGAGGTCAGACAGGATCCCCCCCCCAAAAGTAAAGGAAGTTTCAGAAGATGTTTGAAAACACAGAATGGTTGTGCTTTATAATACCTATAACATGTCTAAACAGGGCTCACACTGAAAGCATGATAACAATGAACTCATATAACTAAGTATAAGTATTGGGTTTATCAGAGGAGACAAAAGTAACCAGCTACAGGCTAAAAATATCTGGTGTTTGATGTGCAGTAGGAACAGAGATTCTCCCCCCCACAGTACCTGTAGCAGCTCTTGGCCTTCACAGCCCCTATCCAACACATACCAGGGACTCCTTCCTCAGCAATAAGGCAGCAAGGACATGACGCTGATCACCCATGTGGAGCTACACCACCACTGCCATATGTCTTCAGGGCATAAGGACTGGAGATTCTTATGTGCAGCAATTCCTTGTATTTCGGATGAACACATCAGCTCCATCTTCAGGGTCACAGAGTATACTAAGCAAGAAACTAGACAAAGCAGATGAGTTCTCTGCTGGCTATTTGCTTTACTTACTCTTCACCTCTGAAGACAGAGACAGCATGTGCCTCTCTCCAAATTATGTGGCATTACAATGCACATGCCCCACCAATGGTATCTCCACCTTATCGTGGTGGTGGGGTTCGAGAGCTTCTGAGACTCTGAGGGCTATGCCAGTGGTAGTGTAGCTACTGGTAGAGCCACCCATGCCTGACAGGTCAAGGGGTAGGAGCCAGACAGAGAGGGATACCCTGGTCCTCCAGGTTGGGGGTTGAACGTCAGGCCAACAACCTCACACTGTAAAAACTAAATTGTTCAGAAATCCAAGGAACGAGTAGCTGGACAGACCTTTTCAAGATGACCTGGAAAATGTTTAAAGGATTTGAGAATTGGACCTTGGAATGTATTATGTCTTTACAGAGCCGGAGCACTAAAAATACTACTTGAACAACTAGATATCACTGGTATACAAGAACTGAGGTGGTTGGGTAAAGGAGTCATGGAAAAGAGGGATCATGTTGTATTCTATAGCTGTCAGAAGAAAAGTCGCATGTTTGGAACAAGCTTCATTGTTAATAAAAAAAGGAAGCATCTTATTTTAGACTTCCAGGCAAAATCTCACAGAACATGTAGGCTACGAATTAAGGGAAAGTGCCTTATTTGTGCACATGCCCCCACTGAAGATAAAAGTGAAGAAAGACTCCTTTTATGATGAACTGGATGAAATATATGGTGAATGTCCAAAAAGAGACTGTAAAATAATCATAGGGGACATGAATGCTAAAGTGGGGAATGAGGATGTATATAGATCGGTTATTGGAAAACATAACAATTCAAATGATAATGGGATGATTTTAATAAATTTTGCTTCCTCAAGAAACATGGTAATAGGTAGAACAATGTTTAATCACAAGGATATACATAAACGAACCTGGAAATCCCATGATGGAAATGTGTTTAACCAAATTGATCACATTTCAGACTTGATGGCTGTCAGGAGCTACAGGGGAGCCAACATTGACTCTGATCATTACCTAATAATATCAAAGATTAGAAGTCGAATATCTAATGCAAGGAAGATACATGGATCCCAGGCTAAGAAACTGAATTGTGGAAAATTGGTGGAACAAGGAGTTGCAACCAGATATACTGGATTAATTAGTGAATGCCTGGCAGGTCTCTCTGATAGTGAAGATGTCAGTGAAGCTTGGAGGGGCCTCAGAGATGTTATTATAAATGCTGCTGGTGCAGTATTAGGAAGAATGGAAAGGATAAAGTATAAGAATTGGTTTGATGGAGAGTGTGAGCAAGTGACAAATAAAAAAACCAGGCATATAAGAGAATGCAGCAAAGGAACCATACTCGAGGGGCTGTGGAAGAATACCGTAAAGTGAGAAGCAAAGAAAAAAGATTGCATAAAAAGAAGAAAAGGGAATATGATAAACAAAAACTGACTGAACTGGAGCATTTAAGAAGTTCAAACAAAATTAGAGCATTTTATCAAAAACTAAACAAGAGTCGAAAGGACTTTCAACCTAGAACAACCTTATGTAGAGATAAAGAAGGCACAATATCGAGTAGCGATGAAGCAATACTGGAAAGATGGGCGCAATATTTTGAAGAATTATTAAATGGTAATGCCTTCAAACAAGCGGAAGGTATGACCATAGACCAGAATCAAGGAAATTTTGAAGCTGAAGAGCCAGTGCTTACCATAAAAGTAGAAGAACAAGCTATTAAAAAATTGAAAAATAATAAAGCTCCAGGAATGGATCTCGTCACAGCAGAATTACTGATTTTTGCAGGCCCAGAATATGCCAAGCACTTACATCAGCTAATAGTTAAGATATGGATAACTGAAATAATCCCAGAGGAATGGAACCTAAGTATTGTATGCCCTATCCATAAGAAAGGCAATGTCATGGTATGCTCTAACTATAGAGGAATTAGTCTGTTGTGCATAGCATATAAAATATTTTCCAAAATGTTATATTTTAGCGCCCTGTTGCACTGATTCATGTCCATGATGTGTATTTGTACCAACCGTCTTACAGTGCACACGATTTCACCTTTCTCTTCACTCACTACATGTTTTGGCACTAATGTGCCATCTTCAGGTGTGGTTTTATTTACGTCAAACCATTGCACTGTATGCCATCATGTCTCCTTTATAAAATGATTAAACTGTATATATGTCATGTATAATAATAAAGTTTATATATTAAAACTTTTCAAGATTTATCATCTATACGTCGCACTTCAAATTTTGCGAATTACGTCAATCCTCTCCAATGGGAGTAATCTTCCTATATTCTTGTGTGTATTGTGTCCTTCCCTTGTGGCTGCGCGCGTTGTATCTATTCTGGTATATTAATGTGGGCATATTTCGGTATTAACCCATTCTTCAAACATGTCTTATTAAAATTTATGTTGGCATTGCAATGTAATAGTTTACGTTTACAATTCATGTATTGGTATAGCTTCTAGTATGACTACTACGAATAATGTTATATTTTAGCGTCCTGTTGCACTGATTCATGTCCATGATGTGTATTTGTACCAACCGTCTTACAGTGCACACAATTTCACCTTTCTCTTCACAACGCACGCAACCACAAGGGCAGGACACAATACACACAAGAATACAGGAAGAGTACTCCCTTTGGAGAGGATTGACGTAATTCGCAAAATTTGAAGTGCGACGTATAGATGATAAATCTTGAAAAGTTTTAATATATAAACTTTATTATTATACATGACATATATACATTTTAATCATTTTATAAAGGAGACATGATGGCATACAGTGCAATGGTTTGACGTAAATAAAACCACACCTGAAGATGGCACATTAGTGCCAAAACATGTAGTGAATGAAGAGAAAGGTGAAATTGTGCGCACTGCAAGATGGTTGGTACAAATACACATTATGGACATTTTCCAACATTCTATTTAACAGACTCTCACCCTATGTGGAAGGCATAATTGGGGATTACCAATGTGGGTTTCATCAGGAAGATCAACTAACAGTCAGATTTTCACTATTCGCCAGGTCCCTGAAAAGTGTAATCAATTCCAAATTGAAACACATCATCTGTTCATTGACTTCCAATCAGCCTATGACTCCATAGCTAGAGATGGTCTTTTTCTAGCAATGGAAGAGATGCACATTCCATGGAAGTTAATCGCCTTAGTCAGAGCCACTATGAGAAAGACCCAATGCCAAAATTAAAATTTAGAATATGTTGTCCAGCCCTAAAATAACTAGAAATGGTGTTCGATGAGGGGATTCCCTAGCCTGCCTCTTGTTCAATATAGCATTAGAGAAGGTAGTTAGAGATGCAGGCATCAACACAAGGGAAACTATATTCTGTAAGTCAGTTCAAATTTTGGCATTTGCAGATGATATTGATATACACTCAACTCTCGATTATCTGGGATAATGGTGGGGATGGAAATCATGATTAATCGAAAACCCGGTTAAGACACATTTTATTAAAAGGAGTACTGTAATACTGTACCTTCATAATTCTATAGGCCTGCCTGTACTTAAATTTATTCAACCTCGTTTTTATGTCATCTCATGGCCTATGTAATACATTTTTACATTACACAGAAGTATGAATTAGTTATTTCAAACACAGTGTTCAACAACATCCAACACTTTTTACGAATATTCACACTTAACACTTAAAAAAATTTTAATATTGTTGTTTGCTTTTTCGCGGCATTTACCTTTTTACGGATATCCGTATGAAGCCTACGTAATATTAGCTTGTCACTTAATAAACTGATTTCTTCACTCTCAAGATAGTCTAGTAAGAATTCCAGATGATTAAGAGCAGCACCATGTGATATTTTCTTACTAGCAGCACTGTCCACCTCTTCCTCATTCTCACTTTCTTCCCGCTCCTCTGGCGGCACCCCCACTGAACTTACGATTTCGTCACTGCTTAACATTTCGAAGCCCAGTTCACATGAGTTTCTGTTCAATACTTATCACAACACGCTTGCTTTTACACCCTGACATTTTGCTAATGCACTTGAAGATCGATACAAAGAGACTAACTCGGGCGGTCTATCTGTCCTTGAAACTTCCCACAAATCCTTGCATTCTTTCACCCCTATCCTACAATATTGGGTTAGCATAATGGGGCCAAAAATGCAGAGCTCGGTTCACACTAGTGCAGAAATAGTGTTACAACTCACCATGTGAAACAAAAGCGAATGAATATTAAACAACATATAAGCCTCAAAAAAGCCCCGGTTAGGCCACAAACTGGTTTATCCGCCACGGATAATCGAGAGTTGAGTGTAATTGGTAGAACACAAAAATCTATGAAAGAAGCTTTTCTTAATTTGGAAAGAGCAGCAAAAAAGATGAATCTACAAATTAACCAAAATAAAACAAAGTACATGCCGGTAACCAAGAAAGACTGTGCTAATGGACCTGCATATATTGAAAGTGGCTCATATAAATTTGAGGTTGTATGCAGTTTTACTCACCTTGGATCAGAAGTTGACTGTAAAAATGACATCGGTGATGAAATAAAAAAGCGTGTATTTGCGGAAAATAAATGTCTGCATGACCTTAGGAAACACCTGAAATCCCAATTAATACCCAGGAAAACCAAAACTATGATGTATAAAGTACTTATAAGATCAATGCTATCTTATGCCTCTGAGACCTGGCCACTGTCAAGATCGGATGAAAGACTGTTAAGTATATTTGAAAGGAGGATCCTGAGATATATCTTTGGACCAGTGGAAGAAAATGGAATATGGAGGAAGAGGTATAACCATGAGCTATACAAACTATTTAATGAACCAGACGTTATTGGATTTATAAAGGTTAAAAGGCCTGAATGAGCTGGACACAAGATACGTGCCAGCGAGAACAGAACGATTAAGAAACTACTTAATACTAAACCAGAAGGAAATAGGAAAGTGGGAAGACCAAGATTGAAATGGGAAGAATGTGTGTGTGGCAGGACATAAGAATTTTGGGTGTAAAGAACTGGAGGAATGTAGCATCAAATGGAGAAGAATGGCGAGCAATCCTGAGGAAGGCCACGGCTCACGAAGAGCTGTCGTGCCAGTGATGATGATGATGATGATGATGATGACAAGGCACATGACCAGAAGTTAATGAAATTTTTGGACATGTTAAAAGTCTGATATTTAACCAGTGAACCTGGCATTTAAAATCCACAGACTATATCTGATCTGAGATTCTCACCACAATGGACATGAATATTAGGAAGGTACCGACAGTTCACAGGAAACTGTGGCCTCCATCTTCCGGGTAGAAAAGCCCTTGTAACTTAAAAATGCAGTCAGCAGGTTTCCCTTCTGACTGCACTACATGATATCCCATCCTAAAAGATACTAGTCAACTGATTACATACTGCAAATCCTAACAGCAAGAGATTCAGCTGAATTCTGACCTAGCAGCTAAAACACAAACCAAATATTGACCTGAAGACAAACGTGTGTTCCTGTTCACGCCCTTGATCATCATCCTCCACTACGACCAATGTCAGTTTCTTCTTCTTGAAGTCCAATTTTCCAATCTTTGGCCTGGAACAAGGGCAGACTGAGGTCAGGATTACACTGCTGTGTGTCTCACAGTGCATATTATTACCTATCTCTAGCAGTGACTATTAACACAATACCTGCCAACTGGACAGGTTAAGTTTATTGTGTGCGGGTGTTGATCCTGTCAAGCAGTGGGCTGCTGCCACCAGATACATAAATATCATTTCCTCAAAGAGATGTCATCCAGATGCAGAGAGGCATTAAGAGATGCTTGGCAAACTTCAAATGAGTTGCAATATATGAAAAATGTTAATCTCCACTTGCTCCCTTACAGTTCTGTTTCAAATATAGAAAGTTAAATGTCCAGCTTTCCTGGAAGAAGGACTGGTCCAGCAGCTAAAATTCCAACAGAGAGGCAGGGAGCTGAATGTATTACAATTTGGGCCTTCTGAGACGTAAGGTCAGGTAGTCTGCTAGACATACACCAAACCTTTGAAAGATCCTTCTGCCTCCAGGTTCCTCTGAAACACTGGCACTTATCTACCAGATGACAATATTTCTATCTTATGAAGACTTGATTTAAGTGCTTTAAACACAGAAATGTCACTTAAAAATCTCATAATTATCACACTCACCACTTACCAGAAAAAAAGGCCGATCTTCTGAATCCCTTCAAACACCAAGATCCCTGTTGGAGTCAGGCCGAGCGAATACTCACATCCATCCTTACCCTGCAATTACCACACCACATTCAGCGAGACTTCTCCTGGCAGACAAATTAGTCCTGACCTATAAATATCACAACTTGAATATTCCTGCAAGCCTCCTCATTAAGAAGCTGTACACTAACCACCTGAGCTGTGGGCCCAGGTTACAGTAGAGACACAGTCTATAAGCCCGACACACTGAGTTGCCATAAGTTGTGTATGTATGCTGATGAATTAGCCAGTTTTCTGCGTGCCGCCAGACAGGTAATGTCAGTAAGTTAGAGAGCATTACTTACCAGCACTGTGTGGTTGTCCACGCCATACATCTCCAACCACTTCACCTTGTTCAGATAGTTCATCTCAGCCTGCGCAGGTGTCAGGCCCCTGCAAACACAGGACAGACTCCTCACATGGGATGCTTCATGCTGGTGGGGCTTGCGGAAAAAAGGGGAGGGGAAGTAGCAGATAACAGGTTCGAGGGTACAGAACAAATAAAGGATCTCTCTGGATGCCAATCCAACAAAAACTGCAGCCTGCAACTCTGCTATAAATTTAATGTGCCAGATGGTGTGTGTATCTGTGCGCGTGCTTGCATGTACAGACACAGAGTGACTGGTGAACACAGCACGATGCTCAAATAAGCTGAGGCCAAATGGGTGACCTGTATCAAGTGTTCACAACATTACAGCTCCTACGGCAGAGTGGCAAGAGGCAAAGCGAGGCACACCAACCTGACAGTGGTCCAGCAGACATACCTGCATTTCTTGTACTCCTCCAACACAGCAATCTCCATCTCCTCAGTCTGGTTGGGTATGAAGTGGAACTCTGACACTACTGCTGGCGTGTGGTAACCCTCTTCATAGTCCCCTAGTTCAGCTGCAGGAAGATATAACACACACAAACTGATTCTGAAGCTTTCTGACAGTCATCGTAAACAGTACTCACTTCTCAGACGTAATGCCACGCACTCCAGCACCCCTCTACATGGGGACAGTATGTTCTTCCAAAGTATCACTGAGCTTCTACCAGAACACACAGCACAAAATCCCAAAAGATACTGCTCTTCACAGTCACCACTACAATGACATCAATTCCAACACCAATTTTTCTGAAGAATGCCATCTTTTGGGATGTGGCACCATGTAGTTCAGCCACTTGCTCACACTGGTTCCTCACTCACAGATATTTCTACCCTGAAGATGGAGGCGACATGTTCCTCCGAAACGTTGGTTTACACAAGATCTACACAGCGCCACATCCAAGAAGACAGCATTCTTCATGGTCACTGCCATGAAAACCTCAAATCTTACCAATATTTCTGACCGACATCATTTTAAGCATCATACAAGGTGGTTCAAATATGACCGGGACTGATTTGTGTGTAAACAAGCCGCACTGCACAGCAGATGTGCGACCTTGAGAGAGTGAAGCCACAACCTCCACCCTCCATCCTGTTCGGGTTAGAACCTGTTCAGTCCTGTCTGGAGTTGCTAGAGTGATGAATAAACAGACGGTACCGCAGAGCATGGAAGAATGCACTGTGATCAAATTCCTCGGAGAAAAAGTCCTATCTGCTGAAATTTACCACAGACTCCAACAACAGTATGGGGAAGAGTGTCTCTCATGGACCCGTGTGTTTGAGTGGTGTAAGTGCTTCAGGGAGGGCAGAGGGCACGTGGAGACTGAACCGCATGATCGTCGGCCACGATTATCCGTCACTGAGCCAAACACTGATCGTGCAGACATGCTTGTTCATGAGACCAGGCGCATCACTGTCAAGGAACTTGGAGCAATGCTGTCCATCAGTGTTGGTAGCGTAGAAGACATCATGAAATACCACCTGCACTATCGCAAGGTGAATGCACGGTGGGTACCATGCTCTTTGACGGACATGAACAAAATGGTGCGCATGCAAGCTGCCAGTCATCTCCTACAGCAGTTTGAAGGCGAAGGTGATGCATTTTTTAAGTCTATAGTGACCACCGATGAAACGTGGGTGCACTACTTCATTCTCAAGTCCCAGCAGTCATCACACGAGTGGCAGTATACCAGTTCTCCCAAACCCAAGAGAGTGCGGAGGAGCCATTTCACAGGAAAAGTGATGGGCAAGGTTCTTCTGGGACTGGCAGTGGGTAATCCATGTAGAATTTCTGACAGATGCCAGAACAGTCAATGCAGCTTATTACTCAGACCTCCTGGCAGCAGAAGTGAAGGAAAAGATCCGATCCAAGCGGAAGACACGCGGAAAGCGGGTAGCCTTCCTTCAAGACAATGCACGCCCCCATATGGCCAAAACAACAATGGAACCTTCTGACACATCCGTGGTACAGTCCCGATTTGGCCCCAAGTGATTTCTACCTGTTTGGAAGGCTCAAATCAGACTTGCAATGCATGCGGTTTGTGGACAGTGCCGTCATCCAGACTGTTCAGGAGTGGATACGCTGCCAACCACATGCCTTTTTTGAAAAGGGCATCAGGATGCTTCAAGAACGTTGGAAAAAATGTGTTGACTCCAGAGCGGAGTACGTTGCAGACTGACATGTGCAAGGAAGTGTTTGGCAATTATGGTTAAAAAAAAAATCAGTCCCGGTCATATGGGAACCACCTTGTACATCACTCCCGTCTTTGCAAACCAGAATGCTCTTCAGGGAGTGGTTCTGCATGACAAAGCAAGGAATCCTACTCCAAACTCTGATACTAGCTCTAACAGTACTATTCTGTCACCTGACGTAGAAAACAGAACCAGTTTCAGAAACCTTGTAGTTTGAAAAAGCTGAGACAATGACGATTACTCACACTGGAGAGCCAGTGCTGACAACTCGACAGCCGTCTGGTATGCACACTCAAGTCGACCCTGCACAATATCCTCTTTCAGCTGCAGAAAGAACTGGTACCGTGTCAGTTCCTCACGCAGGCTGTTTGGTTCTGAAGAGTAGAACTTAACTTTGAGGCGAAGTGTATAAGGTGGACCAACTGCAACAGCACACAACAAAATACATCAACAAAACCTAATGAAATATATCTGGAATGTAGAGTCGTTAGTATTTATAGCAGTTTATGGGTGCAATCCCACCATCCCATGAAGACAAGGGCCCTTTGTTAAAATATCCCATATCATCATCACCATCAAAGGTACCTAGACAGAGAAGGAAAGTACAATTATTGTGTTTTTGGACATTATCCACTGTCCTGTTTTTTTTTTTTAAACGTTTCAGAGTCTGTATTCCGTCTCCAACTTCAGGTGGAACCTATTCAGTTGGGCCCAAACAACAGAGCTAGTCCTTGCATCTAGACACCAGCACCAACACTAGACAGGATATATATAAACTAAGCACAGCATAAACCATCTGCAAGAGTTAAAACAAACATTAAAATCATTCAAAATCTCCACACACATGAGGCATAGCACCTATGTCCATGCACTGTTTCACAGCTATTGTTGTTAAAATCAGAGTACTATCAGAACAGAAGTCATCACTAAAGAGAAAAATTCTCTGTATGACACCGACATAAAAACACGATTTCCACACATAATTAACACTGGACAGAGCTGTAGTTTTCTGACTTCTGCTGTGATAATAATGGGAGTCCAGATGGGAGAGATGTCCAAGCTGGGATGACTGGTCTGTTGGGCTACCAGAGACATGTGGGCAGATTCCTTGTATTTCCTGTGGGTGGTGTTTGGTCCAGGAACACAATAATTGTATTAATATATGTTCATCACAAACTTTCAGAAAAAAATGGACTGAACAAAGAAAAGTAAGAGCCAATGAGGAAACAAAACAATCAGAGGCCACAGAGAGAATTCCATGGATCACCTCCACTCCACAACGCCTCTGAGATGTTACACTTCCCCCACCAGCACACTTCCCTACATTCCCCTCCAGTCACCTAGTCATTCTGTTCACAGGAAAATTTCTAGTGACAAACACATGATAACGTTTTTTAGCAACAGAGGGTTTGAGACAGAGGGAGCTGAACAGAAATATGACAGAAGATGGGGAGTGACAAGTCTTAGGCACCGTCACCTCCACAATCCATGGGACTTCTTTCTACGGCCTCAGTATAATGACCTAAAGATTTCAGATTATCCCTACAGTGAAGATTCATGATGTTGTCTTTTCGGTTATGACAAAATCTTGTAGTTTGGTAAGTGGGTAGCAATGTTCTTGAGGAGCATACCGTCTCCACCTTCAGGGTTGAAGTCAGCACTGTTCCTCTCAAATGCTGGCACCCACCTACCCCACTGCAACATGATACAACGTGATGTCATAACCCAGATAATCACAGCATGGAAACTAATGCTGGATCATGTCTCTCTCCCTGCCTGCACAGACTGCCCCAAGGTCACAAGCTGTAAACATGTGACAGGCATACTGACAGCACTCAAGGGCACTCAGCATCTCCTCACAGCTGCCTGCATTCTGTGCACTTGTGAAGGGAACATCTGAACAAATTCCAACTCCATATGCATTTTGTGCAATCTTTGCATAAAGTGAATTCCTGTTAGTCTATCTATTTCACCTCTTGAACAACTGAACACTCCTACAAAATTTGGTGTCTGTGTGTGTGTGTCAGGTGGGGTGGGGTGTTCACTAGAAGCTATCAGCAAAATTTCACATTTTTGTGTGAACATGCATGAAAAGCATAAACACATGATGGATGCAACTTATAGCAGAAATAAAGAATGCAAACAAAATTTCAATTGATAATCTCACAGGTACTGGTATTCACTAAGAAGAAACGACATTCAGTTGCCCCACACACACAAAGACCACCACTGCTGGGCCCACTGTGCACCTTGATCTTGTCAGAGCCCTTTGCAGAGTTCTGATCATAATGCTAAAGTCAGAACCATTCTGGCTGGGGCCCTCCTCATTTATATCAGTTCCAACCATGCAGATATGAAGACTTCTGTTCTACGGCTGGCCAGAGCTGGGCACTGACAAAGTATACAGTAGGAGGATCCATCATCCTGCCCACGTTTCTGGCACACACTGCTCTCTGAGAAGGCCATATCATGGGGGCGTCACCTCAATGTACGGAGGACCTTCAACAGAACTGTTACCAGTCTATACTGTTTCCTGTTCAAAGTCAATGTACTCCTAGACACTTTATCCAGAGGCCTCTCAAATGACGAGCTTCAAATGCCTCATACCTAGCACAGCAGCTCAATGTTGAGGGTGACCCTCCCTCAAACACTCCTCTGCCTCGAGCCCACCGATGGGTAACTTCACTGACAGGAATCATTTTGGAGTTGGTAAGGCAATACAAGAGAATGACATGTGCATGGATGAGATTCTGGGAGTAAAACATTACAAATGCTGCAATTTACTACCTTCTATGAACTGTCCTCCTGGGACAGTCATGTCCATTTATGACCTAAATATAGCCCAACCCTCCACAGCCCCTACTGCAGTAGCTTAACAACACAATGAACATGACTGTACAGGAATGACATGCAACATGTAATCAATATTTCCCATGAGTCACAGTTTCGTAACTTGTACTCCTTGCCAAGTATAATTAGAATAATCAAGGCAAGGAGGATGAGATGGGCAGAGCATGTAGCATGGACAGGGGCAAAGATGAATGCATAGAGGATATTGGTGGGAAAGCCAGAAGGAAAGAGACCATTAGCAAGACCAAGGTGTAGGCTGATGGATAATATTAAAACGGATCTTGAGAGATAGGATGGGGTGGTATGAATGGGATCCATCTGCCTCAGGATAGGGACCAGATGATGGCTCCTGTGAACATGGTAATGAACCTTTGGGTTCCATAATATTCTGGGAAGTTCTTGAGTAACTGCACACCTGGCAGCTTCTAGAGAAGAGCTCAGCTCCAAGATGTTAGTTAGGGGTCTCACTGAATGTGAGAATTCACTGTAACTACAGTGTTACAACAGACCCCAAACCAACACTGCCAACACCAAAACCTACCACTGCTAAAGACTAATGTATGATCAGCATGGAAGAAAACCAACACATGTCCTGTCCACAGAGCGATATGCAGAAAATCACTTACTTTTCACCTGCTTCTTGATGGCCTTTGTTGGGTCCAGCCAATGCTGAAACAAGAACAAATGCAAAGAACGACAAACATTCTGAAACACTCTGAAGCCATATGCTAAGTGCCACATGAGTGTACATTTAACTGTCCTTTTATGTTATTCTGTCTTATCGACTCCTGAAGTTACATATTGTCACGTGTTTAGTGACCAGACACATAGTTTGGATCGGTAACTGGATTTACTGACAACTAACAAATCATAACTATAAATAATTATAACTGTTTCACTAATTTACCCACTACAAAATCAATTATGGCAGGCACTAAGTCTTCTCAGTCTGTTTTCGCTGGCTGTTGCTTGGTAACCGAACCCAACACCATGGATTCCTCAGCTCTGGCATCCACATCCTTACTGGCTACTGACTGTTTCATAGTTCCTCATGACCGCACTATGAGCCCATACAACATGCACACATGTACACAGGCTAGCCCGTGGCCAGCCACATATCCCGCTACCCCAATGATACATAATTTCAAAATAAAGATTAACTGCTTTTTAAGAATGGGGGCTGAATTTGTTGCTGTTTCACATACTGTATTTAAAAATGCTTAATATTTACACCAAATTTCAATAAAGACACATTTATGGTTTGTAGTGTGAATTTTATGGTTGCCTTACAATCTCCGTAAGGGTGAAATTCCATGACCCACATATCCATAATGCAGTGATGAACTGTAATTAAGATATGCCATGTATTATGGAGCTATTAAACGCTTACACCTCTGGGTCCTCACCTGTACATTATTTGCGTCTGTATACTGCAGCCCAAAGTAATCCTTCTCGATCAGATCCAGAGAGTAGAATACTTGCTCATACAGGTCAACACCAACAGCTTTTTTCTGCAAGCCAAAATCAGTGAATATCATACACTCAGCAAAACAGTGCACTGTAGTTTGATTGGTACTATACCACAGACTGCAGTTCATTTTGTGCAAACCTGTATATCATTGTAAGATTTGAGGCTTTCATGGCAGTGACTATGAAGAAAGCAGTTTTCTGGGATTTGGCACCGCGTATATGTGGTGTTAACCGACGTTTTGGAGGAACGTATCGCCTCCATCTTCAGGGTAGAAGAAAAAATATAAGAAATCTGCAAATCTGCAGACTGTGTCTGCTTTTACCGGTTCTCACGGTCTCTTCGCTTGCAGATTTCTTATAGTTTTTCTTCTACCCTGAAGATGGAGGCGATACGTTCCTCCGAAACGTCGGTTAACACCACATATACACGGTGCCAAATCCCAGAAGACTGCTTTCTTCTGTATATCATTTTTTGACATGTCATACAAATGGGAGAAATATATTTTGTGAACAGCTGTACATGAAGCTACACTGCATTCTGCAAAAGTATACAAAGAATGCTGTAACACTATGACATTTACAAGCTACACAGGAATGGCACAGGTCACAGTCTGCAAAACACAATTTCAGATATCCTCCACAAGGTAGCAAGACTGGAAAGCACTGACCAACTCGTTTCAAGGCTACCAACACAAGTGTGCATACTACTGGGGTGGTTTGATGGCTTGCAAAACTGCAAAGAGAGGGAACATTCATAATAATTCCCATTTCTGCCCAAAAATACAGAAGGACAAGCCAGTCTGAACCAATGCAATGGCACATACTGGAGACTGCCAAAAATAATAATGATTTAACCTGCATTTATTTCACTCAACATCTGTGGTTTGTGCACAGCGTGCAATAGCTGCAACATAAATGGGATTCCTTTGGACCTCATATAAGCATGCAATGATGCTTTCATCATTCCGTATACCTCTGCACAGGAGCCAGGATAGAACAATCAGTATAGCAACTGGCTATGGGCTGGATGGGTCAAAGTTTGAGTCCTGGCAAGGGCAAGATTTTTCCAAGAGTAGCACTGATAAAGGGGTAACTAGAAGGGGAAGCACAATACATCATTGTAGGTCATAATACATGGTCCACCCCTTATTCATTCATTCAAGGGCAGGATTTTTCTCCTTGGAACATCATCCAGATCAACTGTGGGACTCACCCACCCTCCTATCCAATGGGTACCAGGAGTTCTTTCCCCTACAGTAAACCAGCTGGGCACGAAGATGACCACTCAAATCCAACTAGTGCCATGGTCAAGAATACATGGAGCTATACCTCCACTCCCCTACGTGTCTTCATGGCATGGTGTTTAATTACTTAAGCACGGGGACAATGACATGCGACCTCTCTCAATAATTTAATTTTATTGTATATACCTGCAAGGCAGGCTGAACAAAATAACAGCTTTTACTGTCTGAAGTTTCATTTTGACTTTTACATAATTTTGTGCATGGCCACTTAATGACTGAAACAAACTGTGGAACGGACTACATCTGATGGGAGACTACACTTAAATCTAGTGCAGTGTACTAATGGCTACCCTACTTTTGTTAATACTGTCCAAAAATGTAACATACGAGTATTCTGTGCATTTCAGTATACAGTGGAACCTCGCTTAACGAGTACCTCTCATAACGAGTAATTCACATAACGAGCAAAACAAATTGTAAAAAAATGACTCGTTTAACGAGTGACGAGAGGGGAAGTACCAGATTGTGCGCTTGCTACATAAGTCTGTGTTTAGCACCCGTTCTGCTAGCATCTTAGTGTCGCTTGTGATCACACATTTTTCCAAACTTGTGTTCAGACATATTATTCGTGATTTTTTTTTTTGGAAAGTCTAATAACCCTTGCAAAAATGTCCCCAAAGAAAAAGCCACAAAAAGACAGCCATAAGAGAATAAAAATAACTGTAGAGATGAACTGTAAAATCACTGAAAAGCGAGAACGAGGTGTGAGTGTGGCTGATCTAGCACGCACATACACTCGGTCTACATCAACGATTTGCACAATTTGGAGTTGCATTGTGTTTCACAGCAAGAAGCTGTGGAGGAGAGTTTGTCCGAGGAGAAGGAGGAGGTAACAGCAAAGCAACAATCTTAGATATATATCATAAATAATAAACTAATTATTTCGATATTTTTTTTTCTGCAAATCAAATGCGCATTCCAGGTTGGTTCATTCCGCATAGAAGAAAAGATGAAGATGATTCACGCTCCTTAACAATGTGTATATAATTTTCTTTGAATAAACGTTATACATAAATTTGAGTATTTTTTTTTGGCATGGACTGTGTTATCATACTCGTATTTTACATTAATTTATATGGGAAAAATTGTTTTGCTTAACGAGTGTTTCGCATGATGAGTAAGATTCTGGAACGAATTATACTCATTAAGCGAGGTTCCACTGTATTGGGATGCACCACTGTCTGTGTTAGGTTGTACAGATGCTGAATTGTGTTGTCTGCAACAAAATCAGGGCATTACATCACATTTTTGCAATGCTGTTTCCAAATATATATATTGAAGTCCATTGTGTGGAGAATCCTGCCAGAAGCAGGACTAACAATTTTAAATTCTAAATTTAAAATTTAGAGAAAATTTTAAAGGATTTAAAATCATAACTAAAGATTTGTTGTGCTACTACAGGAAAATTTGACGTGTGCAATATAATCTACATACCAGACACATATCAACGAGGTAGATGTTGATAATACGAAGAAAATAACAATGTGTTTTTAAATGTTAAATTTTAGACTGGGTTCAGTGTGGCAGCAACGTTAAGAGTATACACCTGATGATGGCCGATAGTGGCCAAAACATGCAGTGTAGAAGAGAACAAGATCAAAGACATATAATATATATTGTTTGCACTTGGGACGGAGTTTGTATCATTTATCCTGTACTACTTTGCTGAGTTGCTATGCCTATAAACTTGCACTACATTTTGCACAATACTGTACACATATGTGTTCTATATTATGTGCAATACTGTACTACTAAGCCAGACCTTCCTTTTGTGTTTCTATGTTCATGTAAGTTTTATTACATTTTGTACAGTACTGTGAATGAGTATTACATTGTGTGGGGTACAATGCCATAAGCAGACTGTTCTTTGTGAGATGTTGTCCCTAGAAAGTTGCACTGCACATTGCATGATGCTGAATCAGAGGGTGTGCATCTGATGTTCACATGCCACTGCAGGGTCATTCAGGAGGAGTGAAAGTTGCTACACATTCCTACTTCATTTATTGCAGCTCCAAATTCAACTTTCTCTGCTGCAGAGATGCTCAATGATTCCCAACAGTTCTCCCCATTCTGAGTTCATTAATTGTATTTAGTGCCTTAATCCCTTCTTGCACCAAGGAGCTAGGTCACTAAATACTGTACAATTACTGTGACATAAACAAAACATTCAATAAACTTCCTAGGACATGTGCTGTAAGTCTTGAGGTTTTCACTCCTTTAATAAATAGTTCAGATTGTGGTTTACTTGGCTGTGACACCGTCCAGTCTTGCACATGGTACCAGATTTCACCTACAAAATTACACCATGTCACAACTCAAAAGACCAAAATCTGAAGAATATGTGGCACCCTCTAAAGAACCGAACAGACAATGAAAGGAACAGCTGAAATTTTATAAAACAGCAGCAGCACAAACTGTCACATGGAAATGAATTTTGGGCAACTAGAGCAGGGGGCACAAATGCAATACAGTCTGTAAGGATAAGCCACTTAAGAACAAAGGCTGCACGAGACCCCACTGAAAATGAAGAGACTATGAGAGTGCAGAAAATGCAATCAGTAGAAAATCATTGATAAACACAGACAAAACTGCATACGCCATATGAATACAGAAACAGATGAAACCAGAACAGGTTCCACAGCAACAATTACAAAGGCATCAAGACCAAGGAAGACTTGGGATGAGCATGTGACAGAATGGGCAGTTTCAATTGCATTTACCATGAACCAAAATATAACAAGGCAAAACCTCTGATGTATCAAATTAATTTAAATAATATTAAAAAAAATTCAACATCTACCTCACAGAAAACACATTCCATCTCCATTACAAAGACAAACCAGTTAATGCTGTTTAGAGAAATAACTTCTGCATATTTTGAAAATGATAACACATATAAATACACTGTGTGGGCAAAATGCAGAATTTCTTAATATGAGAACAAGTGGCACATATGGTTATCACAGTTCTTGGAAAAGGTTTTAGTCTGGATGTATGACTCACTCTGTACTAGGCAGACAGAATAATCCTATTTTGTGCCCTAAATTTCCCTCCTAATGCACAGCCTCCAGTAGCTATTTCATCTCATGGGATATGATAAACCATTTGAAAACATTTCAGAACAAAATTATATGAGTATTACAACAGTAAACAGAAGTGAATATTGGGTTTGAGATGTGTGTGTGTGTGTGTGTGTGTGACACCATGCAGCATAGAAATGTATAGATTTTCTGCAGGAGTGTCAGTGAACTTCTACCAGACTACACGAGTCACGTCCATGCTGACAGTACTATGCAAACAGGAACAGAGTTTATGAGGAACTGTAAGAAGAATAAATGCAAGAAAATCATCTTACGTTTCATCCCTAAACTGGATTCTTCAGTATTCAAAAACAAACTGCTTGAGATCAAATTTGTGCCTAAAACGATGAGGTGAGTGGGGAATTCAACATAACACATGTCTGTGATTAATACAGATGACAATGAATGTCACAACTCAGTGGTTAGCATGCCAGCTTCATATTCTGAAGGTCCTGGATTCAAATCTTGGCACCAAAAACCAAACATTCTGAGGTTTTCGGCATGTAGACATCAGATAATTTCTTAAATTAATCCATAACTACTCCCTTCCCTATCCTTTCTAATTCATTATTCACTAACCATCTACCATCTACATTTGATAATGTGTACTATAAATTATTGTTATCATTATTGAGCATTTAAATAAAGAAAATACACAGGATGACGGTACTGTCAAGAGGGTTAAGATAAACAAGACCCCCTAGGGAAATACTTTAATAATGTCTTGCTTGTCACTACATGGTCTGAGCTATTGACAGCATCATTAAATAAATTATGTCAATGCACCATGGTACGTCCCAAATAGACTACTACATGCCGATCTAGGCATATCCACAGTATGGGAAGAAACCACAAACATCAGCCGTAAATACAAACACAAGATAATAGCACATCCAAATGAACTGGCAACCACATTACTAAACGATGCAGACGAGCTCAGAAGATTGAAAAGACATAAACCAAACGACCTAACGACGTGCTTCATATAAATGCAGTACACAAAATAACAAAGTCACACCCGAAATAGATCCGTAGAGAATGCTCACTGGAGCATTACTCTCCCTGACATGTTCTCTCTTAGTATTTAAGCTTTAGATTAAGTCTCACATAAGCTGTACTTATAGCCCATAATGGGCTGATTGTACAAATACATGGAGATAAAAAAAAATAAAAAATAAATTACAAATACATAATGAATGCTGAACACCTTGCACCAGGAAATAACTTCTTCTTACAACTCATAACCATCCTGACATACCCCACAGAGTTAACGGAGCGCAATTAAACAAACCTAGATGTAACTACTATGCTATACAGCTCAGGTATTGGCATTTCCTGCTCGGAACAACTGTACTGGCTGTTATGCAAACACTATGCAGCCAGAAAATCTTTTATGCACGATAAGTTTGCTCAGAAGGGTAACATGTGCACAATCAGCAAGAACTCTTCCTTGAGAAAGTTTCTTTATGGTGCTTTGCTCAACAGTGATACATGAGGCTGATGCAGTGACACAACATAGCACACTACTGCATTCAGCGACCCTGAGATAGTTTCCCATGATTGTTCAGTTACGTACACGATGTCAATGCCCCCATGTTCTCATCTGAGACAAATGTCTGTCCTTGTGGAACAAGGGGCCAAATGCCACTAATTCCCTGTCCTCTGGTTTTCAGAGCTTTGAGCTTTCAGGACTTTGCTACATCGTGGGCTGAAGCTGTTCCCACACTGCAGACCCTACTTCTCATCCAAGGAGCCAAAGAGCATAAAATAACAAAACTACACACTTCTCCATAAAAAGATAAGAGTTGGCTCATCAAGGCGTATGGGGGAGCAGATGTACAGATCCACACTCTCTTGACCTCAGCACTAGTTGGAGGTGAGTGGTCAGCTTCACGCTCCGGCCGCTTTATCCCCGGGGAAAGAGCCCCTAGTACCCACTGAATAGGACGTTGCGTGGACCCCAGAGCCGGTCTGGATGACGTGGAGAAAAGAAAATTCTTGACCTTCCTTGGACCTTCACACTCTCCATAACTCCTTGGTACATGAACATTCGACATCCCACCCAGGCCACATTCTCCTGTGCAGCACAACAGATCACTGTAGGTCGCAGTGCAGGGGCCGAGAAGGCACACGCCTTACACATTCAACATGTGGCCAGTGATTCCGAGCTGGCGTTTGAAGTGTATGGATTTCATCAAAGACAGCCCACTCACGTCTACCATACGCCAATCCCTATAAATTCACGATTAAAATGATCTCTTCCCCATAACATCAATGAAGATATTACCCATGTCTTCCGGCCAATATTACTTGTCATATTAACAGCCGACTGCGTTTTCGATACACAAAGAGGGTGGATATTTCTTGCAAGCGACTGCATAGCAGAAACCTCGTTCTAATGTGGGTGTACGCGTTAAAAATCACACTGCATGCTTTTATTTACAATTCTATATTAGAGTGTTCTGAATAAATACTTACAGATAAATCTATGGACAGATCGGTGCCATCTAGAAGTATAACCTTACACTGAACGACATGTTTATTAGGGATGATCCGTTGTGATCCAGATTTGACTTGTGTTGAAGTTTTTTGTGCATTACGTCCTCTTCTCCGACTCAAAAATCTCAACATTTTGAATGTGTCCGAGGCTTCGTAGGTGCACACTGACGTAACTAATATTAGCACATTAATATAGGGCACAACGTTTTATTTACTAACTACATATCGTAATATTCAAAGCTATAAAAATTCATCCCTATGAAACAGACCCTACTCTGCAAACCATCACACCAAACATCACACCGTAACACGGAAGACAGCTTCGTTGGCCTCGTTGGCTCATTTCGTACACCTATGCGCACCGTTTTGCGCATTTCGCTGGTAAACAACACTCCATCTCACAGCTCTCACACGCTCCCACGGCTCCCACGCCTCCCACGTACAGTGACTCAATGGCGGATAGGAGTGAGAGTGCTTACGATCATTAACACCGAGGCACAGGGTACCATAATCTTTTGCAGTGTTATTACCGGACTTTAATTTTTTGATATAGGTATGTAAGTTATGTAAGGAAAATTATTAAATGAAATTTTAGTAGCCATGAACAATAAATTAACTATTGGGGGCATTTTCTGTGACCTGAAGAAAGCATTGGACTGTGTTAACCACGAAATATTTTTAAATAAACTAGGATACTATGGGATAAATGGAGTATTTAAAAAATTAATCAAGTCATATTTGAACAATAGATATCAAAAGGTAGTATTAAATAATAGGACAACCTATAATACCACCTTTTCTGATTGGGAGATAATCAAATATGGTGTCCCACAAGGCTCTATATTAGGTCCTTTATTTTTCTTATTGTATATTAATGACTTACCCAAAGTAACAACAAATAATGCGAAGATTATTTTATTCGCTGACGATACTAGTATCATAATATCCGATTCGAGCCCTCATAATTTGGAAATTAATATGAATAAACAATTCTTAGCCATAAACAAATGGTTTGAAGCTAACCTGCTATCCTTAAATTTTAATAAAACCCACCATCTCCTGTTCAGGACTAAAAATAGTTTGGTAACAGACATAAGCATATATCATCAAAATAAGAATATCACTAATGTGCCAAATATTAAGTTTCTAGGTATTTATATTGATGAAACATTATCATGGAAGTCTCATATTGATAAATTAGTAATTAAAATGAGTGCAGCTTGCTATGCAATTAGAACTGTAAGAGGTCTCATGTCACAGGAAACCCTAAGGATGATCTACTTTGCCTATGTGCATACTGTCATGGAATATGGGATAATTTTCTGGGGTAGCTCAGCAACTAGTATAAATGTTTTCAGAATGCAAAAGCGGATCATTAGAACTATTATGAATGTAAGAACTAGAGACTCATGTAGGGAACTATTCAAAAACCTAAAAATATTACCAATGTACTCACAGTATATATACTCTATAATTCTGTTTGTTGTAAATAATAGAGACCTATACAGTTCAAACTATGAGACCCACAATCTTAATACTAGACATACCACAAATTTGCACCTTCCCACATCACGCCTAACAATCTTTCAGAAAGGACCATATTACTTTGGTATTAAGGCTTATAACCACCTGCCATCCAGAATCAAGAGTATGAGTAATGATGTGAAACTATTTAAACTGAGGCTAAAAAGATTTTTTCTTTCAAATTCTTTTTATTCCTTAGAGGAATACTTTAACCATGTATGTAATTAAAATTGGTAATTGTACCCCTGATATGTTATAATTTTATATCATTACCTAAGTATTTTGTATCAATTATTGTTTTATAATTTTGATCATTTTATGCATTGTACATTAATATAAATCTTTTAACTGTCTTAATGACAAAAGTATGTATGTAGTTTTTGTATTTGCGTATTTTAATCTATTAGCTTGGGACAAAATCCATATCCACTGGTCAGCTGTACCATAAGGATCAACGGAATGTATAAATGTAAATAATAATAATAAATAAGTTGTGGGTATTCTTTAGGGAGTCATTCTAAAGAAATTCTGTTTCCTCATATTTTGACAAATTGTTAGAAACGAACGCCGCTGAGGTTCGTGATATTATTCCGCTGTTGCAATTTCTACTTGGGATTCTTCTAAACTTCTCAGCTCCCTTCCTGAGGGTCATGTTCTTATTAGAATGCACATTTTTACCGTGTTTAAGGGGTTTGTGATATTCCGCTGTTGCACTTTCGACTTGGGATTCTTATAAACTTCTCAGCTCCCCTTCTGAGGGTCATGTTCCTATTAGAATGCACATTTTCACCATGTTTATTTTCTTGCCTGTTACACAAATCAATCCGACATACAAAGGAAGTCGTGAGAGCTTATGGTTTATGGTGAACTGGTTGGAGATGCAGGGTATGCAAATGCATAGCGGCACCACGATGTAAATCTGTAGAGTAGGTTTGCTGTTTCTAGGATGTAACTCCATGCAGTCTGGAACATCTGGAAGCAAGAGTTTCACTCAGATTGGGTGAACCAGCTGCCTTCGAAACGTTCGAGCAGACCAACAATCTGTCAAAGACTACACAACGTGTAATAAGACCATAAACTTTGTAGTCTCTGCTGTGAGAACAAAGAAACCCACATCACTATGTTTTTATACACACTCATTAGTGCTCATTAGTATGTTTCCTTACAGACTTGGGCAAATATTTGCGGCTAGATACTAGTACGCCTGTTAGAAATATGATGCTACATCACTAGGATTGTAGTAAATCAATTCATTTGCAGCCCACAAGACGTGTGATAAGAAGTTTCGAGGCTATGGAAGATTCTGCATTCTCAGTGCCAAGAATTCTGCTACAAAGAGCTGAAGAAATATTCCCTGCTCTGAGAGAAAGGATGGTAAGTGTTTTGTGCTTGTGTATGCAGAAGAATTATCTGTCAACGTTTTATACCAATCTTATGTTAGTTTTCATCATCCATCTGGGGAGTTGTGCATGGTTCTTCATATTATAACAGTTTGCTATATTAANTCTCATAGAATTTAAGAACAATGATGAATAAATAATTTTCGAGCAAAATTTAAATGGCCGGCTGAATATATTACCGCAGGAGCCGCGGCCGCGGAATTTAAATGACCACGTCAAAGGGTTAAAGATACATTTATGGGGTTTTAGACTGTTTGTTTGTGTCAGGATGCAGAGTCATGATGGGCATGTGTGAACACAGTAAAGGGTGCTTAGGTTCCATAAGGAGCAGATACATATTGTCTGTACTTCCACAAGGACCATAGGTTTCTCAGGAAGGTCCCTGCATTATGAACTTAACACTTCCTAAGATTATGAAGTCTGTAGAGAAGAAATCTGTACAGAGCAGCTGTTATGGGTTAGATGTAATGAGGAATGGCTACAGCAAGGAGAGCATATATTGTTTCATATATGGTGTTGTACAGCCATGACTGATAAAAGATGTGATGCCTTTACAGAACTGTACAAATTCAGAGAACGTTTTAGTGGGTCCATGTGGTGAGACATACTCAGCAAGTCATGATGCAAGCCAGGCCATGAATATAAAAGCTGAGGCAGTCTCAGACTCACAAGAGGAAGTGGATCCTGTGCCAATAACATTTCCAAAAGTGAAGTCTGAACCTGAGGTGAGCTGTATGTGCACTGTTAGGCAGATAACACAAATGTGCAGAAGTGCCTCTTGCCTCTCTGTCTGTGCATGTTGACCAGATTTTGAAGGTTTTCTTTCTGAAATGTCTTTAGGCAACTGTAGTTTGTTGAATGTTGCTTGTGATGTACCAGTCCCATTTTCTTTTAAGCAGATCTAATATAGATGGAATGAAATTCTGTGTAAACTGAATGTTTGCGGTAAATTATATACAGGAAAAATCCTTCACATTTTCCTTGTCTGTCCAATCCACTAAGCAGTGCTTTGGTACTACATCATAGAGTTCCCAGGATCTATAAATGCTTAAGTTTATCATTTGCTTTCTGTCTCCCATGCAGTCTGTATCCGTATAACATAGCGGTGTCATTGTGTTGAGGATTTGTTATAGGATAACTAATGATTCTCTAAAGATTTGTGACAAGGTGTGACATATTATAGACACGTGTTGTCTGTTGCCCTTTGTTTGAAGTAAATTTAATATACCTGACACTGCTGGAGTTGCCTCTGTACCTGCTGTCAGGTGATTGGTTGTCATGACATATTTTTCTGTTGATTTCTGTTAGACGGAAAGGTGACTAAACATTAGATACAGAGAATGTGTAAAAGGTGTAGAAAGCAATAGTGAAGAATTGGCATTGGCAACACATCCTAAAATATAGACGCAATTGTGGTTAAGTGGAATCTACAATGAATGTAATTAAACACAAATAAAGCTATTAATGAAGATGAAAGAAAATTTCTATATATGCATATAGATGTAAGTTTTTACTTTTCTTGGCCATTTCACAGCGACTGATATGCCACTGGCTGCAAGGTGCGTACAAATTTTGTCAATGAATTGGTATGCCTGTGGCCGGTAACGTTTGGAATGAAGTATACAGTTCACAGGTCACAGAAGTTGTTGAAAATGCTGTCCCCCTACATGTAGACATTCCTTGCACCAGCAAAAGGGGTTTTGATTAACCCTTAAAGATGTTGTGCAGGAATATTTGTAATTTCCCAATGAATATTTTTTTAATTCTTCCATATGGGATTTACTGTTTTAAACTTTGTCCTGTAAAGAACCACACAAGAAAATATAAGAATTAAGGTCGGGTGAATGTGCCTGCCAAATACCAGTGCTGATATTTCTGTCCCCCAAGATACCAGACTAAGCTTGCATAGACGTATGTGAAATGTGGGCAGTAGCTGAGTCTTGCTTATTTTCAAAGGGGCTATTTCCACATCCTAGGTTTGTTGCCTGTATGGATATATGGAAAATAAATGAAATGAATGAATTGCTGAAACCAGCCATAGGATCTTCTTTTGTAAGTCTCGAAAGTATAGTCTGAGAATGACCTGTACATATTTTTCACAAGTAATTTTCCGTTACGAAACGCAGGTAGAGCAATCCTTGCCCTTCTTTCATGCCAGACTCCAACTTTTACTGGATCTAGCCATACTTCGTGGGTTAGATGTGGATTGCGTGAATTCCAGTAGCAATTTTTTTCGTATTTATGTATCCCAGCAAGTGAACCCATGCTGCATCAGAAACGAATGTCAGTTCCAGATGAATCTCATCTTCAGTGATACACTGTAGAAACCAACTGCAGAAAAGAACCCTGCTAGCTGGATTGCATAGCTGCAGGGCATGCATTACTATTGTTTAATGTGGTTTAAGCTGCAGCAACTGTGTATGCCCTTCTTGCACTCTCCTGCGACACTCCAGTCTCTTTGAGGTAGACAGTGAGCACCTGGCACTTATTCTTTTGTTTTGTGTCTATTAAAGAGTCTCGTTAATCAAAGTTTATTCACCAAATTGTGAATTGTTTGTCTCCTGGGAACTCTTTCATCACAAAATTTTCGCAGGCACTTACTAGCAGGATTGCATGTGTCATACAGAAATACACATTGCTCTAAGTATATTGCATCATGATAGAATGCAGTGCTCACTAATTGTAACAGAACAAATGACTAATGGAGTTGATAACTGCTGCCCACTGCTGACAAATCATAAACACATTCCCATACATGAACTGCATTGATTCCCGTGAAACATAATGCCATAAAGCCATCCACAAAATCAATAACTTCCTGTAATTCAAACCATTATCGACCATCAGGCATGCTTATTCATTGGCAAAACTCATATTTGATTCACAGTCCGTGGTGTGCTGGTCGCTGTGGACCAGTCAACAACCATAAGAACCTCCCTGTACAAATACAAAAAGATAAATCTACTCAAAGATAAACACAACAAAGACAAAAAAACAGTATTCAGTATGAGGTGGTATCGGATATTTTCTGGGCTGTTATTGTTGTAACTGCTTTAGTGAAAGGAGATTAGAGGGAAGGCCAAGGTCACACTTCTGAAAGCCTATTGCATCAGTCTGCCACATGACACCACACTCTGATCACACATTGTTTTTACTCTAGTGCTTTTTTGACTTAATGTTTCGTGTTGTCTGCAATGGATGGCAAAATCTAGCAATGTGTCTGTATCGAGTTCTGTGTGAAGCTCAGTAAATCCACTGCCAAAACACTTGAAATGCTTTGTGAGGCTTTTGGGAGAATGTTCTTTAAGCGGGACAGTGGTTTTTGAATGGCATTCACATTTCAAGGCTGGTTAAGTGTCAGTTGAAAATGACGAATGTACAGGGTGACCAGGCACCAGCAAAACGACAGAAAACCTTTAAGAATTCGAGAACTCATCCACAAAGACCATCGCCGAACAATCCATGAGTTTTCAGACCCCATTGGGATCAGTTAAGGAGTTTGCCAGATCTTAACAGAAAATCTGAACATGCACCGTATTGCTCCAGCATGACAACACACCTGCGCACGCATCCCTGAAAACCACAGAGTTTGTGACTAACAACATGGTTATTATTCCCCATCCTCCCTGCTCACTGGACTTAGACCCCTGTGATTTCGCTGTTTCCCAAATTGAAAATGAAACTGAAGGGACGATGTTTTGAAACAGTTTCTGACATCCAAAGGGAATTGCACGTGGTAGTCGGCAGCATTGAGGAAAATGACTTCCATGGCTCTCTTGAAGCATGGAAAAAAATGATGGGAATGCTGTATATGTTCCCAAGGAGAATATTTTGAAAGAGATGGCAGACAAATTAAGTTAAGCCAATATTTCTTTTTTGACCTAGTCCGGGAACTTTCCAGTACACCTTGTATAATATTCGCAAAAGGTAACCCATACACGAAGTCAGTCATGGTAGCCAAGCGATCTAAGGCATACACTGTCTTCACTCGCTCGGAAGCTGGAATCATGGGTTCAGATCCCACTCAGTGCATGGATATTTGGTGTGTGTGCGCACACATGTTTTTCTGCGTTTGTTTACAGGTAGAGGCCTTGCGGTGAGCTGATCATCCGTCCACGGAGTCCTACCGAACGTCTGAGATCTCGTAACCCAAAGTGAACAGAGAGTGTCTTGGACATAGGCCAAGGCCCAAATTGGGGCTGTAATGCCAAAATAAAAAAAAAAAAAACTCATGCACCAAACTATGTGTTAAACACTGTACGTCTTCCTGTCATTAATTTTATGGATTGTGGTTTTATCACATCATATTACAAGGTATTCACATACACTTACACAGATCTGCATCAGCCCTCAAAATAGTTGCCATTGGTTGCTGTGCAAGTCTGCCAAAGTTGATATAACCGCCAAAAACGTTGCTGAAACATATTGGCAGGAAATTCCCGCACAGCGTCTCCTGTGGCATTGACGACCTCCTCGGACAACCGAAATCTACGACCATGTAGCTTTGCTTTCAAGCAGTGAAAGAGAAAGAAATTGCATGGTGCGAGATCGGGTGAGTGCGGAGGGTGTTGC